ACACACACACACATATATGGAAAGGGGAAATTCTGAGGATTTTCTCTCTGAGAAGCAGATGTCAGTTCCTTCCAACAGAACCAAACAAATGTCTTGGCAAAGTGTTTGCGCTTGGCATTTGAATCAGGGAGGCCGGACCCTGCCCTACCCTCTTTCAGCCAAACCATTTTAAATGTACATTATACGCCTGGTGTGTTTTCATGCCTGGTGTGTTTGAACAGCCCATGTTTGTTCATTAATAAATCAGTTCAAATTGCTTAAGTTGCCGTTCTTAAAAAAAGAAGCGCTGTTAATCTGATTCCATTTGTGAATTGCTTCCTGTGTGATCTCTTGAAGTGACTTCAGAGTAAAGACATCAATGGCTTTAAAAAAAATCCATATTTGAAAAAACATGGAATCTTAGGATTGTAGAGTTGGAAGGGACCTCCAAGGGCCATCCAGTCCAACCCCCTGCAAGGCAGGAATTGCAGCTATTCTGGAAATATATCTATTGGTCTAACAATGAGGCGACAGTGAATCCATGTCCAAGTGAGAGACATCACCCCATAAAAAATCAACATAAAATTTAAATCAAAGCAAGTCTCCATTGCCCTCTCTCTGCCACATCTGGGCTTCAGGTAGACATAGTCTTGGTGAGCATATATTTTGGCTCTAGATTTCCACGGACTTTGCAGAAGGTTGTGGTGTGGTAATAAGTTGTTGGGATTCTTTGGGAGGCGGCATCTGCTTTGAAGGTGCAGTGTGTGCATGCATACACCATCTCAGTATCCTGTTTTCCGTAGAATCGAAGAACTAGAAGGGACCCTGAGGGTCATCCAGTCCAAGCCCCCACAATGCAAGAATCTCAGCTCAAGCATCCATGACAGATGGCTATCCAACCTCTGCTCAAAAACCTCCAAGGAAAGGAAGGAGAACCCACAGCCTCCCGAGGGGCCCATTCCACTGTCAAACAGCTCATAAATTCAGAAAGTTTTTCCGAATGTTTAGTCAGAATCTCCTTTCTTGTCACTTGAAGCCATGGGTTTGAGTCCTACCCTTCAGAGCAGGATAAAACAAGCTTGCTTCCTCTTCCATGTGGCAGCCCTTGAGATATTGGAAGATGGCTACCGTACCTCCTTTCATTCTCCTCAGCTCCTTCAACCGTTCCTCTTAGGTCTGGTTTCCAGACCCTTGATCATCTAGGTCACCCTCCTCTTCACATGTTCCAGGTTCAATTGTGGCAGCCATAATTGGACACACAGTATTCACCTTTTTTGCTGCAGCATCACACTGCCAGCAGCCAGGCCCTTATGGAGCCTCCAGGTCCAGAGGCAATCTATCCACATTCCTTGGTCCTTTGGGGCATTTGGTCCCTGTGAGAACAGGAGGCTGGGCCAGATGGGTCCCCTTGGTCCTGATCCAGCAAGCCCTGCTCATGTTTGTACATGCAGCACCCCCTCTACCGGTCACCTGCCTGCCCTTCCTTTTGCCTCATGCCCTCAGTCTGGACTCGCACACACCACCGTGGGCAGCCATCCATCCTGCCACTGCCCCAACAACCTGAGCCAGGATGAAGGGAGGTTCTGGGCAGAGCTTGGGTGACCATCTGCCCTGAATGCTTTAGCTGAGATTCCTGCCTTGCAAGGGGTTGGACTGGATGACCCTTGAGGTCCCTTCCAACTCTACAATTTTATGATTCTATGAAGCCTTCCGAATGGAGAGAAATTCCAGCTTCTGACCCACTCCCCCAGCCACCTGGACCCACGAGACATCTCCAAAGACCAGGGCGCTTTAGGGAGAAAAGCAACATGAAGCCCAGGCAATCTGTGACTGTTCCTCCTCCCTCCTTTCCTGCTGCTCAGACTCTCAGCCGCGCCTTCAAGGTTTAACCTGCTCAGGGATTAAACTTTGCATGCAGTCAGGAGGCATTAATCCCCCCCTGCAATTCCTGGGATTCAAGAGCATGCGGCTGAAGTCCCTATTTTCACTGGAGAAATATTGGAGCGTCTGGAGTTATGCAAAAGGAAGTTTTTTAATGTTTGATGTTTTATTATGTTTTTATATATGTTGGAAGCCACCCAGAGTGGATGGAGAAACCCAGTCAGTTGGGCAGGGTATAAATAAGAACATTATTACATTATTATTGTTGTGGAATAGGATGTCCCCATTTCCATCAGGGAAATGTTGGAGGGGATGCGGTTGTGAGTCCCATAAATATTGGACTCAGCAAGTGTCCCTGCCTCCCCCCCACAACTGAGGAAGGATTGCATACAAACTTTTTAAAAAATAAATGATGATGATGATGATGATGATAATTTATTTGTACCCCACCCATCTGGCTGGGCTTCCCCAGCCACTCTGGGCGGCTTCCAACAAAGATCAAAAATACATTAAACTGTCACCCATTAAAAACTTTTTACATCGAACCCGCCTCCGCAGATGCTCTCCGTTGGCCAGCAATGCCCCAATCCATGCCTGCTTTTCAGTCTTAGAAGAGGGGCGCCTCTAGCCCAGCACCCTGTCCTCACAGGGGCCAAGGATCAAGATTCCCAGGACCTAGGAATCCAGGTGGACTGCCTCTGGACCTGGAGGCTCCATTAGAAGAGCCCGGCTTTTGGATCAGGCCAGTCTTCCTGTTCCCTCAGTGGCCAGGCAGATGCCCCAAAGGGAAACCTATAAGCAGGATCTGAGCACGAGAGCAACACTCCCAGACACTGGGATTCAGAAGCATCAGTGCCTCTGTCTGAGGAGCCATCCTGGCTAGGAGCCCTCAATAGCTCTCTCCTCTTCCAAAGCCATCCAGGCTGGTGGCCATTGCTGCCTCTTGTGGGAGAGAGTTCCACAGTTCAGCTCTGCACTAGGTGAAGAAATCCTTCCTCTTATCTGTCTGCATCATTGGATAGCTGCGAGTTCCAGGTTTTCGAGGGAGCCTTTAAAATGCCGTTCAAAGTGCTCTGTGCAACCCAGAGGCTGTCACACTACCACCCTGGCAAAAAGACACCCAGCGCCTGTGTTTGGCATTTTCTGTTTCCAAAGACACCCCAAAACAGAAGTCCAGGTCAAGTCCAGGCCACACCTGGAATACGGTATCCAGTTCTGGGCACCCCAGTTTAAGAAGGATGTTGACAAATGTCCTTCAGCAGCTGCAAAGTGCCCTGCCCTGATGCCAACCGAAAGAGACCCTCCAAAGTTTCAGAGGTCAGGTAGGTGGGGGTTCTGAGCCTCTGAACGCAGCCAGAAGGTGCTGGGCTCTCCTTCAAGGGAGATTTTTCTACAGCGGTTGGGTGGCCACCCGTCAGGGGTTTTTCCACTGCAATTACTGCATTGCGGAGGGTTGGGCTGGATGATTCTTGGGGTTCCTTCCCACACTGCAATTCCATGATTCTAGGGTGCTCCCTGATTTTACAGTTTTAACACATTTATATGGTGCTTCCTGATTTTATAGTTTTAACACTTATCTGTTGGGTTTCTCCTGCCCTGCTCCAGAGGCCCCAGTGGTCCCGTGGCGGACAAATAGCTGGAGCAATTAAAATCGATTGGCCCCTGAGTGAGGCTGGAGGTGTTTAGGTCTCCTTCAAACTCTCAGCATGATCTAATTTATTGCATTTGGGGTGGGTGGAGGAAAAAACCTCACCACAATCCCATTTCTCTGTGGACTCTAATTCCCCTTGATGGACATTTATTTACTTTAGAATATTGGGTGACCCGGCCGTGACGCAGTTGGAAACCCTTCGAAATGACCCCATTGTGTGTGTGTTTTGGGGGTGGAGAAAGAGGGGGCCTCTGGGCATTCAATTACATCCTGCCAACCTCCTGGGGGAAACTTTTGCAATTATCTTCTTTGAGTCAACACGGCTGCTTGAAAAATTCATGGCACCCAAAGGGGCAATTCTCCTGTGGGTGCAAATTGGGTGACATGGGGTTGGCGTTGAGGTCTGTCTCCAAAATGCAAGGTCCACCCACACCTCTTCCCGACAAGCCCCCCTAAAAAGTGGGGGGGGGGAGATACAAAACCAGACATGCCAATGGGGCTTTTTGCAAGAGGGATGGAAATCTCAGCCGGGGTTATAAAGCCTTCTCTGGTGGCCAGGAGGAGAAGGCAGTCGGGTCCTGCTTCACCACTATGGCCAGCTCCAAGCTGCCCATCCTCTGCATAGGGTGCGTCCTCTTGCTTCTGGGGGCCAGAGAAGAGGTGGTGGGACTCCGGGGGGCCGGTGTGGGTGCCCAGGAGAGCCAGGAGGAAAAGGAGATGGTAAGCTGGGAAAGTGATCCTTGCTGGTGGGGCGGAAGAGGGAGGGTAAAGAAGTTGCTCAGGGCAGGGGGATCAGTTAGGAGAGCAAGAGACTCTGAATCTCAGGGTCGTGGGTTCCAGTCCCGTGTCGGGCAAAATATTCCGGCAGGGGGTTGGGCTGGATGATCCTTCAAAGTCCCTTCCAACTCTGCAATTTTTTGATGTCCCTTCCAAATCTTCAGCTCCTCTGCACCCCTTCAGCTCCTTGGGGGCCTGCTTTACACTTCTCTGAGCAAAGCTGCCCCCCTTTTGCTCTGCAGATTGGAGCCCTGAAAGAGGTTCTGGAAAAGCTGAAGAACCACCAGCTGCCGTCCATCGAGAAAAAGCTGGGCTGGGTGCCCTCCGTAAGTATTCTCAGACTTGCATACTTTCCCCTCGCATTAGGAATTGTTCTGAATTATTATGCCTCCACTGCCCTGCTGGACATCTTTGGGAGAAGAACAGGCTCAGGAGTGAACCCTCCACAAATCCAGAGCGGAGTCCCTAAGGCGGTTGGATGGCGCCTTCTACGCCTCCTCCCGGCAACTCCTGCAGCCCAGCTGGTGCCCAATGTCTTGCTCTGCTTTCCTTTCCTTTGGGCCACATCAGCCAGGCGGGGGGGGGGGTCTTGTCATCTGGGCAGCCCAGGACCTCCAGACACACAGCCCAGGCTTGTGCCCCGGGGAGGACACATCGGGGCTAACACAGTTGTTTGACTTCACCCCTTGAGAGGCACACTCCATTGTCTCTCAAGACAGATGGATCTCTCTCTCTCTCTCTCTCTCTCTCTCTCTCTCTCTCTCTCTAATTAACCATTTATCTATCCATTTAACTATTTTACTAATTCTTTAGCTCACACATTCTCAAACTGTAGTCTGAGGAGCAGAGGTGTGTGTGTGTGTGTGTGTGTGTGTGTGAGAGAGAGAGAGAGAGAGAGAGAGAGAGAGAGAGAATGACTGACAGATGCCAACAACATGCCAGTTCTGCTCTGTAGATGCTTTAGTTGAATTAGGGGACACCCAGTGACTGCCCTGGGCCTGCTCTAAAGCTGGGCTAGGAACTGGACAGAACAGGGCAGAGCTGACATGTTGTTGGCATCTGTCAGTCATTATTATTTCTTCACACACAAACTACAGCCTGAGAATGCGCCAGCTAGAGAATTAGTAAAATGGTGAAATGGATAGATAATTGCCAGACGCTTGGATTTTTCCAGACATACATGGAATACTGAGGTCGGCAGCAGTGTTCAGGCAGAAACTGGAAAAAATGTTGGGAAAATCCAGATGTATGGCAATCCATGTCTGCAGTGCCATTTTCCCATAAAAACTAATAAAAACTCCACAATTTTTCTGTCTGAATTTTCACTGTTTGAAATACGGCACCTCTACAGAAAGGTCCTGGGTGCAAGCAGGCAGATTCCACCCAGCTCTCCATTGACTGATTAGGGCTGGGCGATAGAACGTCCAAAACCAGTTTCAAATCCATATTGTGATATTGGTTTCATAATTTTTGACCTGGCAATATATTGTGAATCATGTGCCATGTGCTATGTAAAAATCACAATGTGGGAAAAACTGAAGCCAGCCAGTGCTTCTTTCAGACATTGTGATATATTTGTACATTGCAATACTGAGCCGAGTTGTTTCTGTTAATTCTTTTAAACAGCCATCAGAACATAGTGCTCATGTCCACTGACTCCCATCCAGCCTTCCATGGTGCTCTTTTCTATAATGTCTATGAGGGGTGAAATGTAATTTAGAAGCTTTATGCTCCTTTACTACTTCTATTTTACCCCTTAAATGTGTTAATTCTAAATCATTTAACTACCAATTCTCATCTGTTGCTAGACTTTAAATCCTGCATATGTTTTAACATAACCAGATTTTTCCAAATATTCTACAAAATATTTCCATTCTTCAAGGAATTTTTCCTCATTCTTTAATTCTCAGAGTTAGTCTAGCCATCTCAGATTAGTCCATCATCTTCATAAGCCAATTTTCTTTTGCTGGGACTGCCTCTTCTTTCCATTTTTGCATGTATCCTTGCTGCCATCGTAACATACATAAACAGATTAAAGAATTCCTTTGGAAGCTCTGGTCTAACAAAAAAAAGCCTCAGGTTTCACTTTAAACATTTTAAAAAACTCATTATAAATCATTTCCCAATAGCCTTTCTGCGGGGCCACCACCAGCCGGTGATGTATGACGATGTTGGAAGGGAGCCTGCAGGTCACCTAGTCCAACGCCAGCAATGCCAGAATAAACCAGATATTCCCCAGCCCTGTTGACCACCTGCCTCTGATGCAGCGGGTGGGGGACACCCCTCTTGCCACAACCCCCACCCCCAACATCACCAGACTTTCCCAGGAACAGCTGCACATCCCTGCATTGCAGGGGGTTGGACTAGAGGACCTCAGGGTCCCTTCCAACTCTGATTCCGTCTCTTGAATTCAGCCACTTATTGAGAGGAAGTGTGTGGAACAGGTCTGAGTGTTTCGATTTCTGGGAATGGAGTTGAGAGATGACCTAACCTGGGGAGAAAACAGCAAAGACCTGATGAAGAGAGCACAGCAGAGGTTATATTGTCTGAGAATCCTCTGGAAAAATAATCTCTCAAAGGACCTGTTGATGGCATTTTACCATTGGACTGTGGAGAGTGTATTAACTTGTGGTCTGCATGTGGTTTGGGAGCAGCACAGTCAGGGGAAAAACAATGTTGTCCAGGGTTGTAAAGACTGCGGAGAGAGTAATTGGGTGCACTCTTCCCACCTTGGATCAAATCTATGTTTCCAGGTGCCATAAAAACCTGCAGAGATAGCGCAGGATAGTGCGCACCCCGGAAATGATCTCTTTCAGCTTCTGCCTTCTGGAAGAAGGTCCAGGGTTATAAAGACTAGGACTAGCTGCCTGAGAAACAGTTTCTATCCAAATGTGATTTTGGTTTTAAAGGCAGTGTAAGGTAGTCTCTGTGGGAGTATATTGTATTTAATTATGGGATATCAGAGTTTTGAGGGGGCTAACCAGGCTGGGATAGCTGGGATAGCAGGCTTGTTGGTTTCTGAATGTCTGATGTAGATTCTTTCAATTTCGTTGTTGTGTATGGGACAATGACAATAAAGATTATCGTATCTCTCCCACTTTGCAGTGTGATGCCGGGGAGTCCTGTGCCGTCCGGAAAGGGGCGCGCATTGGCCGGCTGTGCAGCTGCCCTTGGGGGACATCGTGCAACCTGCACATCCTGAAGTGCTTGTGACGAAGAGGAAACGGAACGGGGGGGGGGGGGGAGAGGATAAGTTTTTGGACAAAAGGAAGCCTTTGCTCCCCGCCCCCCCCCCATAAGCCAAACCAGCAGCTGGGGCAACTGCAGCACCCGAGTCTTGATGTGACCCAGGAATGGAGCTTGCAAAGCCAGAAAGGTTCATTACACAGACAGGCCGTTGGGGGAGTCCATTTAGCTATTGTCTACACTGACTGGCAGCAGCACCAGCAGCTCTCCAGGGTTTCAGCCTCAGGGGTGCTGCGAGTCTAACCTGATGATGCTGTAGTGTAGAGAGTTGAACCCGGGACCTTCTGCACGCAAGACTGCTGGACTGAAACCTTTCCCTCAAAAATAAAGCTCCATGCAGGAAGAGACAGCAACAACATCCCTGAAGGGTGGGCCACCCAAACGCCACTTAAATAGAATCACAGAGCTGGAAGGGGTCACCCAGCCCATAAGGCCACTTCCTCAGCTCCTGTTTAGATCATCCCTTTGTCGTCATGAGGACTAGAATCCCATTTCACTTATTTGAGGAGCAAGAACAGCTGCTCTGCATGCAGAAGGTTTCCAGCTTCAATGCCCAACAACAGCATCTCCAGGCAGGGCAGGGAAAGACCCCCCTCTGCCTGCAACGCCAGTGCAGGCAACACTGAACCCGATGAGCAAATGTCCCAATTAGGAATACTAATTGCCAGGATCGGCTCCCCCTGAAAATCTTCTGCTCTCAGAGCCACAGAGAGAAGAGTCTGCTGCGGATTCGGATGCGAACAAGAGAGGGCAGCAAAAACGAGGCCGACTCCTTATGCATCCCTTCCAGGGATAAAGCAATTTAGCTGCATTAAAAGCTCCCCCCCCCCCGTCCAAGGGGTGGAAATTTTGGGGAGCATCTCCAATCCCCCCAGCAGGGAGCAGCCAAAGATTTTCCCATCCTCCAAGCTCAATTGTGACCTGCTTGAGTTTAGGGCAAAAATGGGGTGTTGTTTTTTAATAGCCCGAGAAAATAATAATAAAAGAGTTTCAGGCAGTGTTGGTTTATTTGTGTCTGTGTTGGCGGGGTGGGGGAGCAGACAATTTGGGGGTCCCCATTTGTGGAAGGCAAAAAAGGACTGATATCTAAAGGTGTGAGAGTTATAAAGGCCAGAGAGAGTTCTGCCAAAAAACAAAGCTTGTGGCCTCTCATTTTAAGCAGGGGTTGGAGGGCCACCTGTCAGGGATGCTTCAGCTGAGATTCCTGCATTGCTGGGGGTTGGACTAGATGATCCCTGAGGGTCCCTTCCAACTCTATGATCTTATGACAAAATAGCCTGTATTCCCAGCCAAGGCAAAAGGGTGAAAAGGCGGAGAGGCTGCCCAGAGCCGTGGGGTCAAGTGGGACAGGCAGGGAGGCTGGCTGGCCCAGGGAAGACAGGAACCAAGCCTTTTCTCTCTCAATTTTATTTCCTCTCACGCATAAGGAAGGCTTTGGCCTCCCAGAGCCGCCTGGTGCTTCTTCAGGGCGACGACTGAGAACATCCCCACGGCCAGAACGGCCACCAGGCCGGCCACCAGGAAGAGGATGTTGTCCCACTGCATCAAGGTCGAAGGGTAGAGGGATTTGGGGGACACTAAGAGAAACAGAGAGAAATGTAGAATTAACAGTAACCCCAAAGAGGCAGGGTTAAGAGAGAGATTCAGGCTGCAGACACATTCAGCAGCTTAAAAACTTCAGTTGGTAGCATGCAAGGCTCTTAATCCCAGGGTTGTGGGTTCGAGTCATGCGTTGGGCAAATGATTTCTTTCTTTCTCTATAAAAAGTTTATTGGAGGTTTTTTAACATATTGAGCACTAAAATCCAAACACATTCATAATAAAAAGCAGTATGTCAAAAAGTTAATAACGAAGAAATAGAAGATCTCCAGATAGATGCCCTGTTCTTCTGGCTGAATCGGGCATCTAGCCCCAAAGAGGATGCCACTTAATTCCTGAGCACGTGCAAAGCAAAGGCTAGGAAGGCCTCTGCATGAGCCGGGGAGGTTTATAGGGCTGGAGACTCCCAGGGTCTCTCCCCAGAGGCCACTTGTGTCCTTTTTTATATAGAATATTATTTTATTCTTTTTCGCAAAGAGGCTGCTGATAGCCTGACCAAGTAAAAGCTTTTTCTAGCATCACGACTGGTGGGGGACAACTGAATAAAATCTACTCCCCAAAAAATTTTGCCTCCCACGTTACCTTCGTGAACGACCGTGTCCGCGTCCTTGTGAAAGAAGTTCACAGGGCCGTCTGATGTCACCAGAGTCAGCCACTTCTCAGGGAGACGGCGCTGCCCAGACGATGCTCTGCGGCCTGGAGGCAGGAGAAACACGTTGGGGGGGTTCAGGGTGGGGGGAAGCACCTGGACGACAGCCGTGCAACGAACTCCCACTACGTGGCCTGGCCCTGCCCCCAAATCCCCCCACAGCCTCAGAAATAAACGGGGACTCACTCCTGCCAAGAGGATTTGTGTTGCAGGAAATGCGGCAGCTCTCCAGGGCGGATGGGGCGCAGGCGGAAGCGCTGCAGTGGAAGTAGACCTGGTTTGGGGAAGCGGGGCAGAGAGAGAGATACGATACGATAGTCTTTATTGTCATTGTCCCATGCAGAACAATGAAATGGAAAAAATCTACATCAGACATTCAAAACCAACAAGTCTGCTATCCCAACCTGGTTAGCCCCCTAAAAACTCTGATATCCCATAATTAAATACAATATACTCCCACAGAGACTGCCTTACACTGTGTTTAAAACCAAAATCGCATTTGGATAGAAACTGTTTCTCAGGCGGCTAGTCCTAGTCTTTATAACCCTGGACCTTCTTCCAGAAAGCAGAAGCTGAAAAAGATCATTTCCGGGGTGCGCACTATCCTGCGCTATCTCTGCAGCTTTCTTATGATACCTGGAAGCATAGATTTGATCCAAGGTGGGAAGAGTGCACCCAATTACTCTCCCCACAGTCTTTACAACCCTGGACAACATTGTTTTTCCCCTGACTGTGCTGCTCCCAAACCACATGCAGACCACAAGTTAATACACTCTCCACAGTCCAATGGTAAAATGCCATCAACAGGTCCTTTGAGAGATTATTTTTCCAGAGGATTCTCAGACAATATAAGCTCTGCTGTGCTCTCTTCATCATGTCTTTGCTGTTTTCAATTATTATGCTCCTCCTTTTCCCACCACACTGGCCATCTTCTCTTGCCACACCAGGGGAGCCCTCCACACCCTTTGAGAAACCATTTGGGGGTAACACACATTACCCCTACTTTTTGCAACTTGGCATCTTTGGCGAGAGAAGTGCATTGCAGGATCTGCAGAGATCCAAAGTTCAACAGAACGGCTCCACGCTTTGGCTGGTGCATTCTGCCAGCAGACTGGGCTTTAAGTGCAAATTGCCTCAGATTTCTCACGTGTGCGCACGCACCCCCCCAAAAAAAACCCTAGATCTCTCCTTGCAGGGACGGTCAGCTCCACCCCCGCAACCCGGTGCCACTGCGGAAGACTTTACCTGCCCAGAGAGCACCTGCTGGGAAGCGCCATCTACAAATGTGAAAGTGCTGACCACAAAGCGCTGGTAGTGCGTTGGAAAGGGCAGCCCAGAGTCGGCCCCGATGGGCACAAGCTGCGTCCGGTAGTTGTCTCCCTTGTAGGGGCACCTGAGGCAGAGCAAGAGGGATTGGCGGTCTTGAGATTGCGTGGCTAGAAGAGACTGGGCACATCAGAAAGGACTCCTTTCGCATCGAGACCCATCAAACATCGCCCAAAACTTTCCTTGCAGAACTTTGAGCAGAAACCCCAAAGGTGCATAGCAATACTATAGTTCTGTCAGACATCGGCTCAGCATTTCAACAGGACTGAGGTCAAAACTTTGTCTCACCTTCGTTGCAGCCGGGGGGGGGGGGGGAGAAAGATTCCAGGCACCGCCCTTCCAGCAGTGCTAGAAATCCCCCAGGTGCCAGGTGCGTTTTGCAACTGATGTGGGTCCAATTGCGACCCTGTGGAGATCTCTGGGCGCCAGGTTGGCGACTGGCCTCTCCAGCTTCCTTAAGCAGGTCAACAGAAGAGCTCACTGACTGCATTTATATCCCACTTTTTTCCTCCAGAGAGTCCATGGGTCACTCCCTTCCTCAGTTAATCCCCACAACGACCCTGTGAGGTAGGTGAAAAGGCCACAACTGACGCCAGGTTCTCCCAGCAAGCTTCATGATGGAGTGGGGATTTGAACCCTGATCTCCCAGGTCCTCATCCAACACTCTAACCACTACACCCCACTGGCTTCCTAGAGTCCTTCTGCAAGGGGGAAGTTCTATACAGGGAAAGCAAAATGTCCCTGAGAGAAGGATCTGAAATACTTTCCTTGAAGCCTGAATTTGTTTCATTCTGGATAGTTTTATATAATGATCTAATGTGCTGCAAATCACTTTGAGAGTTTTTCTTCTTTAAAATATAAAACAGGATTAAGAATAATGATAGATTACAAACTTGTGTAATCCACTACAATGGGTTCTGGAGACGTAATATGAGGATTCAGTATGAACAACTAGGCCATCACTATATGGAGCTACCACCAGAAGACTAGAAAACTGGGTAAAGAGATAAATAGTAAGTTTTCTAAATAATAATAAATTCCACAGGAAAAAAAAGGTGCCTAGACATTCCGCTGTGGTGACCACAACTTGTGTTTCAGGTGCCGTTTGGTGATTAGCTTATATATCTGAGTTTCTAACGCTGATCCACAGCCTCCCCTGTGATCTAAGGTTAAAGACTCACAGATTAGCCTGCAGAGAACAACCAAAGCTGATTATCAACCCACTTAGGAGCTCAGAGACCTTAATATCGCCCCACGGAAAATCCCCACGTTAAAGCCTCTAGCAACGCACAACCGGGCATTCTCCATTTCAGTGGGAATCAAACAATTCTAAAATAAAACGGTAAGTATAAAAATTATACTTAGCAAGAGGGTTGGGTAGGCAGTGCAGCCAGAAAGCCACCATGAGACCCTTTTGTCCTGAGGTTTCATGGAAAGGAAGCCGAGCAGCTAGTTCTAGTGTTAGTGATGACCTTTAAAGCCCTAAACCAGTGGATGTAGCCTACCTTGATTTCAGCAAGGCATTTGACAAGGTGCCCCATGATATTCTTGTAAAGAAGCTGGTAAAATGCGGTCTTGACTATGCTACCACTCAGTGGATTTGTAACTGGCTGACTGACCAAACCCAAAGGGTGCTCATCAATGGTTCCTCTTCATCCTGGAGAAGAGTGACTAGTGGGGTGCCACAGGGTTCTGTCTTGGGCCCGGTCTTATTCAACATCTTTATCAACGACTTGGATGATGGACTCAAGGGCATCCTGATCAAATTTGCAGATGACACCAAACTGGGAGGGGTGGCTAACACCCCAGAGGACAGGATCACACTTCAAAACGACCTTGACAGATTAGAGAACTGGGCCAAAACAAACAAGATGAATTTTAACAGGGAGAAATGTAAAGTATTGCACTTGGGCAGAAAAAATGAGAGGCACAAATACAAGATGGGTGACACCTGGCTTGAGAGCAGTACATGTGAAAAGGATCTAGGAGTCTTGGTTGACCACAAACCTGACATGAGCCAACAGTGTGACGCGGCAGCTAAAAAAGCCAATGCAATTCTGGGCTGCATCAATAGGAGTATAGCATCTAGATCAAGGGAAGTAATAGTGCCACTGTATTCTGCTCTGGTCAGACCTCACCTGGAGTACTGTGTCCAGTTCTGGGCACCACAGTTCAAGAAGGACACTGACAAACTGGAACGTGTCCAGAGGAGGGCAACCAAAATGGTCAAAGGCCTGGAAATGATGCCTTATGAGGAACGGCTAAGGGAGCTGGGCATGTTTAGCCTGGAGAAGAGGAGGTTAAGGGGTGATATGATAGCCATGTTCAAATATATAAAAGGATGTCACATAGAGGAGGGAGAAAGGTTGTTTTCTGCTGCTCCAGAGAAGCGGACACAGAGCAATGGATCCAAACTACAAGAAAGAAGATTCCACCTAAACATTAGGAAGAACTTCCTGACAGTAAGAGCTGTTTGACAGTGGAATTTGCTGCCAAGGAGTGTGGCGGAGTCTCCTTCTTTGGAGGTCTTTAAGCAGAGGCTTGACAACCATATGTCAGGAGTGCTCTGATGGTGTTTCCTGCTTGGCAGGGGGTTGGACTCGATGGCCCTTGTGGTCTATTCCAACTCTATGATTCTATGAAACCAGGCAGAGGCAAACTCGGCCCTCCATATGTTTTGGGACTACAACTCCCAGCATCCCTAGCTAACAGGACCAGCCGTCAGGGATGATGGGAGTTATAGTCCCAAAACATACGGAGGGCCGAGTTTGCCTATGCTTGCTCTAAAAAGGAGCGTCTCCACCCCCTTTGTTCAGCCCAGACACCGAGGTCCTCCTCTGAGGGTCTTCTGCTGATTCCCTCACTGCAAGAAATGAGGTCACAGGGAACCAGGCAGAGGGCCTTCTCGGTGGTGGCGCCCGCCCTGTGGAATGCCCTCCCATCAGATGTCAAGGAAATAAGCAAGTATCTGACTTTTAGAAGACATCTGAAGGCAGCCCTGTTTAGGGAAGTTTTTAGTGTTTTGATGTTTTATTCTGTTTTTAATCTTTTGGGAGCTGCCCAGAGTGGCTGGGGAAACCCAGATGGATGGGCAGAGTATAAATAATAAAATGTTATTATTTAACTAGAAGCTGGAGTCTTTCTGGAAAACCGAGCCGGCTCGCCACAAACACCCCTGCGCCCATTTTCGTTACCCCGTAAGTCTCCGCCCCTGTGCCCAGCCAGCACTGACCCATCCTCCAGCAGCAGCCACTGTGGTTTCTGCAAGGGGTTTGTGCTGGGGGTGGCCCAGCAGTCATGCAAGACCAGGACTAGGGCTGGATCCGTCCTGGCAAGGAGACGCACTTCGACATGGACCGGGGCTCGCAGGACCTTCACCACGGGGTAGTCCAGGCCGGAGTAATAGGAGGAATACGTGGCATCTGGGGAGGGAAAGAAGTTGGAAAAATTACTGGATGGAGAAAAGGTTTCCTTCTCTGCCTCTGGAGAGACCCGAACTCATGGGCATCTAGGGAAGCTGGGAGTCTCAGGAAGTCCTCCTTCCTGCAGCGCAGAGTTTGGAACTCCCTGCCACAGGAGGTGGTGATGGTTCAGTCGGGAGAGCAGGAGACTCTCAGGGTTGTGGGTTTGAGCCCCATGTTGGGCAAAAATATTCCTGCCTTGCAGAGGGTTGGGCTGGATGACCCTCGGGGTCCCGTCCGTCTCCACGATGATTCTGCTGGGCACGGAAAGTGGATTGAGGAAAGCTTCCCTCCCTCTCTTGCAAGACTAGAACTCGTGGACAAGCCAGTGGAGCTGAATGCTATCAGGACGGATAAAAGGAAGGACTTCTTAGTTAAGCTGTGGAACTCCCTGCCACAGACGATAAGGATGACCTGGATGGTTTTAAAATGTGGATTCATGGAGGAGGCGGCGGCGGCTATGGATGGGCTTACTCTGCCTTCGCAGTTGGAGGCCTCCATTTTTCCGAATACCATTTACTGGGAACTACAAGAGGAGAGAGCTGCTCTCACACTCAGATCCTGCTTGCAGGCTTCTGACTGGGGCATCTGGTTGGCCACTTGAGCAGAGGATGCCGGGCCAGACGGGCCCCACTTTGCCCAACCCAGCTGCAAGGGTCTTCCAATGCCCTAACGGAAGCTCCAGCTCCAGAGACAGTCTATCTAGACTCCCCAGTTCTCTGGGGCACTTGGCCCCTGTGAGAACAGGATGGGCCCCCTTGGGCCTGATCCAGCTCTTCTTACGTGCAGTTTACGTTCAAGACCGGGAGGAAGGATCCTGTCCCACCAGCAGGGCGCAGATAGGGCCCTCTGCTCCCCAGCCAACCAGGGGGAGACCCTTTCCCCCTGACTTTAAATTTTTGGTGGGTTTGAGAAATTGATTTTAAAGTTTCACAGATTTCATCTGACATTGCATTGTGCGTATCTGTTTGGAGGCTTTAAAAACTGGCTGGATGATTCCATAATTATAAGAATCTGGTATAATCTTAGAAGGTGGTGCATTTTTAGAAGCAAGACCCTTTTGAATATATTTATTTCAAGGATTCACACCCCCTTCTTCAGCCAAAAAGCCTCCCAGAGCTGCTAGAAATTGTTCCGATTGGTTGTGCATTTTTTGATGCTGCATTTATCAATTATGACTACTTTTGTTATGCTGCAGTTATTTGTCTCACATTCTAAGCCACCTGGAGCATGGTTTGAACTGTGGAAAGGTGGCATAGAAATAGAAACAGGTATGCCATAAGATCAAGATAGTCCCTACTTGCAAGCTTATGATCTCACCCCCCCAAAGTGCAGCACACAAGGAAAGAGGGAGAGGGAGGGAAGAGGAAAACTTCTGAGTTTGCCACTACATCCCTGAGCCAAGACCCTCTCCCAGCACAGGGGCAGCAGAGACCCCACGAGAGCCAATGGTGCTTTATTGGGGCTCCCCACTCCAGCCCCCCAAACCAGCCCCTCACCTCGAGCCAGCCTCATCTCCAGCGTTAGGGGTCCTTGCTCGGCGACCCCGGCTGGCGGAGGCGGAGTGGCAATCTGGACGCCGACCGGGAGAGAATCCTCTGCAGAGTAGCTGCAGCGGACGGTCAGCCTGCCAGAGAGCAAGGAAATCATTGGGGTTTTTGTATTTTTATTATTATTATGATTATTATTATTATTGAAGAGTCTAGTCCTCCTTGTTCCAAGGGGAGGACGCAGGAATAAGGAGCACCAAGCCTTCTGCATGCCAAGCAGGCGCTCCGGCCCTCGGCTCCGGCCCTCGGCTCCCGATTGTTCTGCCGCACCAGCTTCCCCACTTCCTACCTGAAGTCGCTGTCACGGGTGATGGAGCCCAACGGGGACGCCAAGACCTGCCTGTCTGCCACCAGCTCATTCTCATACACGTGTCGGCTGCCGGATTCCTGGGCAGAGAAAGGAAGGCCATTGGTGGGGGGGACCCTCCCGGCAGGGGGGGGACTACATATAAACACAGCCCTTTCCCCGGCTGCCAAAAAAGACCCGGCCGCCTAGAGACAGGCCTGCTTTCCTGCGGTCACCCTCCTGTTTATCAGCGAGGAACAGCCACAGGACACTCAGAAAACATCGGAAGGCAGCCCTGGGCAAGGAAGGTGTCTTTGGGCTCTTCTATTCTGTGGGAAGCTGCCCCAAGTGGCTGGGCAAGCGGGAATTTCAGTATTATATACCGGTACATTTGTATACCGCCCTAAACCCACAGATCTCAGGGTGCTGAACAACATGAATTTGTTTCGTTCCGAGTTGTTCCATTTCAATGTTTTCATGTGTTGCAAACCGCTTCGAGATTTTTTTCTTTAAAATATAAAGCAGTATAGAAATTAAATGCGTAAGAATAAGCCAGTCAGATTGGTGGGGTACACTTAATAAAATTATTACGATTATCATTAGCGGCTGGATTTGTAACTTTGCAAAATAGTGGCTTCATCGCCCAGGCGAGCCAAGGGTCTGATTCTGTACCCCACAGCCTCCCAAGTCCCTGTTTAAATCTCTCCCCCCCCCCATCCATGAGGTCTAGAAGCTTTCTTTTGTTTTAGGGAAGCAGCGCCTTCCTCTGCTCCCCAAAGCATCTCTGCCCACAGAGAGAAGCGGAAGAGAGCAATTCTGGCCGGGTGGCAACACCCGTGTGTCTCCCCACCCGTTACCTTGAAGGTGGTCCCGCAGGCGGACAGCGGGAACTGGAAGAAGACGAAGCCGTTGTTCCTGGAGGCCGGGGCGCAGCGCTCCCCCTGACCAGTGGCCAGGCGCACAGAGCCCAAGCGGAGGGGGGGGCGCGTGGCGTGGCGGGAGAGCGCAATGGAGAAGTGGCCGTCCGGGGTGCAGCGGGCAGTCACTGGCGGGCAGAGCGGGAAGAGAGGAAGGGAACCTTCAGAATCAAGCAGAATCAATCTCTTTCTGCACGCAACCATGGCAGCACATATGGTGCCCGTGCAGAAATGGAGGGCACAACACCAACAAAGGAGGAATAGCAGATGGAATTGACAGAATATATAGAAGTGGCTAGTAGAGTAAGATGAAAGAATCCTCAAGGAAGACTGGAAATGTCATGCAGAATATTTGAAAAATCATTGTAGACATATTAAAACATTAACAGGATTATGATAAATTCAGCACTAAGCAATAAATAAATAAATTAATATAATAATATAATATAATATAATATAATATAATATAATATAATATATTATTTATACCCGGCCCATCTGGCTGGGTTTCCCCAGCCACTATGGGTGGCTTCCAACAGAATATTAAAATACAATAGTCTATTAAACATTAAAAGCTTCCCTAAACAGGGCTGCCTTCAGATGTCTTCTAAAAGTCTGGTAGTTGTTTCAGTTGTAAAACAGAGAGAGAGAGAATATGGAATAATTAGAATATTCAGAGGTAAAAGGTTAGTCAAATGATCAATGGAAGGGGAAGGGAAGTTGATAATGAAGGTAAGGTTTGTATTTGGTAAAATATTGTGCAAATTTGTAAAATTGATAATGATAATTTGGTTGCTTTTTTAAAATTCAGAACAGATCCCCAAGATTATGGCACAGCAGGGGGTTGGGATAGATTACCCCTGGGGTCCTCTCTGGCTCATATCACAAGAGAAGTCACCAGTTAATCCCTGCAAAAGGCCCAGTTCTTTGCGATGGAGGAACAGTCGCAGCATTGGGGGCTTCTTTGTGGAGAGAAAAGGCAAAGGGATTATAATAAACAATACAATTTTCATTATTTATACCCTGCCCACTCCAAAGATTATACAAGGACAAAACATTATACAGTACAATTATGCAGCAGACAGAGAATAGATTTCCCCCCTCTCTCTTGCAACACTAGAACTTGTGGCCGGACAAGGAAGCCGGACGCTGGAAGATTCAAAGGTCTTCTTCAAGCAACGCAAACTGTGGAACTCCCTGCCACAGGAGGAAACGATGGTCGCCAAGCTCAAGAGCAGAAGAGCCTGCTGGATCAGGCCCACGGGGGCCCATCTAGTGCTGCCTCCTGCCCCCACAGGGGTCAGCCTGATGCCCCGATGAAAATGGGCAAGAAGGAGCAGCGTGTAAGAGCAGCACTCTCCATTCCCCAGCAGCTGGAGAAATTGCTGGAGGAGGGAAAGGCCTTGGAGCAAAGAGTGGAGCTCAGGGATGTCCAAGGAAGATTTGGGACAGGGGGGAAAAAGGACTTCTTCAAGCAGCACAGTTGAACTGTGGAACTCCCTGCCACAGGAGGCCGCAATGGCCACCAGGAAATTCCTCTTCGTTGCACAGCTGCGAGTTCAAGTGTCGCAAGAGAGGGGGAAATCTTTCCCGGCTCAGCAGGACCCCCAAACCCAACGCACCTTTTTTGGCGTAATAGCAAGGCACCCCCCTCTCTGTCGGGTTGTAGCAGCAGCCCAGGCCCACACACTCCGCCTGCTGCACTTGGTGGGGGCCGCAAGGGAGCCTGTCGGGGGCCGGGACGGATGAGCAGTGGCTGGCGCTTGGGGTATCCAGAGCTGGAAGGAGAGAGGGAGCTAAGTTGAGGCAGGTGGCATTAAGGTGAAAGGTCAACCTTCCGGGTTTATTTTATTTTTAAGATTAGTTTGGTTGTTGTTGTTAATTAAATTTGTACACTACCCTATCCCTGCAGGTCTCGGGTGGTTCATAAGATAAAATCACAAGATAAAAGCGTAAAATGCATAAAATGAGACCTGCAGGCACAGGGTGAGATACTAATTCAATTAATTGATTAATAATAAATAAAAGATAAGAACCAAATGCACAATCCCCCCTCGACAACATATTTTGAAAGGGCATTTGAGGAGAATCTGTGCCCCCTATCCATGGGGCAGGTGGCTTAACCAGGCGCTGCAGCCACGCTACGTTTCCTGGATCTTGGGCGCCCTTTTCAAAAAGCTTGCTCATTTCACAAGGATCCAGCGGCAGTTGGCAGCCGTTTGGGTTTCACCAGCTCGGGGCGTCTTGCAGCTCAAAGCCAGCGAGGCGAACAGAATTTGTCTCTTACAATTGCATCCACAAAGACCCACAGAGTCTCTCTTGCAAAAAGTAAAATAAAATGAGAAAGACCCACCCCTACCCCTACCCCAGCCTACTGGATGCATTTGGCAGAACCTAAAACACAAAACTTGATATATTTCATTAAACTCCGAAGGATCTGTCTTTCTCAGGCAGTGCTGCCCCAGACAGAGGTATGGGAGGCAAATGATTTAAGATGGACTTGATGACTATTACAGATAGATAAAAGAGGATTGACTCTACTCAACTATTTTGAGGGCCAGGATATAATAATGGATAAAACTGGCACATTACAGGCGATGTGCAGGGAGAAGGGATGAGTGGATTTTGAAATGGAAGTTGGAAAAGCTATTGGATCTGGAGCAGCAACAGAGGGAAGGGAAAAGAACAAAAAACTGGGGAGCAGTCAGCTCTTAAATTTGTATTAAATTTTTACTAATCTGGTGATAATTTGTTTAAAATTATGGAAAATCAATAAAAAATAATTGGCAAAAAGGAGTAATATTTCATTAAACTCCAAGCTATGGTGGTGCACAGGATGGTTTATTTACAGCACTATCCCCTTGTTACAGAATTGTTGAGTTGGAAGGGACCCTGAGGGTGATCCAATTCAACCCCCTGCAATGAAGGAATCTTTCGCCAACTCGAACCCGTGACCTGGAGATTCAGAGCCTCGTTTCAAGGAGAGAGGTTTGCTGCTTTTGGGGCAACCCCATGCCAAACCCAAGTCCCTCTCTCCAGCTCTTTTGGGCGCCTTCAAGGCAAGTGGCGGCACTCCTGCACTCACAAAGGACTAGAAACTTGAAAACTCCCCAGCTAGTTTTTCACTGGGCGGCTTTTGCCAATCTGGCAGCCGGGCGTTTCTGCGGGGAGCCACCTGGCGAGTACAGCCTTACCCCAAAGAGGCACCTGGGGGTCTGCCAGGCTTCCCCGCTTGCCCACGTCGCCCACCTTCGGAGCAAAGGCCAGAGCCCCCCAAGGCCCCCGGGCCAGCAGGACGGTCGCCAAGAGGTCCAGGAGGAACATCCTGGCCAAGACCCCGAGGGAGAAATGGGGCCGGGGGGCTTTCCCTCTGGCAAGTCACCCCTGGCCCCCAATCAGGGCAGGCTTCTCCCACGGCAACCCCTGGCCCCCTTTATGAGCTCACCTGCCCCACAGGAGCTCAGCCCAGCCTCAGGCAGCAGACTGCAGAGGCAGCGGACTACAAAGCCCATCGGCCACTGGCGGCGCAGTAGACTGGACGGTGGGCTTGGCGGAGGAGGAGCCTGAGGAGCCACAGCCAAGACAGGGGGCGGGTGCTGGGAGTTGTAGCACAGCTTCCAGAGGGCACCAGGTTGAGGGGGAAGGGGAGCCAGCCATTTGGTTTGTCTGGATATTTGAAAGCTGCACTTTGAGAAGAACAGAGTGAGGGTTGTGTGTGTTATTTTGAATATTAGAGTGTGGCACTTTGTGTTGTGTACACAAAACAACAGAAGCAGTAGTAGAAGCACCAGCAAAATACAGTACCCCCCAAAATCATGGGGCACAGGCCTGTCTGAATAGTCGCCAGGAATGGCTTCCCTGAAATAATCCTGGGAGCTGTAGTTCCTTCAGGGCGCCGAGATTGGTTAGGAGGCCTCTCGCCTCCTCCTAGAACTACCATTCCCAGAGCTCCCTGCGCAGAGGGCCTGACTGCTGAAGCCCTCAGGGTGGGGAAGAGGTCCTGGCAATGTTCAGCACCCTTGAACTACAGTTCCCAGGATTCTTTGGGGGTCACTGTGATACTTTACACCCGTGGCACGCTCTTCTGGGCAGGGGAGTGACCCCAGCAGGGTCAGGAAGCCTCTGCCCCCAGAAACCCCCCAGGAAAGCCCTTCGACGGGGTACCTAGGAGAGGTTCGGGGCAGCTCAGCTCCTCTTTGTAGGAGGTCATCCGTCCATCCGCCGCCAGGCCTTCAATGTGGACGGTCGTCCGGTAGCGGGAATCCTAGTGGGGAGAGGATGTTGGCGTCATTATTTCATTTTTCTAGCTTTATAGAATCAGAGCTAGAAGGGGTCCCCAGAGGGTCATCCAGGAACCTCTTGCCCAACGTGGGCCTTGGACCCACAACCCTGAGATTAAGAGTCTCACGCTTTACCAACCATCAAGCGAAAGAACCAGGCTGTTTTGTTTTCCAGCCCAAAAGAGCCCTGGGAACTTTAGTTTACCCCTAGAGAGTTACGGTTCCCAGTGCCCTCAAACTACAGTTCCCAGTATTTTAGGTGGGGGGGGGGAATGAATGTGCTTTAAGTGGCGTAGGGTTACTTAATCAAGCACTCCTCCTGCCCAGCCACGAAGCTCACTGGGCAATCACAACACGCCCCCCCTTTCTCAGTCTGTCCTACTTCGCAGGGTTGTTGGGGGGGGGGGAGAGTTATGTATATGTTACTAGTTGGAGGGTGGGGCGGGGGCAGGTGTGCAAGCCGAGACCTTACCTGCGCTCTGGTGTAACAGCCATCAAAGGCCACCCTCACCGCTACAGAGCCATCCGGATTGGGGAAGGCAGAAGTCCCACAGGTAGAGTCGTTCTTCAGAAGATGGGGGTTACCTTTGGGATCTTATTTGGGGGAGGAGAGAAGAAGCTTTTGCCAAACAGGTTGTTGTTCCACAAATTATTACCCCAGCCCACAATCTAGAGGTTTGCTTTACAATCAAGCCTGATGAACTCTGCAGAACCCAGAAGCTTGCTAGCTTATTTTAAGATACCCCAATATAGGGAATAACAAATGAGTGGATTTTGCTAGCAGCCAATGGGGGGTGCTTCCTTTGCTTTGTTGCCCAGTGTGGGGTGGGGGTCTGTATTTCTTGGGGTGGGGCGTCCCTGGAGAAATACAGACCCTCCCACTTGGCAAGGAAGAGAGTGGTCCGCTCATTAAGAGATATCATATTAATTATATATGAGAAATAATTTACTTTAGAGAATAAAATGCTTCAGTGGAGGTTCAAATGGGCAGTTGTTGTTTTTCTATTAAATAGGTTCCTGGGCCTGGTTCTCATGGTCAGGCTGCAAACCCAGCTTACTTGGGAGTAAGCACCACTAAGCTTAGCAGGATTTACTTCTGAGTGTTTCCCTCCTGGTGTTTTATCTGCATTGCTGTTATTTATTACATTCAAGTTATTCCCCCCCCCCCCAGCTGCTCTGCAAAGCAAGCCCTACTCAAGAGTAACCCCACTGGAATTAACAGACACTCATTCCTGCATGCAGATGAACAGAGGACCTCCTCAAATATTTGTAGTAGTAGACCCTTTGGAAAACGGGCACAACCAATTTAGGACCATTGGTTCCAGTGAGGCTCCTCTGAGTAAGCCAAATCTTGCCTCCATCTGTCCCCAATTGCAGTGAAACTGCTCACCCAAATACTCATTTCTGGAGCTAGTCCCTAAGGAGGCTTTAAAAAGCCTTGCAGGATGGAAAAGCAAAGGGCACAGTACCAAATTACATTGTTGGAGAGCCATGACCCCAATGGGCATCCATCCCAACCTCCTGCAGCGCAGAAATCACAGCTAAGGGCCCCTAATTTTGGGTGAATTAGACTAAGCAGTTTCAGTTGGATTTATGAGTTAATGGTCACCGTTTTGCACTTTGTGGTGCATTTGTTGTTGTTTAGTCATTTAGTCATGTCCGACTCTTCGTGACCCCATGGACCAAAGCACGCCAGGCACATAGTACTATTGTGGCGCATAGTACTATTGGAATAATACTTTTTCAAAGGGTGGAAGGCCCTGGGGGCAGGTTTAGGGGACTAAGGGGGCAGAGGGTCTCCAAGAAGGTTCTGGAGCCACTGCTCTATAATTAATATATAATAATAAATACATTTTTACACCATTGTTGTCCAGACCTTGCAAGAAGCTCAGACCAACCAGCCGCCCCCCGCCCCCAGTTTGTGGGATTCTTGCAAAAGTGGGTTTAAAATTCTTCTTTCTTTGAAAAAAAGCTGAATTCCCGCCCCTTTACTCACCCAGCAGCCTTATAAGAGATGAGGAGACCTTCGGCTGGGGCAGCAGGAGGAAAGCGAGGCTCTGCTCGTCGCAGGTGGGCAAAGTGACTTCCCAAAAAGACCCCGCGGCGTCCGAGGGACCGACCAGGGTCCCCCCCAAAAGGAGGAGCAGCGCCCCCAAACCCCGGAAAGGCATTTTCCGAGGGATTTCACACAAGCAAATGCTCCTCTCAGCTGCTGGTCCCGAGGGAGGATTTTAATAGCCCGAGGAGGAATCTGATTGGAAAGGGAGTCTGGGTGGGTCTCCTGCCGGGAGAAAGGGCCTGATCCTACGGCGCACGCAGCATGGCGGGGAAGTTTTTCCTCGGTCTACTTTGCAGAAAGGCACTTTGCGTATGCTCCATTGTTTGGGCCTCTGCACCTGCTGAGGGGCGCCCCTTCTCTGCACGTCTTTAGGAGGTCAGGCTTGCAGTCAGAAATTAGTGGACTGAAGTGAGTCATAGCTGTTGAGTTCAGTGGTTCTACTCTGAGTATGACCAATGCAGGATGCAACTTTTGTCATTTTACGCAAGGGCACCTTTAAAAAAGAAAACACTCGTTTTCCATTCAGAAAGCACTCTGCCCATGCTCAGGAGGCGCCCCCTTCCCACACGCAGCGCAGCTGTGACCCTTCCGCGCATGCTCAGCGCAGCCCCGGGCCCGCCGGCCCCGCCCCTCCCTCCAGGCCACGCCCCCGAGCTCCCCTCATTGGCGGGCGCTGGCACGCGGGAGGCGCCTCCGAGGGTGGGGCGTCGGTGGGCGGGGCCAGCGGGCGCCTCCGAGGGGCGCCTCACAAGATGGCGGCGGCGGGAGCAGCGGCCGTTGCGGGAGGAGGAGGAGGAGGGGGAGCCCCCCTGGCGGCCCCCGCCGAGGCCCGCTTCTCCCTCGTGGTCGTCTTCGGCGCCGGCGGCGGACGAGGCGGGCTCCGCGCGGCGGTCCTGAGGGCCGTGCGAGACGGTGAGGGGGGAGCGGGGGAGGGGCCGGGAGGGGGGGGAGATGTGGACCGCCTTTTTCCATCGGATAACTGGGTCTCCCTCCTGCTACGTATCCGAACTTGTGTGTTTAGCAGGATTTGTATTTATTTGTGTGTGTTTGTACGTTTGTTTTGTCTTCCGCCAAGTGTGTGTGTGGTCTCTTCCAACTCTATGATTCTATGATATGTGGGTCTACGTATATAGGTATAGTATTCTACAAATGCATTTTCTGTCTCGGGAAGTACATGCATATACAGGAAGCAAAGCAATATTGGATCATCATAATACCAGTGTGATTCTCGCTCCTCTCAGCATAACACGGACACTCGCTCATTGGAAACGTTGTGACATTAAGGGTTGTATATCTAAAGTTAGCCATACAGGGAGAAGGAGGAAAAAGAGGAGGCCCGCCGGGAAGAAGGGAGGCGACTGACTTGGCCCATTTGAGTAGGACTTATATGTTGGATGCAACTTAGTGTTTTGTTAAGTATTTATTGAATTTGTATCCTGGCATCTTAATCTGACTGGCAGCTTCAGCTTTCTTAAGCAGGTCAGCAGAAAAACTTATCTACTGCATTGGTCTCCCACCTTTTTCTGCAAGGAGTGCATGGTTCACCCCCTCCTCCATTAATCCCTACAACAACCCTCAAGGTAGGTGAAGAGGCTGAGACGGACCCAGGGTCCCCCAGGGAGCTTCAGGATGGAGTGGGGATTTGAACCCTGATCTTCCATTTTTGCCATTGCAAAAAGATGGTGCCTAGACATTCTCTTGCGGCAACCACAACCTCTGTTTTAGGTGCCCTTTGGAGGTTAGTTTATATATCTGAGTTTCTAACATTGCTGGCTCACAGGAATGTAGCAAGAGCTCTGTGGTAACTTCAGAGTGGTAAAGAGTGCTGCACCAGGACGTGGAGACCACAGTTCAAATATCTGTTCAGCCTGAAACGATGACCTTGGCCCAGACACCCCGTCTCTCACCCTGGCCTGCCTCACAGGGTTGTTGTGTGGATGAAAGGGGCAGGGCGAGAACTATACCCATTACCTTGCACTCCTTGGAGGGAGAAAGGGCTAGATATAGGAAGATGGGGAGCTGATTTCTATGGAGTCATACCCTTAGTCCACATAAATTAGTATTACCTGCACTGACTGGCAGCATTGGATCTCCAGGGATTCAGACAGGGATCTTTCTCATCCATTCCTGCAGATGCCGCTGGGGCTTGAATGTGGGGCCTCCTGCTTCCAAGGCAGTCTCTCTGCTACTGAGCTCTGCCTTTATAAACCTAATGCAGAAGTCTACAAGCAAGATAAGATGAAAACATAAAACAGAAGAGCAGCGGAAGGCCGTTCTATTCAGATTTTTATTATGTCTTGTGCATAAGCTCTCCCTCTTTCTCTCTGTTTGAGATGGATTTTTATTTGCTTACAAAACAACCTCCTCCTCCCCAATTCACGTTAGGTAGCAAAGTTTTCCCAAGCAAGAGGCTTGCAGCAATCAAAAATGAAATTAATTGTATACTCATCATATGCTGTCAGAATGTGGGATTTGCTAGGCTAGACTGGCAAGTTGTGTGTGTTTTAGTTTTAAAATTAAAATACAGTGGTACCTCAGGTTAAGTATTTAATTCCTTCTGGGGGTCTCTTCTTAACCTGAAACTGTTGTTAACCTGAAGCACCACTTTAGCTAATGGGGCCTCCTGCTGCCACCGCGCTGCCAGAGCACGATTTCTGTTCTCATCCTGAAGCAAAGTTCTTAACCCGAGGTACTATTTCTGGGTTAGCGGAGTCTGTAACCTGAAGTGTATGTAACCTGAAGTGTATGTAACCCAAGGTACCACTGTAATTTCATGTAGGAAGGCAATTGTCCATCCAGGCTTAGCACAATTTCCGTATCATCTTGTTGGTTTTTCAAGAGCCTTCTTCCATATTGCCCATGTAAAAAAATAAGGTTGTCCTCTTTTCACGCTTGAGAGTAGGTCCCTTCGGGATTGGCGGAGCTTGCTTCCAAGTAAAAATAAGATGCGAGTGCGCAGCCACATGTGAATGTTACGTTGCTCCCTGTTGATGCTTCTTCCATTTTGAAAGCCTTTGATTTGAGCACTCTCCATTCAGGGCGCATTCCATGCAGCAAGGAGAACATACAGATGTTTGAGCATGAGTTGTGCTTGGATTTAAATACCTCAGAGGGCTTTGTAGGAGCGTTAAAACCCAGAGAGAGAGAGAGCAGCTTTTGTCAGTCTTCTCTTTTTTTTTAAAAAAAGGGGTGTATATTTGGCTCCTAAGAAATAGCACTTTGGGGGCTAAGAAGCTGTGTGTGTTTGCAAAGGGAGCAGGGCTGATTGGTGGCTTGGTTGAGGGAGCCGGGAAGAGAGCAAAGGAGCGGGGGGCGAAATGGGGAGAGGAACCTGAAGCATGTGGGGTGGCTTGGTCTGGGGAGGGCTCTTGTGGGGAGTCAGGCCTGTTCAGGAATGGGTGGTGAGCTGTGGGGAAGGTGGCAGAGTGAGGACGGACGAGAACATGGCTCTAAAATCGGTGTTCCGGGTGTGCGGCACCCCCTTCAAAAGCACGAGACCTCCGGGCCACCCCCTGGCCCAGAAGGCAGAGCGAGCCTTCCCCATCTCTGTTTGGCCTTCTTCCTCTGCTCTGGAGCATTCAGAACCTTAAACCTAGATTACGGTGCCACAGAGGATCTAGGCACCATCCCTCCTACCAATGACCCAGTGATGAGGAAAGCTTCACTGCGACTGCACACTCTCTGTTGTGTGAGGCTGCAGTGGTTCTGGGACCAGCGCCGCCCTTGTAAGTAGCTAAAAATTCAGAATGTGGCCCCTTTGCCCCAAAAGACCGTCAGCCCCCACCCCCAGCTGGAGGGCTCCAGGTGAAGAAGTGTCATGCCCTTGTCACTGGAGTCACTCGAGTCTTTGCAATGGAGGCTGCGTCGCTGTGCCTTGGGGTTCAGGGGGGCAGAGTTCCAGTTGGCAAGTGAAACCCAGGCAGCGAGGCAAGTGCCATTTGAAGGATCCTGGCAGAATCCCTTCTCCTCCTAATTGCCCTCTGAGAGCTAATTGCTCTTAATTGCTCCTGCTCTGCCTCGCCATACCTGCAGGGCCTGCGTTTTGTTCAAGGGTGTGGCCCAGCCTCTTCCGCAAGGTGCATTGTGAGGTGGGAGACAAGCACACCTGTCAGGGATACAGCTGGCTGCCGGGGCGAAAGGCGCTGCTTGCCTCAGAGGCTCCACATCGGGTCGCACGCAGGGATTGGGTCCCCGAGAAGCTCTGGCCAGGGAGAGAAACGTTCCATTTGCCAGGGTTGTGCCCGGCTCAATTCTGCTCTGAAGAATGTGTTGGTGAAGGCTGTCTTTCTGAATTCAGAGCTATGTGAACGTAAGAAGAACCTGGGTGCAGCAGGGTCAGACCAAAGGGAGCCCATGCAGACAGCCTCCTGTCCCCCCAGTGGACAACCAGAGACCCCCCCATGGGAAGCAGGACCAGAGTGCAGTGTGAGAAACTTAGATATATGTTAATTGCCAAATGGCACCTTAAACCTCAGTTGCAGTCGCCACAATGGAATGCCTGAGCGCCTTTTTTGCGATGGGGATTATTATCCTTGTTATTCATTTAATTTCTGTATAGTTATATATTTTAAAGACATAATCTCAAAGTGGTTGACAACACATTAGACCATCAAATAAAACGATCCACAACAAAACAAATTCAAGCTTCAAGGAAAATATTTCAGATCCTTCCCTAGGTGACATTCTGCTTTCTTCATATTTTTTTACCTGCTTAATTTATATAGCTGCCCCATAGCAGAAGTGCTCTAGGAAGGCAGTGGGGCGTGGTGTTGAGAATGTCAGACTAGGACCTGGGAGATCAGGGTTCAAATTCCCACTCTATCATGAAGCTCATGGGTTCCTTTGAGTCGGTCACAGCTTCCGAGCCTACCTCACAGGGTCATTGTAGGGATTAACTGAGGAGAGGGTGAACCATGGACTCTTTTCTCCAAAGTGGGATATAAATGCAGTAAATGAGCTCTTCTGCTGACCTGCTTAAGGAAGCTGGAGGGACTAGCCAGATGGAGATGTGAGTCTCCAACCTGGTGCCCAGAGATCTCCATGTGGTCACCATAGAATCATAGAATCATAGAATCATAGAGTTGGAAGAGACCACAAGGGCCATCGAGTCCAACCCCCTGCCAAGCAGGAAACACCATCAGAGCACTCCTGACATATGGTTGTCAAGCCTCTGCTTAAAGACCTCCAAAGAAGGAGACTCCACCACACTCCTTGGCAGCAAATTCCACTGTCGAACAGCTCTTACTGTCAGGAAGTTCTTCCTAATGTTTAGGTGGAATCTTCTTTCTTGTAGTTTGGATCCATTGCTCCGTGTCCGCTTCTCTGGAGCAGCAGAAAACAACCTTTCTCCCTCCTCTATGTGACATCCTTTTATATATTTGAACATGGCTATCATATCACCCCTTAACCTCCTCTTCTCCAGGCTAAACATGCCCAGCTCCCTTAGCCGTTCCTCATAAGGCATCGTTTCCAGGCCTTTGACCATTTTGGTTGCCCTCCTCTGGACACGTTCCAGTTTGTCAATGTCCTTCGCCAGTTGCAAAGCACACCTGATGCCTGGGCGATTTTTAACGCTGCCAACCTCATGTCCTCCCAGTGGCCAATCTGAGACTCCGCTTGGGAAGCAGGACCTGAGAGCCACAGCAACTATCCCCACTTGGGGTTCCCAGGGACTTCCATTCTGCTGCAGGCTGACTCTGATGTTGTGTAGCTTCTTTGCCTCATGCAATAGCAAATGCAGCCACTTCAAGATTCTCTGCAGCCATGAGGTCTAGAACCTTGTTTTCTTCTCCTAAAGGAAAGCAGAGGCTCTTGAATCCTGGTGTTGGCTGGATGCCCAGGCCTGCCTTCTGGCTCTTCCTCCTCTCTTGCTGGCCCCGATCCAGAGGCTTCCTCATTCTGTGCAGGTTCAGGCTGATTTGGCCGGAGCCTTAAATGGGCAAAAGAAGCAGGCACCCCGTCCCCTTCTCTCCTCTTTGCACAGAGCAGGAGCCGGAGGCAATTCTGGGCTGGCTCCAGGGGCCTTTCCGGGCAGCTGACTCCTCCGGGACTCTGGCTGAGGGCCATCTGGGCATCTAGCCGGTTGCGCGGCTCCGACTCAGGAGACGTTCCTGGAAGGGATGAGGCACTCTGGGTCGCCTGAGGGGCTGCTTGGAAGCACCACTGAGCTGCTGTGTCAGGATGCGTCACTCGAGGAGGCGGGGAGGAAGGCCGGAAGGCCAGTGAGAGGGAGTGGCTGGCTGAAGGTCACCCAGTGGGCTTTGAGGTGGCTTTGGGGATTCAAACCCCAGTCTCTCAGGTCTGACACCCTAACCACTACACCACACTGCTCTCCATGAGCCTGGACGCTGATGGGAATTGTACTCCAAAGCAGCTACAGGGAAAAGGTGCCCAAAGTGGACATTTGTATTTGGAGTCACTCTTCGCAACTGTGTGTGTTCAATGAACAAGGATAACAACAATGGGTTTTGTGCTTTTCCTGTGGCAATATTTTTATGTGGCAAACCGCCCTGAGGTCTGCGGATGAAGAGCGGTATACAAATTTATTTATTTTTTAAATAAAAAATTGTTGCTCTAGGTCAGCAGGGTAGGAGGGAATCAGAGCTGGGGAAGTAGATTCCTTTGTTCTGTGGAAAATTTGTGGGCCTGCCCCCATTTCTTTTAACTGGAGTGGATCGTTGTTTTACAAATCAGCATTTTAAAGAAAGAAGATTTTATTTAAACCTTTGACATGCCACTTTCTAGCTGTTCCAGCACCTATGGGGCCAGCTTTGTGCCTCCTCCAGCCTGGTCTGTTAATGATGGAGCACCCCTATTCCCATACTCAAGCCCTGCTTTTTGTTGGATAGAGAGCCTAGGCCCTAGGACTCCCTTTGGTCTCATTTCGAAGCCTGCAGAGCTGCTGCCAGTCAGAGCAGACTGCACTGAGCTGCACGAACCTAGAACTGAAGAGTTGGAAGTGTTCCCAAGGGCCATCTAGCTCAACCCCCTTCAATGCAGGGATTGCAACTAAAGCATCCCAGTATAAGGCAACTCTCAATGTCCTTCAGGAAAGGGGGCAGAAAGAGATAAAAGGGTGCACCCCACCCCCATAGTTGGTTCAGCTATGTCCACCACCAGCATGTGGCCGCTGGCAGATGTTCCTCAGGGAATGCGGCCTCTGTTTGAAAAAACCCTGCAGGGGCCACCTTGGCCTTCTCCGCTGCATTGCCAGGCTTCCTCTGATCGGACACCAAACAGGAAGCAGCTGCAGCTGACCTCTGAGATCACTGGTGCTTTTTCCCCTTCCCCTTTCTGAAAAAGGAAAAGAGTCCCGGTTGGCGTGGAAGCGGAAGGGGGAGGCTTCAAGAGAGCCTCAGACTCTTCTTCTTTTCCTTGTTCTCCTCCTCCTCCTCTTCGCTGTTAGGGATAGGAGTGGTCATCCTTTGTCTCACTCTCCATTTTAAGAGCTCAGAGCTGCAAAAAAACTGCAGCTTTGATCCAGATGAGCCTCTGTAAGCAGCACCCATGTGAAACCCGATAATGGAGACGGGGCAGAAACATTGTGATGGTTTCAGCAGAAATGGGGGAGAGGGCACCCACCTGCAACTCAGGTGGGTTGGAGGTGCTTTGAAGTCGGAGGCTCCTTGACCATAGGGGCTAAAGGCAGCAGCCTCCTGGGACAGTGCTTGTGGCGGAGGCTGGGTCTGTCTTAAGAACGCAAGAAGGGCCTGCTGGATCAGGCCAAAGGGGGCCCTTCAATCCAGCATCCTCTCCTCAACAGAGGTCAGCCCGACGCCTCTTCCTGCAAACCCATAAGCAGGATCCGAGCACAAGAGCACTCTCCCCTCCTGTGGCTTCCAGCAACTGGTATGCCTCCAGTGCTCTTGCAGTTTTCAAATCGTATTTGTAGTAGAATCATAGAACTGTAGAGTTGGAAGGGACCCTGAGGCTCATCTAGCGGAAACCCCTGCAAGGCAGGAATATGCAGCTGCCCCATGCGCCAGGGATCAAACCTGCAACCTTGGTGTCATCAGCACCATGCTCTGCAAACTCTGGATGTGCCTCTGCTAAAGCCAGACTCGCATGCCAAAAGGCTAACCTGGAAGGAAGGGGGGTAAAAATCAGACCAGTGGGTCTCCGCGCTCTCCTGCTTTGTGAAGGTGGAGGCTGTGCTGGTTCCTTCCCTTCCCATCTGCCAGCAGAGCTCTCTCTTCTGGCTGCTCTTGCAGCAGCTGCAGGCCGACCTCCAGGAGGTTGAGAAACTGGGACATTTCCTGGGAACTTGAGCCGCTCCTCTTGCTGCGGATAATTGGGGACCTTTGAGAGTTGGCGGAAACCTCTTTTTCCTGAACAGTTGCTTAATTTAAATACTGGCTGGTCAAAGGAGTATTTGCTAATAATTCTCTGAGCTGGTGGCTTTCTGACTCGCAGATGCCGTCTCCAGGCGGAAGCTGGTGTTGGAGGAACACGTACCCTGTCTCGTTGCCACGTAACCCTCTGCAATAAGCTTGCAAGACTTGTCTTTGCCCTCTGGAGTCAGCTTGCATAAGAGGGGACCCCCCCCCCCCCGCATTGTAAGAGCGTCTCTCGGAGAAGCTGGACATGGATTCCCCAGGCAGGGATTCTTTAATTGCAAGTCCTGCATTGCCGGAGGTTGTGCTAGATGACCCCCAGGGTCCCTTCCAACTCTACCATTCTATGATTCTAAGTTTGGTGGGCGCTTTTCCTGCTGCTGGCCATCATATTTGATGAATTATTGTATTTTAATATTTTGCTGGAAGCCTCCCAGAGTGGCTTGGGAAACCCAGCCAGATGGGCGGGTCTTAAATAAATTATTATTATTATTATTATTATTATTATTATTATTATTATTATTACTACTACTACTACTACTACTATTCATGATTGCTGCTTGTGTAAGTCTTTATATCAGTGGTTTCCAACAGTGTTAGAAACTCAGATATTTAACTTAATTGCCAATATACCTTAAACCTGTGTTACGGTCACCACAATGTCTAGGTGCCATTCCCCTCATAGGGTTTATTAACTTCATCATTATCATTTCTATAGCACTTTATATTTTAAAGAAAAAACCTTAAAGCGGTTAAGACATCAAATAAAACAATCCAGAATAAAACAAATTCAAGCATCAAGGAGAATATTTCACGTCCTCCTCTAAGTGACACTTGGCTCCCCCCATATTTATTTACCAACTTAATTCATAGAGCTGCCCCACAGCAGGAGGACTCTAGGAAGGCAGGGTGGTGTAGTGGTGAGAGCAATCAGAGTTTGAATCCCCACTCCATCAGGAAACTCACTGGGTGGCCTTGGAGTCTGTTGCAGCCTCTTTGCCTTCCTCGCAGGGTCATTGTAGGGATTAACAGAGGAGTGGGGTGAACCATGGACTTCTGGGAGAAAAAGGTGGGAGATCATCGCCGTGAAGAAGTTCTTCTGCTGAGCTGCTGAAGAAAGCTGGAGATGTCATTTGTCAGTCTGGCGCCCAGTGATCTCCACGGGGTCCCAATTGGACCTGCGCTAATAGCACAACGTGCCTGGCACCTGGGGAATTTTGAACACTGGTTCCAAAACCCTTTGGATCTACAAGATTCTCCCCTCGGCCACCTCCCCTACCCCATAAAAAGCATTATTCAGAGTAGCGGTTTCCAAACCACTGAGGAAGATTATGCGTACCCCAATAAAATTATACAGTAACAATTGCACAGTTATTCAAAACTCAGTTAACTTCGTTTTTAGTTTAATTCAACAAGACTGAGGCACCGCTTTTCCAAGTTATTTAGCAGGGCTCTTTGCTACCACGCTCCGTAACCACTTCAGTGTTCAGAAAACACTCTGCCATGGGGAGCTTGATGAAATGATCCCAGTTTCCCACTGTCACTTATCCGGAGTCTTAAATCACTACCTCCTGTGCTGCCTCGCTGGGGAATCCCACAGCCCCCTTTGTGTGTGGGCTCCTCATTCTCAGTCTTTCCCAGCCTCCTTCAAACAGCAGCAGCGGCATTTCTGGTTCCCCCCACCCCCGTTTGGGATCTCGCTCTGTTGCTGCCTGCGCCCTCAGGAACCCCATGCTGGTGGCGCTGGGCTCTGCTCAGGCGGCAAGCAGCATGCAGCCGCAGTGAAGACGCGCAAACACCCACGTGCCGCGCCAGGCCAGTTTCTGAGAGCTGCAGTCTTGCATCTCAGCTGACACCACCTGCGCTGGTCTTATGTAAGCTAGCGGGTCATGGGGGGGGGGAGGCATAAGAGGCATTTTGGGGCCTCAGTGCAAGCAAAGCAAAACTCGCCTCCTTGTTCTGTGGGCTGAATGAACTTGTGGTTTCTTGTGGCCGGTCCTTGATCTTCTCATCTTGCCTTGCTGTCTTAGGCGCTTTGGAGAGAGAGATCCTCTTTGCCGTTACGGCTGTCTCTTGCAAAACTGAGCTGATGTGATGTCTGTGCCATACAGGGAGAAAGCTGCTGGGATGTTTGCCGTCCGGTCCCTGTGAGGGAAGGGGGAGCTGTCAGCTCCAGCCAGCAGCTAAACACATGGGGGATATGGTATTATTGTATTTTAATCTTTTGTTGGAAGCCGTCCAGAGTGGCTGGGGAAACCCTGCCAGTTTGGGGGGGGGGTATAAATAATAAATTATTACAGTGAACCCTCCAGATACAAACTTGATTCGTGCTCAGGGTCCATACTAACCCTGAAAAGTCCATATCCGGAGACGCTACTTCTGTGCATGTGTGCGTGGCGAAACCTGGAAGTATAGACTTCTGGGTTTGCCGCATTTGTAACTCAAAATTACGTTACCTGAAGGTAACATAACCCGAGCTACCACGTTGTTGTTGTTGTTGTTTATTATCATGGAGCAGCAAGAGTAGTTCTCTGGTGGCTGGGAAGAGATCCCAGGAGGTGGGAACCAAGGCACCCGAAAAGCAGCAGAGGAGTAAAAATCAGGGGAAGGAGCAGTGATAGAACCTCAAGATACATAAGCTAATTTCCAAATGGTACCTTAAACCTCAGTTGCAGTCGCCACAATGGAACGCCTGAGCACCTTTTTTTTGCAATGGGAATTATTATTCATGTTGTTCATTTAATTTCTGTATGGCTTTATATTTTAAAGAAATAATCTCAAAGTGGTTGACAACACATTAGACCATCAAATAAAACAATCCAGAATAAAACAAATTCAAGCATCAAGGAGAGTATTTCAGGTCCTTCTCTAAGTGACATTTGGCTTTCTCCATATTTATTTACCAACATAATTTATAGAGCTGCCCCATAGCAGAAGTGCTCTAGGGAGCCAGTGGGTGTAGTGGTTAGAGTGTCGGATGAGGACCTGGGAGATCAGGGTTCGAATCCCCACTCCGTCATGAAGCTCACTGGGTGACCTTGGAGTCAGTCATGGCCTCTTCGCCTACCTCAGAGGGCCGTTGTAGGAATTAACAGAGGGGGGAGTGAACCAAGGAGTCCTTGGGCAAAATGGTGGGAGATAAATGCAGTAAACAAGTTCTCCTGCTCATAATTCTGGAGGGACCAGCCAGAGGGAGCACATTGGCGGCCACCTTCCCTGGCTCTTGGGGGCCAAGGGCTCCAGCCGCAGTGGCCCTCCCATGCTTGGCAGTCTGCTTAGCACCACTGTTTCTCTCCCTCCCTCTCTCCTCCAGGGATCCGTTCTTGGGACATCGACTTGACTGCCTGCAACCTTGACCAGCAGCTGAAGCTCTTTGTTTCCCGCCACTCAGCCACCTTCTCCGATATTGTGAAAGGTAAGGAGGTAGCAGAGGCGCCATCCCTCTGACAATGTGGACTAGGGCCTCCCCACCTGCCAATGCCCTCCCTGCTCTTGGGCAGGCAAGCGTGTCGACAGCAGGCTCATCCGGTCCCCGTGGGCATCTCCCCCCTCCAGGAATGAGCCGGCCGTGTCCTCAGATGACTCTGCCCACCCACTCCGCCCGATGTTGAACTAACGGTGGAATGCTGGGCCAGGGAGGCTGCAGGAGCCGCTGGGAAGCACCTGCTCCCTTCTTGGTCCCCAGGGCAAGAGCGTCCGCCTCCTTTCTCCTTTTGTGCAAGGGGAAGGCAAACCTTGTTTTTCTCCTGCACTGGAAACACAGTGGCTCTTGCTCGCAGGGCAAGGCTCAGGTATCAGGGTCTGAAAGTCAGATATATAAGGTGATCGCCAAATGGCACCTTAAACTGTTGCCACCACAGAATGTTTACCATTATTTTTCATTTCATTTTTATGTCACTTCATATTTTAAAGAAAAAATCTCTGCCTGGGTGTGGAGGCCCCTCGTGTTGCCCAGCATCACCTCCAGGGCCTGCTCCTTTGGCTGCCCCTGGTATTTTGTCCATCAAAAGGGAGCCAGCAGCTTATCGGCCGAGCGCCCAGCACCCTGATGGGACCCTTCCCCTCCTTCGCAGCAGGGACAGTTTAATGTTTTCGGAGCTCCCAGCTGGCGTGATCGCCAGAAATCTCAGGGTTCCAGTTCCACACTTTGAGACACTGCAGGCAGGCGTCTGAGTTGCAGCCACTTGGTTGTCGTCGGTCTGTCTCGAGAGACCATGGAGTGTGTCTCTGGGGGTGAAGTCTAACAGCTGCATGAGCAGCACTGAAGGGACCTTTCTGAGGCACAAGCCTGGCCCATCTGTTTGGGGGTCCAGACAAGACCCCCATCTCGGCCCAGCTGATGGTTTCCAAAGGAAGGCAGAGCAAGACATTGGGCACCAGCTTGGCTGCAGGAGTTGCCGAAAGGAGGCGTACAAGGTGCCATCCCAGCCGTCTTTGGGACTCCATTCCGGATTTGTGTAGGGTTTGCTCCAGAGCCTTATCTTCTCCTGAAGATACCCGGCAAGGTAGCAGAGATTTAGGATCAGAGTTTTGCTTCTCTGAGATGGACTCCCTTCCCTGGTGCTCAAGCCCCATCTGCGGTTCCAGCCACTGCAACCCCACAAATTGATTGCTCGCCTCAAGCAGCCTTAAAATGGCCCCAGGGCCATTTTAAACTCCTCTTAATAGTTGTGCTGTAACCTTTGTGGGATCGACGGCTGGTGAGACTCCTGATCAGACAAACCCTCTTCAGGTGCCTTTGGGTTTCTTGAAGCCTCTTGGCCAGAGATCTCACAGGATCGGGAGGAGAAGAGAGAGAATGCAGCAGCCGGCCTTGCTGGAATCTGGCAGTGCTGCACTGCCACCTTCTGGGCGGATGGAGCCTTGCAGTGGGCAGCCCTCCCCTCCAGAACCGCTGCTTTCTTTGCCTTTAAACACCAGGGAGAACTTTCTGAGGGTGAGGACCGTTCAGTAGCGGGATGGACCCCTCCTTAGAGATGTGGTGTATTCTCCTTCAAGATATCTGTCCTGGGTGCGAAAACAGATTCCTGCATTGCAGAGGGTTGGGCTAGATGACCCTCGGGACCCTTCCAACCCCCTACAACGTAAAGGCAAACCATATCTATATATATGATTATATATATCCCATTATGCACACACACAGATTCAAACGTTACAGTGCAGCTTTGCCCACTGCCCTAATATCACAGAATGATCACTCCGATCCTCATTCCCACATCGCTGTCATGTTGGCTCGCCCAATATGCTAAATAAGAACCCAACTGCAAATTGTATTGCTAGGGTTCATTTGGAACGGCATTGAGAGCCAGGCTGTCTCTGTCATCATGCCGCTATGTGAATCTGTGATGCCTTGCAGGAGGTTGGGCTAGATGGCCCTTGGGGGTCCCTTCCAGCGCCACAACACTGTGGTCCTTCTGCCCCGGAGCCTCCCTTTCAACGCTGTCGCCTCGTTTTCCCTCCCCAGGTCAGCGGGCTCTGCACCATCGCGGAGAACTCCTGGAGACGCTGGTGCTGCTGAACCCTTCCGACAAGTCCATCTGCAATGAGGCGAGTTGCCGGAAGGCGAGCAGCTTGAGGGCAGAGGGCTCTTGGGCTTGGGTCCTGCCTACGCTTTCTTCCCCTTGACCACTGTGAGAACAGGATGCCGGGCTCGATGGGGCCCCTTTGACCTGATCCAGCAGCCAGGCTTTTGTGGAACCTCCAGGTCCAGAGGCAGTCTATCTGGATCCCTGGGTTCTTAAGAGGGTATTTGGCCATTGCACGAAGAGGACGGTGGGCCCCCTTTGGGTGAATTGGAGAGCCCAACTCCAGAGAACGTGAATGGGTAGCATCCTGCTTCTGAAACGGGCCTTGGGGCTGCATGGTACACCCACGCCAGCTTTGCATGGCACTGGAGAGTCCGTGGACTGTTCTCAGGGCCTGGAAATAGGAAGACCCAACAAGGCTCTAGAGTCTTTTCCGGCACTGCAGGGAGTTGGGCTGGATGACTCTCAGGGTCCCTTCCAACTCTACAATTCTGTGGTTCTGTTGACAGAGGGTTGGCTGGAAATAAGCCCCAAGAGGCTGGAAATCTGAGGGCCTTCCCTCCGAGGCCTGACTTTCTCTCTCACCCTGCAGCTCTGCAACCTGGTCACGGACCCTTCGCGCCACAAGCTGCTGATCTTTGCTGGGCCCTGCATCGAGGAGACGGGGGAGCTGGTCCTGCAGACGGGCACGTTCTCCTTGCGAGACTTCATCCAGATCTTCGCCGACAAAGAGGTACGTCTCCCCAGCAGCAGCCTGGAGCAGCAGGGAGGAGTTAGCCGGTGATGCTGAATGGGCCGGGGTGGCAAAAGCGGGAAAGGGCTGGCAAAGACCCTCCCCTAAATGAATCCTTCCAAACTGGGTAACTCCACTGGTGTGGAGGCTGTTACTCTGGCCAGACAGCGGAAGACCAGAGAGGAAGAAGGATGCTCTGGGCCTCGTTTTACTTCCTTTTTCGTTAGAAGTACTGTAACTATACAACCTTTAGAAGACTTCTGAAGTTTCTACTTTTAATGTTTTCTTATGCCTTTGTGTATGCTGGAAGCCACCTAGAGAGGCTGGGGCAACCCAGTCATCATTAAGTTGTGATGTTAATAGTCGTTGTTGTTGTTGTTGTTGTTATACCACCATGTCCATCTGGCTGGGTTTCCACAGCCACTCTGGGCAGCTCCCAGCAGAATAGTAAAAATATGGGAAAACATTAAAAACCTTCCTATACAGGGCTGCCTTCAGATGTCTTCAAAAAGTTTCATGGTTGTTCAGCTGACGTTTGATGGGAGGTGGCTCCCTGTTGCTTCGCATAATTGCAATGAGGGAACCCCCAAAAAACCCTCAGAGCTGGACCTCTGTGTCCAGGGTGGACATTTGGGATGGAGACACTCCTTCAGGTATACAGGGCGGAAGCACCAACACTGAATTGTTCTCAGAAGCGTATTGGGAGCGAGTGAAGATCCTTTAGTACCAGTGTTATGTGGTCACTACAGTATATGGTTCATAGTGCACTGACACCTCTCTCTCTCTCTCTCTCTTTCGCCAGGTTGGGGAGTTGCTCAGCTCTGCAGACCCATCTGCCAGGACCAGCCTGACGGTCATTTGCCCGGACTTTGGGGAATGGAAAGCTTCCCGGCTGGGTCAGCACAACCTGTTGGACTTCATTGACCTTCGCTTCAACCCAGGCCCTGTGCTGCCCGAGATGGAGGGCCTGCAGGAGTTCCTGGAGTACCTCTCAGAGTCGCTGGACCCCCCGTCGCCGTTTGACCTCCTGGAGCCACCCAGCACCGTCGGCTTCCTGAAGCTGTCCCGCCCCTGCTGCTATATCTTCCCTGGCGGCAGGGGCGACTCGGCCTTCTTTGCCGTCAACGGCTTCAACATCCTGGTCAATGGCGGCTCCAACCCCCGCTCGTCCTTCTGGAAGCTGGTGTGCCACCTCGACCGCATCGACTCCATCTTGGTGACGCACGTGGGCACTGACAGCCTACCCGGCGTCAACAGCCTGCTGCAGAGGAAGCTGGCCGAGATGGAAGAGGATCCCTCCTCGCAGGGTTCGCCAAACGAGGACTCGGTGAAGAACCTCATCTCCCCAGAACTGGGCGTCGTCTTCCTCAACGCCTCCGAGAAGCTGAAGACCATTGCGGGTGACTCGGGCGTCCTGAAGAGCTGCGACGAGGCCAGCTTGGCGCTCCACTACCTGGACAAGCTGGGCATCCAGCCCAGCCCACTCTGCAGGGACGGCGGCCCCAAGGTGGAGCCCACTGTCCTCTTCCAGAAGATGGGCGTTGGGCGCTTAGATATGTACATCCTGAACCCGGTGAAAGGCAGCAAGGAGCTGGAGGTCCTGATGCAGCACTGGTGCGGCAACGGCTGCCCCCAGGGGCTGGAGCTGCCCCTGCACTGCGTGACCTCCATCTGTGCCCTCCTGGTCTGGCACCCCGTCAGCCCCACAGAGAAGATCGTCCGGGTCTTGTTCCCTGGCTGCACGCCCCAGAGCAGGATCCTGGAGGGGCTGGAGAAGGTCCGGCACTTGGAGTTCCTCAAACATCCGGTGGTCACCCAGAAGGACCTGGAGTCAGGGTCCTCCTCGGGCAGCACCCCACAAAGCCAGCAGAAGAGGACCACCAGCCAGGAGAGCCTCAAGTCCGGCTCCAGGCTGAGCCTCCCAGAGCCCAAGGAAAGGAGGGAGGCAAAGGTGGCCGGCACCAGAGAGCGCGCCATGGCGCCCAGCGAGACCTCAAAGGGCAGCCTGGAGGAGGAGCAGGCCAAGGAGACTCGTACCAAGGTGGAGCCGTCTTCTGCTGTGAGGCCCAAGCAGCTGAAGGAGAAGCCGATGGCCAAGAAGGACACCAAAAAACTCTTGCCAAAGAATGACGCTGCCCCCCCGGGAAAGGTGCCCAAACGGGAGGCGAAGGTGGATCCCCCCAGGAGGGAGACGGCGGCCAAGAAGGAGGCGAAGGCGGAGGAGAAGGCAGCAGTGAGGCAGCCGAGTCGGGAGCTGAGGAGGTCAGCCAGCGCGGAAGCCAAGAGGCCCCCCACCAAGATGGGCAGCTTCAAGAAGACCCTCCCCAGCCTCAAGAAGGAGGCGGAGAAGCCGAAAGCCCAGCCTTTGAAAGAGGCTCCTCTCAAGATGCCCAGCGGCGCCAAGGGGGCAGCAGGTGGCCTCTCGGACGGGTCCAAGTCGTCAACGGAGAATGGGGCGAGGGAGGACTCTCGGCCAGAGGTCCTGGGGGCTGAGTCGACAGACGAGGGCATCACTACAGCGGAGAGCGAGCTGGAGCCATCGCCGCTGGAGTGTCCCGGGAACGGGGTGCTGGCGGCCCAGAACGGCCTGTGCACGGGGGGAGACCCTGAGAGCCCCCAGCCCTTCCGGCACCTGGAGGCCAGCTCTCCGCTGAGGGGTGCAGGCCCCCCATCGCCACTGGCTAAGACCCCCAAGAGTGAGTGGAGCATCAACTTTGAGCAGACCCCCACGGGCACGCAGGCAGGGCTCCACCCCGAGGGCGAGGAGGCTTGCGGCAGCTCCGAAGAGAAGACCCTGGAAATGATGTCTCCGGCCAGCTCAGGCCCAGCCAGTGCCAGGCACACTCCTTTCCACCAGTCCCCCGTCGAGGACGTCGTCATGGCCGAGGAGCCGGCGGCCCTGACCAACTCCTGGCGCCCGGACGGCTCTGCCACCGGGCTCCGTGTTTCGCGGGACAACTCCAGCTCCTCGCAGGAGAAGCCGTCAGGATGCCTGTCACCCGGCCTCTTCCGCGATGACCTCCCGGACGTCTCGCCCACCATCACCACGCCCTCACTGCCGGCCGAAGTGGGCTCGCCGCACTCCACCGAGGTGGATGAGTCCCTCTCTATGTCCTTCGAGCAGGTCTTGCCACCGGTCAGCGAGTTCCAGGAGGAAGCAGAGAACGCCCGCCCGGGGGGGCTCACCCCAGAGCCGGACGTGGGCAAAGGCGGCCTATCCTTGCCCGTCCGGCCCTGCCACCCGCATCACGCCCAGCGCTTGGACGGCCCCTCCCTGGCACGGCGTGCCCGCCGCTCTGACTCGCCCCATGATGTGGACCTCTGCCTGGTGTCCCCATGCGAGTTTGAGCACCCCAAGTCGGAGCGCTCGCCCTCAGCCAACTTCAGCCCCCGGGACATGTCGAACAGCAGTGACTTCTCCCAGGAGCTGACCAAGCCGCTGGTGGGCCAGCGAAAGGGCCCGCGGAGCCGCAAGCCCTGCCCCCTGGCCGACGAGACCCCACCCACGTCACTCAGCGAGTCGCTGCCCACCCTCTCGGACTCTGACATCCCGCCCGCCACGGAAGAGTGCCCTTCCATCACGGCGGATGGCGGGCTGGACTCGGACGACGACCCTGAGAGCCTGGCGCGGGCTCGCGACCCTCTTCCGGCCGCCCTGAAGGACCCCCTCCCGCTCCCCGCTCAGCCGGGCATCTGTATGGTGGACCCTGACCGAGAAGGGGCGGCCAAGGGCAAGAGGCCGGCGACCCGGGTGGGCTCCGCTCCGCCCAAAGCAGACTCAGCCCCCAGAGGCGCAGCCCACAACAGCAGCCGCATCAAGCCTTCCTCGGCCAGCCTTGGGGAGAGAGCCCGCGTGCCCGCTCTGAGCCGAAGTGAGTCGGCTGCCTCCCGTGCCAGTGGGGACCACCGAGGATCCCTTGGCCAGCGGCCAGCAAGCAGCAGGCCGTCCTTGGGGGCAGGCAGAGCATGCCCTGCAGGTAAGAGGAGGAAGGGGTGGAAGGAGGGATCTCATCAGCCCCAAGCACAGTGCCAGGAGGGGGCCCGGATCAGGCCTTGTCCAGATAAACAGGGAGGCAGGTTTTATCTCCACCCAAATTGTTTTGAATCTGTGTACTTCAGGTGAGGAGCCAATCAGGCTGCCTGGTCTCTTGGGTGGTTCTCGATCTCAATGTTCTCTGCAAGTGCCTAGCAGCACCTTGGACTTTTGGACCTCGTGGAGCCCAGAGCGGCCCTCTCCCTTTCTGCATGTGCTCCATGTTGTGATGCACGTGGGCAGCAGAGAAGAAAAGTCATTTTTCCCGTGTGCAAATAGCTGGGTTAAATTCTGATTTTGCAGCCGTTCCTTTGTGTTTGTGCTGCATCCAGTGGAGGGTGGGGGCATCCCAGCCGGCGTCTCCCCTCCATGCCCACCTTGCAGCCAACGCTCCCCATTTTTCTCCCGTCCCCCAGGTGCCAGGCCCAGTTCCGTGCGGCCCCCCGTCTACCTGGAGCTGGCCTACATCCCGGGCTCGGCGAGTGCCCAGTGGGTGGACGAGGACTTCTTCCGCCACGTCCGGTCGCAGTGCTACGTCATCAGCGGCGAGGACCACATCAAGGAGGGCGTCATGCGGAGGATCTTGGACGCCCTCCTGGCCGGGAAGCAGCACTGGGCGCATGACACCCAGGTGGGCAGGGTGGGCAGGGCCAGTGGGTTGCTTGCCATAGCCCATCTCGGGGCTTGGAGATCCTGCTGGGGTCTTGTGCTGCCGGCCAGGAACCTCCCTGGGATCGAGGCCCTCCTATGCCGAGGATGCTCTCTAGCGGGACTCGTTTGGTGCCCACTGAAACCAGGGCGGCATTCAGTGGCAGGGTTAGAGAATGGGTAACATGGCAAGCAGGGGGCCAGGAGGCAGCTAGGCACTGCCTGCTCCCTTCTTGGTCTCCAGGGTGAGAGCGGCTGCCTTCTCTTTATGTGCCAGGGAAGGCAAACCTTGTTTTTCTCCTGCGGTGGATACACAGTGAATTTTGCTTGCTGGGCAAAGCTCAGGATTAGGGTTAGAAACTCAGAAATATAAGCGAATTGCCAAATGGCACCTTAAACTGAGGTGGTGCTTCTACCACACTCCTTTTTTTTAAAACAGTGAAAATTATTGTTATATCGTTTTTCATTTCTGTATCACTTTATATTTTAAAGAAAAAACCTAAAAGCGGTTTACAACTAGGGCTGGGCGATAATCTGGTTTTCAACATCGGGAGACATCACCAGCTAAACATCACAATATACTGATAGATCACAATGTCTGAAATAAGGCTGGAGCTGGCTTCACGGGTTTTTCTACATTGTGATTTTTGTATAGCAGACGCACACAAGATTCACAATATATTGCCAGGTCAAAAATTATGAAACCAATAACACAGTAGGGACTTGAAACTAGTTTTGGACAATATGTCAATATATAGGTAAAGGTAAAGGGACCCCTGACCATTAGGTCCAGTTGTGGCCGACTCTGGGGTTGTGGTGCTCCTCTCACTTTATTGGCCGAGGGAGCCGGTGTACACCTTCCGGGTCATGTGGCCAGCATGACTAAGCCGCTTCTGGCGAACCAGAGCAGCGCACGGAAACGCCGTTTACCTTCCCGCCAGAGCGGTACCTATTTATCTACTTGCACTTTGATGTGCTTTAGAACTGCTAGGTTGGCAGGAGCTGGGACCGAGCAACAGGAGCTCACCCCGTTGTGGGGATTCGAACCGCCAACCTGATTGGCAAGTCCTAGGCTCTGTGGTTTAACCCACAGCGCCACCCGTGTCCCTATGTCAATTTATTGGCCAGCCCTATTTATAACACATTGAATCATAAAATAAAACAACCCGGGATAAAATAAATTCAAGCATCAGGGAAATATTTCATATCTCTAAGGGAAATTTTGCTTTACCCATATTTATTTACTGACTTAATTTATAGAGCTGCCCCATAGCAGAAGGACTCTAGGAAGGCAGTGTGTTGTGGTGGTTAAGAGTGTCGGGACGAGGATGTGGGAGATGAGGGTTCGAATCCCCACTCCATCATGAAGCTGCGACTGACCTTTGAGTCAGTCACAGCCTGTTCACCTACCTCACAGGGTCGTTGTAGAGATTAACGGACGAGGGGGGGTGAACCATGGGCTCCTTGGGATAGAAATGCAAGAAATAAGCTCTTCTGCTAACCTGCTTAAGAAAGCCAGAGGGGCCAGCCAGGCGGAGATGTCGGTCGCCAGCTGGTGCCCAGAGATCTTTGCAGAGTCACACATGAGGTGGGATTTGAACCCTGTTCTCCCAGCTCCTACTCTGATATTTTCACCCCTCACTGCCTTCCTAGAGCACTTCTGCTGTGGGGCAGCTCTATAAATTAAGCAGGTAGATAAATACAAGGAAAGCAAAATGTCCTTGAGAGAAGGATCTGTAATATTTCCCTTGGAAGCTTGAACTGGCTTCATTCTGCACTGGTGCCTGGCAGATTTCCAGCACTGCTCCCTCCCAGCGACGTTGAGGTCTAGAACCTTAGGCTTGCACGCAAAAGCCGATGGTTGGCAACTTCTGCATTGTTGCCTTGGGAGGGTGGTTTAGTGTTTGAAGCCGCCTTGCCGAGAGGGAGGGCAAAACTCCTGTGGCCAGCAGACACTCACCCCTCTTCCTTCCTTCCTCCTCCCTGCCAGGTGACCCTGATCCCCACCTTTGACTCCCTGGTGATGCATGAGTGGTACGCAGAGACGCTGGAGCGGCAGCAGGCGCTGGGTGTCACCGTCCTGGGCAGCAACAGCATGGTGGCCATGCAGGATGAGACCTTCCCAGCCTGCAAAGTGGAGTTCTGAAGCCTCCCTCTCCCCCTTGGGGCACGTCTGTGGGGGGAATGGGAGACGAGAGGGACCTCTGTGGGTACTGGGGGGGCAGGGGTAGAGATTCCCCACCCCACACTAAGACACTTCCAAAGCCCCCCAGCAAACCTTACCCACACTGCTCTGTGTCTGGTCTGTTTGCATGTTTCGCCCCTTCACCCCCCCCCCGAGCTTCTAACCCTGGTCAAGCGCAGAGATTTAGGATTTGGGGAGCTGTGGTGTTTTGCCAGCAGCCCCACCCCAAAAGGCCCATGGCCAGGCATTCTTGGGATGGAGGGTCGGGTCTGCTCTGACAAGGGGCAGAGTTCAGGGGCCCCTCCTCAAAAATCTGCCTGGAGGGTGGTCCATTTACCTACAGGACCCTTTTTAAAAAGAAAAACTTTTTTTTTTAAAAGAGTGAAACAGGGTCTTTGGGGGCGGTGTGTGTCTCTGCTTATTTTAAGTGGCAGCTCCGATTCCCCAGTTTGGGGTCCTGGCAGGGAGCTGTTTATTTCCACTGGGGGGGGGGTGCTTGGCTTTCTGAGGTTGCTCCCTGCAACAGCGCCCCCCTTCCCTTAAAAATATCCCATCTCCTCCTTGGGGCCAACTCTCCATCCTACCCTTTTAAAATCTGGTTGGGCCCATAGCTGATGCTTCCTCTTGGGGGGTCCGGAGCCAAAATTCCCCCTGGAATTGATCTCGATCTCTCTCTCTCTTGGAGATCCCCTTTCCCCTACCCCCCTCAAAACACACCCCCCCCAATTTCTTCTACCTCTTTATGTTGAAAGCCAGCAGTGTGTTGTGTTGCGTTTCATCCCGAGGCCTGTCTTGTTCATCTCGGGATGCTTTAATCCACAAAGACTACTCTGTAAAATCCAGCCAAAGCACACCCCTTTCCAAAAAATCTTCTCCCCCCCCCCCTAAAAATACCACCTCCCTTTTTCTCACTCCCTTAATGTTTGAAGGAGCACCAGGGTGGGGTGGCAGAACGTGCCCCTCTCCCCTTGCAAAATGTGACACTAAACTTATGTTTCTTTTTTTTTTAAGGAAGGAAAAGGTGCGGGTTCTCCACCCCCCTTTAAATGTGCATTTTTTCTATAAAAAAGACAAAAAAGCAAACAAAAAACAACCATATACAAAACAGTTAATGTATTGAAAGTTTTTTTGTCCTCTTCCCCCCCCCATAATTTATAGGAGCACTTTTACATCTTCCTGGCTGGGCACAGCAGCAGGCGGGAGTCAAGGGGCGCAGCGTAGCAGAAGGAAACCCCCTTTTCCCCTCCCGTCCTCCTGCCCCCCAACCAGGACAGGCACTGTGTTCGAGTCCTGTGTGGTGTGTGTTTCGGACGGTCTTCACCAACCCTGCTGCCCCTGGTGGGGGGATATTTTGGGGCACTGATGGGAGTTTTATAGGGTCCCCCAAGACCCTGGGTTGGGGGCCACGGTTGCTTTAGATGAAACGTGTTTTTTGTGGGGAGCGGGGTAAGTTGAGAATGTTTTTCACCACCTTTAGTGCTTTATACGTACATATATATCTATATATGTATATATAGATATCTCTGTTCTGCTTAGTTGGAAGCCCATTGGGAAGAGCAGAAAGGTCATGGGTCGGAAGAGGCAGCCAGCACCCGACCGGCCCCCCAATTCTTAGGAGGGCACCACTCGGGGGGGGGGCTGAGCCCTTTTCTATGCTCTTCACTCTCACCCTCACCTTTGTAGCTGTTGACACACTCCAAAGCCATGCGACCCGCTCACGAGTTGCCGTGTCCATCCACACCTGGAATTGCAGAAGTGAAGAAAACAAAACACTGTGTTGGAACCTCTTGGGAAAAAGCAAAACCCTGAGGGTTAAAAGAGATAAAAGGTGTTAGACTTCTTTCTGGCCGCTGTGTCTTTCTTCTGCTGCGTGGGTTTGTGTCCCCCGAGTCAAACTCTGACTGTGACCCTCTTCTGGACCTTGCAGGGTGGGCTCACGTCCCTCTCGGCAGCGGACCCCTCTGAGCGCCAGCTAATCAGCGGCTCGGAAAAGCCCCAAAAGACAGCAGCTGGATTTATTTATTCATTTAGGGCAGCGGTTCTCAACAGGTGGTCTGCGGACCCAGAGTCCACCCAGGGGGTCTGCACCACCATTCACATAACAAAAATGACCATAGGGAGATTGAAATGTTTAAAAGTAGGGGGTCTGTGGCCTGGCATTTGAAAAACAGGGGGTCTGCGGTACTTAGCTAATTGGAAACTAGTGTTTTGGGGTGTTTGCACTCCGCTCCTCAGGCAGAAGGGTCCATATCACAGGCTTGTCATCTTTAACAAATCCTCTGCACCACAAAAAAAGAGAGACAGGGAGGGAAGAGGAAAATGAAAACTAGAAAGCAAAAACCAGAACTCAGGCACAGGGTTTGAAACAGCTGTTCTGATAACGGCCAGTTGGCAGAGTCCAGGGGCAGGAGGTCCCTGTGTTTCCGAGGGGTTGGGCTAGATGTCCCTTGGGGGTCCCTTCCAGCTCTAGGATTCTAGCAGGGACTTTGACCCAGCCAGTGGAGGCAGCCTTGCTGCTTCCCACCTCTCCCACTGAGGCACCCTGAGGGGTAGGGCGGAAGTGTCCGGAGCCTGAAATGTCCCAGGCCCCAAATACCAGAAAGGCTGTCTCCTTCCCTGCAGACCTGGGAGTGGAAATCAGCAAGCCCCCCCCCCCCTTTTCTCCCTGGCGTTGGGAACAGTCTTTCCAAGGCCTGCACAGTTCTTGCTAAGGCAAGGCGTTGCGCCCGGCCCTGAGTGATCAATGTGACGGCAATAATCGGAATCTCCCTAACACCGTCTCTGCCTGCGAATGGGAAACAGGTTTGGGGGCTTCCCAATATGGAAAGGTGGGGATGGAGGGCAGGTCTAATTGTCTTGGTCCTTTTCTGGAATTGACAGGTCCTGCGAACCTACAGAGAGCCCAAGGGGGCCCATCCAACCTTGGCGTATCAATAAATTTAATGACATAGCCTGTGGACATAAAATATACAATAAAAAGATTTCATCAAAATGTTAGGCACCCATAATAAAAAAGGACAAGCCCAAGGAGTAAAAAGCTGCAATTAAAACATTTGCTTTTGAGGCGGGAGAGCGGGGGGATGCGACTGGTGTCCCTAGGGGAAAAACCTTTCTGCACATTTTTAGGGCCAAATGCCTCTCAGAACCTGGGAATTGAGGTAGACTGCCTTTGGACCTGGAGGTTTCACTAGAAGGGCCTGGATGTAGCTGTATCAGGCAAAATTGGGGGGTCCTGGTCCAGCATCCTGTCCTCACAGTGGCCACTCGGGTGCCGCCAAAGGGAAGCCCACAAGCCAGCCCTGAATAAAATACCAACTGTCCGCTCCTGTGGTTTCTGGCATTTGGAGGTTAGTAGCCATCAATTGCCGCCTTGCTGCATTCCTTTTTCAGGATGCTTACAAGAAAGTCCTTCCCGCAGCGCAGTATCAGCCTCTGGAACTCTCTGCCACAGGAGGCACTGACAGCCACCAACTTGGCAAATTCATGGGGGGGGGGGCAGATGGCTGCTAGGCAGGGTGGCTCTGTTTGCGATTCTTCTGAATCCCAGTTGCTGGAAACTGGAGGAGGGCAGAGCTGCGCTTGTGTTCGAATCCTGCTTGTTGTTTTCCCATTGTGGTTGGCCACTGTGAAGACAGGATGCTGGGATGCAAAATGGACCATTGGCCTGATCCAGCAGCTCTTTGGGTGCTTGCTCTCAATTTTAGGGTCGTGGGTAGGAGCCCCATGTTGGACAGAAATATTCCTGCCTTGCAGGGGGTTGGACTGGATGACCCTTGAGGTCTCTTCCATCTACAGTCCCATGATTCCTCCACCTCTTGCCAAGGGAGGGCAGCTGCAAGTGGCGTCAGATCCACCCACCACTACGAAGGGAAGATGCTCTGGACTGAGTCCATGGCTCTCCCCTCCCCATTTATGTCCTTTAATAGCTCTGTTGCTATTGGTTGCGCAGGAAGAAGGGATGGAGGGGGAAGAGAGTTTGTTGCCATGGCAACCGCCTGGGTGGAAGAGATGCTGTTTCAAAGCATCCCCAGGCTGGACCACCAGGGACTCGCCTCACCTGCCACACCTGTGCAGACATCCTTTGCCACCTTCCTTACTGACAAAGGGTTCACTGTCTGTGCAGGCCGGCTTAAGCAAAGGAAGGGGGAGCTTCTTGAGCTCATTGATAGGGGCTTCCTCGGGGGTAATGGATCAGGTTCAGAAGCAATGCTTTGGGGAGGTGTGTGTCTGTGTGTTTGATTCCAGACTGACTAGCTTTAAAAGTCAGAGGTAGCCCTTTGGAGATGTAAAAACCCCCGATAGAATTTCTGGGCAGCCCATTCTGACTGGAAGCTGCGCTCAAGAAGACCAGGTTGGCAAAGGTGGGTCTAACCCATTAATCGGTGGAGCCTTCAGGTTGCCCCATTTAATTCTGCATTGCCTTGATCTCAATGATTGTGTCATCTTTACAAACAACCTGGGGAAAGGAATCGAGGGGATGCTCATTGAATCTGCAGACAGCTCCAAATGGGGAGGGGGAGTGAATGCCGCAAAAAACAGAATCAAAATGATTGGAGACTTGGGCTCAAACTAACAAAACGAATTTTCAAAGGGACAAATGTCAGGTTTGGCACTTAAGCTGGAAGAACCAGATGCATAAATGTAGGAAGGGGGACACCGGGTTTGCCAGTAGTACATGGGGAAAGGATCCACAGGTCTTGGTGAACCACAAGCCGAACATGAGTCAACAGTGTGATGCAGCAGCAAAAAAAGAGCTAACACTATTCTAGGCTGCATCAAGAGAAGTCATAGTGCCACTCTATCCTCTTGGTCAGATCACACCTGGAATACTGTGTCCAGTTCTGGGCACCACAATTTAAGGAGGAGATTGCCAAACAAACATGCTGGAATGTGAGCAGAGGATGATGGTGAAGCCTGATGAGGAGCAGTTGAGGGAGTTGGGTATGTTGAGCTCAGGGGCTGTCACATGGAAGAGGGAACAAGCTTGTTTTCTGCTGCTCTGGAGGGCAGGACTTGAACCCCTGGCTTCAAGTTACAAGAAAAGAGATTCTGACTCCACATCAGGAAGAACTTTCTGACAGTAAGAGCTGTTCAAGAGCGGAACGGTGGTGGACTCTCCTTCCTTGGAGATCTTTGAGCAGAGGTTGGAAGGCCATCTGCCAGGGATGTGTTTGCTGAGATTCCTGCCTTGCAGGGGGTCTGGATAGCCCTTGGGGGCCCTCCAATTTTGCAATTCTACAATTCTATTCTGTGATCTAACGCAGGGCTCTGCACTGCATCACTGTTGACCATCACAGGCATTCATTGTCTTAGCAGAACAAGTTCTAGTTTCACACAGGAGATGACGAACCGCCTTCCTCTGCCAAGCAAGTTCTTCGTTTTGTGGGTTGGTTTCTTTTTTTAATTGCACCTGCTGTTTTTCTGAGCTTCCTCCTTCTGGCCTGCTTTTTGCAACTTGGGCTTTTTCTGTCTTCTGAGGCCTGCAGTGCTGAGTTGAGCCTTGCAAGGACGCAGGATGCCACCTGGATCAACACAAACCTTTGATCTTGGGGATGCAGCTCTGGAAGCGAGGCTCAGTCCTGCCTTAGGCAAGTGGGGGGGGCGTTTGCATGTCGGATTGAAGTGTAAGCCACGCAGGCTGTTATGCCACTGGTGTGGATGGAGAGATCCATCATAGGGCTGGTGTGAGCCTGGATAGCTCAGTTGGGTGGAGCCTGGTGCTGACAATACCAAAGTCGCAGATTCGATCCCCACATGGGACAGCTGCATATTCCTGCTTGCAGGGGGTTGGACTGGATGACCCTTGGGGGCCCTTTCAACTATACAATTCTGTGATTTCTTGGTGGTTCCTGGGGGGCCAGAAATGGGGTGGCTCCTCCTCTCTCGCACATAGGTCAGGTTCAATAGCTGAGATTCCTGCCTTGCGGGGGGAGGGGTTGGCTAGATGACTCTCAGGGTTCCTCCCAAACCTACAATTCTATGATTCTAAGCCCCCCCCCCATTTTGAAGTTATTGGGGAGGGGTATTTATATTGTTGGCTTTGTGCAGTTGGACGGAGATGCATTTTTTGCCTCTCTCCCTACGCTGCCCCCCTATCCCCAAAATGACAGTTTACAAGCAGGTGAAAAGGATGCGGCCTCTTTAAATATGCAAATGAGCTTCCCGGGTGGGCTGGGACAGGGGGGCGAGGCTAGCCCAGAAGCCGCGTTTGCTGGCGGGCGGGGCAGCCAATCAGGAGCCAGCCTCCTTCCCTCCTCGGAGCCCCGCCCCTTTCCTCCTCCTCCCTGCAGCGCGGGGGGGGGGCAGCCTTTTCTCCTCCCCCCACTTCTCCCCTCCCCCCTCTTTTTTGCAAAAACGAAAGAGGGGAGCGGAGCAGGTGCCGGGGATGCCGAGGGGCGGAAACAGGTCAGTGCATTTGCCCCCCCCCCGGCCTGGTATTATTATCACCCACCTTTTGCACACCCATGCAGGGTTTTTTTGGGGGGGGGGACCTGCAGCGTTGCAAGAAAACTGCCCATGCAAGAATTTCAAAGATCGGGGGTGGATCCGGCCACCCCCCCCCCAAGACCCCTGTTTGCAATATTTAATTCGGGCGGGGGAGATAAAGAAAAACCCTAATTAGCTGTATCAAGAGGCGGACGCTGTGGGTTAATTTTTAGGGGGTTGGGGAAGCTGCTTCCAAATTTCTTGGTTCTGATCCAGCACACACAGCGCAAAAAAATTAGAATCCCACCGTGGGAGAAAAACAATTACGGTAATATATATTTTCCATTGCATGTTTGCAGGGCATTGCATGAACTTGCCTGATGCGTTGATGTGGCTTGGACGAAGGTGTTGTTATTCATGAGAATGGAGAAGGAAGCTTAATAATAATAATAATAATAATAATAATAATATTTTGGAAGGTGCATTTCCTGAGAAAAGTGTGTGTGTGTGCAAATTATATATATGTGTGTGCATGTAAAAAAAATGTCTGTGGGTGCTGTCTATGGCCAAGCCATGTCTGGCTGCGTAGCTAAACGGAGACAGGTCGAGATCCTGCAAAAATAAGGCAGTGATGGAGGGCCAACTGCACCTGAGAAAGGGGTGTGTGGAGGGGGCAGTTCAGGCTGGGTCAGGATCCCATTTGCAAAGGCCTGAAATGCTCACGCTGCTGCTGCTGCTCTGGCTTTGGACCTGTGCCAACTCGTCCGCCTTTTTCCATTGCACGAGACGCGCAGCAGCCGGTCATCCTGCCCACCTTTTGGCCCTTTGCAAATGCCAAAACTGGTGTCAGAAGGACGGAGGTGGGGATGCTTTTTCTGCAAGCCATCCTGCCAGGCGGCCAAGCACCAGTTGCTCCTTTCTGGGGAACAAAATGGGGAAAATAATAATAATAATAATAATAATAATAATAATAATAATAATGTGGTTTCCCCAGCCACTTCTGGGCGGCTTCCTGCAAAATACAAAAACATCCATAAAATATCAAACCTTAAAATGAGCGCAGGTGCACCCTCGAACCTCTTTTCCTTCCCTGCTCCTTACCTGGACAGGTAATTTTTGCAGGAACCTCTCCCAGGCCAGATTTGCTGCAAGGAAGAAACCTTTGTCTTCCTTATCTCTCTGCCACCTGGATGGAATATATTTCTGCAGATATATATCTTCTGTGTGTGTGAACAGGTGGCTTTTTTCGGGCAGGGGGGGGAGAGATAGGACACCTGTCCCCCCAGGTGCTCAATGTTTGCTAGGCCCTGTCTGCAGTGGGGGGGTCAAAGGTCTGGTCTTGCCTCTGCAGAAGCACAGGCTGGAGTAAATATACATATATATCTTTAAATTGTGCCAACATCTATTCTTTTATTGGTAAGGATTTTCTTATATTGCTTTATAAAGCTGTTGTAATCGTAGGTGAAAACTGAACTGAAAACTGTAAAACTGGTGTGCAGAATAAGTCCAATTGCACATCGGTTAAAACAACCGATTCCTTTTTATTAGCGTTATCCAATGTAATAAAGGAATGCAAAATCATATAGAAAGTGTGGGGCGGGGGTCCTAGTCCTCATAGAAATCTCAAATTACGCCTAATTTTCTCTGTGAGTGACAGCGACCAAGTGCTCAGTGTAAGATGTTGGGCTTGTTTCCCCCTGAGTTGCAATTACTATTTGAGCTGTTGAGATCCAATATGAGACCAATTATTTTGACAATTGGTATCGTTAAAAAACAATCTGTTAATTCTGGGCAACAAACGATAGTTTCTCGGATAAGGATGATCATTCCTGCAGAAATTGAACCCCCGAAATTTCGCACCAACTTACATTCCCACCACAAGTGACATAGGATTGCAGAGTTGGAAGGGACCCCAAGGGTCATCCAGCCCAACCCCCGGCAACGCAGAAATCGCAGCAAAATTGAGGGACTTTGTGGTGACGGTCACTGGAGCATTGGGGTGGGGGCGCTTGTTTTATGACTTTGCTTTAAACGGATCTGTATCCTGAGGATCTGATAGAACAGATCTTGTTGTTCATTTCCATGGTAACGCCTCCCCTTGAGATAGTGAAATAAAACTGCATATTAAAATACAGTTTTGGAAGATGCCATCAACCCAGATTGGGAACTGGATCAGACCCTCACTCCTATGCGGAGGCTGAGGGGTGGGATCAGGCCCAGGGGGAGCCCCATCAGGTCCGCCTCACAGTGGCCAAATACCCCACTAACCCAAGGGATCCAGATAGACTGCCTCTGGGCCTGGAAGTTCCATAATAAGAGCCAGACTGCTGGATCAGACCCAAAGGAGACCCACTTAGCTCAGGCTCCTGTCCTCATAGTGGCGAAATGCCCCATATGACCTGGGAATGCATATAGACTCCTCTGGGCCTGGAGGCTCCATGAGGACATAATAAGAGGTGGACTGATGGATTAGACCCAAAAGGGGCCTGTCTAGCCCAGCACCCTGTTCTCACAGCGGCCGACCCCATTGCAGGGGGTTGGACTAGATGGCCCCTGGGTCCCTTCCAACTCTATTACTCTATGAAACCCGCATGCAGGATCCGAGCACGAGAGCCGCTCTTCCCTCCTGTGGTTTCCAGCAAATGGCATCAACAAACACCCTTCCTTCCTTCCTTCCTTCCTTCCTTCCTTCCGTCCTTCCTTCCGTCTTCCTTCCTTCTTCCCCTCCTTCCTTCTTCCTTCCTTCCTTCCTTCCTTCCTTCCTTCCTTCCCTCCTTCTCCCTCCCTCCCTCCCTCCCTCCTTCCTTCCTTCCTTTCTTCCTTCCTTCCTCCCTCCCTCCCTCCTTCCTTCCTTCCTTCCTTCCTTCCTTCCCTCCTTCTCCCTCCCTCCCTCCCTCCCTCCTTCCTTCCTTCCTTCCTTCCTTCCTTCCTTCCTTCCTTCCTTCTTCCTCCTTCCTTCTTCCTTCCTTCCTTCCTTCCTTCCTTCCTTCCCTCCTTCTCCCTCCCTCCCTCCTCCCTCCTTCCTTCCTTCCTTCTTCCCTCTCTCCTTCCCTTCCTTCCTTCCTTCTTCCCCTCCTTCCTTCTTCCTTCCTTCCTTCCTTCCTTCCTTCCTTCCTTCCTTCCCTCCTCCTCCCTCCCTCCCTCCCTCCCTCCTTCCTCCCTCCCTCCCTCCTTCCTTCCTTCCTTCCTTCCTTCCTTCCTTCCTTCTTCCTTCCTTCCTTCCCTCCTCCTCCCTCCCTCCCTCCCTCCCTCCCTCCCTCCCTCCTCCCTCCCTCCCTCCCTCCCTCCCTCCCTCCTCCCTCCTTCCTTCCTTCCTTCCTTCTTCCCTTCCTTCCTTCCTTCCTTCCTTCCTTCCTTCCTTCCCTCCTTCTCCCTCCCTCCTTCCTTCCTTCCTTCTTCCCTCTCTCCTTCCCTTCCTTCCTTCCTTCTTCCCCTCCTTCCTTCTTCCTTCCTTCCTTCCTTCCTTCCTTCCTTCCTTCCTCCCTCCCTGCCTCCCTCCCTCCCTCCTTCCCTCCCTCCTTCCCTTCCTTCCTTCCTTCTTCCCCTCCTTCCTTCTTCCTTCCTTCCTTCCTTCCTTCCTTCCTTCCTTCCCTCCTCCTCCCTCCCTCCCTCCTTCCTTCCTTCCTTCCTTCCTTCCTTCCTTCCTTCTTGGCTCTCCGTCCGGCTTGGACATGCCAATAAGGCCTGGGGCGATTCCTTCTCCTTGCGCAAGGCAAGGTCTCTGCGACCGGCCTGGGGTCTCATAAGAAAGAGCCTGCTGGATCAGACCCCAAGGGGGCCCCCCTAACCCAGCCTCCTGCTCAAATGCTGCTAAGAACCTAGGAATCCAGATAGACTGCCTGTGGAGCTGGAAGATCCGTGAGAAGAGCCAGATAGTGGGATCAGAGCCAAAGGGGGCGCAGCCGAGGGAGAAGAGGATGCTGGACTGGATAGTACCCCTTCGGCCTGATCCCAGCAGTCGGGCTCCTGGCTTGGAGAGGGTTGGGCTAGATGACCCTTGGGTGTCTCTTCCAGTTCTGTGCTTTGGAAGAACTTCCTGGCAGAAAAATCTGCAGAGGTTGGGGGAGGTCATCTGTCAGGGATTCTTCAGCTGAAATTCCTGCATTGCAGCGGGTTGGACTGGATGACCCCTAGGGTTCCCTTCCAACTCTTACCATCCTTCAATTCCAAAATTAAATTGCCGTAACCCATGCAACCCTCCCCCCCCCCCCCCGTTGCAGGATGTGCATTTATTTACTTTTTAAAATTTAATCTCTGGACGCCCTCCGGGGAGATCCCTTTCCCGCTTATCGGAGGGTCTGGCGGCTGATATTTGTCACCGTTGCAAAAAAGGCAATTAACAAGAAGCCGTTAAAACACACAAATTAGCTGCGTTTGCAAGGGAGGTTGTGGAGCGTGGCTGCAGATCGGAACCACAAGGATTTTCAACACTCCCTTATCTCCACTTCTGTTTCTCTGCTTTCGGTGTTGCAGAAATACAGAAGCAAAACTGGAACTGGGTTCGAATCACCTGCTCTCCGCTCTCCCTTTATTTGCTTGTCTTCCCCACCCCAAGGTGCTTTCGCGAGATCCTTTGTGTGCAGGAACTGAGAATATGAGCCTTCGGAGAGGGCAGACTTCCCTCCGACAAAGGGTGAGTGGCAAGGCGGTTTTCTCTGCAAAATGCACACTCCTGGGCTGACTTTGCAGGAGGTTGACAGTACTGGGGGGGGGGGTGAGTGGTTAGAGCAGGATGCCTGGGTCCTCTCTCTTTTAGCACGAGAGGAGGGGTGGCACGTGGTCTGGTTTGCCAATGTCAGCTGTTTAAAATCTAGGGTGGGTCCTGGGTTCAGGTTCCAGCACCCAGGTTCAAACCTCAGTTTGCTAAAGGGCAGCAACAAACGCGGCCATTTTCTCTTGCAATTCTTCCGTTTCCTGCGCTTTCTTTTCTGTTTCCATCCGGCGCTGGAGGGTGAAACTGCCTGTGCAGGATGTCTGCATTTCAGGGAGGGAAGTTGTGCTCTCTCCGAATGGGGGTAAGGAAGGCCAGGCGCCTGGGCTCCCGAGACAGCCACCCGCCTGTCGCAGTTCGGGAGTCAGATCTGGGAGAGACCAGGGTTCGAATCCCCGCTGCTCGCCCCGCTGGGCCTGCCTTGCAGGGCTGTTGTAGGGCCCAATGAGGAGAGGGAGGAGGAGACCCCCCCCCCCGAGAAACGCCATCAATAGATCAGTTAAGGAAAGGGCTTTTCATAGGGCTGTGGCATTTTTAATATCTGGATTTTTAAAAAATTGTGGGGTTTTTTTAGTATTGTTTTAATTCTCTCACATTTCATTTTATTTTCCTATGCTCCTTTTCATTTGCATGGATCACAAACTGCAAACAATAACGGAACAGAACATTACTTTTAAATGGTGATCTTTCATGTTTTTTTTGCATCTTATTTATATTTAATTTAATTTGTCATAAGCCGCCCTGAGAACCAGCCTGGGGAAAAGGGCAGAATAGAAATTAATATAATGTAATGTAATATAGAATCAAAGAGTTGGAAGGGTCCCCAAGGGTCATCTAGCCCAACCCACCTCAGCATGCAGAGAATGTGGAGCAACATCCCCCCCCACCTGCCCCCTGGTTGGGGAACTTCCGCCCAGCTTGCACGAGAGATATTCACACGCTCCCTGATAAAAGAGGATTGGGTGGTGCTGATAATGCCAAGGTTGCAGGTTCGACCCCCGTCAGGGACAGCTGCCTATTCCTGCATTGCAGGGGGTTGGGCTGGATGACCCTCAGGGTCCCTTCCAACTCTACGATTTGATAGGACAAATCCATGGAGCCAGAGAAGGCTGTTGCTGGCTGTTAGCCACAGTAGCTCTGTTGTGCTTCCACCGTTTCTTCCTTGCTGGAAACCGCAGGAAGGGAGAGTTGCTCTTGCGTTCGAATCCTGCTTGGCCTTTGCGGCACCTGGCTGGCCACAGTGAGGACAGGGTGGTGGGCTACGTGGCCTGATTCAGCAGCCTCGCTCCTTGTGGGGCCTCTGGGCCCAGAGGCAGTCTATCTGGACCCCCAGGTTCCTTGGGGTATTTGGCTGCTGTGAGGTCCGGACGCTGATCTTGAAGGGTCTGATACATCCTCCAGGCTCTCCTTAGCTTCTTGTGGAGCCTCCAGGCCCAGACCTCGCTGAGGACTAGGGGCTTGTCTCTGGCGCTCAAGGCGAGGCAGAGGCAGCTGCCGGTGGGGTTGTCGTGCCCTGAGCCTTCCTCGTACGTCTTACTCCCGATTCCAGCCTTCGTCAGCCTGAGGTTGCTTTGGACCATGACTCCCACCATCCCCAGTTTGTCCCAGTGCTCTCTGTGTGTGTCATTGTTCCTGGTTACTTCCAATCTCTTTTGCATTCTAGGTTTCCAAAAGCTGAGACGAAGGAGGCTTCCATCCCGGGCTGGCAGCATGTCTTATTTCGCTGAGCATTTCTGGGTAAGAAAATCTCCCTGATGTGCATGGAAAACTCATTTTGCCAACTCTCTCCTGATCTGTTTACACTGGTGCCTTTTCCCCAGGCGGTTTCTCTTTCCGTCTCTATCTGCAATTAATGACGCCTTCCCAGGATAAATGTGTTGTGCAAATAAGTCATATTTTTTATTTGCAAACCGGGGCAACCAAAGGGAGGCGAACGAGCTGGTCGTAGGAACAGCAGCAGCAGCAGTAGCGGAATAGCGAGCTGCAAAAATGAAGAAAATGAGCAACGTGCGTCTGAGTCACGGCTTAGAGCAGAGGGAGGAACCCTGAAGGTTTTTTGTGTCCAGGGAGGTTGAGGCACACTTCTGCGTCTGGGGATATTTTCTTGGGGGAAATGTCATATACAACCCCTGGATGTGGGGGGTGTTTGGGGAGGGGTGGCACTTGTGGGGGGACGCCGCATCCTTCTGGGGAGCCTCTCCTTACGTTTCTTGGGATTCTTAAATGGAGCCTCCATGGACAGAGTCAGTTTACCTTAGATGGGCAAATGAGAATGGGAGGAGGAGACAGCTCTGACATTCTGTTTGCCACTGAGAGAAAGCAGCCACGGCACAGAGACCGGCCCCATTGCCATCCAATGGCATTTAGATGCAATAATAATAATAATAATAATAATAATAATAATAATAAATTATTATTTATACCCTGCCCATCTGGCTGAGTTTCCCCAGCCACTCTGGGCGGCTCCCAAATCGAGTATTAAAAATAATACAGCATTAAATATTAAAAACTTCCCTAAACAGGGCTGCCTTCAGATGTCTTTTAAAAATAGGATAGCTGCTTATTTCCTTGACATCTGATGGGAAGGCGTTCCACAGGGCGGGCACCACCACCGAGAAGGCCCTCTGCCTGGTTCCCTGTAACTTGGCTTCTCGCAATGAGGGAACCGCCAGAAGGCCCTCGGAGCTGGATCTCAGTGTCCGGGCTGAACAATGGGGGTGGAGGCGCTCCTTCAGGTATACTGGGCCGAGGCCGATTAGGGCTTTAAAGGTCAACACCATCACTTTGAATTGTGCTCAGAAACGTACTGGGAGCCAATGCAGGTCTCTCAGGACCGGTGTTATATGGTCCCGGCGGCCACTCCCAGTCACCAGTCTAGCTGCCGCATTCTGGATTAATTGCACTTTCTGGGTCACCTTCAAAGGTGGCCCCACATAGAGCGCATTGCAGTAGTCCAAGCGGGAGATAAGTAGAGCATGCACCACTCTGGCGAGACAGTCCGCGGGCAGGTAGGGTCCCACCTGCATACCAGATGGAGCTGGTAGACAGCTGCCCTGGACACAGATTTGACCTGTGTCTCCATGGACAGCTGTGAGTCCAAAATGACTCCCAGGCTGCGCACCTGGTCCTTCAGGGGCACAGTTACCCCATTCAGGACCAGGGAATCCTCCACACCTGCCCGCCTCCTGTCCCCCAAAAACAGTACTTCTGTCTTGTCAGGATTCAACCTCAATCTGTTAGCCGCCATCGAACCTCCAACCGCCTCCAGACACACCAGACCTTCACCGCCTTCACTGGTTCTGATTTGAAAGAGAGGTAGAGCTGGGTATCATCTGCATATTGATGGACACCCAACCCAAACCCCCTAATGATCTCTCCCAGCGGCTTCATATAGATATTAAAAAGCATGGGGAAGAGGATGGAACCCTGAGGCACCCCACAAGTGAGGGCCCACCACCACTTTCTGGACACGGCCCAGGAGGAAGGAACGGAACCACCGTATAACAGTGCCCCCAGCTCCCAGCCCCTCTAGACGGTCCAGAAGGATGTTATGGTTGATGGTGTCAAAGGCCGCTGAGAGATCCAGCAGAACTAGGAAACAGCTCTCACCTTTGTCCCTAGCCCACCGGAGATCATCAACCAGCGCGACCAAGGCAGTTTCAGTCCCATGGTGAGGCCTGAATCCCGATTGGAAGGGATCCAAATGGTTCGCATCCTCCAGGCGTGCCTGGAGTTGTTCGGCAGCCACCCGCTCAATAACCTTGACCAAGAATGGAAGATTTGAGACTGGGCGATAGTTGGCCATATTGGCCAGGTCTAAAGATGTTTTCTTAAGAAGCGGTTTAATGATCGCCTCTTTCAGCGGGTCTGGGAAGGCTCCCTCACAGAGGAAAGCATTCACCACCCCGCAGAGCCCATCGCCCAGCCCTTCCTGCTCACTTTTATTAGCCAGGATGGGCAAGGATCAAGGAGACAGGTGGTCGGTTTCACTTGTCCAAGCAGCCTGTCCAGATCCTTGGAGGTAACAGATTGGAATTGATCCCATGTAACATGACTAGACAGGACTCTAGCACTCTCCCGCCCTGCCCTGCTCCCACGGTGGAGTCTACCTCCTTCCGAATCTGAGCGACTTTATCTGCAAAAAACTTTGCAAAAGCATTGCAGGAGATCTTGGGGTCCCTACCAGGCCCCGGTGGTGCAGGTGGTTCTGGTAGATTGTGAACCACCTGAAAGAGTCTCCTGCTGCTGTTTTCTGCAGATGCAATAAGGCAATGAAGAAGGTCCTCTTCGCCGTCACCATTATCACTTGGTAGGCTCGACGTTGAGCTCTAGCCCTTGTCCGGCCTGATTCAGAATGCGTTTTCCGCCACTGGCGCTCTAGCCGTCTCAATGATTGTTTCATCGTCTTCAGCTCCGGGGAAAACCTCGGGGCTGTCCGGGCTCCATGCAGTCGGAGAGGGCGCTTCGGAGCCAGGCAGTCAAAAGCCCTGGTTAATTCCGCATTCCTATGGGCCACCAGGCCATCAACATGGGATAAAACATCCCCTACCACTCTCTGGAAGCCAGTTGGATCCATTAAGTGGCGGGGGCGGATCATCCGAATAGGTCCCACCTCCCTGCAGAGGGGAAGGGTTGCGGAGAAGTCCAGTTGCACCAGGAAGTGATCTGACCATGGCTAAACATTTGTCCCACCCCAAACAGAAATAAAATAAAATAATAATATAATATTTAAAAACAACAACAACAACCATTCGAGGTGCAGCAGATTAAGAACACTTAAAGCACTTGAAACCACTTTTGCCATTTTTGCTGCTCAGAGTATGTGTGCCTGTAGGCCCCTCTCCTTGGGCCTGATGGGGGAGTGGTCTTCCCAAAGACTCACCGGAGCAGCAAGAGGAGCAGTGCAGGATGACCCAGGGTCTGGAAACCAAGCCAGATGAGGAACGGTTGAAGGAGCTGGGGATGTTTAGCCTGGAAAAGGGGAGACTGAGAGCCATTTTCAGATATCTGAAGGGCTGCCACATGGAAGAGGGAGAAAGCTTGTTTTCTCCTGCTCTGGAGGGTAGGATTGGAACCCATGGCTTCAACTTACAAGAAAGGAGATTTTGATTAAGAATCAGGAAAAGAAAGGAGGTTCTTTTATTTGTTTAATTTTATTTAATTCATGTTATATCCTGCTCTTCATCCTAAGATCTCAGGGCAGTTCATAAAATACAGGGTAAAAGTAAGTCAAACAAAACAGCTTCTGTTCCTCTCGAAAGCTCCCCTGTGCCTGTCCCCTGTCGGCAGCAGGATACTGGGCTGGGGTGCTCTGTTTGCTGCTTAGCGGGATCTGCGTCCTGCGTGAAGCCACCTGCCGACTCAAAAGCTCCGGGTTTGAGTTCAGGCGTGTTGCGGGTCAAAGGCCCTCCAAGCAACGTGAGCAAAACAAAACAACAGCTCCTCTCTGTGACTCCCGGGACACCCAGTGCCAGCCACAAGTAAACAGAGCGGGCGTCAGGGTGGTGCCACCCGGGGGGGGGGGAGGGTGGCAGGCGCCATTGTCTGCGGATGCAGCTGGGAGATTCCAAAACAGCCGGAGGAACAGGCAGCAAATCTCTCCTTCTGCCCCCCCTTTTCTCCTCCCCAGCGAGCCCCGGGGGGCAGAAGTGGCCCTCTCTCCCTCCTCCCTCCTCAGAAGATGGCAGGGGGTTGGGCTGGATGATCCCTGGGGTCCTTTCCAGCCCCACAAGGTGGGTCAGGCTGAGGGGGGCAGGGCCAGCCCCCCTCCCCCAGCAAGCCAAACCCTGGCTTCTCCCAGGTCCTGTGGAGCCCCACAATGACCCTGCGGGGTCAGAGAGGCTGGGAGAGGCTTTGCAGCCGGGCAGGGGTTATTTGAACCCTGGCCTTTCCCAGGTGATAGTCCGGCACTCTAACCACTACACAACACTGCCTCTCTTAGTTTGAACAAAACGAAAGCAAGGCTCGGATTATCTAAGCTGCTGGGCTCAGCAACGTCTGTGCAAAACCACTGAGTCGCACCCCTCCCCTTAAGAAGGAAAGCCAAGGTGCCTGAATAAAAGGGCGGATTTCAAATAGGAAGGCCAGTAGTGACTACACTGACCGGCAGCAGCTCTGCAGTCCTTTGTTCAGATTCATGAGGACTGTAAACTTTCCCTGTTTCAACAGTCTCTTCTCCGCCCTGGAGACTCCCTCTGTTTTTCAAGGGGCTGGATGGCAGCTCAGCTGCTTTGAAGGTCCCAGGTTCGATCCCCAACAGCATCTCCACTGTGGGTCATAGAATGATATAGCTGGGGGGACCCCAAGGGTCATCTAGTCCAACCCCCTGGTATCTCAACTAAATCAGCCATGACTGATGCTGACAACCTGCTGCTGCTGGTCAAGGTCCGCATTGCTGTGCTGAACGGACCCAGAGGTCTGGCTGGGTCCGAGGCAGCTTCTGATTCTTCTCTTTAAGCCACGTGTTTGTTCAGAATGATGAGGACCAGGATCTTGCTTTATTTTTAAAGGGGAAAGGCTGCTGGGGCTGTCCTCCTGAGTCTAAACCGCTCAGGGCAGACAACACCGCGTTGCGATGGAGCAGTGGACCTGCTCGCATCCTGGGAAGGCTTCCAACCTGCCTTCTCTCTTTCTGTGCCCTCCGGAACTCCTTGCCACAGGGCGTGGCCTTGCAACCACCTTGCAGGGCTCAGAAAGGCATGGACGGATGCAGAAAAAGAATGCACAGGACCTGTTTTGTCACTCAGCCATCAACGCCAAAGCCGCCTCTGCAGGGAGGCAGGTTGCCTAGCGACCGCGGACACACACACCTTGCCATCTCCCCAGGAGGAATGCCAAGGAGGGAGATTTGCTCTGCGGGGGGCGGGGGGGAGGGGTTGTGATTGACAAGGGATGGGGGGGAGCGGAAGCCCACCCCCAGAGACCCAGGCTCCACGCACAGAGCGGGGGGGGGGGGAGAGAAGGCTGGTTGGGAAGCTGAGCATTAAAAGGAGAGGGAGGGTAGATTTGGGGGAGCTCTCTCTCTCTCCATATACTATATCATAGAGTCATAGAGCTGTGGGGGACCCTGAGGGTCATCCAGTCCAGCCCCCTGCCATGCAGATATCTCAGCTCTGCACACATTCCAGCTGGTCAACATCCTTGACCTGGACGTTATGCTTCTGCGGATGCAGCCCAGAATATGCACCACCCTGAGCTCTTCCAGTGAAGGATGGCGCACAGATTTAAGAAGTGACATGAGCTTTTTTTGGCTGCTGCTGCTGCTCCCTCACAAGCCAACTCGAAACTGGGCTCAACCCCCTCTCGCCACGTGGCTTCAGGATAAAAAGGGCCCTATCCTGTTTCAAAATGCGCATGCAGACGTCGCTGGATGGCAACGGGGCAGCTGTCCGTGCAGAGGCTTCTTACCCAAGAAAGGACAAAGACTGCTTGTTGGCATTACCTGTGCGGCAGGTGCAGGGATGTGTCCCTCTGGTGTGGCTGCGCCAATGGGAGTTGGAAAATACAGAGCATTTATTAATTATGTTTCTGCGCTGCCCTTTGCTGGGTGGTATGCTACAAAAATGCATTGCAGAATAACAAGCAAAACAGTAAGTTTGCAATGCACAGTTTTAAAAGCCACAGATTTAATCCGCCTGGTTTCAGCGTGAGAAACTCAGATATATAAGCCCGGTGCCAAATCGCTCCTCCAGCCAACGTTACAAGTTGCCATTGGGGGGAGACAGCTCCAAAGTCGTATTTTGGGTCCCTGAAATGTTGGTTCCTGGCAGGGCAGCCCCCGTTATTCTGGAGCCACGCCTCATTTTTGCCTTCTTGCTTTTCACCGCAGGGCGAGAAGAACCATGGCTTTGACGTCCTCTATCACAACATGAAGCATGGGCAGATCTCGGCGAAGGAGCTGGCGGACTTTGTGCGGGAGAGGTACTGACGGCTGGGGGGCGGGGCAGAGCTCCATCCAGTTCCTCCTTGCGGCCCCCCCCCCCCGCGCAGTCTGCAAACCCACTTATCAAAGCACCAATTTCCTACTGCCAGTTTGCTCACAGAGCCCTGGTTTGCAAATCTCCCTGACGCTACAATTGGGGGTCAACTTTGCAAGAGCTGAGCTGCCGGCCTGAAGGAGATCTCTTTGCAAGACCTCTTCTCCATAACTCGCCCATAGCTTGCCTGAGGTTTTTTGTTTCCTTTTGGCAAAGATGTTTCATTTCATAAGATTTTTTATTATTGTGATTGGATTTTGCAGCCAAACTCCCTAAGTCTGTTATTGGCTGGAGAAGAGTGGATGGAGGCAGGGATCCAGTCAAAGCAAGGCAGATCTTTATTTTTCTGCTGCAACAGAGATCCCCGCCCTCCTTGCATGGAGGCACAGTGCCCTGGGATCTTTTGATAAAGGGCGGTATATAAGTTGAATAAATAATAATGAAATAATTTCATTTTGTGATGTATACAAAACAGATGTTATAACAGCTGGGAAATAAAATGTGAAGAACAGAATTGTAGAATGGGCACATAGATAAGAGCCTGAGCATAGGAGGGAGGGGCTCATAAAATCGTAGTGTTGGAAAGTTCCCCTGAGGGTCATCTAGTCCAACCCTCTGCAGTGCAGGAATCTCAACTAAAGCACCCGGGACAGATTAACGCTCCCAGCATCAGCACCCCAGCAGATCTCGCTTCTCTGTTTGTCAAAGCTTTGGATCCAGCACAGAGCAAGCAAATCATGGAATCCTAGAATTGTAGAGTTGGAAGGGACCACGAGGGTCATCTAGTCCAACCCCCCGAAATGCAGGGATTTTTTGCCCAATATGGGGCTCGAACCCATGACCCTAAGATTTAGAGTAGTCATGCTGAGCTGCCCCAGTTGCACAGGGCTTAAAATAAGCCCAAGAAAAGAATATTAGTGTTCTTGGATTATCAAGCCTAGTTGCGGATTTATAAAAGTTTCCTTTGCTTCAACAGAAGCAAAGAAACCTTTGCAAAATTCATGCCAGGTGCTTGTTCATTCCCATGTGATTTCTTTTAAGGGGGAGAAATATTGCAAAGCAAGGAAAATCTCAGGTGTTGCTCTTTTTTTAACCGACCAGCACCCCAAATCTGTGTTTGGGAAGCCTCTGTTCCTAATCCGGCATGGATGGGGTTTCTAAATCTGCAAAAGTGTGTTTGCAGGAGGAAGGAAATGGCTTTGCGTCTCCTCCAGTAGCCACTGGGGGGCAGAGCTGCACTTCTCTTGATCCCAGGTCCCAGCTGGACAGGTGAATCACCCAAATCAGTGGCCAGGTATGTTTATAAGTGGGTAGCTTCTAAGTGCAGAATCCGGCCTGGGCCCTGTTTCTCTCTCCTTTTAAGCAGCATCAAGCATCTTCCTTCAATTGCATGCCAAAAAACCCCACCAGGTTCTTCATTTTTTGCTCTCCAGTGCTATGTCAGGTAATCCCACCCATTCTCCGTTTTCCTGGAGGAGTGAAATTATAAGAACTCGATCCTGTTCCTTTTTTGGGAGGCGGTCAAGATGAAAATAGCCATAAATGGTCAAGGGATGGTTGGAGCAATTCTTCCAGGAGGGACTTTTTGGTTCAGAGAAAAAGCAAGGAAGAGGTAGAAGTTTATAAAGGTTGAGAGAGAGAGAGAGAGAGAGAGAGAGAGAGAGAGAGAGATGTTTTTTTACAGATTAGTATAAAGAAGAAAAAAGAAAAGGAGAAAACACAATATATCAGCAATAGTGAAATGTCATTAAAATAGAAATGGGATTACTAAAATATATAATAGATAGATAGATAGATAGATAGATAGATAGACAGATAGACTTATTGTATCCCTTGTGTATATGTTTCGAGAAATACTTTCCAAATATCACTAAATTTGTCCATAGAAAACCTGGAAGTGATCCACTCCTAGGTTGCGAGAGTTGATCAGAGCCCTGCATTGCATGGAGAAAGTGGAGAGAGGAAAGGATTTTTTCCTCTGTAGGAATACCTAAACTGGCAGACGCCCCACAAATGTTGGAATATTCAGGGCAGATAATTCATGCAGCATGCAGTTATTAACTGTGGAACTCCCTGCCACAGGAGCCAACATAGGTGGCTTTAAAAGAGGGTTCCTTGTGATCCACGAGGGCTTTTCAGACATGCTTGGGCTCTTCAAGATCCTGCTCCAGAACCCTCCTTATTCCTCCTCTTCCTCTTCCTCTTCCCTCTTCTGCTCCCTTCTTCTCCGCAGGGCGGCTGTAGAGGAGACATATGCCAAGTCTATGGCCAAGATGTCCAAGATGGCCGGAAACAGCACTCAGCTGGGGTGAGCCCTAGAGAAGAGAACCGCAGAGTCGGGAGGGACCCCCAGGGATGAGTACCGGCACTCCCCCCCAAAAAAGCACTAACCACAACAACGTTTTATTATTTGTACCCCGCCCATCTGACCGGGGAGGGGGTATTGTTTTACTGTTTTGCTTCTAATTATTTTCTTGTTTCTGCCCTGTATTTTATTCTGTGAACCGCCCCTGAGATCTGAGGATGAAGAGCAATACATAAATCTAATTTTTACTGTGTTTTTAATATTTTGTTGGGAGCTGCCCAGAGTGGCTGAGGCAGCCCAGTCAGATGGGCAGCATATGAATTTAATTAATTAATTAATTGCCCCAGCCATTCTGGGCAGCTTCCAACAAAATATAAAAACAGTAAAACATATTATTATTATTATTATTATTATTATTATTATTATTATTGATTTGCAGTATTTTATAGCTCCTCACAGAATGTTTTCCGTTCCTGGAGCAGGGGAACAGAGCAATACAAAATATGCAAGGGGCAGAAACGGCTAAAAATTGTGGCAAGGGGGCCGGTGACCTGCAGGGCGGTTTCTTCTCAAGGCAAGTGAAGCAGATGCGGATTAACATTTCCGGTTGGGCTCCTTTCCCTCCCCTGCGCCCCCCACCCCCAAAACCCACCCAGGACTTTTGCCCCCCTCTGGGAGGTCTTCCGCATCTCGTCGGACAAGCTGGCGCTGTGCCACGCGGAGCTGGTGAAGAAGCTGCAGGATTTGATCAAGGAGATCGGGCGCTATGGGGACGAGCAGCTGCGGGCGCACAAGAAGGTAGCGGGGGCCGCGTTGGGGGGATGTGGGGGCCGGCTAACGTCTCGTGGATAAACCTGCCTGACCAGTTCAGCACAATACTGACCCCCACCCCACCCCTGCAAACCCACCAAAGTATTCTCTGTCTACCCCCCCCCCCCCGGCCATCCCATTGCCAGTCCAAGGACGAGGTGGCCGGGACCCTGGAAGCGGTCCAGATCCTGCAAGGAGCCGCTCAGCACCTCCCCAAAGCCAAGGAGACGTACAGCAGCCGCTGCCAAGAGCTGGATCGCTTGCGGAGAGAAGGGGGCAGCCAGAAGGAGATCGACAAGGTGACCCTGGGGGGCAACAAGGGGGGGGAGATTGTGTGTGAACAGGGGAGGGGGCCTGCACACCCAGGTCGTCGTCAGCGGTGAGAGATATTTGGCTCAGCTCTCTGGGTGGCTGAAGCGGAGACGTTTGAGTGATCTTGCGAAAGGGGATCCGTATGGGTGTGGAGAAGGGGGGAAATATGGCATTCCTTCCTTGCGCTCAGTTCCCAGGGCAGATTGCAGTGTTAAAATACCATGTTGAAATCAGGCAGGTAGCTGTGTTGGTCTGACGCAGTTGAAATAAATAAAAAAATAACAAAAGTTTTCCAGTAGCACCTTAGAGACCAACTACGTTTGTTCTGGGTATAACCAGGGGTCAGCAAACTTTTTCAGCAGGGGGCCGGTTCACTGTCCCTCAGACCTTGTGGGGGGCCAGACTATTTTTTGGGGGGGCGGAAATGAACGAATTCCTACACCCCACAAATAACCTAGAGATGCATTTTAAATAAAAGCACACATTCTACTCATGCAAAAACACACTGATTCCCGGACCGTCCACGGGCCGGACTGAGAAGGCGATTGGGCCTGATCTGGCCCCCGGACCTTAGTTTGCCTACCCATGGTATAAGCTTTTGTGTGCATGCACACTTCTTCAGATACACACTTTAACTGATATATTACAATCAGTTGAAGCAATTTACAGCCCGGAGGCTGAGTCTTCGCTTCATCCCTCTCTCTCTGTGTTGGTCGATGCCTTTCTGCCAGTCTAGCTATAGTCTGTCTTACTAATAAATCATGTTTATCCAATTACCTCTCTTCCTGATTAATCACCTATGTATTCTACTAATCATCTATCATTCATCTAATTAATCATCTTTTTTACTAATTATCATTGATCTTATTAATCACCTGTCTATTATCTACTTTACTGATTAGCTATCATCTCTTTTTCTTCATCATCTCTTGAACTACTAATTATCTGTCTATCTGGGCTTTTAGGGGAGGGGGGTGCCTCTGGTGGGGGCCAAGTCCTGCTCCTCCTGGGGTGGTTGGCCCAGCTTCCACCTGCGGCTCCTAGAAGCTGCGTGGCCACAATCCCGTAAAGGTAAAGTTAAAGGGACCCCTAACCATTAGGTCCAGTCGTGGCCGACTCTGGGGTTGCAGCGCTCATCTCGCTTTACTGGCTGAGGGAGCCACCGTACAGCTTCCGGGTCATGTGGCCAGCAGGACTAAGCCACTTCTGGCGAAGCAGAGCAGCGCACGGAAATGCCGTTTACCTTCCCACCGGAGCAGTACCTATTTATCTACTTGCACTTGGATGTGCTTTCGAACTGCTAGGTGGGCAGGAGCAGGGACCGAGCAACGGGAGCTCACCCCGTCACGGGGATTTGAACCGCCGACCTTCTGATCGGCAAGTCCTAGGCTCTGTGGTTTAACCCACAGCGCCACCCACGTCCCACAATCCCATATAGAAAACACTAAAAAACCACCCCAAAATACAGTTAGCAGTTGCACAGCACAGACCATTCCAACTGCACCAGCATTTCCATGGGGTCCGCAGGTGGGAGAGGGGAGTTTGGGAACGGCTGATCTCTCTTGCTGACGGCTGGGGCGAAAAGCTCAGTCTCCTGTGTGTGAAGAAGGTCCCTGATGTCCCTCTGTGGGGAGGGAATCCCCCAGTTTGGGGTACAAATGTGGGTTATTCTTTTTTTGCAACGGGGTAGGGAAGAGAAGGAAGGTGCTCCCACGAAAGCGCTTGCCGGGCCTGAGGATGTTACAGTCCTAGAACCATAGAATCATCATCATCAGTTGGAAGGGACCCAGGGGTCATCTACTCCAACCCCCTGCCGTGCAGGAATCTCAGCTATTTAATTAGAAGTGCAGAGATAATCCTGAAAGAATGCCGCATCCCCCCCCCCCCATTCCACTAGCCAATTCAGATTTTTTAGAGCAAATGGTTTTTTGAGGTTTTTATTTTGACTCTCCTGGTCTGCCCCACAGAGAACCTTAAGGTCCATGAATAATCCTAGGTTAGAGGTCCTGGGCCCTAAGGAAGTCAGACTATCCTCCACCAGGGCCAGGGCCTTCTCAGTGATGGCTCCAACCTGGTGGAATGCTCTGTCCCATGAGACCAGGGCCCTGCAGGATTTAACCTCTTTCCGCAGGGCCTGTAAGTCAGAGGTATTCCGCCTGGCCTTTAATTTGAACTTAGCCTGATCTTTTATTTCCCTTCCCTTCCCTCCCCCTCCCCTTTTATGAAGATTACCCGCTCTGAGACCCCACAGCTAATTCTCCCCTGGTCTCCTCACTGGCCCAAATAGGACTAATTTAGCCAGCTAGCCCTGGCTAAATAAACACCTAAGGTTTATTTGATGGATTTTCCCCCTAAACTGATTTTTGAATTCTGAATTTATTGTTATTCACGTTTTATACTGTATTTTATGCTGTTTTTTGTTGCATCAATTAAGTGTTTTAAATTTGTTGTTAGCCACCCTGAGCCTGGTTTTCTGAACCGGGAAGGGCGGGGTATAAATAGAAATTTATTATTATTTATTATTTTGGGGATAAGGGGATGTTCCATTTTTAATAATAATAATAATAATAATGGTCTCCGCAGGCCGAGCTGAAGTCACGGAAGGCGGTGGAGGCGCTGCGGAGGGCTGTGGAGAAGTACAACGCAGCACGTAATGACTTTCAGCAGAAGATGCTGGACTCCGCTGTGGTACGGGGGGCTGGGTGGGTGACCGTGGAGGGCGGAGGGTACCCCAGGGTCCTCCCAGTGTGGCCAGGAGGGCGAAATGGGCCCTGGCGATCTGCTCCAAGATTGGCCCCCTCCTGGGCTCCCCGGGTGCGAATCCTTGCAGCGGGTCGCTCCTCCCCTCTCTGCACCCAGAGTCCTTGCAGGATGGGAGCAGCCCCCTTGCCGCAGCCCCCTGGCTTTGGGATGCGAGGGGGGGAGAGATCTTTGGAAAGGGGTTGGAAATGCGTCATTGATGCCGTCGCATGGATCCTGGGTGCAGCCGCGATTGGAGGGCCGTGTGTGTGGTTCTGGTCGCCTTGGCTCAAAAAGGATATTGCAGAGTTGGAAAAGGGTTCAGGAAATCACCTCCAAATGCGCAGGGACTTTTTGGTTTACATAAAAGACATTGATGAAATCATGCATGTAATGAACAGAGGGGAAAAAGCTTGTCCCCCATTCTCTCATATTATGGGAAAAAACAGAAATTCTTTCTGTGAATTTCTATTCCCTGGAAGGCAGTCCCGGCACGGAAGGCTCCTCCTCTCTTGCAAGCACGTAGGGTCCACTGTGAAAACTGGTGTGCGTCCAACAAAGCTGAGTGTTGGAAGATTTGGGAAAGGGTGAAAGGAAGGGCTGTTAAACTGTGGAACTCCCTCCCACAGGAGGCAGGGATGGCCAACTTGGATGCTCTTGTGCTCGAATCCTGCTTGTGGGCTTCACATTGGGGGATCTGGCCCTTGGGAGAACAGAAGGCTGGACTAGATGGTCCAGTTCTTATGTGGGTCCCTCCATGTCTGAGGTATCAGAAGGCGTCAGGGCCAGGCCCTGCTGTGGCCTCGCAAAATCCCCACACGTTCCTTGTCTCTGCGTCCCCTGCATGGTTTCGGGGGCCCTTTCCTGAGCCTTTCTCATAGAATGGTAGAGTTGGAAGGGACCCCTGAGGGTCATCTAGCCCCCCCCCCTCAATCCCCCATTGCTGCTTTGCCTCCTCTCTGCCCTCCCCCTCCCAGCGCCTGCAGGAGGTGGAGGAATCGCACCTGGAGCAGATGAAGGTCCTGATTGGCTCCTACGTCCACTCGGTGGAAGATACCCACGTCCAGATCGGGCAGGTGAGAGGCTGTTGCGTTCCCAAAGCAAGGAAGGATTGGACTCTGATTAATAAAATACACACAGGGCTTGATCAGCAAGACTCTGGAAGTGTCAACTGTCCACCCCTTGGCCCAGGTTGTTTTATTTATTTATTTTTAAAGATATTTATTGAAATTTTCAAAATGTTACAAAAAAGAAAAAATAATATAGAAGCAGAAGAAAGTACCAAATAAAAATAATTGACAAAGTAGAAAAAGAAAAAAACAAACCCCTTCCCACCATATGAATAAAAATTCAAAATAAGAAAAAGTGACAGAAAAAAAAGAAAAATACAAAAATACATCACAAACCGTTAAAAACATTTAAAAACAAATTCATTATTTTCAGATCCTTAACTGTCATTGCCTTCTTTCTTAGACCTCCAACTCCTCCCTTTCTTTGTATCCTAGTTATTAATTATCCCAGCAAATCCTTTCCATGTTTCATAATATTCTGTCATTGCATTACCCTAAACTGTTTTAATCTTATCTTTCTATAATAAAATAAACCTTAAAGCTTAAAACTTAAATCTTATCCTTACCAACTTCTCATAACCATAATATTCTTTCATAATTCTTTAAACATCTTTGCTAAAGCCAAGTAATTTCATTCCAACATTTTTCTAACATTCATCAATTTTATAAAACAGTTCTAATGGTAGAGAAAAGAGATACAAATAGATCCAATCTTCATCCAACGTCCCTTCCTCCTGGTTCCGGGTTTTGTCAGTCCTTATTCCCGTCGATCTAGCCCATTAACCTGGCAACCTTATATCCGAGGCCCTCAAGTCTCTTCCATGTCCCTTCTGCGGCTCTTCTTCATATTTGTAACTGTATTTTCCCTTATCTCCTGCTCGTGGTAACTCCAGCTTGACAATGTTTTTAACCCTTCTCGACAGATCAGCCCCTTTTCCATGTTCAACACTGAATTCCATGTAGTATTTAAAAGCATGTTTCAAAGACCCTCCAAAATTAAGAGCCCCCACAGTCCCAAATATCTCACGGCCCATTGTCATATTTGAAAAGTCCAAACATCCCAGCATAGGGGGGTCAATCCAGCCCCCCATTTCCAAGCCAAACCAAACTTTTCCTTTCCAAATCTGGCTTTTTCCAAGTTCATTTGTCAAATCCGAAAAATCATATTCCTGTTGGGCCTGTTCTGTCAAGACACACTCCTGATTTAATTCCTGAGTGGGCTCCACATATTTTCCCACTGTCTGTTCAAAATTTCCCACGTGGGAACAAAGTTAGATCAGAAGAAATCCTGTTAACTACAAAGAAACTATTTCTTACTTCAGCATGCATACGTAGTTCAGAGTAAATAAAATAGGAATCAAGGAGGAATGCTTTTAGCAAACCCCGGAGGTCATAAACAAGCAGTAAACAGGAGAGGAAGGATGGCAAGGAAAGGTGGGCATCTTGATCATCTCCTTGTGAACTCTCCTCCTGGCCCTTAGATTAACAAAACCAAGGAAAGGTACATCAGAGAAGCTACCTCCTATCTTTATGGCCCAGGTGCCTGGTGAACAGCTGGCCTGTGTTTAGAATGCTGATACGTGCCTGTCAGGCAGAGAGAAAGAAAATGGACAGTAGAGAAAATGGGCAGAGATGCAGAGGCTTGTGGGATTTGATCAGGAATTATTGTCCATGACCCAAGCACAGTCAACGCCATGCTTTCATTGCAGACATTGCTCCATATGTTCCTAATTCCTCATGGTAATCCCACCTGACCCCCACAAGAGGCCGGTCGGCCAGCAAGGGCAACTGGGCTGGGCGCCCCCAGAGGACCCCCGGGTGCTGTGGGGGGTCCGTGGGGGGTCCGTCCTGGCCTCAACCTTGTCTCCTCTCCCCCCTCCCCAACCGCAGGTCCATGAAGAATTCAAGCAGAACATGGAGAACATCGGAGTGGAGACCCTCCTGCGGAACTTTGCCGAGAGCAAAGGGACCGGGCGGCATCCGCCGGGTGGGTTGAACTTCTGAGAGAATAATAGCATTGTGGAGTTGGAAGGGTCCCCCAAATGTCATCTAGTCCAGCCCCCAGAAACGTAGGTGCCGCAGCTCAGGAATCCGCAGCAGATGGATTCGCCCGGATCCTGCAACCGGGAACCGTGAAATGAGGACATTTCTCCAGCTTGGCTTGCCTTAACCCAAACGCCTTTAGCCTTTTGCCTCCCCTTTATTGCCCTCTTTCCTCTCCCCGTAGGACCGCTGGATTTTGAGGAGCTGAGCATCATTCCTGCGCAGGAAGGCAAGTACGTCTGAGCGTGGGGTGGCAGCACCCCAGATCCAGCCAGGTTGGAAAAGGGGTGCGTGGGACCACCTGGAGGAACCGCCAGATTTTTTGGCGTGTGAAAACGTCCAGAGACCCTTTTATAAAGGAATTCAGAAAGCTTGTGGCATTTATTATGATTGTGATTTTTTAAGTGTGCAAGCTTTTGTGTTCCACAGCACTCTTCATCAAGGAGGGGCTTCCTTTTTTCTTGCAGGACCCAAGCGAACCCGCAGCAAAGCCTTCCGCATCCCTGGCCTGAGCCGCAAAGAACGGGAGCGGGACTCTGTGTGAGTTTCTCCTCTTTCTCCCCGACCACAGAGACCGATCTCACTCCCCAAGTCTGCGCATGCTCTTCAATCTCTCTCTCTCTCCCTCTCTCCTTTTGCCCAGGGAATCTCCAGATGCCGAGTCAGGGGTGAGTAATATTTATCATTAGCCAACAGGACCCACAGGAAAGTGTCGCCGTCTTCTCCTAATGCCCCAGCCTGAGGGCCATTCCAGGAGCCGGCCGGCCGGCCAGTCCCTCCCCATAGCTACTCCATTCCGTTTCCTGCTTTTTTCTTTTCTTTTTAAGCTGCCACTGAATGTTCCATCGCTCCTGAGAATTGATTGATGGATTGACTGAGTTCATTTCTATGCTGCTTTCCCGCAATGAGCTGTGTCCAAAGCATATTGAAATACAGAGCACAGCATTTCTGAAATTTAATTTTATATATAAAATACAGAGCTTGCCAGTAAATTCAAAAACGACAAAAATCAACAATTTGGCAAATTGGCACAGGATAAATTGAATAGTGCAATACCATTCCTTACTGCCCTGTGCTATTTTGCTATAATTAATCATTATTATTGCTGTCATTTATTTGGATTCTTTACCCATCATTTTAAAATACAAAATTCACTGTTTCGTTCTTTGGTGTTAAGCCTTTGGGCACCTGTGGAAGGTGATTAATAAGTAACAAGTAAATTTATCTGTCTTATCTCTCTTTTAGTCACCTTTGGCCATTTTGAGAAGGGCGACTAAGAAATTTAATGAAAACTTACAATTATTATTTGATTTCTAACCTTAATTCTATGTTGTTGTTGTTTTGTGGAGACTGTATTAATTTTGATTTAATAAAAAGAGAAATATATATTGGGTTCCTTACCCAAATTTCACCATAATTCCCAGGGCAGATTGCAGCATTTATTAAAATCAGTTTAAACAGTTTACTAGGTAGGTCCTAAAAACTGCTACTGTGCTTAAAGAGTAACTGCTGTTTATTTAAAAGGATTTTGAAAAGAGCCTTTTTTATATAAAAAAATGCAATTAGGGTACAAATTGAGGAAACCTAGCTGGATTGGCAGGGTAGGAATAATAATAATAATAATAGTTGTTAAACAATGGTTCTTTCTCGTTCTTCTATTTTTATATTGCTTTTTATGACCTTTTAATAAACGTGTTTGGGTTTCAGCACAATATGTTGAAAGCCTTCAATAGAGTTGTTTTTTTAAAAAAAATAAAGAAAGAGCAGCCAGCTGGCTCTGGGAGTCAGAGGGTCCTGGGTTCCAGTCTTACGGATCAGAGAATGATGCATCTTTTGCAAGCAAATAATCCGTGAGGTTTCACATCTTGGTCTCTCCTCCCATATTATTTTTTTTTGGGGGGGTATTTGAACCCCAAGGAAGATGCTGCCCCAAGAGAGGCTCCCACCCCAAACTTTTGCTCCTTCTCTTCTCTCCTCAGCCCCCCGACGTGGACGAGGAAGGCTTCACTGTCCGGCCCGAAACAAATCAGAACGATATCCTTTGGAACATGTGGCTGCAGGGCCTTCTTCCTCATAAGGGGGGAGGGTGAGATTTGGGGGGGAGTGGGAGGGGTGTCTCAGAAATAGGGGGAGAGGTGGGGTGTCCAGAGTCCAATGGGGAAGACTGTTCCTCTTGTTCCAGGGAAGAGTCAATGGGGTCATGAATTTACCCAGGAGCTCCGATAAATCGACACAAAAGCGGAAGCTGTTTTTGGATTATTTGCAAAAAAATAATAATACCATAACCCAATGAAATTGCAGGCAGGATTTGAAATGTGAGCAGTGGGAGGACCATGGCAATATATGAAATGGAGGAATATAGCTCATTCGCTTGAGACTCTTGATTTCAGGGCCGTGTGTTCGAGTCCCAACTTGGGTGGAAGATTCCTGCATTGACCCTGGGGGGCTTCCAGCTCTCCAATTCTGTGATTCCCTGTATTAGGCAAAACGTGTGATATTATGCAGTACGTAAAAGGGATGCGTGTAAGGGAAAGTGGGAAGCCAAATTATGAGACATTTATAATAGATCTGAAATTTGAAATTAATTGGTTAAAGTTGTGAAAATCTAATAGAAAACTTCAGGGCCCCACGTTGGCCAAAAGATTCCTTCATTGCAGCGGGTTGGGCTGGATGACTCTTGGGGTCCCTTCCAACTCTTCTGTGATTCTGTTGCCACCCGTTTGGCCCCTTGACTCCGTCTCCCCACGTGAACACCCCACCCGCTTCTGCTCCTCCAGCGACTCGGATTACGATGATGAGGAGCCCCACAAGTTCTACATCCGCATCAAGCCGGTGCAGCCCCGAGAGCGGACCAGCAGCGCCGCGGCCGTGGAGCAGCTCAAGGCCTCCGTGGGGAACCTCATCCTGCCCCCCAGCATGGGGGTGAGAGAGAGAGAAATGGGAAGCGGCAGGCCTGGCAGAAAGACCTGGCACCCGTCTCCCCTTGAATCCAGATTTTAGCTTTAATTTCTGCACCAGAATACTGGGTGCTATGGTTCCCAGGACACTGTGGTTCCCAGGCAGCCTAGGCGGCCGTTATCTGTGTCGTCCAAGTGTCTCACTGGGACCGACGGGGAGATGTGGTCCAAAGCACTGGGTGCAGGGCGCCCGGTTGACAAAGTCTGCCTGCTTGAGGGAGGGGGTCTGGGAGGGCAAAGGTTTTCTTCTAGACCAGGGCTTGGCGACGTGGTGCCCTCCAGAGCCCCATCTGCCACATAACGCCTCTTCCACCTTCGTTGAGGTGCCAACCTTTTTCTTGACGCCTGGATGAAAAAACATCTTTGTTTGGATCTTGATTGATGGCTGCACATTCTCCTGACTGATCACTTTATCCTTTCCCCAAATGGCTTTGAACCTCCCTGCCTTCTCAGTGTAAATTTTACGAAACAAATAAATAAGCCACCCAGGGAGGAAGGCAGCCGTAGGGGCCTGCCCCCGATCTCGATGGTTATGAGCATGGGTTGGGGGCCACAGCACCTTCCTGACCTCTCCCCTTTCTCCCCTCTTTCCGCAGTGCACAATGAAGAGGCATTCTTCCCGTGAGTGCTCTGTCGCAGACTCTTTGGGTGAGGTTGGGAGAGAGGGTTGCTGCTGCGGAACTCCCTGCCACTGGATGGCTTTAGAAGAGGGTTGGACCAAAGCATGGAAGAGGAGGGGGCCAGCGAGGGCTCCTAGCCAGGATGGCTCTGCCTTTGCTGTCAGGGCAGCCATGCTTCTGGATCCCAGTTTCTGGGAACTGCAGGAGAGGAGAGTTGCTCTCGCACTCGGATCCTGCTTATGGGTGCTTCCTTTGGGGGCGTCTGGCTGGCGATTCTTAGGTTCTCTTGATTCTTTTCCAGGGCACCTGAAAGCACTTGCCTCGGCCTCAGCCGAGACGGATTCTGACACAGCCCCTGCCCCAGGTGAGAAAAAGGGGGAGATGGGGGGGAGACTAGGGGGGGACCCCCAAAGCCTCCAATTCTACGGTTCTCTAAATATGTATTTCCAATTTGCTCTGCACAGGGGATAAGTCTGGCAACTCGCAGGCACCTCTCTTTGGCACCCATATGACAAGGTAACTCTGGGGTCTTCGGAGAGCAGACTCCACTCTGCACTCTGATATCTGTGTCTGCGTGCAAACACCTGTGGAACTCCCTTCCACTTGAGGCCAGTGCTGCCCATTTGACTCAGTTGCCCCAGCCACTTAGGGCAGCTTCCACACACAAAAAACACAAACAAACCCATAAATATTTTGGTACCCCGTTCAGATGTAGGAGGTACAAAAAACAATTAAAGTGACTAATTAATTAATTAAATTTCTAAACCGCCCTATACCCATAGACCTTAGAGTGGTTCGTGACATAAAGTCACTTAAAAGCATGTATTATTATTATTTATTATTATTACTGCTCGATTACAGAAAGCAGTTTGCAAAAGAGAGAAAACGACAATACCACTGCTGGAAAATTTGCAGCCGTAACCAAAGGCATACAGAAAGGGAAAGGGCACAACGGAATGGACCAAAACTCCAAACTCAAACTTTCTAAGCTTGTCTAAATGTCTTCAGCAGGCGCCAAATAGAATAGAGTGAAGGCGCCTGGCTGGTGTCAAGAGGCAGGGAGTTCCACAGGCTCGGTGCTGGCACACTGAAAGATGGCCAGTTCCACCAATTTTGTTGCCCTTGTTCAGATCAGTTTCTCAAGTCCAGCGTTTTCTTCTTCCGCAGCTGTGACAGCAAACCTGAGCCCGACGTTCTCCCTGCCAGCGCCCTCTTTGGCCCTCCGCTGGAGTCGGCCTTCGAAAACGAGGAGTTTTCAGGTGAAAAATGTCCCCAGCATCCCTGCATTGCAGGGGGTGGGCTAGATGACTCCAAGGGTCCCTTCCGATTCCCCCAGGTCCTCTCTGAGGCCACATCTGCACCGCTGTGACGCCACTTGAAAGAACTGGCTTCCTCCCCTGAAGAATCCTGGCAGCCGTGGTTTAACCCTCGCAGAGCTACGGCTCCCAGCGCCCTTATCAAACTACGGTTCCCGGGAAGCCCAGTGGGCTTGACTTGCATGTCACTCAGGCCACATTCATGCCATGCTATGAAAGCACCGTGGTGCCTCTTTGAACAGCTGTAGTGTCCCCCAAAGGATCCTGGGAACTGTAGTTTGTGAAGGAGACCCCCTGCACCCTCTCCCAGAGCTACAGTTCTCAGAGGTCCCTGAGAAAAGGAATTTACCTTTTAATGGGGATTGTCACTCTGGGAGAGGGTACTGCGGGGGGGGGGGAGCTCCTAGCAACTCTCAGCACCCTTAGCAAACTATAACTCCCAGGATTCTTTGGAGAAACCATTTCTCTCTTCCAAAGCTTCCTGGATGAATGAATCTGGGACCTTCTACATGCAATGCCTTTGTCTACAAATAAAGTAAGATTCTAGTCCTCATAGTTTGCATCAAAGGGACGTTTAACGGCCAACCTCTCTTCCCAGAGAACTTTGGGAATTGCAGCTCCGTGAGCGGGAAGAGGTTTTCCCCAGCAACTCACGGTGCCATGAACATGCTACAGCTCCCAGGATTCTGTTGAAAGTGGGATCGCAGGGCTTTAAATGTGGCCAAAGTGTAGACAAATAGCAGACTGGGAAGTTTGGAGGGGGGAGCAGAAAGCCATGTCTTTTAAAGGTGTGATGTGGATCTGTAGCGAGATATACAGTGGTGCCCCGCAAGACGAATGCCTCGCAAGACGGAAAACCCGCTAGACGAAAGGGTTTTCCGTTTTGGAGGTGCTTCGCAAAACGAATTTCCTATGTGCTTGCTTCGCAAGACGAAAATGTCTTGCGAGTTCCTGCGGGGGTTTTTTCCTTTCCCCCCCCTTTTTCCCAAGCCGCTAAACCGCTTATCAGCTGATGGCTAAGCCGCTTATCAGCTGATCTTTAAGCCGCTTATCAGCTGATCGTTAAGCCGCTTATCAGCTGATCTTTAAGCCGGCTAAGCCGCTAATACTGTAGCGCTAAGCCGCTAAACCTCTAATGGGCTTGCTTCGCAAGACGAAAAAACCCGCAAGACGAAGAGACTCGCGGAACGGATTCTTTTCGTCTTGCGAGGCACCACTGTAGATAGCTAGATCTATACTGATATTTATATTGATATATCAATACATCTATCTGTGTCTACCTATATCTATCTATATTTATTTATCTATCAACATCGATATAGATCTGTAGATATATAAATATCAATGCCTATTGATTTTGATATTGACATCTCTATTATTATTGATACCTATATCGTTATCTGTCTATATAGATATAAATGTCTATTTATTGTTCTTCTCCCCCCCCCCGCAGCCCCCCGCTCTTACCTGTTGGCCTCCAGCCCCTCCCCCTTCTCCTCCTCGTCCCCCGAGAACGTGGAAGACTCCGGCCTGGACTCCCCGTCTCACCTGGCCACCGGCCCCTCCCCGGACGCCCGCCTCTGGAGCCCCCGGCCTGGCACCCCACAGAGCCCCCCCGGAAAGCGCCCCCCCAAGGACGGCCCCCGCTGCTGCCAGCCGGCCGACGACACCCCGGACCCCTGGCTCCCCCAGCCGGGCTCCCAGGAGCTCCCTGAGTGGGCCCACTCCGTCTCGGCCTGGCCCCCGGTGCCCCCCGGGCCCCCCCCGGGCCGGCACGAGTCCCCCTTCAGCGACCCCTTCCTGGAGGCCGCGGCCCCCGGGGGTCGGCGGGGCTGGTCGGCTGCGGAGTGTCCCCCGCGGGGGGGCGAGCGCGACAGCTGCCTCTCCTCGAACTCGGCCTCCTCCTCCTCCTCGTCCCCAGCACCCCCCAGCAGCGGAGACTCCACCAGCCCTTCTCCTTGGGCGCCACGGGGCAGAGACCTGGAGGGCGCCCCCTCAGACGTGCCGTCGGACCCCGGTGAGTTGCCATTTCCTCTTGCCAGGATCCATGCCGCAGGTCAGGTCCCTTGGGTGCGAGACGCGTCTTTTTCTGCAGTGGAGAATGAAATCCTAGATGCCTTCGTATCCATAAGAACCATATATTTATTAGTGTCTATTGCACTCTCGTTTTCTTTTCCCCCGTCATTTTGGATCACTGCATAAGAAATCAGTTAAAAGAAGGTGTGGAATGAAAGGTCTGGGTTGACAGGTCCGGGTTTTCTGTCAATCCATCCATCAATCAACTGGCCGATTTATTACAGGCAACAGAAATAAGAAGTTGGCCAGAGTCTCGGAACAAAGGGGGATTTTTTATTATTATTAATAAAAATAATTTGGAAACCGCTTTTGGACTTTGTGGGAAAAGGTAATGAATGATTTTGGATTGAGAAGAAATGTTGTTTGACAGCGGAGAAGATGGATGTTGCTCTGGACTGAATGCCTTAAATAACCTTTTTTTATGTAACCGCCGGAAGGAAAATCAGATGCCCCTTTTCTCTTTCTGTCTTGCTTCTTCCCATTTTCCTCCCCCCCCCCTTTTCTTCACTCTCTTCCTGCTTTTTCTTCTCTTTTTGAAGCTGTTTTTGTCTATTTATTTTTTTAAAAGTTAGTTTTCCACATCTCACAGTATTATTGTAATATTATTATTGTCATTTATTTGATTTATTGGATTCAATTTATATGCTGCCTTTTATCAGGAGTTTACAACATTAAAAACACATTCCAGAACGTCAGTGATAAAAACATGATTTTTATGGAAAACATTAAGAGCAAAGGAGATTGTGCAGGACAATCTGGTTTCCCAGCAGATGGGCATCTCTCTGGGATTCTGGAGCTGGGCTGGATGAGCTTTGGGGGTCCCTTACAGTTCCACAGTTCTATAGTCTTGGATTCCCTGGGTCTCACAGGTGCTTCTGTTCCTCTCAAGGGCGCGGCTGCTCTCTTGGCAAACGCCCAGAGCTGGAGATCCTCTCGCTTCCTCCTGATGTAGCTTTTGCCCCGGGGTGATCACGTAGGTGCCATTGATCCCCTTTGACAACGTGATTTCCTGGCTGATCCCTCCAGGGCGTCTTCTCCCTTGAAGGCCTTAATAAATCTCATTTCCGAAAGCTCCAAATCTTGCACAGCTCTTTCAACCTCGTTGTGGTTAACGATTAACAATTGGCCTCTGCATTTTCTTTTTTGCGGTCTGAGCTTTGCTTAATGGCCCAATAAACGATGGCTGGGCAAACTGATTCTGGATGGATGGATGAATGAATGGATGGATGGAGAGACAGGATTTAGAGCACTGGAGAGAGCTGGGTGCGAATCCCCCCACATGGCCACAAAGCTCTCTCTCTCTTGCTCTCTCTCTCTTTTAAATACTTATTTACATTGCTTATCCCAATCCTTGATTATTCCAACCAGCCCCCTATTCTCTCTCCCTTTGGCTTGCAGCTTCTCTCCCTCCGTCCGCTGCACCTGGATTGACCCCCATGGTGGCCCCTCCTCGGCGATGCCGCGCAAAACGGCCCTCGGCAGTCTCAACCGGCAGCGACACGGTGAGCCCCACACACCCTAGACCCGCCTGTGCACACAGAGTTGTGTTTCCTCGTACGATTTGGGGGATGTGCTGTTGTGCAGAGATGCCCCCCAATTTAGCAAACTGCGGGTTGGTTAATTTGGGGAGGTTTGGGGTAGAAGTCTTGTTCCGTCACGATCCAAGCCTTCTCAGAGTTGAGTTGAGCCCTTATTTTTCCATTCTGCTTTTGGCTCCCAGAGGCTGAGAAACATTAACTAAGGGTAGCCTACTTAGGGTATGATAAAATAAAGTCTGCAAAGGATTTCTGAATCATGTCGCAAGGAGAAGCTTGTAAAGTGTACGGATGAGATATAAGAATTTGCTGCAAAGAAGAATGGCTTTTGAAAATGCTGGAGTATGTGGAACTGGCAAGACCGACAGAAAATATTAGAAAGTATTTAAAGAACAACTAAAGCGAGATAAAAACATGAGCAGCACTTGAACTATGAGCAACAGCGATAATATATTAAGATAAATAGGATAGATTGCACATATTGAAGAGCACAGGGGATTTAAGGGTAAATATGGAAACCATGGAAGAAGGGGATAGGAAGTCAATGGATCAAGTAATTTACAGTTTATGTTAAAATACGTTCAGATTTTTTTGTGTGAGTATGTGAAAAATTAATAAATAAGATTTAGAAAAGAGAACATTGCAAATGCAACAGAAGCCCTATAGAACTGTGAACAGGTTGTTGGTGAAACGATTGTGAGTCGTCAGAAGTGGTGTTATTAATCAGAACAATAAGCATGGTCATCATTGAATAATTCACACGCCTCCCATCTCTCTCACTGTGCCCCCAGCCTCGCTCGCTCAGCCCCTCGCGGCTCTGGGCCTTGTCGACCCCGCAGAGCTCGGCTGGGATGACGGAGCGCGCCTTCTTCATGGCCACGCAGCCGGGACTCGGTAGGTGCCCCGCGGAGGGGGCGGAGGGGTTAGGGGGCGGGTGGGCGCACGGCTTTCTTTTGTGGAGGCCTCGCCTCATTGCTCAACGAGTCGCGGAGCGTTTCTGGGGGGAGGAGGAGGAACGGGAAATGCTTCGGGGGGCCCCCACTTCTTCAAAATGCCTTAATTTTTTTACAGCAGAGAAAACGAGAATGACTTAAGGGGTGACTGACGCAAAGGGGGCCCCCCGCTTTCACCTTCAGTTAAGCCAAAGTGGGTGCTGGCGCCCCTCTGGGTGGGTGGGATTCCCTAGGGGTGCTGGGGGGCAGCAGGTGCCAATGGCGGTCTGACTTCGGAAAGCTGATATCCTCAGATCCAGTTCCTTTGTTTCGTTGAATCAAACGAAATAGTTTTAACTGGGTTTTGAACAAAATGTGCAATTAATTGCCCCACCCAAGCCAGTTGCTGGAGAAGGAGACTCTGGGTTAATCTCTGGGTTGTGGGTTCGAGCCTCAGGTTGGGGGGAAAGATTCCTGCCTTGCAGAGGGTTGAACTAGACAACCCTCCAGCTCTACAATTCTAGGATTCCTACCTTGCTGGGGGTCGGGCTAGATGACTCCTGGTTCCCCTCCAGTGCTACCATTCCACAATTCTATGCTCCTCCGAGCCAAATACCCCTGATCTTCTTGGGACTCGCTTCCCACTCCCTGGCTGTTACTTTCATGTCACGTTTCCCCCGTGATCACTTGACTTTCTCTCTCTCTGGCAGGCGTCTCGCGGGGCCCGTCTCCCGTTGTCCTGGGTTCGCAGGGCGCGCTCCCCGTGGCAACGGCCTTCACGGAATACATCCACGCCTATTTCAAAGGCCGCAGCCCAGACAGGTAATAAACGGAGGACGGAGGGCAGTGTGTGTTTGTGGGGGTGTTTTTTGGGGGGACCCCTCACCTCATTGCCATTTTCACACCAGATCTGAATGTCTTGGCCCTGCTTCTCGATGCCGTCACTCTCTTAAGCATCAAAATTTGGGACCACCTCCAAACCGATGCCAAAGTTTCGGGCTTCTTTTGTACTGCAAGTCCCATATTTTTTTGCCCCCCCCCAACTGAATACAGTCATACCTCGGGTTACAGATGCTTCAGGTTGTGTGTTTTCGGGTTATGGACATGCCGAAACCCAGAAGTACCAGAACGGGTTACTTGCAGGTTTCGGCGCTCGTGCATGTGCAGAAACACTAAATCACGCTTTGCACATGCACAGAAGTGCCGAATTGCAACTCGTGCGTGCGCAGATGCGGCACTGCGGGTTGCGGACGCTGCAGGTTGCAAACATGCCGCCCGCACGGATCACGTTCACAACCCGAGCGTCCTCTGTAATAGACGCACAAAACTGGTGTTCGTACTCAACACCCCAAACCCTGGCACTTTCCAACTCACTCCAAACTGGTGTGAAACTGCACAGAACGAGTATGAAAGTTTGACACTGGTTTAGAGGCGATCTCAAAAGTTCTGGGTTTGCGTTTGAAGAAGCTGGTGGCCACTGAGGCGACTGAGGGGTGCAAAAACAGCTTTGAAGGGGCCAGGGCCGCTCAGTTCCCCAACCCCATGTGACGTCTTGCGGAGTCGTCCCGGTTCCTGCCAGATCCTGTGCAGTCGCCCCTTGGCTCCCAGAACCAATCCTGGCCTTGATGCCCAAGGCAGGTGGAGAGCTTGCTCCCTCTGCTCAGGACAGGTCAGCTGGGGTACCTGATGCGAAACAAGGCTTTTAAGGTCTCTGTCCTACTTTGCACTCGGGCTCTGGGAATATGGGTGGTCTCTCTCTCCCACAGCCACAGTTTCAGATCTATACACTTTTCCTGTTTTGTGGAACAACAACAATTTTATTATTTTCATGCCGCCCATCCGACTGGGTTGCCGCAGCCGCTCTGGGCAGCTCCCCCCAAAAAAATTAAAATGCAATGAAACATTAACCAGCTGCACTGAACTTCCATTTGCCTCTGCCCGGATCTCTCTGCTCAGTTGGTTGAGCATGAGGCTCTGACTCTCAGGGTCGTGGGTTCAAGCCCCCTGCCTTGCAGGGGGTGGGGCTGGATGACCCTCAGGGGTCCCTTCCAACTCTATGACTTGCAAGCAGATGCGGCAATGTGGGGCAGTGGGCTCTCCCGCTGGCGCTCTTTCGCAGAAGCAAGTGGCAGTCCTTCCTGGGGCGTGAAGGGGCTCCTGGGAGGGGACGGAGAGTGCCTGGATTTGGGGGAGCAAATAGGGCCAGGGGCTGATAATGGCAGGCTCTCTCTCGCCTCTCCTGCAGCTGCCTGGTCAAGGTCACGGGGGAGCTGACCATGTCCTTCCCGGCGGGGATCCTGCGCGTCTTCAGCAGCGCCCCTGCGCCCCCCGTCCTCAGCTTCCGCCTGCGCCACACGGCCGCCATCGACCAGTTCCTGCCCAACACCGAACTCCTCTTCAGGTACCACGGGGGGGGGGGCATAGGGTGCCCCTGTGGGAGAAACTGGAAAAGCCGGGCGGGGTTCTGCTCCCTTCCGCTCAGAGGGTCGGATCCAGCTGCCCTGTTCTGCTTTCTCCCCGGGGCTCCCCCAAACCCACTGCGAGGGACTATGTGGACCCCCAAGAATTGCACGTGGTTGGGGGGAGAATGAGACGGGAGCTCAATCCGTGGGGCAGAGAGCCAGACCTCCAAAAGCAGGGGAGAGCCAAGTTGGCCTGTTGTTCCTACTCTGAGTAGGACTTTGTTGGAGCAGGGAGGGAGAGCAAAGAGGAGGGGGTCCTTCTCCTCTGGGATTGTGGGGGGCACCCCACAGAACCAGACTGACCTCCCGGGTGGTGATGGATTTCTCTTCCGCCCCCCCCCCCAGTGACGCCTCGCAGAGTGACCCCCACAGCAAGGACTTCTGGCTCAACATGGCCGCCCTCACTGCACACCTCCAGAAGCAGGCGGAGCAGGCGCCGGGCGCCCCGTACTACAACGTCACCCTCCTCAGATACCAGGTGGAACAGACGGGCCCTGCGGGTGGTTGGGTTGGGGGAGGGAAGAGCTGAGGAACCTCCCCCCCCCAGTGCTTCCAGACCCCCATCCTCTCTAAGCAGCCCAGGACCACCGGGAGTCCGGAACCAGCCGTGGCTCCTGCATGGCCGGGGGTGGGCTGGATGACCCCCGGGGTCCCTTTTGCTTCAACCTTTCCAAGATTTCTCCCCCGTGGCTCCTGCATGGCCAGGGGTGGGCTGGATGACCCCCGGGGTCCCTTTTGCTTCAGCCTTTCCATGATTTCTCCCCCGTGGCTCCTGCATGGCCGGGGGTGGGCTGGATGACCCCCGGGGTCCCTTTTGCTTCAACCTTTCCATGATTTCTCCCCCGTGGCTCCTGCATGGCCGGGGGTGGGCTGGATGACCCCCGGGGTCCCTTTTGCTTCAGCCTTTCCATGATTTCTCCCCCGTGGCTCCTGCATGGCCGGGGGTGGGCTGGATGACCCCCGGGGTCCCTTTTGCTTCAACCTTTCCATGATTTCTCCCCCGTGGCTCCTGCATGGCCGGGGGTGGGCTGGATGACCCCCGGGGTCCCTTTTGCTTCAACCTTTCCATGATTTCTCCCCCGTGGCTCCTGCATGGCCGGGGGTGGGCTGGATGACCCCCGGGGTCCCTTTTGCTTCAACCTTTCCATGATTTCTCCCCCGTGGCTCCTGCATGGCCGGGGGTGGGCTGGATGACCCCCGGGGTCCCTTTTGCTTCAACCTTTCCATGATTTCTCCCCCGTGGCTCCTGCATGGCCGGGGGTGGGCTGGATGACCCTTCCCGAAAGAGGGAGAGGGAAAGGTTTGTCTTTCTGACTCCCCCCCCCTCTGCCCCTCGACTCCAGTACTCCAAGCAAGGCCCGCGCTGGGCCCCCTTGCAGCTCTCGGTGGACTGGGCCTGTGGGTCGGAGGCCACTCGGGTGCGCATTGACTACAGCTACAACACGGGGGCTTTGGCCTCGGCCGCAGCCCTGGGCAACGTCCAGATCCTCCTGCCCATTGAAGAACCGGCTGCCAACGTCCAGCCCCATCCGAGCGCCTCGTGGTGAGACCCGGGTCTGGTTTTGGGGTGGGGGGGTTGTCTTGGGGAGACCTCCAGCTTCACGGACAAGTTCATGATTACTGTTTATTAAATTAATATTCCGCCCTTGCTGCGTTTGTGGAATATTGATTTATAACGTGTGGTTTTTGTGGGCTGATCAAGTCAAAAGGGACTCTGCTTAACATTTGGGAATACGTGATAGTTAAATAAAAGTCTAAGTCAATGGGAAACAAAGGAGGCGAGAAAAGGGAAAAAAATGCTAAAATGTGTTAATATATTGAAATAGAATTGGGAAAAGTATTTCCTATGTTCACTGTGGAAGTCTTAAGTATGGAAATGGAATTAGGAAATACTTTGATGCATTTTAACATTTTATCATTATTATTTTTTAATTGTTACATTGAGCAGTGAGTAATAATAATAATAATAATAAATTTGTTTATACCCCACCCATCCGGCTGGGTTTCCCCAGTCACTCTGGGCAGATCCCAACATATTAAAAACAGAATAAAACATCAGACATAAAAAGCTTCCCTAAACAGGGCTGCCTTCAGATGTCTTCTAAAAGTCCTTGACGTCTGACGGGGGGGCGTTCCCCAGGGCGGGGGCCACCACTGAGGAAGCATGGCAGGCCAACTTTTAAATGCATATTAAATTTTATACTTGTGTTAAATTAATTATATTGAGGTAAAGGAGGGGAGAGAAACATCTTCATTTGGTCGCAACCCCCCTGCCAGGTATTCTAGGCTGAGAGTGAGTGACTGGCCCCCAAGGCATCATCGCCCAATGAGCACTGAGCAGGGAGATTGGGACCCTGGTCCCTCGCTGGTCCTAGTCCAGCACTCTAACCACTGCGCCACCGCTGCCTCCACAAATCTCAGCTAGATAGGAACCAGGGGGTTGGGCTGGATGACCCCTGGGGTCCCTTCCACCTCTACTGTTCCACGAATGGTCTAGCTCAGCAGAAGGCAGCTTTGGCTACATCAATCTGTCCTGTTTCAATCTTTTTGGGAGCCAAATTCAGGGTGACCTCTACTCAGAGTAGACTCACCGAAACCAGAGCAAGCTCAGTGAGCCACGCCAGCTGATTTGGGCAGGTTCTGCTCCGAGTGAGATGCCACCTCCGGAGGAAGAAGTGGCTTATTTTATTTTGCAAACGACCAAAAAACAATTTCCAGAGAAAAAAGGGATAAATCTGTCCTCTGGGGAGGTTGCCTAATCTCGGCGTGGAGCCCCGGCTGGTTCTGCCACCCAGAAAGTCCCCGGGAGTCAACAGTTTCTTAACGGGGACCAGAAATGCCTGTTGGGCGAGTCGCTCTTTTGCAAGAGGCCCCAGGGCACGACAGTCATCATAATCTGCCTAAATCTGCCCCAAATTAACAGTGAGTCACCAGAGGCAGCCTGGGGAGCAGGGCTGAGCTTGGGTGCTGGATCTCCGGTGACCTTGGAGATCTCACAGGACCTGCAATCCAGGGGTTGGGGGACCCCAAGTTTAGCGGGAGCCAAAAAGGGGGTGAAGCAGCCCACCTAGTCCAGCACCCTGTCCTCCCAGTGGCCAAATGTCCCCAAGGACTGGGGAATGGAGATAGACTCCTTCTGGACCTGGAGGTTCTACAAGAGTACAAGAACCTGCTGGATCAGGGAAATGGATCTTCTGGTCCAGCATTCCGTTCTCACAACGAAAAAGGCAAATGCAATTCCACCAGAAGTCTCTGCCCCTGAATCCTGGGAACTAGTTTGCTAAGGGAGCTGGGAATCATAGCTGCACAAGGGCTAAAAGGCTCCCCTGTTTTAAGAAGGCTTTTAACTGTTTTTCAGATACCAAGTTGTTTTATTGCTTTTTTTGCTTGAGCATGAGAGACTTAATCTCAGGGTCGTGGGTTCAAGCCATGTTGGGCAAAATAATTCCTCCCTTGTTGGACTAGAGGACCCTTGGGTGACCCTTCCAAGCTTGCACTTCTAGGATTCTGCACCCCCCAGTTCATTGGCCCCCAAAAGCAAGCAGATTCATTTCCCAAAGGGGAAAGGGAGTCTTGTGGCTGGCCTCCGTCTGTCTCGAGAAGCAACGGAGTGTGCCTCCGGGGGTGAAGCCTCAGCAGCCCCCAAGTGACCTCCTTGGGGGGCAAGCCAGGGCTGTGTGTCTGGGGGTCCGGGGCTGCCCAGATGGCAAGAGGCCCCCCTCGGCCTGGGTGACGGAGGTTTCCTGCATTGCAAGGGGTTGGGTGGATGACTCTTGGGGTCCCAACGCTCCTCTTTTTTTATTCTGTGAGAGCAAGGGGTTGGGCCCAGCCTGGCTGCAGGAATTGCTGGAAGGCGAGATGCAAGACTGTTTGAGGGGCCCAACTCCAGCTTGGCTCCAGAGCCTTTTCTTCTCCCACAAGCCAGCGGAGGTTTAGGGTCCAAGTTTTCCTTCCTTCCCAGGTGGACAGATCCCACAGCACAAACAGAAACCGCCTTCTTGACCGTTGGACCCCCCTCTTGGTCTTGCCCACTCCCTCCATCAGAGCCTGTCTTTGCACGCAGGGGAAGCCCCTAACTGGCCGGGGGTCTGAGATCCTTTGGCTCCCCTCACCTGCTTCACCTGGCCAGTCAAAGCCATTCCCAGGGGAGTCCCTCAGGGATAGAAATCCTAGAATCCAATGGAGGGGAAAATATTAGCATATTAGAATATCTAACTGTGAAGATACATAAAATGAAAGGGTTTAAGGTCAGGGAGGAGGAGGAGGAGGAGGATTGGTTTGAGAAAATATTGAATTATTTGGGCAGGTTTGAACAATTTGTGGCAATTAAAATGTTAAAAGTTAAATAAACCTTGTGGAGGGAGGAGTGTTAAGGTATATGGAATTGTACATATGGTTGATTTGAATATGTTATTATTGATTATGTATACCCAATGTATCAGCCGCCTGGGGGGCTTTCACTGTTTGTTTTCACTGTCTGTGTTTTGGTTGTTGGTTATATATATATATATATCCTAGAATCATAGAATGGTAGAGTTGGAAGGGGCCCTGAGGGTTATCCAGTCCAACCCGCTGCAATGCAGGATTGGCAGTTGTCCCTTGCGGGGATCGAACCTGCGACCTTGGCGTCATCAGCACCAGGCTCTCACCAACCGGGCTCTGCAGCAAAATGTACAAATGGCCCAACCAGCTTGTCTCTTTCTCTCCCCTCTTGCAGGAACCTGGAGGAGAAGCGATTGCTGTGGCGGCTCCTGGACCTCCCTGGCACCCCAGGGCACCCAGGTGAGCTGGCCAAGGGGTGGCGCGGATGCCAGGCTCCAGTCCGGCTGGTGGGCGGCTCTTCTTCCTCTTGCCCGCCCCCTGCGCAGGGAAGCAGCGGCTCTCTGGAACCTGGGGGGCCCCATCTCCTTCGCTTGGGTCCATCTCTTCTTCTCTTTTCTCTGCAGGATCCGGCCGCCTCCTGGCCAGCTGGGAACCCCTGACTGGTCCCAGCAAGCCCAGCCCCGTGGCAGCCCAGTTCACCAGCGAGGGGAGCACCCTTTCCGGGGCAGATGTGGAGCTGGTGGGCAGCGGGTACCGCATGTCGCTGGTCAAGAAGAGGTTCGCCACAGGTAGTAGGAATGGGGGCTGGCAGAGTCGGGAGGGGCACTAGCGGTCATCTAGTCTGACCTGCTGCAAGGCAGGAATCCCAAAGTTCCCCCCTTGCTCTCCTTTTCCAGGGATTTACCTCGCTGGCTCCTGATCAGACCCCGTCCCAGCAGTCGCCTCCGGTTTGTTCCAAAAGTGTGTCTTGCGACAGGAAGGAGATGTTTGCGTGTTTTTAAATTATTTTTCACCTGGATTTTAAAACACTGGAGTTGGGGAGAGAGAAGCAGCCACCCGGGAATGGAGGAATGGAGGAGGAGGCGGATCCGTGCGCAGTTCGAGGCGGAAGGGATTTTGCACCGAAGGGCAAGACGTTCCTCCCTTACTACAAATCGCTCCATATTATTTTTATTGTTATTTTGTATTCTCCATCTTTCATTCCTAAGCTGCGTCACAGCCCAGAAGTCGGGAGGAGGCGCTCTCCCATTTTCCAAGCTGCTAAGGGTGAAAAAAAAAGGGGGGGGAATTGCTGTTGGAAAAGTTGCTCTTTTAATAATAAAAACCACTTGTTTTTCTAAAAAACGACTTTGTGTGCGCTGGTTTTTAAAGTTTCCTAAAATCTTTCTTTGAAACACATTTACAGCATAAGCAGATTCCACGCTGACAAATTCAGGACGCAGAAAAGGAAGTACCTTTGTCACCCGGCGCTTAGCTGGACTGCGGAACTCCTTCCCACTGGAAGTTTTCCTCCTTTTCTCATTAGAACTCTCAGACAATCAGGTGAAGCTGAACATTGGGAGATTTGAGAGAGGAGAGGAAGGGCTTCTTAGATAAACTGGACTCTTTGCCACAAGAGGCAGTGGATCAGGCATAGTAAATAATAATAATAATAATAATAATAATAGACAGTTGGAATGTTTTATTATTATTTTATTAGAAGAATTTCATTTATAAAAAGAGAAGAAAAAGAAAAGAGCAAATGAGGATGGAAAAGAAAGAAAAATAAGTTATTGACAATTATATGCACATTAGGATAATAAGAATATACACCATTGTATATTAATGCTTGGTAATATAACAGTGTTTTTTCCATTTTTTAAAATTGTTGGAACATAAGAAGGGGCTACTGGGTCATGCCTAGCAAATCATCATCATCATCATCATCAAATATCCTGTTCTCACAGTGGCCAAGCAGATGCCCATTATGGGAAACACGCAAACAGGATTCGAACACAAGACCATCCTCTCCTCCTGAGGTTTCCTGCAACTGCCACCCAGAAGCATTTCCACTGGCAGGGCACAGCCATCCATGGCCACGAATTGGCCCTCATCCTCTTTTGCAGCCATCCAAGTTGCTGGCCATCGCTACATCCTGTGGCAGGGAGTACCACGGTTCAGCTCTGCTGCTTCCTTTTATCTGTCCTGAATTTCACAACACTCAGCTTCATTGCACGTCCTCAGGCTGTGCAAGACAATGGTGGAAGGGGAGAAGGAATGTGTGTGTGTGAGAGAGAGAACATCCAGTGCAAACAGGGTGTCTGCAAGTAAGCCTGCAGGTAGAACAGGAAAGTCTGGTCAGAGCCCCTGACTGTTTGCTCAGGGATGGTGACACGGCCGCTGCGGAAGGCGTTCATCATGCCTGGGGAACAACAAACTGGGCATAGCTGCAGGTGCTGTTCTCCTAGAAACAGCGTTGGAAGGGGCACCCAGGGGTCATCTAGCCCAACCCACTGCAATAATTAAAATAATAATAACAATATATTATTATTTATATCCGGCCCATCTGGCTGGGTTTCCCCAGCCACTCTGTGCGGCTTCCAACAAATTATTAAAATACAATAGTCTGTTAAACATTAAAAAGGTTCCCTAAACAGGGCTGCCTTCAGATGTCTTTTAAAATGCATTTCTGGGTTATTTGTGGGGCATAGGAATTTGTTCTTTATTTTTCTCTCCAAAATGTAATCCGGCCCCCCACAAGGTCTGAGGGACAGTGGACCGCCCCCCTACTGAAAATGACCCCTGGTGTTTGCTGACCCCTGGTGTAGTTAGTTCCTGCAGGGCCAGAATCGCAACTATACCCCCATGGTCAGCCTACCAGTTTCAGAACTCTCCAATTAACTCTCCAACATCTTCTGAGGTCAAAGAATCTCAGGAATATAGGGTAGGAAGGGACCCCAAGGGTCATCCAGTCCAACCCCCCTGCAAAGCAGGAATCTCTGCTAAAGCACCCTGGCAGATGGTCAAACAACCTCCACTTATGAACCTCCAAGGAAGGAGAGTCCGCCACCTCCTTTCCATGGTAGAAAAGGTCTTGCTGGCATACAGACAACCTCTGCATACATTCCAGTTTGCCAGCACCCTTCTTAAATTGTGGCACCCAGAATTGGACACAGGACTCCAGGTGTGGTCTCACCAAGGCAGAAGAGAGCAGTTCTGTTTTTCCCCTTGATCTGAACACTAAAGGTAAAGGGACCCCTGACCATTAGGTCCAGTTGCAGACGACTCTGGGGCTGCGGCGCTCATCTCACTTTATTGGCCGAGGGAGCCGGCGTACAGCTTCCAGGTCGTGTGGCCAGCAGGACTAAGCCGCTTCTGGCGAAGCAGAGCAGCGCACGGAAACGCCATTTACCTTCCCGCCAGAGCGGTACCTATTTATCTACTTGCACTTTGACGTGCTTTTGAACTGCTAGGTTGGCAGGAGCAGGGACCGAGCAATGGAAGCTCACCCCGTCGTTGCGGGGATTCAAACCGCCGACCTTCTGATCGGCAAGCCCTAGGCTCAGTGGTTTATACCAGAGCACCACCCGCGTCCCTTGATCTGAACACTATGCTTCTCTTTATACAGCCTAGAAGAGCACTCACTTTTTCTGCTGCTGCATCACCCTGTGGACTCATGTTCAGCTTGTGGTCCACCAAGACCCCTAGAGATCCTCTTCACAGGTCCTGCTAGTAAGCCAGGTGTCCCCCTTCCTATATTTTTGCATCTGGTTCTTCCTGCCGAAGTGCCAAACCTGACATCTGTCCCGACTGAAATTCATTTGTTAGCTTGCGCCCAGGTCTGCAATGTGTTGTGGTCATTTTGAATCTCCTGTGACCCCTCCTAGTTTGGTGTCCCCTCAATTCATTTTTTTCCAATTTAATTTTTATCAAGTTTCAACATTTTAAACATACAGTTTTATTCTCAGATGAGCCAAGAGTCATAAATCAGTTTCAAAGAATAGCCATCTCATCGGCTTTCTCCGCCTTTGTCTATGCAGGTCGCTCAAATAATACATTTTGTAACTGTGGTTACCTGAGCTCAGTCACTGCGCAGGCAAGTGGAACAGAGTCTGAGATGGCTCAACTGGTAGAGCAGGGGACTCAATCTCAGGGTCGTGGGTTCGAGCCCCGCTTTGGGCAAAAGATTCCTGCATTGCAGGGGGTTGGACTGGATGACCCTCAGGGTTCCCACCATCCCTGCAATTCTATGATTCTGTGATTCTTTACAAAGCCTCCATGAATCGCCAACAGAGACTTAATTACAGACTTCTGATCCCGAGTAGAAGTTAACCACTCACAATTTAATCTTAATTCCTTGCTGCTGCTGTGAGCCAGTGTGGTGTAGTGGTTAAGAGCGGTAGTCTCGTAATCTGGGGAACCGGGTTCGTGTCTCCGCTCCTCCACATGCAGCTGCTGGGTGACCTTGGGCCAGTCACACTTCTCTGAAGTCTCTCAGCCCCACTCACCTCACAGAGTGTTTGTTGTGGGGGAGGAAGGGAAAGGAGAATGTTAGCCGCTTTGAGACTCCTTAAAGGGAGTGAAAGGCGGGATATCAAATCCAAACTCTTCTTCTTCTTCTTCTTCTTCTTTTGAGTCACTTTCCCCAATAAGGCTGTTTGCATCGTACTATGGTTAGTCCTTGTCATGATTCTGACCCCCCCATCCTGCCAACTGTACTCTCGCAGCAGTTAAATGATGTGTTCTTTCTAAAGTTTTAAGTTGTGGTGGTTTGCAAACTTTCTGCAGGTTTTAAATTATTATTATTTATGACATTCATCTGTTCACCTGAGGATCACAGGGCAGCGTACAATATAAAAACAGAAAATTACATAGCAAAGTAACAAATGAAAACAGCACGCCACCCCACCCCGTTTAAAAGGCAACAGATGGTTTAATTAGCCAAATTAAATTTTTAGTGATAACATTATCATTTCATCTTCCTTGCAAACCGCTTTCCCTTTACAACCAACTGGCAGATAAATTGTATGAAATAACAATTTATAAAGTCTGTTTTCTTCACCCCCCTTCCCCTACATATTGTTGCAACATTATTATTATTTATTCCATTTATATACCCTTTTATCAAAAGATCCCAGGGTAATATTGCACCAGTAATAAAAACATGATAAAAAGCATGGTAAACACGAATACTGTCAGAGAATCGTAGAACTGTAAAGCATTTATTCATTTATTTACTACTACTATTATTTTTCCAAAACGGGGTGGGGAGAAGACAAAATTGGACCCTGTGGGTCCAGCGAGGGGAAATTAAGCCGCCCAGGTGTTGCCTGGGAGATCTGGTTCCCTTCCTCCACGCCCCTGAGATTATTCCTCTTTTCTCTCAAACACACACCTGTAATCTTATCAGGCTCTCCTTCCACAAGCCAGGCAGGACCTCGCTCTGCTTCCCCCCTTCCTTTTTGGGGTGCTTGGAGCCGACCTTGCTCTGGGCGTGGGGGTACCTTCAAGCCCCGCCCCTTGGCCGTGCCTGGCCCCGCCCCCTTACCTGCCCAGGTGAGTCAGGCTACCAGGTGCGCGAGGCAGACGGACTCTTTGCCGGAGTCCTGCAAGGCGGAGAGGAGGCTCAGTCTCTGGGTGAGTCCATTCAGAAGCCTTGGTGCCTTTGGGGGGGGGGACAAAAAACCCCAATTAGAATTAGGATGTGTGTCTGTAGACTATTGTATTTTAATATTCTGTTGGAAGCCGCCCAGAGTGGCTGGGGAAACCCACCCAGATGGGCGGGGTATAAATAATAAATTATTATGATGATGATTATTCTCCAGATAAGCACAATAAACCCATGATAAAGAAATATTGTCACAGCAGGTTCAAAGCAGCATTAGGCTGGACTTTGTCTCTGAACTTGTTGATCCAAAACATTGCCAAAAAAATAAATAAATCTATTTCCTCCCTATTAACACGCAGGGCTGGTTGTAATTATCTTACTCAGAGTTTCCAGATTTTTCTCAACCTATCCAGGTGTAGTGGGACATGTGCTTTTTTCCCTTCCAGTTTTTAGCTGTTATAACCTTAAGCACTTTTAAGCTATTATAACCTTAGCATTTACCTTTTAGCTATTGCTTTATAATCTTAGTGTTTGCTTTTTAGCTATTATAAATCTTTGCAGCTGTTAAACACTATTTCTGGATGAAGATTAAAAAAAAAAACTGGCAAGAGTTAAATGGTATAAAAAGTAAATAATCCAAAAAATGAAGAGCCATACTGAGCAGTAAACAGGCACAGCGGTGATCAGCCCTGCAGGGATTGATGTCCTCCGTGCGGCGCTGGTTTGGGGCCTCTGGGAGTTGTAGTTTGGAAGAGCTGGAAGAGACTGGCGCCCTGCAGGCTGTTCCAGAAGATGCTTTCATTTATTCTTATGTATTTATTTATACGCCACGTGAAAGGGACTCAAGGCAGCTGACATATAAAAGCAAGAACCGCATTTGGGGGGGGGTCATTAAAAAGCAGTTAAACATTGATAGAAATAAGACTATCTATTTCTATAAAATCTGTTTTAAATAGAAACAGCAGCAACTTTTCATTAAAGCAGTCAGCTCCCCAAAGACTGTTGGAACAAGGAAATCTTCAGCCAGGAAGGATCTGGGCTGTTTTCCTGAGGAAGGGAGTTCCAAAGATCCCAGCCAGTGAGAAGGGGGAATGTGGCTCTCTCTCTCTCTCTCTCTCTCTCTCTCTCTCTCTCTCTCTACATGTGAACTGTACAACAATCCTTCTAGGAAGGCTAGACTGAGAGGCTACACAGCTGGCTCCCCAGGTCAGACCTTTCATGGCCAGGTGGGGGGATTTGAACCCCACAATGTCTCCAGGTAGGGCTGGAAGAGGCACCCTTCCCCCAGTCCCGGAGATCTGCTGCCAGCTGAGCTGGAAGACTCAGATTTATCCCTTTTTTCTCTGGAAATTGTTTTTTGGTCGTTTGCAAAATAAAATAAGCCACTTCTTCCTCCGGAGGTGGCATCTCACTTGGAGCAGAACCTGCCCAAATCAGCTGGCGTGGCTCACTGAGCTTGCTCTGGTTTCGGTGAGTCTACTCTGAGTAGAGGTCACCCTGAATTTGGCTCCCAAAAAGATTGAAACAGGACAGGTTGATGTAGCCAAAGCTGCCTTCTGCTGAGCTAGACCATTCGTGGAACAGTAGAGGTGGAAGGGACCCCAGGGGTCATCCAGCCCAACCCCCTGCCCTGGTTCCTATCTAGCTGAGATTTGTGGAGGCAGCGGTGGCGCAGTGGTTAGAGTGCTGGACTAGGACCAGCGAGGGGCCAGAGTCCCAATCTCCCTGCTCAGCCTTACAGAGCTCATGGGGTGATACTTTGGGGGCCAGTCGCTCACTCTCAGCCTGACTTTGAGGACTTGTTCACAACTAGGAATCGCAGCTAGATTATCAGAACTATACAGCTGGAATCTCAGGGTCATGGGTTTGAGTCCCACGTTGGGTGATATATTCCTGCATTGCAGGGGGTTGGGCTAGATGACCCTTAGGGACCCTTTCCATTTTGATGATTCTGTGTGAAATGGCTGACCTCCTCACCACACAGCACTGCCCTGGGTGGACCTCGCCTCATTTTTGGCCACCTTGGATTGAGTCCAAAGAGGCTGATGGCAATTTCCACCCGCAAAGAAACCAGCTTAGCTGCATTCTGAGCTAGCAGAATGTCCTGGGCTGGATTTCTCTTGGGGCCAGTTTTGTGTGCAATGCAGAGGCGAATGCCGTGCGGTGGTGTGCTTGGAATGTGACTTGAGGTGGGGTCTGCCCGATGAGGGAGGGGTCCCCTTTTTGACGCGGCCTCTGGTTTGGTTGCAGCCCTGCAACATTCCACCGGTGACAGAAGAACTACCTGATGGGATCAGGCCAGCTCCTGCTCTCAGAGGTGCTCAGAGTTAAGCTGTGGAACTCCCTGCCACAGGAGTGGCCACCAACTTGCATGGCTTTCAAAGAGGATTGGCCAAATCCATGGAGGAGGAGAGGGCTATTGATGGCTACTAGCCAGGGTGCCTGTGCTCCACAGTCAGAGACAATGTGTACTCCTGAATCCCCGTGCCTGGCATCCCCAGGAGGGGAGAGGGCACTTTTGCTGGAATCCTGCTTGCAGGGCTTCTGTGAGAACAGGATGCTGGACAGACGGGCCCTTTTTGGGTCTGATCTAGCAATTCAGCTCTTCCTTTGGAACCTCCAGGTCCAGGGACAGTCTATCTGGATTCCTCAGCTCTTAGGGATCTTCAGCCCCTGAGAAGACAGGCATATCGAATCATAGAAGTGCAGAGTTGGAAGGAACTCTGAGGATCATCTCATCCAAGCCCCTGCAAGGCAGGAATTGTTAGCAGGGAGAATCATAGAAATGTGGAGTTGGAAGGGACCCTGAGGGTCATCCAGCCCAACCCCCTGCAAGGCTCAATCTCAGCTAAAGCATCCCAGACAGAGGCCCACCCAACCTCCAAGAAAGGAGAGTCCACCACTTCTCATGGGAGTCTGTTCCACTGTCAATCAGTTCTTGCTGTTGCAAATAAGGAAGAGACACTCCCTGCGTTTCCAAGAAATGGCTGGCTGTGGAAGCATTACAGTGAAAGACCTTGAAGCAGAGTGGTGGCCATTGCCTTCAAAATTATAGGCAGGGCTCCGTCTGCCGGCTTCATTGTTTCCTTCATTTGGTGCAGGGATTTTATTTTCCGCATAAACAGGGCTCTGTTTTTGCACCTACATGCAGACCACTTTTCATGTTCTCTGAGACATGGAGAAAAAGGGAAAGCGGGACATTCTGGGGTCAAGAGGGAAACTGGGACAGCATTTGTAGTTCCGGAACTGTCCCTGGGAAACTGGGACCCTGGAGGGTCTGCAACTGCCTCATTGGGGCAAGACCTGCTGGGGAGAGGTGCTCATTAGCCCTCAGTGCAAAGCAACTTCTGGCGTTCCATTCAAACCCATCCTTTTTTCCAAAAGCATGAGGTCTAGAAACTTAGCTCCTGCAGAAGTCCTCAGGTTCAATCCTGAAATCTGCCGGAAAGCCACTGCAGGGTCATCTAGTCCACAGCCCACCCAGACTGGTAAATAACGCGGCTCCCTGTGTTTTGATGAGTGAAGCACCCTGAGATAAATATATCAAAGAGAGCATTTCCCAACTGGTCTGGAGTCAGTTTGTGCCTTAGCAAAGTCGATGCAGGAAACTGAGTTATTAATGCCTTCCGGAAATTGTCGGAGGTTGCAAAACAGGCCCCTAAATAGCTAGAAAGGGAAGCGAGAGCGGAAGCAATGGCTTCAGGTGCAAGCAGAGGCCAAGGGCAAGTTTCTTGTTTGGAGCAAAACAGGAGGACAGATGAGAAGAGGAAGTCTCAGTATTTGGAACCGGGAATTAAATTTGCTGCGAGGTGCAGGGAGTTCCTTTCTCCGAAACAGACCAAAGAACTGCTCAAGTCGAAGATGCAACTGGCAGAGGGCAGGATCCAAACTGGCGGATTCAAAGGGTGAGGAAGGCGATTCTGGCTTATCATCAGGAATAAGTTTCTGAGGGTAAGAGTCCTTCGATGGCAGAGTGGACTCCCATGAAAGAAGGTGTTGGGAGGTTTCTAAGCAGAGGTTGGGGGGCCACCTGACAGGGATTCCTGTGCTTCCTGCATGGCAGGGGGTTGGACTGGATGACCCTCGGGGTCCCTTCAACCCTCCAATTCTATGACTCCATTTCACCATCTTGAAAGGATTTTTAAAGTTTCTTTTCTTTTCTTTTCTTTTGCATTTTGGGAATTTGTTCCTTGCTGCCTTTGCACTTTGAAACCTCTCTGGGCTGGCTGTGCAGATTGTTTGCTGGGAGATATTGCCAGATAAGGACTCCTTTAATTGGAGCCTGTGGCTTGGAAAAAGCAAACAGGGAGATAACAAGCGCTTGGCACCAGTGGCTCTGCGGGACTTGTTGCCACAACACACACACAGAGAGAGACCAAGTCTTGGCTGGGAAGGAGGAAGAGGATCGAGGAATACAATGGTACCTCGGGTTAAGTACTTAATTCATTCTGGAGGTCCGTACTTAACCTGAAACTGTTCTTAACCTGAAGCACCACTTTAGCTAATGGGACCTCCTGCTGCCGCCACACTGCCAGAGCACGATTTCTGTTCACATCCTGAAGCAAAGTTCTTAACCTGAAGCACTATTTCTGGGTTAGCGGAGTCTGTAACCTGAAGCGTATGTAACCTGAGGTACCACTGTAATTATAACCACAGGTCAGAGAAAAGGAAACTAGGGGAAGAAGAGGAGCTTGGATTTGATATCCCGCTTTATCACTACCCAAAGGAGTCTCAAAGCGGCTGACATTCTCCTTTCCCTTCCTGCCCCACAACAAACACTCTGTGAGGTGAGTGGGGCTGAGAGGCTTCAAGAAGTGTGACTGGCCCAAGGTCACCCAGCAGCTGCATGTGGAGGAGCGGAGATGCGAACCCGGTTCACCAGATTACGAGTCCACCACTCTTCACCACTACACCACACTGGCTCTCAAGAGACTTAAACCTTTGCTGTCTCTTGTCATGTCCTTGGAGAGTCAGGCAGGGTGTTTACAGTCCAGAGCTTGCCTAGATGAAGAGAAGGAGAAGCCCTCCAGGTGCAAAAGGACAAGCCCGCAGTGATGGTGTTGTTGTTTTTAAATTTAATTGTAGAGTTGGAAGGGACCCTGAGTGTCATCTAGACCAACCCCCTGAAGTGGCCAAGGTGGGGCTCAAACCCATGACCCTGAGAGCAAGAATCTCCTGCTCCAGCTACCCCCCTCCATCAATGCACAGTTCAGGGCTACAAAGAATGGTGTTGCAATCAGTATTACAGCATTATTGTATTTTGTTTGTGAGTTAGGCTCATAGAGTTGGGAGGGACCCCTGTGTGGGTGCCTAGAGGCGGTTGGGGGATGGAATGCGGCAAACAGATTGAGGTTGGATCCTGACAAGACAGAAGTACTGCTTGGGGGGACAGGGGGTGGAGACTTCCTGGTCCTGAAGGAGAAGGTGCGCAGCTTGGGAGTCATTTTGGGCTCACAGCTGTCCATGGAGGCGCAGGTTAATTCTGTGTCCAGGGCAGCTGTTTACCAGCTCCATCTGGTACACAGGCAGAGACCCTACCTGACCGCAGACTGTCTTGCCAGAGTGGTGCATGCTCTGGACTACTGCAATGAGATCTCCGTGGGGCTACCTTTGAAGGTGACACGGAAACTACATCTAATCCAAAATGTGGCAGCTAGACTGGTGACTGGTAGTGGCTGCCAGGACCATATTACACCGGTCCTGAAAGACCTACATTGGTTCCCAGTACGTTTCTGAGTACAATTCAAAGTGTTGGTGCTAAACGTCCTTGGCCCGGTATACCTGAAGGAGTGTCTCCACCCCCATCGTTCAGTCCAGACACTGAGGTCCACCTCCGAGGTGGTTCTTGCAATCCTCATTGCAAGAAGTGAAGTTGCAGGGAACCAGGCAAAGGGCCTTCTTGGTAGTGGCGCCTGCCCTGTGGAACGCCCTCCCATCAGATGTCAAGGAAATGAACAACTATTTGACTTTTAGAAGACATCTAAAGGCAACCCTGTTTAGGGAAGTTTTTAATGTCTGATGGTTTATTGTGCTTTTAATATTCTGTTGGGAGCTGCCCAGAGTGGCTGGGGAAGGCCTTTGCAGATACGTTGCCATTATTTTCTCTTGACATTAGGAGCTGCCCAATTCAAAGTGCTGCTTTTGTGTGTGTTTTTTAAATAATATTTATTGATAATTTCAAGATTACAAGAAAAATAAAAAATAGCAAACAACACTACAATACAAAAAAAGAAAAAAGAAAAAGAAGACAATAAAAAAAGAGAAAAGCACAAAATGTAAAAAAGAGAAAAAAAGAGAAAAAAACACAAATCCCAAATTGCATATCCATAATTTCCATTTGCTTGTTTCATTGACCTCCTCACACCTCCGTTTTTGTATTCTAGTTTAGTAATTATTTCAGCAAATTCTTTCCATCTTTCTCAATTTTTGTTATAAAATTTATCTTAACAATTTAACCTAATAATTAACTCAACAAATCCTTACCATCTTTCCCCATATTCTATTATTCAGATCACCTTAATTTATTTAACCTTATCTTACCCCTAAGTGCCTTAAAACTTAAATCTTAAATTTCAAATATTCATAACTCCTAATATCGTTTCTGCTAGAGTCGTATAGTTTCATTCCCACATTTTCCCTAATATTCATTAGCTGATTCTAAAATAAAAAGGTTTCCATTATAAATTCTCTTCCAATCATCATCCAGCGTCTCTTCTTCCTGGTCTCAGGTCATGTCAGTCCTTATTGTCCTTATTGTCCATTCTGTCTAGTCCATCAACCTGGAAGCCTTATGTCCGAGGCCCTTAAATCTCTTCCATGTCCCTTCTGCAATTCTTCTTCATCTTGTTTGTGCTTGCCCTTTTCCTTGTCTCTTGTTGGTCTCTGTCTTAGTTTCTTTCCTTTCTCGTTGAGGAGTAGGTCTCTGGGGGATTCCAACCCAAAATTGTCTCCATCACCCTTCATCCAGCTCGCCCATTCCCCACAGTCCCACTCCCCACAGTCCTCGATGTAATCCAAAATGAATTTAAAATCAAATTTCAGAGTCTCTCCAAAGCTAGAAGTCTCCTCATTTCCAGACTCCCCTTGGCCCACTCCAGTTTCAATCTTCAATAACAGTGGCTTATGCTCCTGTAGGACCTCGGGTCTCTCCATTTGTACTATTTGAGGTGCAGCCACATCCTCCTCCATTGTCAATTGCACTTGCCCAGTCGGTACAGATTGATAGGTTGGTTCTTGGATGATTTCTGTATCAATGTTATTAACCACAACAGTCAAATCCAATTTCTCATTCATCAAGTCCATCTTTTCATGCATCTGTTCCAGCAGAGCATTTGTCTTGCATAGAGCAAGCAGCCAGTCTTTCTCCCAGCTCATCTTTGTTCAAGGTCGAAAAAGTCTGTTCCCACAGTCTTAATCTCACCGATGTTGGGTCTCAAATATGCTGCAACAACAATTTAGCAAGCTCCCTCTAGAGGAGACAATCTACTTGTAGCCATTTTTTTTTTTTTAAAGACAAAGGAAAGTTACTTTCACTTTTCAGATATTTCAGACGTTTTTCAGATATTTTGTTTCTTTAAGATGCAAAAGGCAACATTAGAATCAACTTGTTTCTCTTCACTGGCTATCTGTCAAAGTGTTACGTTCACCGTCAATGAACCTCAGCAACAGTTTCTGTCTCTGACACCCCGTTCCCAGGTTAGAGACGATGGAAACTTATCCTTCTTCACTCCCTCTCCTGCTAGAATTAAACAGAGTTCCCCCTCCTTTTCTCCTGCTTCCCAAGGGGGTTTCAGTGGTTCTAAATGAAGGAAATTTAGTCCTTTTTTGACAGCTTCCCGGCTTTAACTTGCAAAATTTTTGCTTTCGTCTATATACAAAGAAACGGAAGGCGGACTTCCTGTTTACACCTTCCCGCTTCGTTACCAAATTAAAACAATTTCTTGATCCAATTTTCCGTTTCTACTCAGCGCTCTCTGGCAATGGCTGTGCGGCTTCACTCCGTGAAAGTAGCAGTCAGTTCGTAGCACAGCGCTTCTCACCCCACTTCGCTCCGGAGCCCCCAGATGGGATTCCCCGCGAGTAGGGGGGCGCTTCTGGTGCCCTGCCGAACCCCACGTTCCCAGGCTTCCTCCACCTGGGATTTCTAGCGGGTCCCCACCTTCGCCGCGGCGGGAAGACCCAGTTTTCACGGAGCCCGTTCCTCCAGTCGGAGGAACTCCGCCATTCACCAATGGCGCTGACCCGGAAGTCCCAAAGTGCTGCTTTTGATCTATAACACCTTAAACAGCTCAGGACAGCATCATCTTTGTCGTCTTCTTCGGCAATCCCTTGTAGCCGAGTAAGATTGTCTTCCATAAACACGGTTTTTAAAGTGCGTCCGTAAGTGACTGTGGAGACCAGTTTTGGATCCACACGTCCTTCCAAGGTGGGGACATTGGTTTCTGGGCGGGAGTTGATCACTGTGCGAATTTGCTAAGTGTTTCTTCCTCTTAGAATGTTTCTCCCTTTCGTCCTGAGTTCGAGTGTCTTCTAAGTCCACAACATCTTTGGTAAAGGCTGTTCTTCAACTGGAGTGCTCACAGGCCAGTGTTTCCCAGTTAGATTTGCCTTGAGAGCATCTTTAAACCTCTTTTGTTGACCACCAGCATTACGCTTTCCATTTTTAAGTTCGGAATAGAGTATTTGCTTTGGAAGATGATAATCAGGCATCTGGACAACATGACCAGTTGATGTTGAAGAATCATTGCTTTGACACGGGTGATCTTTGCTTCTTCCAGTATACTGGCATTTGTTCAAGACAGCAATACTGGACTGCCTTTCCCCATATAAACTGTCCTGGACCCTGAGATCATTCTCTGAGGGCAGTCTTTGTGCGCCTTCTCCAAGACAGGTCTGGAGGGTGGCAGCATGAGAACAGGGCCTTTTCTGCAGTGGCTCCCCATTTGTGGAATATTCTCCCCATGGTGCCTGGTAAATATGCTCCTCTTCTCCCAGGCCTTTGGAGATTAATATCCTAGTATTTTGTGTTCTCATTTTGTATTTTTATGTTGTGATCTACCCCATGATCTTTGGATGAAGGGTGCTATAGAATTTTATTAAATAATTTTTTAAAAAGCACCTGGAGAAGCTGCCAGTTGGGATTGAGCTTGGGACCTTTCTACACACTGTTACCGGAAAAATCCTAGGGCTCCCTTAGACAAAAAGTAAAGACACCAACCAGAGTAAATTGGAGCAAATCAGCAGCCTGTAGGCTTGGCCTTTATTGAACTGTTGCAACAGGGTGCTCTCCTCACTTGCAGGAGAGAGGAAAGGACACAGAAAAATGGTGTGCAAGACCTTATAAAAACTTTTGAAATTCCCACCCTGTAGATCAAGACCACCCCCCAGAAACATCATACATACATCAAAGAAAGGAGGGGTTGAGGGAGGGGTGGTGGTGGTAACCTGAGTGTCCGCAGTCCGTTGTGTTGTTGATGGTCTTCTGTCTGGGACCATCAGGGTTGGCATAGCAACTGGGCAGGGCTACTGTGTATGTACTGGCATGCTCAAGGATTATGGCTGCCCTGTATCAAACCTTCCCCATTTTGTAGTCCTTCCTTCATGGAGTAAAATAAAAGTGGAACAGTGCAAATCCGATGTGTGGTTGGTTTTCTATGAATTTATAACAGAAGCGTAGTGTATGTAGTGTGTGAGTGTGAGTGTGTGTGAAGTTTGTACAAACTGAATGATGGGGGGGGGGTTCCTGCTACAGTGCCACACAAGTGCTCTGCCCACTCAACCCCGGTCCCCCGTGTGGGCCCCCTCCCTCTGGGGGCTGCTGCCGAGAGCACCTCCTACTCTAGCCATTTCATGGAGGCGTCTCAAATCGAGAGCGGCTGGAGCAACCAGCCAGATGGACTGGGTAGAAATAATAAAAGGATTTAAATTAGACGGACAGGAGTCCTCTCCGCAGTCTGCCTCTTTCGTGCCACGAAGGGCTAGAGTGTCCTCTGCACTCTGCAGTTCAGGGAAGCCAACTTATTTGCTTGCAGCTTCTCATCCTTCCTTGATAGACTTCTTCAATTGCACAAGAACACCTTTGTTCACGTGCAGAGTGGGAAGCGGAGCACAAGGCTCTCTGTTTGTTAATGCTTGATGGATGATGATGATGATGATGATGATGATGATGATGTATATGCTGGAAGCCACCCAGAGTGGCTGGGGCAACGCAGTCAGTTGGGCAGGGTACAAATAAGACTATTATTATTATCCTCATTATTATTTGCTAGGATCAGCTGCATGGTTGATGTGACGTCAAACCAAGGTGCTCGAATCTTCCCTCTGGACGCAGCCCTGGTTGCCCCAGGCCACTGAGAAGCCACTTCCTCCTCCTCTTTCCCCCTTCCCAGCATTTCCTCCTCACTGTATGGAAACTGCCCTGGGGTTAGGATGATCCTAGTGCCAGTTTCGAATGTTACTCTTCCAAAACTGGGATGGGTTCCATCAGGAGTGAGGAGCCTGTCCTCTTCCATGTGTTGCTGAACACACACACACACACACACACACACACACACACACACACACAGACCCTTTGGGGTAAAGTTTCGTATTACAATACCTAGTTTTTTGGGGGGGAAATAAAGAAAAAAAAATTATTTCCCCCCCAGGTGCGGGGCTGGGGCAGGGGAAGCCCGAGCTTCCCCCGACCCCAGCCTCCAGAACAGCCTGCTATCCGCTAGCCGTGGGAGAGCTGCGCAAAACTCCTTTTATTAGCAGAAGTCAGCAACTGGAAACAGTAGTGAAACCACTCTGAACATGACGTATTTCCATCTAAGAACGTTTCCAGCATTAGCGAATACACGTGTTAGCAGGTGTTTCCCTAAAATGCGTCCCCGGTCAAGCTCCAGCCAAGCGTTATGTCTCGTAACCAAATCTGTGAGAGGACAAACGGCCGGGGGAAAACTCTGTCTTCTAGGGAGCGTGGGCGCAAGGCTCCTTGGCACACTGTTGCATGCCGGGTGCGAGGTTTGCCTCAGCACAAGCGGAGCGTTACCTCCACATCCCCCTCCTGTTGTGACCAACTCCCCTCCCTGCTGGTCTGCCAGAACCAGAAGAGGTATGAAGCGCGTGGTTGGCTAACACCCAGGTGTAGCCTCAGATTGCTTGGGAAAAGTCCTGAAGAGGAGGGGACTGAGGCGGGAGGAATGGGCAGGGACACCCAAGGGAACCCCCATATGAAGACGGCTCAGAAACAAGGGGTTGGAGGTGGGATGATGATGAATGGCTGGAAGGAGAAGATGAGGAGGAGGAGTGTGGTGTGGGAAGCAGAAGAGGTAACACAGCTTAGTGAGCGGAGAGAGTTGGTGGCAGAGAGAAGTCCAGAATCTGAGGCAGGAGAGGAGGGAGGGTCTCCTCCTCCTGTGGTGGCAAGCTCCTGTCCCCTCTTTGTCTCCCAGAACCAGAAGAGGTATGAAAAGGAGGAAAGGTTGGCTGCATGTAGGTGCAGTCTCCAATTGCTTGGGGAAAACCCTGGAGAGGAGGGGATTTAGGTGGCTATGGGGAGGCCGGGACCTTCAGTCTCTGCAACTGCTTCATGGGGGTAAGAACTACTGGGGAATACCGTATTTTTCGCCCCATAGGGCAGTAGCTTCCAACCTAGTTTTTTTGGAGGGAAATAAAGAAAAAAAATTTATTTCCCCCCCAGGTGCGGGGCTGGGGCAGGGGAAGCCCGAGCTTCCCCTGACCCCAGCCTCCAGAACAGCCTGCTATCCGCTAGCCGTGGGAGAGCTGCGCAAAGCCCGAAGCTTGGGGCGTGCTGAGCTCAGCGCGCCCAAGCTTCTGGGTGCAGGCAAGCTCTCTGCTAGCCGTGGGAGAGCTGCGCGACTTCGCACAGCCCTCCCACGGCTTGCAGAGAGCTGTGCTAAGCCCGAAGCCTGGGGGGGCGCTGAGCTCAGCGGGCCCCCAGGCTTCGGGTGCAGGCCCCCAAGCCGTGGGAGAGCTGCGCGAAGTCGGTGCGCACCGACCCCTCTTGCTCTCCAGGCTTCAGCGAAAGCCTGCATTCGCCCCATAGCACGCACACTCATTTCCCCTTCATTTTTGGAGTGGGAAAAGTGCATCCTATAGGGCGAAAAATACGGTAGTTGCTGTGCTCACTAGGCTTGACAGCCTGTGCAGATCCTGTTTTTGCTAGAAAATGTTAAGATTTTACGTAACTGATGTTGGTTAGTGTGATTAGTATAAATCACATGAGATGCCTGAGAAGAGTGTGGGAACGGTAGACGGTCTTATCTCTTCCGTCAGAGAGTGTTATTGGACTGTACTTTCATTTTGCTGTGTGCTTTCTGGTTTTCTGCCAGAGTTTAGGAGGCACAGACGTGATTATGGGTTCCCTGTATATATTGTGAATAAAACGTAGTTTAGATCTTCGGATGTCTCTATCTTCTTGCTGCGTGATGCCGAAAGACTGGTGTGCACTTTTCGTATGAGAAGTGTTGCAGAGGGGCACTCGGGAGTGAAGGGACATGCCATTCCAGAGACGTGCCTACTGGGAGACGCTGGGAGGTACTGGGGGTCTGCCGTCCCCCCCAGGAGCGCTTGCCAACAGAAAAGAGTCCACTCCTATTTGCATGGTGTGATTTACTTCTGGTTCCTGCCTGGATCAGTCCTCCGTGAGCGTATGTGTGTGAGAGAGAATCTACCTCATTCCCTGAGCTGTAGGGTTGGAAGGGACCCCAAGGGTCATCCAGCCCAACCCCTGCAACACAGGAATCCCTCGTGTGCCTCTCACCCCCTCTGTTCTTCCCTTCTCTCCCAGGTGGACATGTCGCGACGTTGGTCCTACAAGGTGGAGGCGGCCGTCTTGGGTGTGGTGGGCTTCATGGGGCTCTGCTTTCTCCTCCAGACGGACGAGGACCCTGCTGTCTCGACGGAGCCCAGAGCTGCCACCCCAAGTCCATCCGCGCCTGCCGCCACCACCCAGCCCTGGCGCAGCCCCGCTGCCGAGTGCCGCGAGAACATCTCCGTGGCCAGCGTCCCTGGCTTTGCCCAGCTGCCGGGCCACATCCAGGACTTTCTGCGCTACAAGCACTGCAAGGTGTTCCCGCTGCTCCTGGACGTGCCAGTGAAATGCGGGCGGCCCGAGTCCTCGCACGAGGTCTTCCTCCTGCTGGCCATCAAGTCCTCTCCGGGGAACTACGAGCGCCGGGAGATCATCCGCAAGACCTGGGGCCGCGAGCGGACCTTTGAGGGCGTCCACATCCGCAGGGTCTTCCTGGCGGGGGTCCCGGGGAATGCCCGCGATGCCCGCAAGCTTGGCCGGCTGCTGCGGCTGGAGACGGAGGAGCACGGGGACATCCTGCAGTGGGGCTTCCAGGACAGCTTCTTCAACCTGACGCTCAAGCAGGTCCTCTTCCACGCCTGGATGGAGGCTCGCTGCCCCGGCGTGCGGTTCGTCTTCAACGGGGACGACGACGTCTTTGCCAACACGGACAACATGGTGCGCTACCTTCTCGGCATCCCGGGTGCGGGAGATGAGCATCTCTTTGTGGGGCAGCTGATCACCAATGTGGGCCCCATCCGCGAGAAGTGGAGCAAGTATTACGTCCCCGAGCAGGTGACCACCTCCAAGTCGTACCCGCCCTATTGCGGCGGCGGAGGGGTCCTCATGTCCGGCTTCACCTCGCGGAACATCTACCAAAAGTCCCTGGGCATTGAGCTGTTCCCCATCGACGACGTCTACCTGGGCATGTGCTTGGAGAGGGCGGGACTGGCGCCCGCCTCGCACATGGGCATCCGCACGGTGGGGGTGCGCGTGCCCTCGTCCAAGCTCGAGTCCTTTGACCCCTGCTATTACAAGGAACTGCTCCTGGTGCACCGATTCGTTCCTTACGAGATGCTGGTGATGTGGGATGCCATCCACCAACCAGACTTGGTCTGCGGGAAGAAGGTCGTTTTCCGAAACCTCTGAGGCTGGGGGGGGCGGGGATTTTGGATGTGTGTGTGAATGGGGGAAACTGCGATGGAGGATGCCCTTTCCTTGCAGGATTTGCTCCTCTCTCGAACTCGTCTCCTGCAGCAGAGGGCAATGTTTCCTTGAGGGATTTCCCACTCTCTCGAACTCTTTTCCCCTGGACAGAGAACCGCAGGGAGGGTGTGTGTCTCTGTATTTGAGGGGCTGCGGCAGCTATGGGTGGGGTGGGGGGGCTTGTTGGGGTAATTTGTTCTTAGCGCTTCAGTGTAAGCCGAGCAGATGGCTCGGGTGCAGCTGGCTTCTCTTGGACTGGTTTCACTTCTTCAAAGGGGAAAGCCTTTGCAAAAGGGATGGCAATAAAGAATTGAACATTGAAATTGTAGCAGCTTTGACAATCCTGACCCACAACGCAACACGCCTCTGGGGTCTTCCTGGTAGGACGTGCTGCGCCCAGGAACCCCAAAACTCCTTTATCTTACAACTCCAAGGTTGTATGATTCTGTCCTCCTTGTGGAAAAGAGGCAGCTGTGGTTTGAGTTGGGCAAAGGGCAGCCTGGAGTTCCTGCTCGGGGAGGTGGCACTGGGGTGGTGAGCAGCCATAAGGCTGGTGTGGGTGAATTTTGTTCCCATGTCAGCAAACGAAGAAAGGTGGTGCAGGTGGTGCAATGGTTAGTGTGTTGGACCAGGACCCAGGAGAGACGAGGGTTTGAATCCCACCACTCAGCTGTGACGCTCAGTGTGGACCTTCGAGGTGGTTGGAGTCTCTCTCTCCTCTCTCTCAGCCTAGCCTTCCTCGTGGGGGGGACCCCTTCCAACTCTAGGATGCTATGATTTGCAGTGGCTCCTGACTGGATTTGCATTCAGCTACTGTGCTCATCCTTGCTTACATAATTGCTTCTTTTGGCCTTGACTGACAGACGTTAAAGCAGGATGTCCTTCGTAAAGGCCAGATAAACAGGGTGTGTGGTGCCTTACAGGGACTGCCATTGTTCCAGAGCCAGGAATGATTGCCATAATGACGAGCAATCCATCACAAAGTTTCCTTCACCTGTTGCTCAATTTGTACCACAGGCCTGCAATTGTTTGATCTTGGCCCTTGCTCCTGAGGCGCAACGGAGTGTGTCTTTGGGGCGTGGAGTCAAACTGCTGCACTAACAGCACCCAAGTGACCCCCCCTTGGCACAGGCCTGGGTCTTGTGTCTGGGCGTCCTGGGCTGCCCAGACCAGGGGTCAGCAAGCTTTTTCAGCAGGGGGCCGAACTATATGTTTTTTTTGGGGGGGGGGGAATGAACAAATTCCTATGCCCCACAAATAACCCAGAGATGCATTTTAAATAAAAGGACACATTCTACTCCTGTAAAAACATGCTGATTCCCGGACCGTCCGTGGGCCGGATAGCTGTCACTTTCAGATTTGAAAATAAGGGATCAGCAGCCTCACCTGTCCTGGGGACAGTCTACAGGATCTCTAACAATCCGGGATAGCAGCCGGATGCTGTGGGAAACGGCGCTGGAATAAGGGAATTTCCAGCAAAAAAAGGGAAGGTTGACAGCTATGATTGGGCCGGATCCGACCCCCGGGCCTTAGTTTGCCTACCCATGGCCCAGACAATGAGACCTCCCCCCTTGGCCTCACTGATGGAGTAAAAAAGGAAAGCAGAGCAAGACGTTGGGCATCAGCTGGGCTGCCGGAAGGAGGCAGACAAGGCACCATCCAACTGCCTTAGGGACTCCTCTCCAGATTTCTGCAGGGTTTACACATTTATTCTCCCAAAATATCCCACAAGGCAGTGCAAGTTTAGGGTCAGGCTTTTCCTTCTCCCAGATGGACGACCCGCCCCTCACCTCCCTGGAGAGAGGTGTGGCCATGGAGAAGGGGCGTGGCCCAGGGAGAGGGGCGTGGCCTGGGAACATTCTTTTTTTATTATTATTAAATATTTTCTTGATTTACAAAAGTGTGTGTAATGTCTCTTTCGTATCCCCCCCCCCCCGCCATGTAACATTATTACAATTCAGTTTCTTTGTTGAGACATTAGGAAGAAAAGGGGGGTGGAGGTGGAGGGGGGGCTGGGGATCATTCTGAGGGCCGCCTGGTGAGATTTGGAGGGCCACATCCACCTGCTCGCCCTGGAACAAAAAGACTTTTGTCTTTATCTTTATCTGCAAAAGATATCTGCAATATCTTCAATCTGTCTCCACTTCAGCTGAAGAAATGACAGCGCCTGTCCTCAATTTTTTTCATTTATTCTTTAAAACAAAATCTCACAGCCGTTCAGTTCTGCCTGCTCTCCGGTCCTGGAGAGGACGAGGAAAGAGAAATGCAGCAGGCTTGGGTTTGTTTGTTTTTAACTTTTAAAGAATTTTATTAATTTGTGCGACCATAAAGAAGGAAAGAAAAAGATCCTTTAGCAATGAGAGGGAGAGGCAGAGGAAAGCCCCCCTTTTTGCCACCCCCAAAGCGCCCAGCATGGGAAGCGGGGTGGAATGAAGTCCTGGGTTCGAGGTCCAGACTCTGCAGAAGAGAAGGTCAGCAACTCTGCCGTCAGTCCTGGGACACAGGATCCCTGGGTTCAAGCAAGAGAGATCCCGACTCAACATGGGGAAGAACTTCAGGGGCAAGCGCTGCCGGCCCCTCGGAAGAAGGGGCAGGGTCTCCTTAGTTTCATTTGGCTTTTAGGCGTGTGGTTTTGCTTGTGCATCAGAAACTGGATTTTAAGAGATTCAGTTTTCCGGCCCGTCTTCCTCACCTGCTAGCCCCGCACTTTGCAGCGGCTGCTTCTCAGGGCTTCAATTTGGGGCGCCAGCTTGCAGAACGGAGGCCTCTGGGCCGGGGAGAAGGACCAGCAGGACTGCATCAGCGCATAAACCTTCAGGAAGAGGGAGAGGAGGACGGAGGTCAGAACCGGGTGCGATTCCACTCTGTGCCAACGTTTGGTGTGGCTTTCCTTTCCCCTCCATAAATCCTTTATTTATCTATTTAATTGCATTACCTGAGGAGCTCAATGATGTGTCCATGGTTCTCTGTCCACACATTCTTTTAAAAAAGATTATTTATAAATTTCCCACAAATAAAATACAATTTATCAAACATTTTACAATATACATTCACTTAAGAAATTGACTTCCCTCCCACCTTTCCGTGATGTTCTCATGGTTATCTTTTGTTGCTGCATATTATAATTATTCTATACCTTCTTTTCTCAACTTTATTCTTAAAGTAACTTTTGCTGCAGAACTTACTCCAAACCTGCTAGCATATTAACATGTTTTCAATTTTTTTAATTTAATTTTTCCAATTTTAACATTTCCTCCTCGGAGGCTGAACTTTACTAGCTGAACTTGCTAATTCTGCATATTCCATCAGTGTCTTGCTCTGATTTCCCTTCAGGTTGTCTAAATTGTTCGCCTTTTACTCGTTCTCCCCATCCTGATTCTCACTATGACCCTGCGAGGTAGACCAGGCCGAGAGAAGGCGGCGACTGGCTCCCAAGGCCACACCTGGGGAGCTTCATGGCGACATCGGGGGGATTTGAACCCGGCCTCTTCCAGGCCCCAGTCCAGCGTTCTAACCACTCTGCCATGCTGCCTCTCAGTGCGCTCTAGCTTTACACATGCCCCAATCTCCAAGGCATTAGAGATGTCTCTGAGCAGACCTCAGCTGAGTTTCTGAAGAGGAAGGTCACCACAGCTGGGTCCATTCTGTACATTTCAGTTTAAGGGTGCTGGGAGTTGTAGCTCTGTTGGGGGTAAACTATGGTTCCCATGCTTCTTGGGGAGGGGAGACCTCACTTAGAGCCATGAACTCAAGGAGACTGAAGGACTCAGTGCCTGCCCCTGCTTGGTCTAAATCCCACCCCAGAGAGAATCGAGTAGAAGGCACAGGCTTGAAGGAGGGGCCCCATGAGGACATCTAGACCAACCCCTCCTCAAACCTCAGGCACAAGGACGGATCCATTGCCCTCTGCTTGTGGACTCACCTCAGCCGGGCAGTTGGGGGGCGACGGGAGCCTCTGGCTCTGCTTCAGGAGCTCCAAGAGTTGGCAAACGATCATGGGGGGTTTACTGTGCCCCAAAATTCGGAGAAACTCCTAGGTGGGAGGGTGTGGGAGAAGGCAGAGGACAAGGCCAGGGTCACGTGGGGCATGTTATGCCACATACAGAAGTAGTGGGAGATTCAGGGCAGCTAAAAGAAAGCCCTTCTCCGTTAAACTATGGAACTCATTGCCACAGGAGGCAGAGATGGTCGCCACAAAAGAGGATTTGGCAGGAACGGGCTGGATGTGCCCTCTTTGGCCTGATCCAGAATATATATATATATATATATATATATATATATATATGGGCTTTCCTTGCCCCCCTTCCATAGTTCTTTCTAGTTATGCTCAGCTGCTGCATATTCTAATTACTCCATATTAATTCTTTCTCATTATCTCACAACTTAATTGTATGCTGCTGAATTTACTCTAATCCTGCTAGCCTTCAATTTGCTTGCAATGTTTCTTCAAATAACCTGCAAATACTTTTCTGATCTCTTATTTTACTGGTTAAACTTGCCATTTCTGCATATCCCATCAGTTTTGTTGCATGAAGAAACAGATTAAAAAAAATAATTAAAAAATCTCTGGGGACCTAAAAGAAAGGTTCCAGTCTTTTTACAAAAGACCTTTAAGCCCACCCCCACCCCCGTTTCCCTTGGCCAATTGGCTTGTCCACCACATATGATAAAACGATGATCTGGAACATTCTGATGGAGCCTCCAGGACCAGGCGCAGTCTATCTGGATTGCCAGGTTCTTAGATGTATTTGGCCATTGCAAGGACGGGAGACTGGGCTGGGTGAGCCACTGACCCAATCCAGCAACCTCTTTTTGAGTTCTTAAAGGGTTGCACACAAACACACACTCTCTCTCTCTCACCTCTGAGGGGCTGCAGCTTTTGCTCCCGTAGGTGAAAAGCTCATAAAGGACAACCCCAAAACTCCAGACGTCCGACTCCTGGGAGAAGACGTTGTCGGACAGTGATTCTGGTGCGTACCTGGGGAAACAAGGGGAGACACCCATTCATGGCCTTAGATGCTGGTCCTCCTGATTATAGACAAGGGACTCATCTACACCCAGGAAGCTGCCTTGGATTGAGGCAGATCGTTGGTCTCCCAGAATTAAGAGAGGCATGAAGAGGGCAGAAAAGAGGTTGGCTGCCCTCAGGCACAGTCTCAGATCGCTGGGGAAATACCTGGGAGAGGAGGAGATGTAGGCAGTTTGTAGAGGAATGGTGAGAGGAACTGGCTGAGGAACCCCCAAGGGAACCCCCAGGGAAAGAAGGCACAGAGCCTGGGGAGTGGGGGGGGGTGACAATGAGGGGTCAGAGGGAGAAGCCAGGGAAGTGGCAACAAGGCTTAGTGAGCGGGGAGAGTCTGTGGCAGAGAGAAGTCCAGAATCAGAGGCAGAAGCTGAAGCAGGAGAGGAAGGAGGCCAAGAGGCAGAGAGGAGTCTGGCTGGAAGAGTCACGGCTGTCTCCCCCTCCTGCTGCGAGAAGCTCCCCTCCCCGCTGGTCTCCCAGAACCAGGAGAGGCATGAAAAGGGCAAAGGAGAGGTTGGCTTAGTCTCCAACTGCTTGGGGAAAACTCTGGAGCAGAGGTTGGGGGCGGATTTAGACGGCTGTGGGGAGTGGGAACTTTTGGACTCGACAGCTGATTTCATGGGGCAAGACCTACCAGAGATGAGGCTCTCTGCTCATTAGGCCTGACACCCACGCAGAGCCTCTTTTTGCTAAAAAAACCAGTTCACTCCAACTGGCTTGGCGCGATTTGTGCCTTACTCCTGACATCTACACTGAATGGCAGCAGTGGCTCTCCAGGGTTTTCCAATGAGGGGCATTCCCAGCCCTATGTGGCATTGCCATAGGGGACGTCTGTGGACCCATTTCCCCTGACCAAGGCAGGGCAGTGGCGCAGCTTCATGCTCCTGCACTGGGGGGCGCCCAGCGCGTGGGGGGGGCAGCCACGATGGCACCCCACTGGGATCGCGCTGCCGGGGGCTCCCCCCGCATGCCTCTTCCTCCGCCAGTGATTCAGGGTGGACCCATTGAAAAGCATGGACATGACTTTGCTGCGATTCCTGCATTGCAGGGGGTTGGTCTGGATGACCCCCGGGGTCCCTTCCATCTCTGCAACACATCTCTGGCCACTGTTGGGAGGAGAATGAAACACGCCGGCCCATTGATCTCCCGCCCCTCCGTACCAGAAGATGGGGCTTTGGCCCGGCTCCCGCACAACGTAATACTCCTTGTCCTGCGGTAGGATCTTGGCCAAGCCAAAGTCTCCGATCTTGACGTGGTTCTCGTTCTCCACGAGGATATTCCGGGTGGCCAAATCCCGGTGGATATAGCGCTGAGAACCCAGGTAATCCATGCCCTGCAGGGACAAAGGTGAGGGTCAGGATTCGGCCCTGCTCCTCAGGATTCATCCCACTTACCCAAACCTCTCTGTGGTGAATGAGGACCATCTTCCTTTGGCAAAAGGGATATTTCTGCGAACTGCTTAGAGGACGGTGCGTGTGCACATATTTTAAAAATTTGTCTATAAGTCTGGTGCAGCGGTTATATAGTACAGCGGACACTTGGGTTGCGAATGTGATCCGTGCGGGAAGCACGTTCGCAACCCGCAGCGCCGCGTCTGTGCACGTGTGGGTCGCGATTTGGTGCTTTTGCGCATGCGCTGAAACCCGGAAGTAACCTGTTCCGATACTTTGGGGTTCGGTGTGGTGCGCAACCCGAAATCGTGCAACCCGAAGTATCTGTAACCCGAGGTATGACTGTACTGGACTTGGACCTGGGAGAGACCTGGGTTGAAATCCTCGCAAAGCCACAAGCTCACCTTGGGAGCCAGTTGCCACGCCTCTCAGCCTGACCCACCTCACAGGGTTGTCGCAGGGGGGAAATGAGGAGGGGTAGGAGAGCCAGGCTTGCTCCTTGGAGAAAAAGGTGCATTGTGGTGGGGAGGGGCTGGGGGGGGCTAGATGAGCCTCCGTTTCCCTTTCAACTCTGCATTTCTGTCATTCTTTAGCTGTGGTTCCTGCATTGCAGGGGGTTGGGCTGGATGACCCTTGGGGGTCCCTTCCAACTCTACGATTCTACAAAAGACAATAAATAAATATGAATTTGGCTTCAGAGGCCGGATGGGAGCTAAGAGGCAGAAATGTCCAGCGAGTGGATTTCATTTTGTGAAGTTCCTCGAGATCAAGAGTCATTCACAGAATCAGAGAATTGTGGAGTTGGAGGGGACCCTGAGGGTCATCTAGTCCAACCCCTGGCAAGGCAGTGGGGAGGAGGGGGAACAGAGGCTCTTCCGCTGGTGGTTTGGACAGCCCCCCTGCCAGGGATGTTGTGGTTGAGCAGCAGGGTTAGGATAGATGAGCTCTATGACCCCCTTCCCACGCCAGGATTATTATTTTTTAACGTTTGGAAGGCTACCAGTTAGCACTATTATTATTATTTGTAGTATCAGTATTCATTTCATCTCTCTACCGCTTTATAATTTTAAGAACAAAATCTCAAACCTAAATTAAAACATCAAATGAAACAGCTCGGAAAACACATTGAAGAAAGCCGTTTGCATCCAAAGCAGCAAGGATATTATCTCAAAGGCGTCAAGAGGCGACATCGCAGAGGAGGCCTCACCTTGCAGACCTGCCAAGCGTAGAGGAGGAGTTTCCTGAGGTCCAGCCTCTCTCTGTTCTTCTGCAGGTAGTTCCGCAGGCACCCGTTGGGCAGGTACTCCATGACCAGCCGGAGAGAATTTCGGCCTGAAGTTGGGGGGAGACACAAAAGGTTTGTGCTAATTTGGGGGGAGACAAACAATGTCAGTTGTGGCCTTGAAAGAAAAGGGGGAATAGACAGGATCCAGGGTTATGAGAGGCAGGAAAGCCTTCTCCAGGCCAGGCATCATTTGATAAAGCCTTATGGCCCAGCGGGGGGAGACTCTGAATGTCAGGGTCCGGGGTCAGAGCCCCATTAATTCCATGATTTCACGATAGCTCAGCCAGGAGAGCACAAGACCCTCAATCATAGACTTACAGAATGGGAGAGTCTGAAATCTAGTCCAGCCCCCTGCAATTCAGGAACCTTTTGCCCAACATGGGGCTTAATCTCACTTCCGGGTTAGCGCCATCGCCGAATGGCGGACTCCCTCCGAGCTCCGGAGGGAGTCTGCTCGGCAGGGGCTGGGTCCTACCGCGCCGGCGACGCGGGGACCCTTAAAAACCACGGGCACGGAGTCCGTGGACATGGGTGACTCGGCTTGCACCATTAGCGCCCTCCCGACTCGTGAAGGAGCCTTTAAAAAGGCTTCGGATCGGGTGCCGGGGAGTGGCGTGGTGCTTTGAGTCCACTGCTTTCCCTGCCGAGCGCAGCCGCATGCCATTCGACGGAGAGCGCTGACTTCTTCTATTGAAAATTTGGACTATTAACAACAACCCGTGAGTAATTGGGAAACCGGGTTCAAAATTTTGGATTTGGCACGAGCGGGGCGATTTAAAAGGAAGTCAATCCCCCTATTGTAAGCATTCCAAAACAAGGACCGGGTAACCAAGGTCCAAAGGGAAGTATGTCTCTGATAAAAATCATTAATTTCACGATGGGAAATTATAAGAAATGTGCTGGAGGAGAAGAGTGGAGGGTGAGAAGAAAATGCAACCCCCCCCCCTGGGAACCGGGGCGATTCGTGGAGCCTGGTGAAGAGAGACGGAGACTTTGACAGCTGTCAAAGTGGCTGTCAAAGCTGGAGAATATAAAGAGGACTTTATGAGGATCTTGCTGGTTAATTTTGTTATAATTTGCTATAATATGGATATAAACTGTTGGAAAATAAGCAACAATTTGACTTTTGGATTAGAGGATACAAAGTTATTACAATCCCCTAGAGGGGTTTCGGGATACTACAAGAACGGTCGTAAGTGGAAAAATACCCTGGGATTCGCACAGGATTTGTTATCTTCTGGGAAAGCTGCAAAACTGAAAGAGTATTTTGTCTACAGAGGAAGACAATGGAATTTTTATTGAAGAAAGAAAGGGACTGGACGTAAGTTTTTGTTCCTGAATAACAAACCTCTGCAGAGACACTAGATTTCTGAATTTGAAAGTTTTAGCAGCTGAACAGGACAAGAAACCTGAGAAAGTGAGGAATAAGAAGAATAAAGGACTGATTACGACACGGAAAGAACAACGGGAGGAGTGGTAAAGATCAAGGAAATTAAAGGCCTTTGTTAGATTGGACATTTGAAGTCAAATATTATTTAAATTAATAAACTAAAAGAAAACCGGCAAGATGGAATCGGGAGAAATCTGGTTATGAAATGAGACTTCCAAGCTGATAATGTATAGACTGATGGACATGGGGAATTCAAACCGGGGAAGGGGGGGGGGAGATTTGAAATCCAAAGGCTGTGTAACCATTTGTTGAATTTTTCTATATCTCTTATTTTCTATGTCTTTACATAACTTACGCATGTTATTTTACTTTGATCGGACGTGTTTTAAAAAAAGGGAATTTGTGGAAGGAACTGGGGTGGATCTTGGGGAAAATCTTCTTTCTTTTTCTGTTAATGATGTGGGACGGTGGTAAGATTTATACAATTCAATCTGGATAGTGGGTTAAACAAATTAAGCTTTAAATTGGGAGTGAGAGCTTGTAGAACCAAATTAAGGAAAGGGGAATACAATGGGGGGGGGGGGGCGCCAGTCCCAGAAAGTAGGGAATGAAAGTAAGGTTTTTAAATATCTTTTTTCTTTTGTCTTTTTTCTTTGTATTTTTATATTTTTGGAAACTTTAATAAATATGATTTAAAAAAAAAAAAACATGGGGCTTAATCTTAATCTCAGGGCTGTGGGTTCGAGTTCCACGTTGGGCAAAAGATTCTTGCATTGCAGGGGGCTGGACTAGATGACTCTCGGGGTCCCTCCCAAGTTTACAATTCTGTGATTTATTCTATGATTTCATGGCAGCTCAGTCGGTAGAGTATGAGACTCTTAATCTCAGGGTCGTGGGACTGAGCCCTGTGCTGGGCAAAAGATTCCTGCATTGCAGGGGGACAGACTGGATGACCCTCAGGGTCCCTTCCAGTTCTATGATTCTATTATATCTCCATGACCATGCCCCCTCTCCCTCACCTTCCCTCCAAACTCAAAAGCCCCAAGCGCTGCCAACTTCCTCGCAGGGCAGTCTCGGCATCGCCCTCTGCTGAACCTTCCCCAAGCAATCGGCTGTCCCTCTCCCTCCCAGACCCCCCCCTCGGGGTCACCTCGGTTGCAGCAGACGCCCCGGTAGGCGACCACGAAGTCGTGATGCAGCGAGCGCAGGATGGCGATCTCCCGCTCAAAGTCGGCCCGGTGCTCCGACGTGCTTTGCTGCAGCCGCTTGACAGCCACCAGCTCCCCGGTGCTGTCGCCCAGCGGGTCGTACCGGCACAGCTCCACGCTCCCGAAATTCCCCTGCCCACAGCAACGCACAGATTTAAGGACACGAGAACTGGAGAACTAACTCCGAACCCCCAGATTTGGGATCCCCTCCAAACGTGTGCCAAAGTTTTGCAGTGATTTTGCATTTTGCGTGCTTTGCAGCGCCCCACAAAGCAAGCAATCGATACATCAAATGTGGGGTTTGTAGATAACACCCCCAATTCCAGCCGTGTCCAAATCACTTCAAACCAGTGACAATCTTCTTACATTCAGCTGTGTTGGATGTGCATGAGTTCCAGTCTTGTGAGAAAGGGGAAAAAACTTTTCTCTAGCCACTGTCTCCAGGCCATGCCTAGTTTGAGAGACTCCCATCACACTGCCTGAGACTAAAGTTTCATTCACCCCCTCTTCCCTCCTCCTCCCTTTTTCCTTGCCTGCAGTGTGATTTTTCGATGGCAGGGACTGCCTCGCCTTAACTGGGATTGGATGTAAGCCTCTCTGGGAGCCATTACGGGGTGCAAATGCTCTTCATTAAAACGAATGAATCAATACACTTCTCTGACATGCAATTCTCCCCAAACTGATGCTGCGATTCCTGCACTGCAGTGGGTTGTGTGATAGGAATTTTGAGGTCTTAGATATATGGTAACGTTCATGAGTGTGCCAACCAAGCACGTACACAGATCAGCACAGGAAGGCCAACCTGGAACCATTTTGATTCCCAAACTGACCAAATGTTTTCTCTGCAAGGTCAAAATGGAAAAGCCTCCCCATTGTCTTTTCCTTCACAAATTCTGTCTTAAGGGTATGTCTGTGTATGAATAGGGTGAGCCTGTGACCTGGCCCAGGAACTAAGTATTTATCATTACAAAAGATTGGCCAGGCTCCCCAGGCAATCCAATCTAGTAAGCAGGGTATCCAATCAAGTAACCTGCCAGACAGGAGATAAACAACATTCAAATTTCTGTTTTAGACCGCCTTTTCTGTGATGTAGCTGTGATGTATCTGAGGGGTGGTCTTAGGTTACACCCCTTCTGTGATGTTTGTATGATGTTTCTGGGGGTGGTCTTGAGCTACAGGGTGGCAGTTTCAAAAGTCTATATAAGGCCTTGCGTGCCATTGTTCTGGGTTCCTCCTCCCTTCTTCGGGTGGCGAGTGAGGACCCTGTTGCAACAGACCAATAAAGATCAGGCTTATGAGCTGCTTTGCTTCTCAATATTCTCTGGTTGGTCTCTGTTATTTTCTCCTACCAGTAGGGAACCTATGTAAGGACTCTATATGGGCTCTTGGATACACCATAAGGGAAAAGGGCATTTTCTGTTTACAACAGTTGGGCTGGATGACCGCTGGGGGTCCCCTTCCAACTCACTCACAAATCCATTCCCCCCGGAGTCTTTGCCCAAATCCATTCATGCAGAAATGAAACTGCTTGCCCATTTGCACAGCTAGTTAGGGGTCTGGTGTAGTTTCAAATAGGATGGATGGCTGTGGGTTGGGATTCCTGCATTTCAGGGGGTTGGGCTAGATGATCTTTGGGGGGCTCCCTTCCAACTCAATGATTTTGGGATTCAACTCCCGGTCCTCTCCAAAGGCCACTGCACTGCAGACCTCCGCACCCCGCCTACCTTGCCAAGCACGGAGATGTATTTCAGGTGGCGCTCCTCAAAGAGGGTGGGATCCTGCCACAGCGAGACATCCACGTAGCCTCCGGGGGTGTTGCTGGTCGGGAGGTCCGAAAGGAGCTCGTAATCTGGGGGAAGGAGAAGTTGAGGACCACTGCTCCGCGGAGGACACCTGCTTGGCCTCAACCCCTGGCAGCAGCTCCAGGTGGGGCAGGAGGCAGAAAGGAGCTGCTGCTGCTGCCAGTCAGTGTGGGTGATACAGGGGGCCAAAGGCAGCTTGGTACATCGCTACAGTGGTACCTCTGGTTGCGAATGGGATCAGTTCCGGAGGCCTGTTCGCAACATAAAAGAGCGCAACCCACAGCGGCGCGTCTGCGCACGCGCGGGTTGCGATTCGCCACTTCTGCGCATGATGTCATTTTGCGCTTCTGCACATGCGCGAGTGGTGAAACCCGGAAGTAACCCTTTCTGGTACTTCTGGGTGACCGCAGGACGTAACCTGAAAGGACGTAACATGAAGTGGACGTAACATGAGGTATGACTGTACTTGCCGCCAAACCAACAATTCACGTTTTGCTAGATGAGCCTAGGCTCACAGAGTCAAAATTGCTAGAGAGACAACTCTGTGAGATCACTTCCTTTGTCTGCCTTGGCAGGAAGCTGCAGTGCTACATCCTTCCTTCCTGCCTGGCCATCTCTCTCTGTCGTTGCCGCGCTTCCAAGTTGACCACACAGACACCATTTTTGAACTTAGATTTTGTACTTTTGTAACTGAGATTGCAGCTCTGGACCCGACTGCACGTTGCTGCTGCAACTCCCGCTTTGAGACCCAGACGATGGTAAGTACATTCCACTTTTACTTCTTCACAAAACATTTCATACTTTTGCACCTTGCACAGCGCTTCTCAGCCGCTGGGACTCACCGGAAGTGATGATCTCGTTGAGGTTGCGAAGGATGCTGCGGAAAGAGGGGCGCCTCTGAGGGTCGTAGTCCAGGCAGGGAGCCACCAGGTTGGCCAGCTCTGCCCATTTGAGAGCGGGGAGCTGCTGCCGGTCCTGGTAGAACTTGAGCTTCTGCAAAAAGAAAGAGGAGTTCATAGAGCTGGAGGGACCCCAAGGGTCATCTAGTCCTACCCCCCACATTTTTATGTTTGATGTTTTATTGTGTTTCTACTAGTCTGTTGGGAGCTGCCCAGAGTGATCGGAGAAATCCAGCCAGGTGGGTGGGGTATAAATTACTGCAGGAAGCACAACTATTTTATTCAGCTAAATCTATTGCTGCTGTGCTATTCCTTCTTCCTTACTGTGGCGAGGAAGATGGACCCCTTTGAGCCAGAATGGTTGCTTGGGATGAGCTTTGCAAGAGCTCAGCTGCCCATTAGGCTGAGCTTTGCAAGAGCTCAGCTGCAGAGCAGGGCGAAAAGACGACATATTCAACCCCTCCTGCAGGAGCCGAAATATTGGTTGGTTTGCTGAACCCTGAAGCGATTTACCATAGAATTGTAGAATTGGAAGGGGGCCCATGGGTCATTTAGTTCAAGCCCCTGCAATCAATTGCAACCATGTGGAGATCTCTGGACGCCGGATTGGAGACTGAGGAAAACCAAATGTCACTTAGAGAAGAATCTGAAATATTTTCCTTAAATTTGTTTTATTCTGGATTGTTTTACTTGGTGTTTTAATGTTTTGAAAACTGCTTTGAGATATTATATAAATATAAAGTGGTATGCTACTACTACTACTACTAATAATAATAATACATTGTGGTGACTACAACCTCGGTTTAAGGTGCCATTTGGCAATTAGATTATATATCTGAGTTTCTAACACTGCAGAGGCTTTGCAAAGGGTGTCCGCCGGTGTAGACCCCCCTCCCAAACCCCAAAAGTCGGGGGTGTCACCCAGGGAATTTACCCTTTCGGGTTCCATCAGCCTCAGGGCCATGATCCCGCCATTGAAGATCTCCCACAAGGTGGCGCCAAAGCCCCACTTGTCCGACTCGGGCGCCAGGTTCTTGGGATCCTCCAGGCATTCGGGTGCCACCCACGGGATCCGGTCGATCAGCACTGGGATGGGAGACAGAGAAAGAGAAAAATGAGCAGGTTCCTCAGAGATCTTGGGGCGTCTCCTCGCATGCAAGTGCTTGGTCAGCCCTGGCAAGCAGAAACGGGCCATTGTTTCAGCCTACAGTCTACTGCAGTTTAAACTTTCTGCATGTTTGAAATCGCCATAAATTTCCTTTCGTCTTTTTTCTACAACAGCCTTGAGGTTCCCCTGCAGTCCAGCAGCATGTCATCTTAAAATTATTATTATTTAATTAAAAGTAAAACCAAAATAAAGGAAAAGCAAACCTTGTGAGAGAAGTAAATAAAGTGTTTAAATATTACTTGGAATAAATGTGTTTTTAAATCAGAGTAATGTTTTTTCTAGGGCAGGGATGCACCCAGTAGGGGCAGGGTTAGGGGGCCAAGGAGACAGGGCCCCCCCCCCATTCTTTTGGGAGCCCCAAAGTCTCCTGTGAGCGCAGTGGGAGGACGGAGAGGAGGAAGGAGACTCAGCCACTCACAGTCTTTGGGGAGGACGGCGGCGCTGACTCCCGGGTCGCTGAGTTTGATAAAGGGGAGGCACCCGCTGGCAGCGTCCCCCTCCCTCGCCAGCAGGACCTTTTTGGCAGAGACATTCCCGTGTACCATGGCCTTATCCTCCTGTGGCCGGGAGAGAAAAAGCAAGGATGTTCATGCAGCCACCACCCAAACGGTGGAACTCCCTGCCTCTTGATCTTCTGAGGCAAGGAAGAAGGGCTACCCTTATGCTATTCATATAATCAGTTATCAGTAATCAATATATTCATATATGCTCACACATAATCAGGGCTTACAGTATTTTATAATCCATTTTGAATCAAAGGGAAGCTGTGCCTTAGCTATCTGCATACTGCTTGAAACAGCAAAATTAGGAGCCGACCTTTCCCCTACAAACATCCGTGTACCCTGAACAAGGGGAAGACGTGAATCAGAGATACTGGTACAAAATCCCCTCAGATACAGGCTAAATTAATCCACAGAACAGAAAGAGCTAAACCACAAAATCTCCAATACTCCCTGTCCTGTCATAACTAGGGGAGAGGTTAGACAGAGCGTCACTGCAAGCAGCGGAAAGCAGAACTAGAACTCCGTGCTTGACCAGGAGCTGGAAGCATGGCAAGAAGCTCCCTAATTGGCTAATTTTCGCTGGCGATATCGTGACTGCCTTATGGTTGTCTCATGATCTATGATTTGCTGAGATCTGCTCAGGTATAAAGACCTCTGGATTTCTGTCAATCGGGGTCCCAGTTCCTTTTGGAAGAGATTCCAAACTGGGTCCTTATTGCCTGGCGATAAACTTCACCTTCTAATTCTCCATTGCTGCGTCTGCCTGATCCTTATTAACACCACGTGCTTCACTTCAAGGCACCTCTTTTCAGCGCCCACTCTAACCATTTGAACCTGCAACCCGGGCGTCATGTGTTGCCACACTCTGACCAACAGAGTGCTCCACTGCTGCCTTCTTAATGACGCAGGAAGGGGAAAGCCCTGTTTGGTCCGCCAAAGGGACCCTAGGCTCTGGCTGGCAGGCTAAAATCCTGGAATCCTAGTCTTGTAGAGTTGAGAGGTACGCCAGGGAACATCTAGCCCAACCCCCTGCAAGGCAGGAGTCTTTCGCCCGACGTGGGATTTGAACCCACAACCCCGAGAGTCAGAGCCCCGTTCTCTACCCACTGAGCCACCTCTCCTCCGCCGAGGGACCTACCAGGAAGTTGAGGGCATAAGCCAGTTGCCTGGCGACGTGCAGCTTCCAGGTGGCCGTCACTCTGCCACTCGCCTGGTTCCTGCGCAGGTAGCTGTCTAACGCGCCGCACCTGACGTACTCCTGCACCATGACACCTGCCGGGAAGAAAAGCGGCCAGATCAGACCGTCCTGCGTCCTAAGCACCACCTCCTTCCCTCGCCGCTTCCCAAACCATTCCCCAGCCGCCTCCCCAAGCTAGGCGCCCCTTGGGATGCTACAACTCCCATTAGAGGTCTCAGTCTCCTGGTTTATGGAGGGACATTGTAGCCTAGTGGGTAGAGCACCTGCTCTGTATGCAGGAGGTCCCAGCGTCTGTCAGTCAGTATGGACTATACTGCCCCTGAGGTATCTGACTTTGCAAAAGGCTGCTTCCTAAGCTCCTTACTCCAGCATCCACCCACGAAGACTAGAACCTTTATTTTTTAAAGGAATGGCTGAGGATCACGGAAGAAGGTCCCAGCTTCAGTCCCCTTGGGAATGTCTCCTGCCCCAGAGAGCGGCTGCCAGTCAGTGCTGACCAGCTGGGTGAATGGTCTCTGAATGTTCTGATGATGGGAGTTGTAGCGCAAATGACCTTGAGGGTGCCTGCCTGGGAAGGCTGACTCCCTCTCCCAAAGATCTAGTGATGACCACAAGCTAGCACTATCTTCTAGTGGGTTGGACTAGATGACCCTCGTGGTCCCTTGCGACTTCTGTGTCTCTGTGCACCAGGTCCTGGGCTCCCAAGTGAGGAGAGTTTTGCTCAGGTCCTCCTTGTGGGCCCCTTCCCTTTGCTCCTGGCTCCCTAGGAGGGCCTCCGCTGGCCTCATCCTGCAGTCTCTTCTTAGGCTCTTATGGAACCACCAGGGCCAGAGGCAGTCTATCTCCATTCCTAGGTTCTATGGGGCATTTTACTGCTGTGAGGAGGCTGGGCTAGATGCCCCCCCCCCCCGGGTCTGATCCAGGTGCCAGGCTCTCTCTAGGCCCATCCTAGCCTCCCCCCTCTTTAATTCTTTCCTTTCTTTGCATGCAAATCACCCCCCCCCTCTGAATTGCATAGCTTTTGTACCTTTGGGGGAAAGTGGAGGTTGGTGACACAGACTGGAGCGCACATACAGACGTGCAAAGCAAGTTGAGGAGTCCCGTGTGCAGACTTGGGGTGGGGGGGATATGGGGTTGGGGGGCAGGAGACTCACTTTCTTCTCCCACGCAGACTCCATGGAGCAGGACCAGGTGCTTGTGCGAGAGTTGGCCCAGCATGCTGGCCGCTTCGAGGAAGGGCTGCGGAGAGGAGAGAAACCGCACTCAAAACCAGACGCTGCTCTACTTATCTCCCGCTTGGACTACTGCCATGCGCTCTCCGTGGGGCTACCTTGGAAGGTGACCCGGAAACAGCAGTTAATCCAGAATGCGGCAGCCAGACTGGTGACTGGGAGCAGCCACTGGGACCATATAACACCAGTCCTGAGAGATCTGCATTGGCTCCCAGCACATTTCCGAGCACAATTCAAAGTGTTGGTTGTGACCTTGAAAGCCCTAAATGGCCTCGACCATCTGAAAGAGCGCCTCCACCCCCATCGTTCAGCCCAGACACTGAGGTCCAGCGCTGAGGGCCTTCTGGCGGTACCCTCATTGCGAGAAGTGAGGTTACAGGGAACCAGGCAGAGGGCCTTCTTGGTGGTGGTGCCCGCCCTGTGGAACGCCCTCCCATCAGATGTCAAGGAAACAAACAACTATCTGATGTTTAGAAGGCATCTGAAGGCAGCCCTGTATAGGGAAGTTTTTAATATTTAATGCTGTATTATTTTTAACACTCGATTTGGGAGCCGCCCAGAGTGGCTGGGGAAACTCAGCCAGATGGGTGGGGTATTAATAATAATAATAATAATAATAATAATAATAATATCCTCCCTCTCGCCTCTCTGTGATCCTTGCGCGCCTGGAGGGTTTTTTCACAGCGGCAGCGCCACCTTGTGGACACTTGCGAAATGACACCCGGAGAGCAGAACAGAGGGCGGCTCCGGGACAGAGCAGCTGCTGTGCATGCAGAAGGCCCCAGGGCCAGCCTGAGATGACTACCTGTCATGGATAATTTAGTTAAGATTGCTGCATTGCAGGGGGTTGAGCTAGATGACTTCCTCTATTCCTTTTCCCTTCCCCCCCCTGCACAATTGTAAGGATTGTTTCAGTGTTTAATATGTTAAAACAAAACAACTTTCAGTAAAAGTGTTTTTCCCCTCCTAAAAGAGAAAAATGCATTGTTGGAGATGCGATAGAATTGCTACAGATTTAACACATTTGTTTGGGAGTTGTTCTGCTCTTCTGGACAGAAGTATGGAAGGTGCAGGATATGACCTCCCAAGAAACCTCACTTCCCCTCTCCCTTTGATATTTCACACTGGCATCTGGGACAGAGCCCTGCCAGATGCCCTGCTGCTGCCGCTCAGTGCAGAGAATACTGAACTAGATGGAGCCGAGGCCCTGACGCTGCAGCTTCGTCCGTCTGGCTCAGCTTCTCCCCGTCCCGATTTCCCGGACTCCCCCCTTCCGCCCCCGGGCCTCACCTCAGCCCAGCTGCAGTGGGCCACGTCCAAGACTTTCATGGCCACTTCCACCTGGCGACTCCTCGAGTCGTCTTCTTCCTCTTCCTCCACTTCTCTGCTTTCCTTGGGATCTCGCTTGAAGCCCCGGTAGATCCTGGTGAAGGTCCCTTGCCCCAGATTCTCACACTGCCGAGGGGGAAAGAAGATTGGGCACTGCCAGGGTGCAGAAAGAGGGCCGCTGGGGGTTGCCAACTGACCAGGAAAAGCTTATCCCTGACTGCGCTCGTGACTTTAATGGAGGGAGAAATGATCCATCACAAAGCAGGCAGACAGGTTCCTGCCATCCCAAAAAAACAGAGGTTTGAGGTCGGTTGGCACCTGCCAGAGATTCTTGAGTCACCTGTGTGTTCCTGCATTGCAGGGGGTTGGGCTGGATGACCCCTGGGGTTCCTCCCAACTTTGCAGTTCCCAGGATTATTATTTTTTGTGTGCAGGGAGTTGCAGACAGATTTATGTGTTTTAGACACACGACACGTAAGTCCATCTTTCTCCCTCTTACCTGCACCAGATTCTCCGCCTGGATTTTCAGGAACATCATCTGGTTGACGGCCCTCCGTGAGGCGGATGGCGAGCTGGGCAGCTGGTGGCAGGTGCCCCCCCGGACAATCAAGAGGTTGGATTTTTCTACAGAGAAACAGAGGCAGAAGGAGTTTATGGGACCAGGAAGATTTGGGGCACCCCATGGCAGGATGGAAGAGGGCAGGATCCCCACGGATGGGATCTGTGGGGCTGCTGGCTGTACAATGCCATGATTTTCCTTTGCAGGGCCTACCTTTGGGCTGTGGGGGGCGCTGTGGGCCCAGCTGGATGGCGGCCCCGTTGGCCTGGAGGCTAAAGCGCTGGCAGACACCCAGCATCTCCCGGAGGCTGCAGAATTTCTTGGCCACCCCAGCAGTGGAGAAGGTGCCATCGCTGCCCTTCTGGATCAAGAGGCTTTTGAAGTCCTTGCCGATGTCCGTCTGTGGGGTTTGGGGAAGCGGGGTGACCCCAGGCCGTGGGGCAGGGTGGGGCAGAGAGAAGGTTTTTGTAAAAACGGCAATTGCTTCCAAAATTAGTGTGCAATGGAAGTTGCAAAAGGGTTTACAATGTTTTCTGTTGCTTTGGGTTACTTTTTGGAATGAGTTTCAATGGCAAGTGCTGGCAAGTGACCCAAGTCACTCAGCTTTCAGATGGGTGAACCAGCAGAACTCTTTGCCACTAGATCCAAGCTCCAAATGATGCAGGCTTTTAAAAAGTATGCATCTGTTGACTTCCCAAAGTTTTCGGATTCTGCCTCCAATTATGGGGGATTCAGACTGGAGGCAGAATCCTGTAAAATACGAGGAAGGGATGTGTCCTTTGAGGAGGAGTCAGGGGGACAGATAACCCTCGTATTTCAGTGGGTACTCTGAAGCAGACCCAGACTCCACTCTGGAGTTGTGCATTCAGGACAGAGCAGAGTGGGGGCCCCCCACCTCTGCAGATGGGCTGCAATGGAGCATATGCAGAGTGCTCTTCCCTTTGCTCTCATGGGGCGGTCTCACGTTAAATCCAACAAGTGCACACAGGCAGTTGGAGCTGTGCACACTTGTATGGCAATGTGCAAGTAATGCTCAGGTAGTATACGGTCAGTGCACACGATATGAAACTCTTAATCTCAGGGTTGTGGGTTCGAGCTCCACATTGGGCGAAAGATTCCTACCTGCATTGCAGCGGGTTGGACCAGATGACCCTTGGAGTCGTTCCAATGCCACAATTCTACGATTCTAACCTGTATGTCTCAACTGGCGTGCCTGAATTCACACAAGTGGATGTGTAAAGGCGGCTTGCACATGCAGGTCAGTGTAATGTGTGAACATGTCAGGGTGTTGCCAGCGGCTCCCAGCTGGTTGCCCAGGAAAGTATAAAGGCAAGGAAAAGTTTCCTCCAGTCCTTATTTATATCAAACTTTACAGAGCGGCTCTAGAACTGAACTTCTTGGCTAATGGTGTCCCAAGTGACTCTCCCCCCCCCCATCTCTCCCCCTTCCTCATTCGTCATCCTCCTTGCCTCCTCTATGGGTGCTGCTAAGGGCCAAACAATATTTGCACCCCAAACCTCACCCGTGGGACCAGGCTAAGCAAGGGGGGCTCCCACCTTGATGCAGATGGTGAGCAGGTAACTGTCGAAATCCTCTGGGCTTCGTCGAAGGACATGCGCTACGCCTTCGTTCTGAGACACTTTCAGTCTGTTTTGGGCGAATTCTGACCTGCAATTCAAAATTCGACGTAGGCATAAATTATAAATAAATAAATAAATAATCTGCATCATTTGAAGCTGGGATCTAGTGGCAGGAAGTCCCGTTGGTTTGCCCGTTTGAAAGCCGGGCAGCGAAACCTCCTCCCCACATTTGACACAAAATTCAAGGTTTTTATCTATTCATTTATTGAGTGTCTGTTTCCTTTTCAAGGCGGCAAATGCAGAGCTGCCCTTGGGCGCAATGCCCCCCCCCCAATAACAGGTTTCCTTTTGGGGCAGGATTCCCTTGGGAGCACAGGGTTGCTCCCTGCAAGAAGAGGATGCTGGGTCTCCGTTGGTGAGAGCCAGGACTGCAGGGTTAATCCCCGAAAGGGACAGCTGCCTCTTTCTGGACTGCAGGAGGTTGGACTAGCGAATTCTCGGGGTCCCTTCCAACTCTAAAGGTAAAGGTAAAGGGACCCCTGACCATTAGGTCCAGTCGTGACCGACTCTGGGGTTGCGGCACTCATCTCGCTTTACTGGCCAAGGGAGCCACCGTACAGCTTCCGGGTCATGTGGCCAGCAGGACTAAGCCGCTTCTGGCGAACCAGAGCAACGCACGGAAACGCCGTTTACCTTCCCGCCGGAGCGGTACCTATTTATCTACTTGCACTTTGGCGTGCTTTTGAACTGCTAGGTGGGCAGGAGCAGGGACCGAGCAACAGGAGCTCACCCCGTCGTGGGGATTTGAACAGCCGACCTTCTGATCTGCAGGCCCAATTCTATAATTCTAATTCTATAATTCCTTTGGCTCTTCTGGGGCTCTTAGGGAGCTTCTAGGCCCAGAAGCAGACTACCTGGATCCCGAGGTTACATGGGGCATTTGTCCACTGGGGGAATAGGGTGCAAGTGGCCTGATCCTGCAGGCTCTTCCGACATTCTTATGAGTAAAAACCTTTAACTATCTGTGGCTTTTGAGACGTGGGAGGGATTTTCAAAATGCATTTCCCCCCTCCTTGGTTTTAATGTCTGTATGTGGGGTTTGCTTTGGATCGCCCTGGGCAAGAAGGAGCAGCTAGCAAATTTAAGAAAGAATAACTTCAATTTCGTAAGGCGCCTTGAGCACAGTTTGAACTGCAGAAAGGCAGCGTAGAAATAAAATGATGAGTGCGATAAATTGCCTGGAGAGGGTGTTTCAGAAGGCAGGGCAGGGGGTTGGACTAGATGACCGTGGGAACCCCTTCCGACTCCTACCATTCTACAGTTCTATCAATAGCCCTGCTAGTTGATTCGAAAGCAGGTCCTGCCCAATTTTGGCCCCGAGTCTTGAGATGCCTTTTGGAGGACTTTATAATTCTGGGCGAGGCCCACAGGCTTTTTCATGACGCCCTCAGAGGAAGGAAGAGCGTCATGCAGTTTGCAGTCTGCGGCTCAGAGACGAACTGAAGACATCGCCAGCCCAGCCCTGCCTGATGTCCTTCCTCCCACCTGCTAGTGGGGCTTGGAATCTCTTCCTTCTAAGCTGGGCTGGCTCAGTTGTTACAGCACAAAACTCCTCCTCTCAGGGTCGTGGGTTCCAGCCCCACGTTGGGTGAAAGGTTCCTGCATTGCTGGGGGTTGAATTCCATGACTCTATGACGCCCCCCCCACTCTGGGGCTTGTCTGTGGCTCACGTGATGGGTCCGTGGCACTGGTTTTCCAGGTCTTCTAGAAGCCTCTTGGGGGCGACCTCCCTGCAGAAATAGTGTTGAGCATCGACTGTCAGGCGGAAGTATCCGTCAACCAGGGAGACAAACGACAAGGCATCTGCCAGGCTGCCAAACTCCATCTCCTGCGGGAAAAGAGGCAAAATCACCATGGCCACCCTTCAATGGATGGACAGACAAGAGGAAAGTTCAGCCACGTTGGCATTTCCAAGATGGATCTTTTGTGCTTCCTGAAATGCCACACAGCTGAATTTTTCAGTATAAAATTTGCGATTTTGCCATTTCTTTGGCTACACAAGCCATTCCAAAAGGCACTGGCCAGGGGCAGAACGGCAGCGTCAGCCTTGGGAATTCTCTATCTGTTGACACCAGACAGTATGGTGTTACCATTTTGTGGATCAAACGTATTTTTTGCAAATGAGGGGTGGGGTCTTAAAAATATGTTTTTGGGGGAATAAGTTAGGAATAAGGAATGGTGAACCTTCTGCATGCCAAGCGAGTGCTCTGGCATTCAGCGATGGTCCTTTCCTTAACAAGGAATTGGTGGTCCTTTCCTTAACAATTCTATGATTCTATGATTCTATGATTCTAAGGAAGCAAGATTGCAGTCCTCATGATATGAATATAAGGCTAAATGAAGCTTCCTTGTACAGAGTTCATCTAATTCAATATTGTCTGCACTGACTGGCAGCAGTATTCCCGCTCCTATCCAGAGATGCCAGGACCTTCTACATGCTAGGGAAGCTCACCCCTTCCTTGTCACAAATGAGCCCACGGTGAACATGATGCAGGGGGTTGGGCTGGATGACCTTTGGGGGTCCCTTCCAATGTCACGATTCTAATTGCATGATGAGTAAAAGCAACATGGTGGTTCACCTACCAGCACCCGGCTGTCTGTCTTCGTCACGCTGACCAGGCGGCTCTTCGCAGGTTGACCATCGCGGACGGGTTGCTGGATGGTGATGTCGGCGATTTCGGGGAAGTCGCAGAAGAGGTGGGTTCCCTGAAGGATTGCGGGGGGGGGGGCACGTGCGCCGAAAAGGAGAGATATATCTGGTTACGCTCACCTTGAAGAGACAGGTGGGCTCTGCACATGAGAGGCAGTATGGTGTAGTGGTTAGAGCACTGAACTACAACCTGGGGCAGCCCAGGGTTCGAATCCCCCAACTCATCCCTGAAGCTTGTTTGAGGGCTGGTCTTATCCCACCTCGCAGGGCTGATGTGGGGACTAAATGAGTTGTGGGGGGGAGCCTAGTCCTCACTGAGCCCCCATGAGGCCCCTGCGAGGTAGCGATTGGCCAGAGGTCCCCCGGATGACTGAGCAGGAATTTGAACCCTGCTCTCCCGGGTCCTAGTGCAACACTCTAACCACTATGCCATACAGGCTACAAGCTGGGCCTCCCTTTGCCCGGCAGCAAGTGTGGGAAATCTGTGTGGAGTTATTGCCTTGGATTGGGCTGGGAGGTAGAGTGTGCCTAGCACTGGAGGTCCTAGGAAGGGGGTTGGGGCAGGGTCTTGAAAGGTGTTGCTGTGAGAACCCTGTTTGGACTCTGGGGTCAGACTAGATGGCCTCTGAGGGTGCCCAATGCAGCCTGACCTCACCTTGGTGCCGCTGTGACTTGTCAAGATCCCTTTTTCGCCGGAGACGTGGATGGTCCAGGCAGATCCTGTTGCTGCCTGCGCAGGGACCCAGGCCTGGAAGGTCTCCTCAGTGGTGGCCCGCTGCAGGCCCTCCAGCTCCATGAGGTACTTCAGCTTGAGGAAGCGGACTTCGGTCTGCAGGCTGCTGACCTTGTGCAGCGACTGCCCAAACTGGCGCCGGATCCGCTTCCGGGTGACGAAGTTCTGTGCCTGGAGCTGGAGCCGCATCTGCTCTGGGAGGCACAACTTGTAGCTGCAACGGAAGACGGGAGGGGCAGGTGCGCGTGGGCTGACTGGAGGAGATGCTCCAGGAACGGCTGAAGGAGCTGGGTTGGCAGCTGAGCTCTTGCAAAGCTCAGCTTAACGGGCAGCTCAGCTCTTGCAGCACACACCCAAAGCCACAGCTTCAGCTCAAGGGGTTCATCTTTCTCGAAGTCCAGTGTCCAGATCCTATGGAGTCATATTACTCTATGCTGCCTCGGTCAGACCTTACCTGGAGTACCGTTCTGGGCACCTCAGTTTAAGAAGGGTATTGACAAGTGGGAAGGTGTGCAGAGGAGAGCGACCAAGATGATCAAGGGCCTGGAAGCGAAGACTGATGAGGAACGGTTGAAGGGATTGGGGATGTTTAGCCTGGGAAAGAGGAGACTGAGAGGAGAGAGCCATCTTCAAATATCTACTCTGGCGGGAAGGACCTGAATCAATGGGTTCAAGTTCCAAGGAGATTCCAGCTCAACATCAAGAAGAACTTTCCTTCATTTAGAGCTGCTCAGCTGGGGAACGGTCGCCCTCAGGAGGTGGTGGACCTTCATGGAGGTCTTTCAGCAGAGCTTGGCTTTGCCGGGGTTGGACTGGATGACCCTACAACTCCACGGCTCTAATGGTCTGGGGCTCAGAGTGAGGCAGCTTCTTGCCTCTTCCAGGTTTGGCCACAAGGGGCCAAAGAGTCCTCCGCTTTTTCTGGATCCCTCCTCCCCTGACCTGCTTGCTGGGAGAGCTTCCTCTCCTCCTTACCTGATACTTCGGAAGGTCTCCTCCAGGCTCCGCTTCCTCTCCTTGGAGATCCGCAACATGTCCAGCACAGCAAGGCCCAGGCAGGTCTCCTGGTTCTCCATGCTCAGGGATATCTCCTCCCGGCCGCTGAGGAAATCGCTGCGGGACTGTGAGGAGGAAGGGGTCCATGGGAAAGTAACGTTCCCAGGGTCCCCCTAAATTTCATGCCCCTTTCCCAGGACTCCCAGTTGCCTTGCCTTTGGGGAAAGGGGTTGCTGCAAATTTGTCATCTCCAGACCCTACAAGTTGTTGCTCCCGCCCCGAATCTCAGAGGAGGAGTTGTACTCACCTGGGCGAAGAGGTAGTCTATGGTTGGGTAATCCAGCACCGGACTGACTTGGTCGCTGGCCAGCCCACAGCGGAACGATTTCTGGGACCCGAACCAGTTGGGGAAGAAAAACCTGCGTGGAGAAAACAAGACTCTTTTGTGGGGAGGTTGGGAAGGTGTTTCGGCCAGGGCTGATGGGAGTTGTAGTTCAGGTGGCCATATTGGTTGGGGGCTGTTGGGAGTTGTAGTTCAACACAACCATATTTGTTGGTGGCTGATGGGAGTTGTAGTTTAATACGGGTTGGTGGCTGATGGGAGTTGTAGTTTAATACGGGTTGGTGGCTGATGGGAGTTGTAGTTTAATACAGGTTGGTGGATGATGGGAGTTGTAGTCTGAAACATCAGGAGGGCACCAGCGCTGGTGGGTCATAGCTGAGTTTCGACAGCTGTGCCCTACCTGATCCGGTAGAGGAGCACTTGGCTGAAGGACTCGTCCACGGTGAAGACATGACTGGGCGCATACCACCCCGAGAGGTCCTCTCTGGCCAGCGCAAAGAGGGAATGGCAGACGGGGAGGATTCCTGGCAAAGAAGAAGGCAGGTGTAAGCAAGGCTGGGTTTCCGAATCTGTGTTTCCCCTCAGATTTTGATACTGCTGCATGTGGAAATGTTAAAAGTGGGAGAGTAATGTTACTGTTGCTCACTAGGAATCTAATAAGTCAAAAAAATAATAATAAAAGGGCTTCTTAGGAGATAGTCTCCTGATGGCCGAGAGACTCTCTCTGCGTTTTGGAATGAGACACCCATCAGAGCTGGCGGAAAGTGACGCTCCAGCTGAGAAGTGTTCAGACTCACCGCATGCTTTGGCCGCCGCGATGCAGAGCTCCTCCGCCGTGTACTCCCCTAAGGGGAAGTTTAGGGTGCTGGCTGAATCCGAGGCCGAATGTGCCGCGTTCAGCTGGTGGTAGAGATATACCTGGAGGCCGTCTGTCCTGGAGAAGGAGAGGTTGCTGCTTCTGTTGCTGATCAAGGGGGTTTCTTCTTCCTTGACGGGAGGCATTGCTGAGGCCTGTTGGAGGCGACAGACCCCCCCCCCCGCTCTCAGTCCCAAGTCAAGCTCAGATCCTGTGCAGAGGGGAAGTGAAATCAGCGTTTTGCCAAACTTTCTTCGGCTCCCATAAACTCATCCCTATGGAAAGCAAGATTCAGAACAGCCGTCTGTACGACCCACTGAGGAGGAGAGTACAATAAAACCCAAAACGTTTGCAGTCAAGTTATTCAAAATCACTTTCAAGCTCTTCATTTGGGGAAACGGACGAACTTCAGTCATTAATGCCAGCTTTTCAAATGCATGCCATGACTTCGTCAGGATCCCAGCGTGGAAGGATGCAGCTTGGCAAGGACCAAGAGTCTCCCTAAGATTTACTCACTTGTAATCAGGAATGGGCAGCCCAAGACCCTCCCTTCCTGGATCTGAAACGCCTGCAGGGTCCTCTGTCTTGGCAGCCGCCAGGCATTCCCTTCCTCTCTTGAAAAGTGACTCTGTTTTACCTCCTGTGCGGTTTTTATGGGGTGGGGCGTTCCTTGCATTTTTAAAACTATGGATTTATCTTGGCCTTCTAATAGGATTGTTCTGATGTGTATTTTAGTTCAGGATATTTATGTGTCAACATTTGTGATTTTATTTTATCATTGTAAATCACTTACAAGCCCTTTCTGTCATTAAGCAGTAAATAAGTGAATATTAATGAAATTAAAAAAATAAAATCTCTGCTGCTTTGTCCAAGGGCTAAGACTGGAAGCAGATGCTTGACTTGGAAGAAGGGCAAAATATACTGAGAAAGGGAACCCGATTATCCTTGTTTGTTATTGTAAATTTGAATACCACCAGGCATCCGAAGATCACAGAGTGGTTCATAAAATCGCAAAATGAGATCATGGATCACATAATAAAACAAAAGCAAACTACTCCCCCCCCGGCCCACAAACACAGAATGTTGATCATCTCAAGGCTTGATTGCAAAACAATATTTTTGACTGGTGCCAAGCGAGCTTCCCTGGGGAACGCATGTCACAAGGGGAGACGCTGTAGGAAACGCTCCTTCTGGGGTTGCTGCTCTCATGGAGGGGGCACACAAAGAAGCGCCTCAAAATAATAATAATAATAATAATAATATAATAATAATAATAATAATAATAATAATAATAATAATAATAAATGTATTACTTATACCCCACCCATCTGAATGGGTTGCTCCAGCCACTCTGGGTGGATTCTGACATAATAAAAACACAGTAAGACATCGAACATTAAAAACTTCCCTATGTGGGGCTGCCTTCAGATGTCTTCTAAAAGTTATGTAGTTCTTTATCTCCTTGACATGTGACGGGAGGGCATTCCACAGGGCGGGCGCCACCACCGAGAAGGCCCTCTGCCTGGATCCCTGTAACCTCACTTCTTGCAGGGAGGGAAGCCCCAGAAGACCCTCGGAGCTGGACCTCAGTGTCCGGGATGGATGATGGGGGTGGAGACGCTCCTTCAGGGATCCAGGGCCAAGCTTATTTAGGGCCAGCACCAACACTTTGAATTGAGCTCAGAAATGTACTGGGAGCCAGTGAAGATCCTTTAGGACCGGAGGGAAGATCCTTTGGACCTCCATGGCTTCCCTCCAGAGAATCCTGGGAAGAGTAGTTTGTTCAGGGCGCTGAGAGTTGTGTTAGCTGCGAGGTTTGACTGCTCAGCCACTCTTCTAGCTCTGTGAGGAGGAATGGGGTCTCCTGGCAACTCTCAGCACCCTGTACAAACTACAGTTCCCAGGATTTGGCTGCAATTCCGGCACTGCAGGGGGTTGGGCTAGATGACCCTCGGGGTCCCTTCCAACTCTATCATTCTGTGGTTTTCCATTTGTTTTGCAGCCTGTTTCGCCATTTCAGCACAATCCATTCATTTCATAAGCCATCTCTCTTTGGTTGGTGTCTCTTCCTCTTACCTTTCTGGGAGTTCTCATAGGAAAGTCCTTCCAGGATCCCAGGAGAGTCTGGGGCCAGCGCTGGGCGCCCAGTTGGGTGCAGAGCTTCCTTCGAGGGAGCTCAGAGATGGCGCAGGCCAACCTCCTAACGTCTGGTTGCGGAGATGAGATTTGCTGGTACGTCAAAAAGCACCTGACCCCATTTCCTGTTTTCAGAGAATTTCAGAGGCCTGTGAGCCATTTCCTGCCGCTGCTGCCAGAGAAGATGCTGAGGACCACAGTCGAGGCAGGGGAGGGCGAGGGGAGGAGCAGATGGTTTTATTTATTTATTTATTTATTTATTTATTGAATTATATACTGCCCTGTACCCAGAGGTATATCAAAATAAAAACAACCCAGTAACCCCCCCCCCAAAAAAGAGCCACATTTTAAACAGGGCAGAGGATGTCAATCAGATCAACCAAAGGCCTGGTTAAAACGGAACAGTTTTGCCTGGCGCCTAAAGGTGTATAATGAAGACAGGGATGCAGGTAGCCCTGTCGTCTAAACCACTGAGCCTCTTGGGCTTGCTGATTGGAAGGTTGGCTGTTCGAATCCTCACGATGGAATCATAGAATCATAGAATCATAGAGTTGGAAGAGACCACAAGGGCCATCGAGTCCAACCCCCTGCCAAGCAGGAAACACCATCAGAGCACTCCTGACATATGGTTGTCAAGCCTCTGCTTAAAGACCTCCAAAGAAGGAGACTCCACCACACTCCTTGGCAGCAAATTCCACTGTTAAACAGCTCTTACTGTCAGGTAGTTCTTCCTAATGTTCAGGTGGAATCTTCTTTCTTGTAGTTTGGATCCATTGCTCCGTGTCCGCTTCTCTGGAGCAGCAGAAAACAACCTTTCTCCCTCCTCTATGTGACATCCTTTTATATATTTGAACATGGCTATCATATCACCCCTTAACCTCCTCTTCTCCAGGCTAAACATGCCCAGCTCTCTTAGCCGTTCCTCATAAGGCATCGTTTCCAGGCCTTTGACCATTTTGGTTGCCCTCCTCTGGACACGTTCCAGTTTGTCAATGTCCTTCTTGAACTGTGGTGCCCAGAACTGGACACAGTACTCCAGGTGAGGTCTGACCAGAGCAGAATACAGTGGCACTATTACTTCCCTTGATCTAGATGCTATACTCCTATTGATGCAGCCCAGATTTGCATTTGCTTTTTTAGCTGCCGCGTCACACTGTTGGCTCATGTCAAGTTTGTGGTCAACCTAGACTCCTAGATCCTTTTCACATGGACTGCTCTCAAGCCAGGTGTCCCCCCATCTTGTATTTGTGCCTCTCATTTTTTTTTGCCCAAGTGCAATACTTTACATTTCTCCCTGTTAAAATTCATCTTGTTTGTTTTGGCCCAGTTCTCCAATCTGTCAAGGTCGTTTTGAAGTGTGATCCTGTCCTCTGGGGTGTTAGCCACCCCTCCCAATTTGGTGTCATCTGCAAATTTGATCAGGATGCCCTTGAGTCCATCATCCAAGTCGTTGATAAAGATGTTGAATAAGACCGGGCCCAAGACAGAACCCTGTGGCACCCCACTAGTCACTCTTCTCCAGGATGAAGAGGAACCATTGATGAGCACCCTTTGGGTTCGGTCAGTCAGCCAGTTACAAATCCACTGAGTGGTAGCATAGTCAAGACCACATTTTACCAGCTTCTTTACAAGAATATCATGAGGCACCTTGTCAAATGCCTTGCTGAAATCAAGGTAGGCTACATCCACTGCGTGAGCTCCCGTTGCTCGGTCCCTGCTCCTGCCAACCTAGCAGTTTGAAAGCATGCCAGTGCAAGTAGATAAATAGGAACCGCTGCGATGGGAAGGTAAATGGCGTTTCCGTGCGCTCTGGTTTCCGTCAGTGTCCTGTTGTGCCAGAAGCGGTTTAGTCCTGCCGGCCACATGACCCGGAAAACTGTCTGTGTACAAACTCCGGCTCCCTCGGCCTGAAAGTGAGATGGGCGCCGCAACCCCATAGTCACCTTTGACTGGACGTAACCGTCCAGGGGTCCTTTACCTTTTTTTTACCTGTAATGAAGGCACCAGGTGAACTTTCCTGGGGAGAGCATTCCCACAGACAGGGAGCCCCAACTGGACAGAGCCTGGAGACAGAGAGAGAATCTCATAGACCACAGCAGCTCCCCCTCCCTGACCCTCGAATCTGGTCTGTGGCTGCACTGAGTACCCAGGTGGGCACTGCTGGGTGAGACCCCCTCCACCCTGTTCACCCACCCAGGTTTCTTTTTTAAAAAATTAACGTTCTTATGTCACATATGTATACATTAGCATATTACATTACAGGGCATATTATAATATAATTTCCAACATGTATACAAAGTTTATATACCAAATTTATGTACCTAAAGAAAGAAAAAAGAAAAAGAAAAAAAGAAAAGAAAAAGACATAAAGCCATTTCAAAATAACATTTGTACCAGCACTACGAACTTCCTATCAGTCTCGTTGTATATTCTTTTTTTTAACAAATGAATGCACTCTTATTATTGTATATTTCTTTACATTTTATCTAATACATTCCTATATCAATATGTAACCTTAATCTTGTTGCTCAACTCAATTTCTCTCCAATGTCAATTGAATGCTAGCATAGATAGCGAACCTTTACTATATTTTTGAACATATATCTTATATCTATCCCATTTTTCAGTCCCGCTGTAGTCAATGGAGCTTACGACCAAGTAACTGGGTATAAAGATTGTGCAGCTTCACACTGCAAGCCGAATCTGATTTCCATAACCTTTCCCAATCTACCATCTGTATTTTATGTCCAAAGTCCTTTGCCCATTATATCATTACCGACTTAACCTGTTCAACCTTTGTATGCCACTCACTTGGAATCTAATAAATCTAATAAATAAAAATCAAAGGGCTGCTTAGAAGACAGTCTCCTGACAGCTGGGAGTCTCTCTCTGAATTTTGGAATGAAACACACATCAGAGCTGGCGGAAAGGGCATCTAGCTGTTAATTAAAGGCTTGGTGATTCAAGCCCACCTCAGGGATGGCTGTGGACAGGATTCCTGCATTGCAGGGGTTGGACTAGATGACCCTCGGGGTCCCTTCCAGATCCACCATTCTATGATTCTTTGAATAATTTCCTTTCTCCAGGTTCTGGCAACCCCTGCTATGCCACTGCCCAGACGCCATACTCTCCTTGTGGGAGCAGAAGCTCATTTGCCTTCCAGATGAACATATGCAGCAAAGCCGGAAAATAGACACTGAATTTCTCGCTGGGGTTTTTTGGGGGGGCGGTATTTTCTTCTGGAGAGTTCCCCGCTTGCTGTCAGCGTATCGGTTGCTGTGGCCTCAGGATGAAGCAGGATGAGGCTCTTGCCAGCTGCTCCACAGGTGCAAGAACCCCTTTGCCCTGACCCAGTTACCCATTTTGCCTGCAGGTTTCGCCCTGGGGTGGCGTTTGGGCGTTGGCTGCGAAAGCCAACATCTCCAGACAAAAGTCCCTGTTTGCTTTTGCATCCTTAGCTTTATGGAAACAAAGAGAGAGAGTGTGAAAAAGGATAAGAAGGAGGCCTTTACTTGGAGAGACATCAAGGTGAGGTGAGAGTTGTCTCCACCTCCTGAGATGCCAATCTGAAGACTGAAGAAGGAAGGAACATGCAGAAAACTGTCCTGGGGACTCCCCTGGAAAAATCCTATGGGGAAGAGCGCTTAATCCCACACTGAAAACATATGGGAAGAGATACGTGGGCGAGAAATCATTTTGGGGTTTTCTTTTGCTTACAAAAATGTATCAAATAAGTATTGGAAATGTAAGGCCAGTGAGGGGTCATTTTATCACATGTGGTGGATCTTACATTAAGCCAAAGGCATTTAGGGGCATAATACTTAATAAAATTAAGAAAAGAATAATGTGACTTTCCCCAAGAGGACAGAATCCTTCCTGATGGATGTGATATTGGGGACCGATCGCTGCCTTTCAGCCCAACCAACCTCACTGGGTTGTTGTGGTGATTAAATGAGGAGGGAGAGAACCATATGGGTCACCCTGGAGCTCCTTAGAAAAGGAAAGGTGCGCTATAAAGGCAAATGCAATAATAATAGACATATGCATGCAATAAATAAATATAAATCAATGAGGCTTTCCGGTCATGTCATGAACTCAATGGTGGTGGCTCCTCGCTGCCCTCCGTTCAGGCAGGGGAAAGCCAGGATTTATGAGGCAAAAATCCTGGCAGTGTTCCCTAGTGGGTTCTGAGGAGCTCACTGCATCCCACTGTGCTGCTGAAGCCCATGTCTGCCAACCTGAAATGCACAGCGGGTGCGACCTGGGAGTGTGTCCCTCCATGTCCAACATAATTTGTGGTTGGTTCCTCCATAATTCGGACAACTGACCTTAATAAAGAGGTGCTCCTGGGCTGACATATGCTAATGGACTGCAATCAGTCAGCTGCCGAAAGGACTGGGCTTGGCTCTTTGAGGTATCTGAATGTTTTCTTTGAAGCTTGAGAACCCTGACAGCAGCCGGGAAAGGAAGGGGAGACAAGGGGGGAGGCTTTTGATTTATGCTCAACAAGGAATTTAACAAGGTTTTACTATCCCCCCCCCCCCCCGCGACCGAGGCTGAATGGACTTTATTTAAAATTATTCTTGGACTGCACCAGGAATGCTGATGGAGCAATGTAGTGAAAAAAGAATGTACTGCTGGCAAAGAGGCTGAATTTGAGGGAAAAAACTTGTTTCTAACTGTGTGCCGAGGAAGAACTCCAGAGCGGAGTTTTAATGGCGGAGACTGGAGATGCACTCTGTGGGTTATTTATGGCCGCAGCTCATACACTAGTTGGTGAACAGCGGAAGGAACAGAATGCGACCTTGTACCATCCAGATAAACACTGCAAAGAACTGGACAGTGGAAGATAGTAATGAACTCTCCCAGCACACCAGGTCTGGAACAACAACGCATATGAAGGACTACACACGCGAAATGGATCGCTTATTTATAAGATGCAATGGAGGTGCTGTTTGTAAGGTGGAAAAAGCGGCCAGCTGGAAGACTGGTTTAACAGCAAGTGAAGGATGTCAGCTGGACTCTAAATAAGAAATGATGCGGCAATGTGAAGAAACGATGATGGAACAGGAACGGGAAATTTAAGGAACTGTATAAAATTAAATTGATTTGATTTGTAATAATTTGGAAAATTAATAAAAATAATGTGGAAAAATATATAACTCAAGAAAACTCCACCAAATTTCTTGCTCTGGGAGCAAATCCTGCTCCAAATCCATCATAGGCAAACATTACAATTCCTCTGTCCAGTTCAGAGGGATTTTGTTCGTTTTTGAGAGACAGAGAGAAAAGTTTAGAGGTGTTTTCTGTTTTAACTGCATTTCTGCAAATTTCAGGGCTTCCGAACTTCGGGGCTGCAAATTTCAGGAGCTTGATTTGGGCCCCAAGTGGTCCCTCTGCCTGATGCAGCAATCAAGGAACCCCACCCCCCCCAACGCCTCTCTTTTCCTGCAGAATGATGTGGCAGCAACACTGAAGACCTTTGGAGATGAAAAAGGCAACATCATCTTTGTTCTGTCAGGCTAATGACAGCACCCTTTGTTTGGCTTCTGCGTTTTTGCATAAGAGATGCAATCCATCATCTTTGGGGAGATTGCCCTGGAGACAGGGAAGAAACTTAAATACTGTATACAGCACAAAAACCAGCCTTTTTTAATCACCTGGGAAATGGTGGAAGGGAGGGGAGCGTACAAGAGGCCTTCTGCAGGCTTACTCAGGAGTAAGTCCTATTGGACTCAGAGGTGCTTTCCTCCATGGAGGTATGCATTGCACAGAGCCTCTGTTTTGTTTTATTTTTAGTGGCAAAGAGACTAACTAGTCATAGAATCATAGAATTGTAGGTGACACCCCTTCATATATTTCATAGAATCATAGAGTTGGAAGAGACCACAAGGGCCATCGAGTCCAACCCCCTGCCAAGCAGGAAACACCATCAGAGCACTCCTGACATATGGTTGTCAAGCCTCTGCTTAAAGACCTCCAAAGAAGGAGACTTCACCACACTCCTTGGCAGCAAAGATGGCTATCATAGCTCCTCTCAGTTTCCTCTTTTCCAGCCTAAAGGTAAAGATAAAGGGACTCCTGACCATTAGGTCCAGTCGTGGACGACTGGGGTTGCAGCGCTCATCTCGCTTTACTGGCCAAGGAAGCCGGTGTACAGCTTCCGGGTCATGTGGCCAGCATGACTAAGCTGCTTCTGGCGAACCAGAGCAGCACACAGAAACGCCATTTACCTTCCCGCCAGAGAATTTATCTACTTGCACTTTGACGTGCTTTCGAACTGCTAGGTTGGCAGGAGCAGGGACCAAGCAACAGGAGCTCACCATGTCGTGGGGATTAGAACTGCTGACCTTCTGATCGGCAAGTCCTAGGCTCTTTTGCAGGCTAAACAGACCCAATTCCTTCAACAGTTCCTCATCAGGCCTGGCTTCCAGGCACTTGATCATCTTGGTCTCCCAAGATCCTTCTTAAAACATGGTGCCCTGAATTGGAAACAGGATATTCCAGGTGTTGCCTGACCAAGGCAGAATAGAGCGGCACTACGACTTCCCTTGATGTGGACACTAGGCTTCTGCTGATGCAGCCTAGAATAGTGCTAGATTTTTTGGCTGCTGCATTGCACTGTTGACTCATGTTCAGCTTGTGGTTCACCAAGACCCCTCGATCCTTTTCACATGTACTGCTAGTAAGCCACTGGCCTGATCCAGCAGGCTCTGCTTATTATATCGGTGATGGATCTATATCTATATAAAGATGCCTTCCACCAATTGAGGGGCTACCCCAGAGGAAACCCTGCTCCCCCCGTGACCATGGCTGTTGCATTCAGACGGTCCTGCTTGCCTGCTTCCTAGAAGAGGCATGTGGTTGAGGTGGGGATGCTGGATTCGGTGGGACCCATTTGGCCTGATCCGGGTGCTGCAGGCTCTCTCCTGGAATTCCTACAAATTGCTGTGCATGTGCCAAGGTGGAAGGAGAGAGGCCAGAGTTGCTCCATGGGAGACAAGGAGCGGCAGATGTTGCGCTTCTCCCCACCCTTCCTCCTTCTTCCAGTTTCCTGCTTTCCTGCTACGAGGGCCTCGACTGGGAAATCACCATCCATTCCTTGGAAGAATTTGCGATTACAGATTAGGCACCTGGGATTAGCTGGATCTGTTTTCTCCTTGCAATAACCATGTGAAAAAGGACAGCGAGAGAGAAAGGAGAGAGAGGTAGGGACATGCCCAGAGCCACCCTCTCAATATCCTGGCACAGGCAGCGATTTATCTCGAGGGAAGGCACCTGGATTTTACTCACCCAAAGGAGATTAACCCAGCAACCTATGAAACATCTCATTGTTTGGTGTGTCGCTGGACTCTGCTTTCCCTTGTCAGCTGCTTCCATTGTTTTCATTTCATTCTTAAATGTTGCAACCTGCCCTGGGAACCTGGGCATGCAATGAATACAAATAATACTGCTAATAATTTGTGCTCTGTATTTATCATTCTTGATTTATCTTTATTTATACTCTGCCTTTTTCTGAGGGTCTCCTGGTGGTTCCCTCCATGCGAGAAGACAGGTTTCAAGGAATCAGGGCCTTCTCGGTGGTGGCACCCTCCCAGCAGAAGTCAAGGAAATAAATAACTACACAACTTTTAGAAGTCATTGAAGGCAGATCTGTGTAAGGAAGTTTTCAATGTTTAGTATTTTATTTAATTTTTATAATTTTTTTATTAAGTTTTCAAAGATTTAACATATATCAACAAATAAGAAATTAATCTTTTTCCAACTTCCACCCCATTTCCCACAGTGATTTAATTTCTTCCCCTCTGCTGCGAACTTCCTTCTTGATACTGTAATCTCTAATTTCTTCTGTTGCTCTCATTTCTAATCCTGCCTGTGAGTTAATCAAACAGCAATATTTCCTTAAATAGTCTGAAAAGGGCTTCTATCCTTCCACAAAGCAATAATCATTTGGTTCTCCTGTTTTGGCTGTTAACTTTGCCAGTTCAGCATAGGCAACCACCACTGCCACCAACCAATCAATCTTTATTGCGGTCAAAGACCTGACAGTCAACAACAACCACCACCATTTTATTATTAGTACCCTGCCTATCTGACGGTTGTTCAAGCCACTCTAGGCAGCTTCCAACCTATATCAAAACGTAATGAAACAACTTTACTTATCCTCCATTCTTCTTTGGTGGGAACTTCTTCTTCCTTCCACTTTTGTGCCTAGACAATTTAATCATCTTTTTTGGAATTTCTGTCCCTTTAATCCCTAATTTTAGGGATTATTATGTTTTTCTATGTGCTGGAAACCCCCCAGAATGGCTGGGGCAACCCAGTCAGATGGGCGGATATAAGAAATAAGTTATTATTATTATTATTTTGCACCAGCTACAACTTCTGGACCATCCTCAAGGGCAGCCACACAGAGAGCGCATTGCAGTAGTCCAATGATAGAGGCTACCACCACCAGCCAGTGTGCTTTAAAGGAAGATTGATGGGCACTGCAAACTTTAAATGACATGAAGAAACATCCCTAAGTCATCTGATGTGTTGCGATGAAACATTTTAAGTCTCATGTTTGGATCCTAGAATGCAAGAACCTGATTGGCCTGCAGGAGCAGCCCAATCCGGCTCCAGAGGAAGCAGAATCAGTCAACCAGATGGGACCCATTGTGTAAATAATGTATATAAAGTCAGAGGTTTTTTGGGGGGAGGATGGATTCCTTCACTGTTTTACGAGCTGCAATAAAGAACATGAAATCACTATGCAACTCCGAGTATATTTCACTGGCGATGAAGGTGGGATCCCGCTGAGCTGTCTGCCGCGCACCGCACCACAGCCCACCACTGGCCACACTGCTGCATCGCACCGCACATCCAGGCTACAGCTCCAGAACCCAAGGACCCAGAATGGCAACAGACAACAGCTTCCTGCCGTTCAGCCCAGCATCAGGAGACTGGGAAGGATATGCCACCCGCTTCCAGTTCCTCCTGGAGGCAAAGGACGTCACCGAAGCAGCCAAGAAGAGGGCAACATTCTTCAGCGTCTGCGGAGAGGAAACGTTCGAGGTCGCCCGGGCCCTCCTCACACCTGAAAATATCACGACCGTTAATGGAGCAGCTGAAGGGGCACTTCTCGCAGCAAGCCTCGGTGGTAGTGTGTCACAACGCCTTCTACGCAAAGCAGCAGGCCCCTGGAGAAACCATAACCAGGTATGTGACCTCCCTCTGCCAGGCTGCCAGGCTCTGCAACTTCACAGAGCTGGAGAACATGCTCCGCGACTGGCTCACGGGTGGCCTGAGGGACGAGAAGTTGCTCTTCCATGCCAAGAAGGACCTGACGTTCCAGGTCGCCCTAGAGGAGGCCCTGGCAACCGAAGCCGCCGAGAGGTCTGAGCAAGGATTCCAGCCAAACTCATCGTCCCAACCCAGGGCCCACCATGAAGACCTCACCGACTCATAATCCGACAGGGAGGACGTGCACTGAGTGCAGCAGCTTCCACAAGCCGCACGCCCACCACAACTGCCTCGGCCAGAAGAGGGGAACTGCGCGACCTGTGGGGAGAACCACGAGCAGAGGACTTGCTGTTTCTGCAGTGCAGAATGCCGACAATGCAGAAAAGCGGGACACATCGCCCAGGTGTGCCTGGCCTGCCCGACGCCTCACATCTGATAGCCGACCTAAGAGTCCCAGGCCCCGCGGTCTGACAGAGCAACTTGACAGAGATCACGGACTGTCAGGTATAGCAGCTGCCCCATTCCAACGTGGAAAAAAATAACATTGAGGTACAGATATAGGAGGGACGCGGGTGGCAATGTGGGTTAAACCACAGAGCCTAGGACTTGCCAATCAGAAGGTCGGCGGTTTGAATCCCTGCGATGGGGAATTTCCGTGCGCTGCTCTGGTTCGCCAGAAGAGGCTTAGTCATGCTGGCCACATGACCCAGAAGCTGTACGCCGGCTCCCTTGGCCAATAAAGTGAGATGAGCGCCGCAACCCCAGAGTCGGCCACGACTGGACCTAATGGTCAGGGGTCCCTTTACCTTTACAGATATAGGGAGCCCTGGGCTGCATGGAGCTCGATACAGGCTCAACCCTGTGCATAATCTCAGCATGGGCATTAAAGAAGTTGTGTCCAAATGGTGGCCCCAAGCTCAGGCTGGCCCCATTCACCCTCCAGGACTTCCAAAATTTTAAGGTCCCCATGATGGGGGTGGGAACCTTCAATGTACAAGATTGAGGGTGTAAGTGGCGGTTAGACTTGATTGTGGTCAAGGGGCCCTAGGCCAGCTTACTGGGGTTGGTGTGGTTCGAGCCACTGGGGCTAGCCATCACTGGGGTGAACCACACCAGCTCCTATGTGGATGTGGACGCCATATGCAAAGCATTTCCGGAGGTTTTTGACGGAGCATTGGGATGATATACTGGCCCCCTGTTGGCCTACAACTAGATCCTGCTGAGTGAAGGCCTGCCGAGTCCCGTTTGCCCTGAAACCCCGCATAGACGAGGAATTAGACCGGCTTGTGGAACAAGGAGTGCTTGAGCCGGTGCCCAACGCCCCCTGGGAAACCCCGATCACCATGCCCATCAAGCCCAACGGCTCGGTCTGCATCTGTGCAGACTACAAATGTACCACAAACAAGGCCCTTGCAGCTCATGCATACCCAGTGCCAGTGGTCAGCCATGTCCTTGCCACCCTGGCAGGGTCTAAGATTTTTGGCAACCTAGACTTGGCCCAGGCCTAGCAGCAGTTGCCAGCTGACGAGGCCACCGCAGAGACTCGTACTCCAAATGGCTGTCAAACAGTCTGTCAAACAGGACCCATTGTGTTAATAATGTATATAAAGCCAGAAGTTTTTTTTTTTGGGGGGGGGGGGGATTCCTTCACTGTTTTACAAGCTGCAATAAAGAGCATGAAATCACTACACGATGCCAAGTATGTTTCATCTCCTCAAGCGACGTGCCGCACAGTTGCTGTATCTGGGCTTGGCTTGGAGAAATCAGGGTGCAAATAAAGGAACAAGCCCATGTGCAATTTGGCCCTGGATAAGATTAAAAAGGGGATTGGCTCAAAGGGTGAGCGGGACTAAAATCTGTGGCTGGCAGAGAGTTCTGTTCACAAGGAGGAAAAGGGTGCGAGAGGTGAGAGTCCTCTACCTTCTGAACATTTAAATTTGGATGGCAAGCCACCCTGGGACAGAAATGATGACGGGCTAGTTCATACCCTGGGACACGGGTGGCGCTGTGGTCTAAACCACAGAGCCTAGGGCTTGCTGATCAGAAGGTCGGCGCTTTGAATCCCTGCAACGGGGTGAGCTCCCGTGGCTCGGTCCCTGCTCCTGCCAACCTAGCAGTTCAAAAGCACGTCAAAGTGTAAAGAGATAAATAGGTACCACTCCGGCGGGAAGGTAAACGGCGTTTCCGTGTGCTGCTCTGGTTCGCCAGAAGCAGCTTAGTCATGCTGGCCACATGACCCAGAAGCTGTACGCCGGCTCCCTCGGCCAATAAAGTGAGATGAGCGCCGCAACCCCAGAGTCGGCCACGACTGGACCTAATGGTCAGGGGTCCCTTTACCTTTAGTTCATACGCTACAACATTTCTCTGGTGAAAATAGGGACATCCTAAGGAAAAAGCGGGATCAAATTGGAAACTGGGACGGCTTCTGTAAATCCAGGACTGTCCCTGGAAATTAGGGACACTTGGAGGGTCTGCTGGTCATTGTCATGGAGGTGACAAATTTAATTCTTGCAGCCCCCTCTGACTCTTGGGTCCTCTCCAGATTCTCAGTTGCTGCTTACAGCTCTCCTTGGCAAGGCTCCATTAGAGAAACAATGCCATGTGACCACGACCCCTGCGAGCCGAAGCCGCAAGGCAGGCTGGGAAGGGCTGGGCCTAGTCAAGGTATCCAGGCCTGACTGCCAACTGGGGAGTCCCCCTGAGTCATGTGACTTGGCAGCCATCTTCTCACTCTGGCATGTGACTCATTCTCCTTCTAAGTGGCAGCCAGTTTCTCTCTCTGTAAGATGTCAGTCAGAGTCAGTCGCCTCAGTTCTGAGCAGTATGGAATCTCAGTCAGACTGTGTGGAAGCATGTTGTTTAGGAAGAAGTTGATTTTTACCCAGTAAAGCTCTTCTTCTCTAAAACTCCGCACTCTTAATTTGCGCTGCCCGTCAAACAAAGGGGTTCGTTTTTGCAGCCCAGCTCCCCAAGGGACTCCCCTCAGTCCATGATGGGTCAGAGAAGAATGGGTGGAGGCCGGAACCAGCAGAAGGAAAGCAAAGAAGACCTTTATTTTCCTGTTGCAACTGAGTCTCCTGCTCTTTTGCAAGGAGGTGACTGCGACCCCCAACAAAGGGACTTGGGCAATTGCCTCGCCCCTTAGCCAAAGACACCCAAACGCCTCACACAGAAATCTGCATCTGCAACAGAAATTCGAGAGTACGGCTTGCCTCCTGTCTGTCAAGATACCTGACGATGGCCGCTCATTCCATTACCTGGCCAGTCTTGAGACGGCAAATACCTTAGTTCTCGAATTCAGGTAACAGACCTCCTCTATTCATACACAAAATGTGTCCTTAAGACAAGATTTGAAGGATTTGTCTAATGGGAAAGCTTTCTAATGAAGGAGGAGAGGACAGGTTAGGATACCCTAAAAACCTGTGTAGTCACCCCCACCCCAAACCAGGCCTCAAGCCTCAAAACTTTTTTTCTTCAGTTTAAATCCCCAATAATCTCTCTTCCCACCCGAAGGCAAAGCCTGAAAAGGCTGCACTACAACATATTTCCTTCTGCAGAGGAAATATTTGGAGTTATTAGTACAGCAAACCCTCCAGTGCTCCTATTTTCCAGGGACAGACCCAGAAGCCATTTTGGTTTCTGATTTGATTCCAGAAAGTCCTGTTTTTCCTTAGGATGTCCCTATTTTCATTGGAAAAATGTTGGAGGGTCTGGAGTTATCCAGCACCGAGACATCTAAAGGTAACGCTGTATAGAGAGGTGTTTAAAAAATAATAATCATGTTTCATTATTATTATTAAGTTTTACATTGCAAATTTAAATTCAAACACTAAACATTAACATCATCATTTAGGATTCTCTGAATCCTTTGACTCCCCTCCGCCCTTCCATGGTTACCATTATCAATATTTTTTCAACAACTTCACTTATTTACTCTATTTAAAAAATAATAATAATCCATTCTTTCCCTTAGTTTTTTAACACAATACAAGTGTTACTCAAATCCTGCCAAAGTTTTTAGTTGTTTACAGTGTTCTCTTAAATACATTATAATTTTTTCCCATTCCTTAAAGTTCTTCTCTTCCTGGTTTCTGATTCTCCCGGTCATTCTCGCCATTTTGGCATAATCCATCATCTTCATCAACCATTCGTCTCTGGTCAGGACTTTATCTTTCCAACTCTGGGCCAGTAGCATCTGCGCTGCTGTTGTTGTGTACATAAATAGTCGTTATAAGATAAAGCTTTCCACAAGGGCCAACACTGATGCGGAAATCCAGCATCGCCTGAGCTCTGCGACTGTGGCTTTCTCCCGATTGAAATGCAGAGTATTTGAGGACTGGGACATTTGCAGGGAAACCAAAATGCTTGTTTACAAAGCTATTGTACTACCAACCTTACTGTATGCTTGTAAAACATGGACCACTTATAAACGCCATCTCCAACTCTTCGAAAGATCCCATCAACAGTGTCTCTGAAAAATTGTACACATCACTTGGGAAGACAGGCGAACTAATATCAGTGTACTAGAAGAAGCAAAGATCATCAGTGTTGAAGCAATGATTCTTCAACATCAACTTTGTTGGACTGGTCATGTTGTGCGGATGCCTGATGATCGTCTTCCAAAGCAAATACTCTATTCCGAACTTACAAATGGAAAGTGTAATGCTGGTGGTCAACAAAAGAGGTTTAAAGACTCTTTCATGGCAAATCTAAAAAAAAAGTAGTATCAACACCAACAATTGGGAAACTCTGACCTGTGAGTGCTCCAATTGGAGAATAGCCTTTCCCAAAGGTTTCCTGGGCTTTGAAGACACTCAGGACGAAAGGGAGAAACAGGCTAAGAGGGAGGCACGTTTGGCAAACACTCACCGGGATCAACTCCTGCCTGGAAACCAATGTCCCCACTGTGGAAGGACGTGTGGATCCAGAATTGGCCTCCACAGTAACTTACGAACTCACTTTTAAAACCGTGTTTATGGAAGACAATGTTACTCGGCTATGAGTGATCAAGAAAGAAAGGAAGAAAAAAAGAGTCGTTTCTGCTCCTTTGGTATCTCTGGTTTTTTTACAAACATCATTTTAAACATTTTTTCAACTCATTATATATCATTTCCCAGAAGGCTTTTGTTATCTTGTACGTAGAATGTGCCTTCCTTCTCCTTACATTGCCAACATAAATTTGAAACAATTCTATACATCTTTGCTAATTTTATAGGTGTTAAGTACCACTGGTACATTATTTTCATATACGGTAATTCTCCTTCAACGCACATTCTCCTTCATTATGTTTTTTATATATGTTGGAAGTTGCCCAGAGTGGCTGAGGAACTCAGTCAGATGGGTGGGGTGTAAATAGTAAAATTATCATTATGGAATGGGACATCCCTATTTTCAACAGAGGAATGTTGGAGGGTCTGGGAGTTGCCAATACAGCTTCTGCATGCTAAAATAAAGCGTGATTTCCTCAGAGAATATTTCATAAATTCTGAAAGGCGAAGGATTGGTGTCAAGGCTGCCTCAAGTCTCAGCTCACAAAAGACCAACGCCTATGTCTTCTTATATACAAAAGTGTTTATTGCAGTTCATTGTTTGCTTGACATCCTAGGCGCGCAGCCTTACGTCTGCTACGCTTAGACCGCTGAAGTCCCCTCTGAATCCGTCCCTCCCCTGCACCAATTTAAGAGGCTTGCGCTGCTCCACCTCTTTCTCTCCTTCCTTTCCGCAGGGTCCTTCTGCCCGCTGGGGTTTCGCCCTCCTGGATTCCTCTGACGCGGAATCAGACTGCTCTTCCCCCTCCTGCGGGCTTTGGGACCTGGCCCCTCCTCCGGGCTCCCTGTACTTCCGCGCGCCTCTACATTTGAAACTTGGCGCGCGCGCCAAACCTCTAACTTTCCTTTGACAGTTACACTACTCCTTTCACTGCTCCTCCCCTTCCGGGAGGGCGGCTTGCTCTGACCTCCCTCCTTTCTCTGCTGCCGGAGCTGCTTCCCTGACACACTGGAAACTCCACCCCTTCGCTGCACTCTGGTGGGGAGGCTGGTCCTGACGCCCAGCTGCCACTTTGGGATCCTCCACTGGCCCCCTGCTCCTGACACGTCCCCCTGGGGCTCCCTGGCCTTGACCACCGGCGCCCCTTCTGGGAATCCTCTGATTCGCTGGAAAGACTCATGGAATCTCTTGAGTCATTGTCATCCTCTTCCTCGCTGGCTTGGAATTCATCCCCATCGCTCTCCATCTCCTGCCTACCCTGTGCCTCTCTCCCTGAACCCCTGACAATTGGTTTCCTGCAGATTTTGTGCCTGTTGTGTTTGTGCACCCTCATTTTCTTTATAGCAGCTCCCTCCTGGCCTCTCCTTGCATGTGCCTCCAATTTATCGCCTTGGCTCTGTGCACCCGCCTCTAGTGGGTGTCATAAGTTCTTTGGGTGTCAGAGGCACCTGGGTGTTTGCATCGCCCAGGGGGAAAAATAGGTGTCAAATTTTTTCAAGTGGCACCTTCCCATGTTGACTCTGAACCACGGACCAGGAAGAAGGCAGCTGCATTGTTTGATTTCATCTGTTTGCAAAAGGTGTTTTCCTTTCATTAGAAAAGGAATCGAAAACAAAACTGGCAACCTAGTAATGCAATTATGCAAATCTATGGCGAGGCTGCATTGGGATGTATGCTGTGGTCAGTTTTGGTCGCCTCCTCTGGAAAAGGATATTCAGGATTTGAAAAAAGTTTTGGAAAAGAGCAACCCAAATGATCCAGGGATTGGAGCAACTCCCCTATGAAGAAAGGTTAAGATTAAAAAATAAATAAAGTAATTAACATCAAAGAATTTTTCTGTACGGTCAAGTTAATTGTTTTTATTACCCTCTCCATACCCTCCAACATTTCTCTGATGAAAACAGGGATGTCTTTAATAACAACAACAACAATACTACCCACCCATCTGCCTGAGTTCCCCTAGCCATTCTGGGTGGTTTCCAACATATATAAGAGAACAACAACAATAATTTACAACAACAACAACAACAACAATAATAATTTATTATTTATACCCTGCCCACCTGGCTGGGTTTCCCCAGCCACTCTGGGCGGCTCCCAACCGAATTAAGAAACTTCTCTATACAGGGCTGCCTTCAGATATCTTCTAAAGGTTGTATAGTTATTTACCTCCTTGGCCTGGGGGTCACATAACTCCATAACCTCCAACATTTCTCTGATGAAAATAGGGACGTCCGATGGGAAAGTAGGATCAAATCAGAAACCGGGATGGCTTCTGTAAATCCAGGACTGTCCCTGGAAAATAGAGACACTTGGGGGGTCTTCCTCCCCCCCAAAATTACCAGTGTGGGACATTGTAAGAGCAGATCACACAGATTCTTGCAGAATTCCTCTAAGAGCTTTGAAAACGAAACAATTGGGGGCTGATTCCAACATATTTGCTTCTAGGCAGCCAAGAGAATGCAAGAAAAATGATACCCATATCTCTTGATATGGGCTTGAGCTCAAACAAAGGACTTTCACATATTTGCTCAAGGAAACTTCTTCCAGTAGCCCAATGGAAGTTTTTTTCTTTTTAAAAAGAAAAATTGACCGTTGACGACCATGCCACACAAACCAAGACATCCCTTGGTTTCAAAATCAATTGGCAGGAGTGGCTGCAGTTTAAGGAAACTTAGGTCTAGGTCCCCCATGGGCTTATGAAACCAGTTTTGCATTTCTGTGGCTCCTGATTGCAATGAGATGGGATTGAAATCACAGGGTTGTGGGTTTGAACCCCACCTTGGGCAAAGAAATCCTGCATTGCAGGGGGTTGGACTAGATGACCCCTGGTGTCCTTGTCAGCTGCATGATTCTATGTCTATGTCTGAAGCACAACAAAAACCACCCAGGAAGCTTCAGAAAAGGGGGGTCAGAACCGGGATGTACATGCCCCAAGAATGTGAAATCACACGTTTCCCATTGTATAAAAACATAATATTGCTTTAAAAATAATTGGTGCAGCACTCGCAGTTCAGAGTTCGTGCCCTAGCATGCCCTGCTCTCTCTTGCTTGACTTAGCGGGATCTCCGCCTTTTGGCCCTGCTGACCCAGTTTGGTTTGACCCAGTTTCAGTGGGGCTCTTACATCACTGAATCTGGGGATGTTTGTTCGTGCCGGATCCGCTTTGCCCCTGGGCAGAGGAGAGAGGGTGATGTTGCATCTGTCTTCAGCTTTTTGACAGGCTCCCCAATCTGCAGATTACAAATTGCAAAAGCAGGAAACCCAACAGGTCTCTGCCCCCAGGGAGCCTACAGTGTGATGCAATTGCTGGGAGGAAGCAAGGAGGCGACGAAGAGGCAGGACTTGGGAGCAAGAGGGCTGAGCGCCCAGCTGAAGCGTCATGGGATTTGGGAGTTGTAGTGCAGGGCTGAGTTTGTGAAGAGGTAATCCTGGAGGATAATAATAATAATAATAATAATATCCCTCCCATCTGATTGGGGAGTAGGGAAGCTGCCTTACGCAGAGCCACACCATTGGCAGATTGGTGGCTGTGGAGAGAGCTGGATTCATAGAGTCGTAGAAGTGGAAAGGAACCTGAGGATCATCTAGTCCAACCCCCTGCAAGGCAGGAATCGAACCTGCAACCTTGGCATTATCAGCACCACGCTCTCACCAACTGAGCTATCCAGGCTTTGAGATGCCATGTCCTTTGCTAATCTTTTTCCTATGCAGGTAACGAAAGGTCTCTGGCTTGGAACGCCCAAGCCCCTCACACCACCTCCTTGGCATCAGGTCACTATGCCCTTGATCGCTTCTCATCTCCTGCCGGGGCGAACCTCGGCTTTCCATGCAAAACAATCAGATCTTTCTCCCAGCATCTGCAGGCAGGGGCAAAGTTTTGGGCACAGCAAACTCCCCTCCCTGCCTTCATGCCTCTTTTTCTCTTTTCGGACTGGAGATATTAAAAGCTATTGAAAGAGGGTGCCAACAGACGGGTGCAAAGCCCTTTGCTCACAGAGCATCCCAGAATGGGTGGTAATTTGCCCACCACCGCTAAAATGAAAATTTAAAAATCATCTTCTTCTTCTTCTTCTTCTTCTTCTTCTTCTTCTTCTTCTTCTCCTCCTCCTCCTCCTCCTCCTCCTCCTCCTCCTCCTCCTCCTCCTCCTCCCCCCCCGAGGGTCATCTAGCCCAACCCCCTGCAATGCAAAGGTCGTTTCAGAACATGGAAAAGAATAAACTGTTGGAATCTACGATGGCCATGATATGCATGAAAAGAAAATCAGCTAGCTATGGCAATTGTGATTAATCTTTGAATTGTTTTTGTAGATGGATGAAAGAGAATATTGCAAGACATTTAGTGAAGAGGAAGATTTGTCAAAGCCAGCTTGTCAACATCCTTCTTAAATTGTGGAACCCAGAAATGGACACAGTATTCCAGGTGGGGGCTGACCAAGGCAGAATAGAGCGGCACTATGACTTCCCTTGATCTGGACACTAGAATTCTGTTGATACAGCCTAGAATAGCATTGGCATTTTTTGGTGCTGCATCAGACTGTTGACTCATGTCAAGTTTGCAGTCTACTAAGATCCCGAGATCCTTTTCACATGTAATGTTAGTAAGCCAGGTGTCCCCATCCTATATTGATGCATCTGGTTCTTCCTGCCTAAGTGCAGAACCGTACATTTGTCTCCATTGAAACATACCCTCCAAGATTTCTCCAGTGGAAATTGGGACGTCCTATTCCATAAGAATAATAAAAAAGTATTATTTATACCCCACCCATCTGACTGGGATGCAGCAGCCACTCTGGGTGGCTTCCAGCATACATAAAAACATAATAAAATATTGAAAAATTTCCCTATCCAGGACTGCCTTCTGGTGTCTTCTATAGGTTACTCATCTCCTTGGCTCGGGGGCTGCAGAACTCCATACCCTCCAACATTTCTCCAATGAAAATAGGGACACCATAAGGAAAAGCAGGACATTCCAGGATCAAATCAGAAACTGGGACAGCTCCTTTTGGGGTTGGACTAGATGACCATTGGGGGCCCATCCAACTCTACAATGATTTGATTTTGTAAATCTGGGACTGTCCTGGAAAACAGGGCCACTTGGAGGGACAGCTGAAATTCATTTTGTTAGTTTTGGCCCAGTTCTCCAATCTGTTATGGCCATAGAATCATAGACTGGTATTTGGCCACTGGGCTAGATCACAGAATCATGGAAGAGTTGGGAGGGACCCCGAGGGTCATCTAGTCCAACCCTCTGCAATGCAGAAATCTTTTACCCAATGTGGGGCTCGAACCCACAACCCTGAGATTAAGAGTCTCCTGCTCTACTGACTGAGCTGTCCAGGCCCTTTGGGTCTCATCCAGCAGCCAGGCACTTCTTGGGTTCTTCTGCTTCTTTATCATAGCAAAAGCTCAAGCAATGAAAGACGTCCACCATAAGGAATGCGGGGTTCTCAGTCTGCCCCGCTGCCTCTGACACCCTGATGTTTCTTGCAAGGTTAAAAGTATTTCCTTGCGATGCAGGCACACCCTGCATGTAAGGGCCCCCCATGGCTTTCCCACCCACCCAGCCTGGATTATGGATTATGCAAGTGCTATTGATCTTGGCACCTGGGGAACAAAGGTGCACAGAGTGATGCAGCAGAAAGGAGGGAGATGCGTTTATTCTCTAGGGTGTGGAAGGGAAAGATGATTAAGAGACGGGAAACTCTCAGGGAGAAGGAGGAAATGTTTCTTCATGGCGACTGAGGGAAAATGAAAAGAACATTTCGTACAGAGGTCGTCCATGAGCCCTAGGCATGACGCGTCAACATTTGCTTTCTCATGAGGACTAGCGACATGGGGATTAAAAAAAGAGAGAGAACATTTACTTCGGTAGACAGAGGAAAGTCCGCAGACCCTGATCAATGACTCAGCGACATTTGCTTTCTCATGAGGACTAGCGTCAGGATGTGGTTCATTACATCATGGCCATAAGTTATATCAGACCAAAGGCCTTTCTAGTAAATGATGCTCAATTTCGTATGTGGCTGCCGAGATCATATAACACCGGTCCTGAAAGACCTTCTCAGTACACCCTGTGGAAAGCCCTCCCGTCAGATGTCAAGGAGATAAACAACTATCTGACTTTTAGAAGACATCTGAAGGCAGCCCTGTTTAGGGAAGCTTTTAATGTCTGATGTTTTATCACCATCATCATCATCATATGCGGAAGGACAAGCCTGTCAGTTTCAAGGACTCTCAGTTCCACGTTTTCCCAATCCTCCATTTTGTTTGCCAGATTTTTGGGAAATGTTTGCTCCATTTTTTTAAAGTCCTTGTGAAAATCCTTCAGAATTCCAGCCTGCCTTTCTCCTAATAAGCACCTTCCTGCAAGCCCATATGCAATGCATTCCTGTATGTTATTTTTGCAGATACCTACCTGCATTTTTAAATGCACATTTCCCCCTAACATTTCTTTGGCTGCAGAGATGCATTGCAAAAATTCGGAGAGGCACAATTTTTTTCCTGAAGGATAGAGAAGTTTTGGTTCGCGTGTTGTTTTGGAGAGGGCCACGAATCCCGACTTCTTCTCCATCCTCCACATCCTCTGCTCCACCAGGCTGATGCTCTTCCTTCAGATTCTACCTGCAGGGTGGGAGAGATCCTGCCATTCAAGCCCTTCCCCAAGTGCCCCATGAAACCAGCATCCTTCCTTCGCCACCTGCTGTTCCTGAACGGGAAAAGCAGGCTGCTCAAAGGGCAGGTTGCGCATGGCATCATGGAATCATAGAACTGTAGAGTTGGAAAGGACCCCAGGGGCCATCTAGTCCAACCTCCTTGCAATCCTGGAACCTCCCTCTGCTTAAAAACCTCCCAGGAAGGAGAGTCCGCCACCTTCCAACCCATGGTCGAACAGCTCTTTCTGTCAGAAAGTTCTTCCTGATGTTGAGTTAAAAACTCTTCTCTTGTCACTTGAAGCCATGGGTTCGAGTCCTACCTTCCAGAGCAGGAGAAAACCATCTTCCCTGTGACAGCCCTTGAGCTATTGGAAGATGGCTCTCCTCTCTCCTCTCAGTCTCCTCTTTCGCAGGCTAAACATCCCCAGCTGCTGCAACTGTTCTTGGACACATAATAATTGTGAGCATTCATTCTATCACATGCGGCTGCTTGGACTGAGTTTTTGTCTCTCTGTGTGATGAAGGTTGTTGGGTCAAGCTAACCATGCTGTCAGGGGGCTTAGGCTGTTGTCTTTTGGGGCTGTATATATAATAAAGGAACCACAATGGGGTGACGCCATCCTCTTTCATTTGTGCTGATTTCAGTTTGTTGGTTAGCTTTTCCAGCAAGGCTGTTTCTGATTTCTGTTTGCTTGTTAGAGTATAAAGAAAAAAGGCACAAAAATATATTTTCCCCACCCCAAACGAAAACTTGAATCTAAATATCTTATCAAAGGAAAAGGGGGAAGAAAAAGAGTAAGAAAGAGGGAAGAGAAAGAAAGAAAGAAAGAAAGAAAGAAAGGGTAAAAAGGAATGCCAAGGTTGCAGGTTCGATTCCTGTAAGGGACAGCTGCCTATTCCTGCATTGCAGGGGGTTGGACTGGATGACCCTCAGGGTCCCTTCCTACTTAGATTCTGTGGATTATGTCCCCCTCTAGTAGGGTTGTTTCTCATACAGTCTTGTACCAGTGGCCCATGTTCACTCCTGACAGGTCTCTCCAATGTCTAGTTATGACACTCCTATCTGCAAGTAGCTTATGATTTTTTTTGTAATGTTAGTGTGCATTGTCATCTTGAAAATTTTTTAGTAGGGCCGGTTCTGGAGAGGCTCCTAATACATGCTTAGTTATTTTGCAGATTTCTCCTCAGAATGAGGTTCAAAAGCATTGGATTTCTGAGCTGAGGCATCCAGAACTACACACAATATTCCTTACTCTCCATATACTCATTGTATGGAAATTGACAACAGCAAAAATGAATTCTAGGCTGCCCAGTGGTGGCCAAGAGACTGATATGGATGAATTGGAATAATAATAATAATAATAATAATAATAATAATAATTTTATTTATACCCCGCCCTTCCCGGTTCTGAAAACCGGGCTCAGGGTGGCTAACAACAAATTTAAACCACTTAATTGATGCAACAAAAAACAGCATAAAATACAGTATAAAATGTGATTAACAATAAATGCAGAATTCAAAAATCAGTTTAGGGGGAAAATCCATCAAATAAACATTAGATGTTTATTTAGCCAGGGCTAGCTGGCTAAATTAGTCCTATTTGGGCCAGTGAGGAGACCAGGGGAGAATTAGCTGTGGGGTCTCAGAGTGGGTAATGTTCATAAAAAGGGGAGAGGGAGGGAAGGAAGGGGAATAAAAGATCAGGCTAAGTTCAAATTGAAAGCCAGGCGGAATAGCTCTGACTTACAGGCCCTGCGGAAGGAGGTTAAATCCTGCAGGGCCCTGGTCTCATGGGACAGAGCATTCCTCCAGGTCAGAGCCACCACTGAGAAGGCCCTGGCTTTGGTGGAGGATAGTCTGACTTCCTTAGGGCCCGGGACCTCTAAACTATGGTTGTTCATGGACCTTAAGGTCCTCTGTGGGGCAGACCAGGAGAGGCAGTCCCGTAAATACGAGGGCCCTATTCCTTCATCAATGGCTCAACAACATGACAATATTGGCAGCGTATGAATGGACTTCTTATAGAGGCAGACTTCCTTTGGATAAATACCATGATATTGGGAATGAGTTTTACACAGAATATATTAGGTTACTGACAATTATTGCAGAGGTTGGCTGGCCATCTTTCCTGGAAGTTTGAGCTGAGATTCCTGTATTGCAGGGGTTGGACTGGATGACTCTCGGGGTCCCTTTCAGCTGTACAGATAATAAGAATATATACACCTGCATATTCAGGTATGTTAATGTAACAGCCTTTTTCCTTTTCTTTTCCAATCTCATTGTTTAAAAAAGCTCTCAAGTGACCTGGTCCCTTCCAGTGATTATAAGTGATAAGTGTGCCAAATCCCATGCATGCAACTTGACCGTGTGGGCCTTGCAGCAATTGGGGAATTTTCCAGCCCGTGTCTATGATGACACATTTCTCTCCACAAACTTTCTGTTTTGTTTTGTTGGGGCTGTTTGAGTAAGGAAGGGATTTCGAAGAGAGGCAGGCACACAATTCAGCAGCTGCGGGCAAGACGTCATGTGAGAGTAGGGCTGGCATATTTCAAAGTATGAAAATCCAGACAAAAAGTTGGCAAAGTTGTTGTTGAGCAACCCTAGACTTACTGTTCTTACTGATTTTGGGCCTTTTTGCAGGTTATTCAGGTGGCAGGGAGTGAAAGGGCAGGTGCTGGGAGAGCAACAGCCAGTAGCCACCAAGGGACCCCCAAGGGTCATCTAGCTGAACTCTCTGCAAGGAAGGGATGTGTTTGCATTTTTTAAAAAAAATAGAGTACAATATTTATTTGCAGGTGACTGGGTCCTTTCTGACAGATGCAAGAAGGCTTGCAGTGCGTGCAGAAGGAAAAGAGAAATTTCCTGGTTGCACAATAACACAACCCAGAGATGTGGGGCTTTTTTCTCTTGCAGGTTATGCGGGTATGGGGAGTGCAGAGAGCTGGCCTTCTTCTGAACTCCCTCATTTCCTGAAGGTGTGTGTGTCTAAGAGATGCCAGTGGGCTGGCAGGCGATGGGTGATAGGAGATCTGAAGGGCTGCCCCATGGGAGATGCCCCATGGAAATGCCCCTAAGGAACCATAAGGAATCAAGATAGACTGCCTCTGGTGCTGGAGGTTTCATAAAGGCACAAGCCTCTAGGATCAGGCCAATGGGGGCCCATCTGGCCCACAAGCAGGATTCAAACACGAGACCAGCCTCTGATAGACCTCTCCTCCATGAATTTATTGAATCCTCTGCTGAAGCCGTCAGGGTTGGTGGAATGTGTTCATATTCCCCCCCATACACTATTTGTTTATTGGTAAGTGACTTTCTCAATGTTTTGCGACATCATTTCACTTGAGGCAGATCTAAACCATACATTTGAAGTTCATACATCATTACCATGGGAACTGCAGTTTTCCCTCTCACAGAGCTGCAGTGCCCAGCTTGCTTAACACACTACAGTTCCCAGGATTCGAGAATCCTGTGCTTTAAATATCCCTGCATTGCAGGGGGTTGGACTAGGTGACCCTTTGAGATCCCTTCCGTCGACAAACGCCAGCTCCCTCAGTCTGAAAAGTGAGATGAGTGCCGCACCCCCATACTTGAATTTGCCTGGACTTAACTATCTAGGGGTCCTTTACCTTACAATTCTATGATTTTATGAAATTTGCTTTCAATGTTAGGTGTTAGTTAGGACACTTCTCCCTAACAAACTCATCTTTCTCTCTTCTGCGAATTTCATTTGCAAATAGGTAGCTCTGCTTTCAAATGCTGGAAAAATGAAAATTCTACCCCATACCTGCAACTGAGCAGCTTTGCTTGTTGCTTCTATAGGATATTTTGTGTTTTTATATATGCTGCAAGCCTCCCAGAGTGGCTGGGGAAATCCACCCAGATGGGTGGAATATAAATTTAAAAAGAAAGGAAATAGCCAGTGTTCAGCCCCTGTAAACAGCGTCTGAGTGGAAATCACTGACTGTCTGAGAAAAGAGCTCAAAAACTCTTTTTGTGTCCGGATTTTCACTTTTTGAAATATGGCCGTCATGGATGCTTGACAGATGTCAAGGTTGGAAGGACCCCCCGGGGGGTCATCTAGTCCAGCCCTCTTGCAAGGCAGGAATCTCAGCTCAAGCACCCTTGACAGACCCAACCTTTGCTTAAAAACCTCTCGGCAAGCATTTCATTTTCCAATATTCTGATCATTTCTACTTTTAGATAAGTATTTTTATTTGTTTCCTTGATTTAGGGGTGGCCAGCTGCCCCCTGCCTACGCCCATGACCTTGCCCTCTGGAAGACTTCCTCTTGCAGAAACCCCAGGTTATTTTTGCGCCTGGGCTTCCTGATCTCAGGGCTGAAAGGGCGCAGAGAAAAAGAGAGGGGGAGGGACAAAGAGAGGGAACCTGGAGCCAGAATTGCACGTGCCCGGGTCCTTCTTTCCACCAAACAGATCACCTTTGATAAAGAAGAAAGGGATTGGGGGGGCGGGAAAGGGTGACGCCTCCCTCTCTCATCACCTGCTTCATAAAAGTCCTCGCAGGTGGCTGCAAGGAAGCTCTGCAAACAGCTGATCTCGCCTTTGCAACCCGGGCAATTCCTCTCTTGGCTTCCCCTTTTGCTTCTTCTAAGCCGAATTTCTCTTTTTCCTCTCACCTCAGGATCTCAGCCTCTTCGCTGAACCTCACAGGACAAATCGCTTGCTTTCTCCCTTTTTATTCACCTGGCTCCTTTGCTCGTCTATTCATTCATTTCCTTTTGAACTGTTGCTATCACCTAAACCAGATTTTCGTTTTTTCAAGAGACAGTGGCAGAGAGGATAGAGTAGACTCTATAATTGCAAGATATAGGTTATCTTCTTATTCGATTCCTACTTTACAGACACCAATTCTGGTGGGGCTGTGTGTGGGGGTGTGGGGGTGTCTTTGCTGACTTTTTATCCCTGAGAGATTTTGGGTGGGTTTTATTTTCCTGGCTTGATTCCTTTGCCCTTCCTTGGGTGGGGGGCCCTCCTTCTGCTTTCCACACTTTTTTTGTTTCTGTTTAAATAAAACCTTTGCTCCTTTCTTCCTCGCCTGCAAACTTTTTGCTATTCCAGTGTATCACATCTTGTGGTTAAGTTGTTTGCTATCCAGGCACCTCCAAATCTTGTAAATAGTAATTTGTGGAGACTTTCTCTCTCTCTCTATCTCTCTCTCTCTCTCTCCATCCCACCCCCCTCTCTTTCACCCCACTTCCTGTACTGAGCAGACTTGGACCTTTACTCCCTTCTCCCCAAGGACTGAAGCTCATTTCTCTTCCCTCGGCTGTTGTCCTTCCAACCCTCCAAGTCCTCCTCCTTTTTCTTTCTCCGCTGGACCCACCAAGGGTTGACCTCTCCATCTGCTGTGGTGCTGGTCCTCTCAGCTGCCCAATATGGCGCTAGGAGGTGGTTTAGAGGTCTTTCGAGCAGAGATGCTCACCTTCAGTTTATGGGATTATGGGGTCTTTGCCTTGATGCTCCTCATCTCCACCAGCATCGGCCTCTTCTATGCCCTCTCCAAAGGAGGCCAGAAGACTTCTGAGGACTTCTTCACAGGCGGGCGGCAGATGTCGGCTATCCCTGTGGGGCTCTCCCTGTCCGCCAGCTTCATGTCGGCCATCCAGGTTCTGGGGGTCCCGGCCGAGGCCTATCGCTATGGGGTGAAGTTCCTGTGGATGTGCTTGGGGCAGCTGCTGAACACACTCCTGACCGCTTACCTCTTCCTGCCGGTCTTCTACCGCCTCGGCCTCACCAGCACCTACGAGGTGAGCTCATTGCTTGGTTTGCTTTATTGCAATTCTTTTAAAAAATGTATTTATCAGTTTTTTAGTTTTACAATTTTTTGGCAGCAAATCACAGTGCATAAAATACCATGAAGCATACAAAACCATGTAAAAGGATCAAACATGTCATGCATTTTAGTTATCCTTTCCCACTGCATGTTTCAATCAATCCGTGTTCTTTTCTTTTTCAATCTTCTCTGTTAGGTTTACACTGCTGAATTTACTCTAAACCTACTAACGTCTTAATCCGTTCAAAATAATTTTTTTAGATATTCCAGAAAACTTTTCCAAACTTGCTTAAAGACTCTTTCTTCCTGATCTCTTGATTGCTTCGTTGCATTTCTGTCCCAAGATAAATTGACGCACATGGTGGTTCTTCCACTCCTCATTTAGTCCCCACAACAGCCCTGTGAGGTAGGGCAGGCTGAGAGGCAGAGGCTGCCCCCCAAGGTCGCTTCCACTGAGCTTCATGGTCGAGTGAGACCTCTTCCTAGCTCAGTCAGTAGAGCAGGAGCCTCAGGACTGCAGGTTCAAGCCCCACGTTGGGCAAAAGATTCCTGCATTGCAGTGGGTTGGGCTAGATGACCCCTGGGGTCCCTTCCAACTCTACAAGTCTAGAATTCTATGACTTGAACCCAGGTCTCTTCCAGCTCCTGGTCCTCATTTAATCCCCACAACAACCCTGTGAGGTAGGCTAGTGCCCGCAAGGTCATGCCTAGTGGACTTCATGGCTGAGTGGGAGGACTTGAACTCTTCCAGGTCTTAGATTGTGCTGTGATTCCTGCATTGCAGCAGGCTGGGCTAGGAGGACCCTTGGAGCAATTTATGATTCTATGATCCATTGAAGGTTTTTAAACAGGGCTCCTTCCAACTAGGAGATATCTATGAGAGTTTGGACAGGCATCTGTGAGTGATTCTTGGCAGGGAGTTGCCAGACTCCTGCTTGTGGGCTTCCCATCGGGGCAGGAGGAAGGGCTGGATGGGCCCCTTTGACAGGTCCAGCTGCTGCCCGGCTCCTATGTCCCTAAGGAACCTCCCAGGCCAGAGGCAATCTATCTGGATTCCTAGGTTCTATGGGGTATTTGGCCCCTGTGAGAACAGGGGGCTGGGCTCTGTCCAATTCTGCAGATTGGAGAGGTGAAGTGTTTATTGTGGTTTGACCATGTGAAGCACCTTGAGACTTCCTCCCTGACATCTCCACCATCTGGGGATCCCTGGATCTGGACTGTTTTCACTCACTGATACCCCATCCTGTAGAATTTTATCAGTTATATTTCATCTGCACAATTGGAATGAATTTCTGGAACCAAAATGCCTTTTCTGTGCAGCCTGAGCAAGATCAGTGAACAATGCAATAGTGAATTGTTGTTGCATGTCTTCACTCCCCCCACCCCGCCCTGCTCAGAGTTGAGAAGAATATTCTTACATTATGAATAGTCCATGTCTCCGGTATAGAGGCTAATATATATGCAGACTGTTCCTGGATCAAGTGACTTTCCTTTAAGTTATCACAGCTCTTAACCCAGTTCAGGGTCGTCCTCGGAACTAGTCAGATGTTTAACTGAGAATCAAGCACTGTTAGCCCATCATTTGACAAAATAAGATTTTAGAGCCGTCTTGCCCCAAAATGGCAACTAGACATTCCATTTTGGTTACTGCAACCTCAGTTTAGGGGGGCTTAACTGGCTGCTGGCTGCTGCTCTGCGGGTGAGAGAAGGAGCTCTGAGCGAACTTTAGCTGCTTTGCACCCAGCCTTCCAGCAGCAAAGTGACCTCAGGATAAACCGAGGTCAGTCCTTTTGCACAGCACTAATCTTTGCACCGTCTCCTGTGGACCTTGAGGTTTTGTTTGGGTGCTTGTCACTTTGGCACAGTTAAAAACATGCCAGATGATTTGCGTTGCCTGCTCAAAACAACCTGAAACAAAACAGAGTAAGAGGCAAGGCTGTCCATCACCTTGACCCTAACACTGGGTGATCCTCGCACTCGCATCCCACTTGCGAGTTTCCCATAACAGGAGGCTGGACTAGGTGGACCATTTGCCTGATCCAGCAGGGGTCTTTTTATGTTCATAAGGGCATTAGGAACACAGGAAGCTGCCTTAGAATCATAGCGTTGGAAGGGGCCTGAGGGTCATCTAGTCCAACCCCGTACAATGTAGGAATCTTGGCTAAAGCATCCATGACAGATGGCCACCCAACCTCTGCTTAAAAAAGGAGGAGTGTCCTGAGGGAGACAGTTCCATGGTTGAACAGCTCTCACTGTCAGAAAGTTCTTCCTGATGTTTAGTTGGAATCTCCTTTTTTTGTAACTTGAAGCCATTGGTTTGGCACCTACCCTCCAGAGCAGGAGAAAACAAGCTTGTTCCCTCTTCCATGTGACAGCCCTTCAGATATTGGAAGATGGCTCCCTTCAGTCTCCTCTTCACCTGGCTAAACATACCCAGCTCCTTCAGCCATTCCTCATAAGGCCTGATCATCTTGGCTGCCCTCCTTTGCACATGTTCTAGTTTGTCAATGTCCTTCTTAAATTGTGGTGCCCAGAATTGGACACAATATCCCAGGTGTGGTCTGACCAAGGCAGAATAGTGGAAATACAAATCTCCAGGATCTGGACACAAGGCTTCATGGAAGATGAACCCCTTGGGCCAAGCTGTTGCTTTGGATGCGTGTTGCAAGAGCTGAGCTGCCCATGAAGCTGAGCTTTGCAAAAGGTTGGCCGCAAACCCAACTCCCTCAACCGTTCCTCATCAGGCTTGGCTTCCAGACCCTTGATTATCTCCGCTGCCCTCCTCTGCACACCTTCCAGCTTAAATTGCGGAGGGTATTCTAGTGTTTCCTGAGTTCTAGTGTTAGGACAGAGGAAGAAAAATGCTCCTCTGCTCACGATCTCCAGGCCCAGCTTGGTTTTACAAACCCACGTGACCACATGCATGTTTCCAGTGCACATGCCCATGCGCTGCAGAGGCCTCTCCCGAACCAGATGGCAGGATAAGGGTGTTTTCCTAGCGTATCTTGAGGCTCCCAAAACAAACCACCTCTTGACTTTTGAATCAGCCCTGTCTGAGCACCCTCTTACAGAGCAAACATATCCAGACCAGCTGAGAGGAGATTTTGGCAGCAGAGGCAGCCTTGTTCTCACTCCCGGAATGTTGGCCAGGAATGTGCCAACGTGTGTAAAATTTACAAAGCAAACGTAGCCCATTGGAGCTCTCTCCTCAGTTAGGTTCCTCGTGCTTCTGATCTAAAATCCTGTTTTTGCATCATTTTGCTATTTTCTTTTTTTTTAACCCTACCACTGCATGCAATTTTACTAATACTTTAGAGCAGATTTCTCCCAATAAACACATTTTTGCTATCACTTTTAGAATCATAGACTTGTAGAGACATGGGTCTTGAACCTACAACCTTGAGATTAAGGCTCTCATGCTCTACCTGCAGAGCTATCAGAATACATTTTTCTACGTTATATTCACCCATGAATTCATGTGGCACAGTGGGTCAGTGGGTCTGGCTGTTCACCCAAAGGCTGGTGGTGCATTGAAGGGGGTTGGACTGAATGACCTCTGGGGGTCCCTTCCCTTCCACCTCTACCATTCTAGGATTCTGTGATATAGCAAAGGTGTGACTAGGTGTAATGTAGCTTCCTGTGTTCCAGCTAAGTACAAAACCTCCAACATTTCTCTGATGAAAACAGGCATGTCCTGTTAAATAATAATAACCATAACAATAATACCATAATAATTAATTTTATTATTTATACCCCACCATTTATATCACAGGCACTCTGGGCAGCTTCCAACATATATAAAACATAATGAAACATTACACATTAAAAAAAGCTTCCCTATCCAGGGCTGCGTTCAGATGTTGTCCAAAGGTTGTCTAGTGACTTATTTCTTTGGCTCGGGGGTTGCATAACTCCAGACCCCCCAACATTTCTCCAGAGAAAATAGGGACGTCCTAAACAGTGGTGGAGTTTCATGCTCCGGCACCGGGGGGGGGGGCGGAGAGCAGGCGGGGTGGGGCTGGTGCGTGTCCCAGGGGCATGGCGCCCAGCGTGGGCGGGGGGAGCAGCCGCGATGGCAACCCCCCCCCCACCGGGATTGCGCTGCCGGGGCGGTGCACTCCCCCCACACTCCTCTTCCTCCGCCACTGGTTCTAAAGGAAAGCAGGACATTTCGGGATCAAATCAGAAATCGGGCCAGCTTCTGTAAAACAGGGAGTTTCCCTGCAAAAAGGGACACTTGGAGGTCTGAAAGTACACAGTGGATTACATATAGAGGAATGTTGCATATACAGGATTATATTGTTTGCCTCGGAGACGTTTGATGCTGTCAGGCAGATCAACAAATGACTCAAGGAGTGAACCTCGGGTCTGAGTCACCTGTTGACTGATTTCAGATTTAATCCTCTGCATCTGGACTAGATCCCTGGGATCACACTGCGGTGTCCCAAAGCCCTGCAGTCATCTTGTTTGCATTGCATAGCAGCCTGCAGTTAGCTGGGATTATTACTATTTTTAAAGAAATTGGGGTTTAGGAACTGCCAATCTTGCAAAGTGGTTTGGATTGCGAAAGAGAAGGGCTGAGAGTTTCCCTACCTGTCGCGCAACACAAGAACTTGTAGCCAACGGAAACTGAGGTCAGATAAACGAAGAAACCGTCTGCACACAGCACGCAGATGAACTGTGGAACTCCCTGCCACAGGGGGAGTGAGGGATTCCAAACTGGATGGCTTTAAACTGTGCCTTTTTTTCTAAAAATAATGCTTAGGGGTATTCTCATTTTCCTACTCATATTGAAATACTGCCCCTCAATGAGGCCAAACTTAGATTCACAAAATGTTTGGCGGTATGCGTACCTGTTTGGAGTCCGCCATGCTTCTGAGTTCCAGTTGCTGGAAACCGCAGGAGGGGAGAGATGCTCTTGAATCCTGCTTGCGGGTTCCCTTTGGGGCATCTGGTGCACCACTGTGAGGACAGGATGCTGGGCCAGGTGGGCCATTGGCCTGATCCAGCAGCCAGGCTTTTCTCGTGCTCTTGTGGAGCCTCCAGGCCCAGAGGCAGTCTATCCTGATTCCCAGGTTCTATGGGGTATTTGGCCACCGGGAGGACAGGACCCTGGGCTAGATGGGCTTCCCTTGGCCTGATGCAGCTGGTTATCTTCTTATGGAACTTCCAAGTCCAGAAGCAGTCTACCCAGATTCCTAGATTCTTAGGGGTCTTTGGCCACTGTGAGGACAGGGTGAAGGACTAGATGGGCCCCTTGGCCCTGGGTTCTCACATGAAACCCAGGCAGCCAGGCCTCACCTGACGCAAAAGCCACCATCCCGGATTGGATGCTTTTGCTTGCATGGCTGGGCAGGGAGCCAAGAAGCACCATCAAGGGCTTTCAAAGAGGCAGAGAGCCATGTCGCTCTGGAGGGAAGGTATCTCAGGTGGGTTGAGGAAGCCAGCCGTGGAAGGATGTGGTGCGCATTTGCGTATGGTAGTGCCGCAGATGAGCTGATGTGGAAGCTTGGTTCCACAAGGAGCTCTCAAGGACATCACAGCAACCTGGAAGCTGCCTCATAATCCAGTAAGAACATCAGAGGAACCCCTGTTGGGTCAGGCCAAAACCGCAGACCTTTGAGCTAGAGGTGAGAGAAGGCTCAGGGGCAAAGTCCCCGTCCCTGCACTTCTTGACCGCCTGGAAATCATCAGAGATGGGGTGAAAGGCGAAACACACACACACACACACACACACACACACACACACACACACAGGGGTGTCTCTGTGTGTTTGCAAAATCAATAAACAAAATGTGTGTGTGTGTTTTGGAACAAGGGAGGCAGTCAGCTGAGATGCTGCTGGGAACGAAGTCTGCTTACTATCTTTGGCAGGGAATGGCTGAGCTGAAAGAATGATGGAAACAGCTGGAATCCTGCCATAGAATCAGAGGATTGTAGAGCTGAAAGGAACCCTGGGGTCATCTAGCCCAACCCCACTCAAATCCATGACTCTGAGATTTGGAGTCTCTCGTGCTCTGCTGAATGGGCTGCCCGAGCCAGACCACTAGGCACATCTAACCTAGTGGTGCCCACACTGACTGGCAGCCGCTCTCAAGAGTTTCAGGACAGGAGTCTTTCCCAGCCTTCCCTGGAGGGGCCCTTTGGGACTGAATCGGGGACCTTCTGCTTGCAAGGATGCTGAACCGTGACCCTTCCACTGAAAATATTTTTTTTTAAAGATTCTAGTCCACACCCTTATTAGAATCATGGAACTGTAAAGTTGGAAGGAACCCCAAGGGTCATCTAGTCCAACCCCCTGCGAGGCTGGAATCTCAGCTAAAGCAACCATGGCCTGTTCATTCAATAGGAACAAAGAAATCTCCCTTGTAGCCTTGACCCATTCACCACAGTGTTGTCTAGACAGACTGGCAGCTATGGCTCTTCAGGGTTTCAGATTCGGGGGTCTCTCCCTGCAGCCCGTCCTGGAGATGCCCCGGGTGACCTTCCGCATGCAATATAGGGGCTTGACTGCTGAGCGAAGGTCCTTCTTCTCCATGCCCTGGGCTCAGTGGATAAGAGCACGAGGCTCTCTTTCTCAGGGTCATGAGTTCGAGCCTCATGTTGGGCAAAAGATTCCTGCACTGCAGGGGGTTGGGCTAGATGGCCCTTGAGGTCCCTTCCAACGCTACAATGTTACCTGAATCTACAATTCTGGAATTCTTCTTAAACCAAGATGAGGCTCCTGCCCTCATGTTTCTGAAAAAAGGAGGGATTTAATTGCAATCTGTGTCATACCAGCTTAGATTGCTAGTCCATGTAGCTCAGTACTGTCTACACTGGCTGGCTGCAATGAACCACCAGGACTTCAGAGAAGAGGTCTTTCCTAGTCCCACTTGGAGATGCCACCATGGGACTGATCCTGGGACCTTCTTCTGAGAGGAATCTCCTGTGGAGACTCTTTGGAAAGATCCCAGGAGTCCTTCTCCCTCTCCTCTCAACTCTCCATCTTCTCTCGACAGTACCTGGAAATGAGGTTCTCCAAAGCAGTCCGCCTGTGTGGGACGATCCAGTATATCATTGCCACGGTAAGTCGCTGGGGGTCTGCTGCGTGGGCAAAGAATCTGTGGGAGAGAGGAGGGCAGAAACAGGGCAGAAGCTGAAGCAGGAGAGGAGGGGTCAAGGGGAGAGAGGAGTCTGGCTGGTGAAGAAGCCAGGGGGTCTCCCCCCTCCTGCTGCAACAAGTTCCCCTCCCCGCTGGTCTCCCAGAAGCAGGAGAGGTTGGTTTAAGGTAGCACAACTGGGCGCTATGCTGCAGGGGACACCAAAACTACACTGTAGAACGGAGTGCAAGAAGTGGGGGGGGGGCACCAAATTTTAGCGTTGCACAGGGCACTGTTGAAATTTGAAAGCCCAAAGTCCACCCCTGTTTCCTCCAAAGTTCCTTCTTCTAAGACATGGATGCCAATGTTGAAACAATTCCTTCTCCCCATCCAACACAGATGCTGTATACCGGGATTGTTATCTATGCTCCAGCCTTGATCCTCAACCAAGGTCAGTCTTGTGTTGTCTCTCGGGTCTGGAGAGCAAGCCAGATGAGGAGTGGTTGAGGGAGTGGGGTCCGTTCAGCCTGGACACCGCAAATAGTGGAAGGGCTCTCGCATGGAAGGTGGAGCAAGCTTCGTAGAATGGCAGCGTTGGAAGGGGTCCCCGGGGGTCATGCAGGGATCTCAGCTGACAGGGGGCCCACCAGCCTCTGCTTGAAAACTCCCCCTGAGCTCACAGTCCTTCCCTTTTGAGGAGCAACACTTTTTGCTGGCAGCTTCAAGACCAACCTTTCCTCTTGGTTATGTCTCTAGTGACTGGGCTGGATATCTGGGCCTCCCTGCTCTCCACGGGGATCATCTGCACCTTCTACACAACCATTGTGAGTACGATTGGATGGGCTCATTGATTTATTTCCATTAATTAATTTCTTTTTTAAAAAAATATTTTTATTGCTCAATTTCCAAATAACAAATTATCAAGCCATACAAACACCTACATAATCCCCCCCATGGACTTCCCTCAGCTCCTCTCCCTGATTTTGCTGCACATATTTTCTCTGCATATTATAAAATTATATATATCCTTACATATCTGTCTTTCATGTTATCAACAATAAATTTGTGTATTCAAATTTGCCAAGGAGCCCAGTTCATTTTTTTTGTATTTTTAAATAAGTTGTCTAAAGTTCCCATTCCTCCTTGAAGTCACAGTTGTCCTTGTCTCGCAATTTGTATGTCAATTTGGCCAGTTCTGTGTAGTTCATCAATTTCTCTTGCCACTGTTCCATTGTCGGGATTTCTTCATTCTTCCATCCTTGTGCTATCAAGACTCTTGCCGCTGTTGTAGCATACATAAATAAGTTCCTTATTTTCCTTGGCAGGTCTTGTCCTGCAATCCCTAACAAAAATTGTTATGTACTGAGTTGAATAGGATCCAAACTGCAGCAGTCTGATTGGTCCTAGAACAATAGGATTCAGAATGCAGCAGTCTGATTGGTCCTAGAACAATGCAGCAGTATGATTGGTTGGCAGGAACCACCCAATCATGCTCCAGATAGAAGTGAATCCACAACCTGATTGGCTTACAGTAGAATTCCGGAATTAGCCAATCATGTGCAGCCCATTGTGTAAATAATGTATATAAAGCAGATACTTTGAGGGGACTTTCATTCATTCCTCCTCACCACTATGAGCTGAATAAAGAGCATGAAATCACTTTGCGACTCTGAGTATATTTCAAAAATGCTTCTGGTTTTTTTGCAAATGTCATTTTAAACATTTTCTTCAATTCATTATATATCATTTCCCAATTTTTTAAAATTTCAATTAATTAATTTCTATTTATGCACATTCAGTTTGTGTGCAACCATACACACACACGCTGATCCCGGAAGTGACCTGGAAACGTCACCAGAAGGGGCGGAAGCAGGGGCGGGATGGGGCATTTGCTTAGCTTTGCAAATGTGCTAGCAGTTTTATCGTTGCACCACCTGGAGGGTAAAAATGCACAACCCTGCTTTAAAATAAAAATACTAAAACTAATTACTATGACCTCACCCTTCTTAAGGTAGGCTTGGAGAAACAAGGATGTTTTTAGCAGGCGCCGAAAAGGGAGCAGGGAGAGCGCCTGCCTGGTGCCAAGAGGCAGGGAGTTCCAAAGGTTAGGCACTGCCATCCTAAGTGATTGATGTGCTTGGGGGCTCCCTCTCCACCCGGGGGTGAGCCAAAGTCCTCCCTGACCCATTCCGGTAGATGCCTGCTCTCCAAGTGGTTTGCAACAAAAGTACCAGTAAAATAAATAAAATAATAATATAAAACGAGAAAACCACTCTTAAAAATAAGAAATCAGTATGACGCACTGTTCCTGGAAGAATGGAATATTTGAAATAATATTTTGGAATATTTGTAAAATATCAGATGACATTATGAGCAGGATTTGGAATATGAGCAGCAGCAGAGAACTGATAATATATGAAAAAGGAGGCTATGTCTTGGGTGAAATGCAGTATGTTGTTATTTGATATAATTTTGTTTTATCTACATGCAGGCATTGGTAAAGGGACAGCTTGAAGGACAAGGAATTTGCTTTAAAATGGGTGTTAATTTGAGATATATCTGTAAAATAAGCAGCATGTAAAAGGGTATGAACTGGAATATATCTGAGAGAGTGGGAAACCAGTTTTTGCATAAACCTGTATGAAATTAATTTTAATTTGGTTTTGATGTGTTTTAAATTTGAAAATGAATAAAAATTAATTGGCAGAAAAAAATAGAATACATTCTGTAAATGGGATGGGATTAAGAATGGCATGGAGAGGAAGACCAGAAGTCAAAGTTGAAAGAGAAACGCATAACAAATTTGGAATGTAGAATTTATATGTAAAGGTGTTAGCATTTAAGTAAATAATTGATGGAGAGAGAGACTTTTAAAAGCATTTGAAAGAGGAAACCAGCCACGACATGTTCATTTCTCTGTGCGTTCTGCAGCCAGGCGACTTGGGCGCCCCTAACTTTCCCCTCCGTCTTCCAGGGAGGAATGAAAGCCGTGATCTGGACGGACGTCTTCCAAGTGGTGGTGATGCTTTCGGGTTTTGTCGCCATCTTGATCCAGGGGACCATCCTGGTGGGGAGCCCCGCACAAGTCCTGGCCATCGCCTACAATAACTCCCGCATCAACTTCAACGAGTACGTCCTGGGTTGTGGAAACTATAGCGCTATCGGCGCCATCTCTGGGGGGTCCAGAGGCAGTCTATTGTGATTCCTAGGTCCGTCTTCCCACATTCCTCCCTCTCTGTTTCCCCAGCTTTAACCTGGATCCTCGCAGCCGCTACACTTTTTGGACCTTCATCTTTGGCGGGACGATGGTCTGGCTTTCCATGTACGGGGTGAATCAGGCCCAGGTCCAGCGCTACGTGGCCTGCAAGACAGAGAGAGAGGCGAAATTGTGAGTTGGGTGGAAGGGGGAAACCTGAAGGGAGGGCTCATTTAAGCATCGCCCTTAGACGCCGGAGGGAACTGAGAAGGAATAACCTGGGGCATCTTTTCGCAGTGGAGCAAGCAGAGACCCCCAACCCAAAGGAGTCCATTTTTGTGTCTGATTTTCCTAGAAGCTGCATCTGAGCAGCTTCCCAACTCCCCGTTTCAGAGGGAACAGAAAATAGAGAAAAGCTGACCCTATTTTCACTGAAGAAATGTTGGAGGGGCCAGAGGGAACTGAAGCCCCAAAGTGGTGGAGGCTGATACACATCAGAAGGAATATCAATCAATCAATCAATCAATCAATCAATCAGTCATAGACCAGCAGTTTAAAAAAGGCTAAGAATACAATAGTTGTAAGAACAAGCCGGATAAAAGCAGGGAGACGAGTCGCCAACCAGCTAGAATTTTAGTTGTTACTAAAATGATTCGAAGAAGAGCCATGTGTCTGAAATACAAGATTTCATAAAAGGAATTATAATAAGGCCTCTCTCAGGCTTGCTGTCTTGATTTATCATGATTTTCCTGCGGGTAATAGCAGATGCACAGAATTGTGCTACATTGTGTGTAATCAGAGGGTTTCAATCTGATAATAGGTATTTTAAACAGACTGCTTCAGATCTCCCTGAATTGGGGTAATGAGCTGTTTGCGGAGGTTGTAATTAAAAGGGCAATGGAATAATACATTGGCACTTCCCATGTCACATTGAAATTACCACTTTTAAACAGGGATCTTATTATTTCTGCCTCTGAGGAGTAGGGAAGGTAGAATTCTAAATCTGGTTAGCATAAAAGCTTTCCTATATTTGGGGATGGGTAAATTTGACACCTATTTTGGCATTGTAAATGCTCCCACATAGCCCTTAATAGGGAATAATCCGAGGTGACTTTTGCACTGGGGCGAACAGAGACTCCCCCCCCCCAAAAGGGCTGCATTTTTGTCTCATATTTCCTCGGAAGCTGCTGGCTGTTCCTCTGGCCGAGGCTTCTGAGATCCCCATGGCAGATCCCGGGGCACCTGCCAGGTAGTTGTGTTGCTCCGTGTCCCTGAGTCTATAGACTCAAGCTGTATTCCTGGGGAGGCTCGATAACCTGGGGGCACCCTCTTGGCCACCCCACCCGGGTGCCCAGCCCCACAGCCCCACAAAGCTATCAGCCGCTGGCTGGGCTGTGCTGGGCTGATAAAAAGGTTGGCTGGGGACAGACTGGGAGATCCAGGGCCTTCCTGCATAGACCAGGCAAGGTGCCAGACCTCAGTGTTTCATTTAATCAGGGCATTTATGTCACAGCCTTTTCTCCAAGGAGCCCAAGGCAGCTTGCCTGGGTCTCCTCTTTTAACACCCCCCCCCAATGACCCTGGGAGGTGGGCTAATGCCACAGGAGGGGAGAGAGGGCTCTTGTGTTCAAATCCTGCTTCCCTTCAGGGCACCTGGTTGGCTGCTGTGGAAACATGACACTGGACTAGAAGGGGCCATTGCCCTGATCCAGCAGAAGCCCCTTATTACAGAATCACAGAATTGTAGAGTTGGAAAGGACCCCGAGGGTCATCTAGACCAACCCCCTTCAATGCAGAAGTATGCAGCTGGCCCACACGGGGATTGAACCCACGAACTGAGAAGATAGCTCAGTCAGCAGAGCATGGGACTCTTAATCTCAAGGTCGTGGGTTCAAGCCATGCATTGTGCAGAATATTCCTGCCTTGCAGGGGGTTGGACTAGATGACCCTCAGGGTCCCTTCCAACTTGACAATTCTGTAATTCTACAAATCTACCTTGGCACCACACTCTGACCAACTGAGCCACCTTCTGGGCTCCCCATCCCTCTTCCAGACCTTTGTAAGCTCCTTAATTGCTTGATTTCCCCTATTCTCCCTGTCCTGGGTTCAAATTTTATTTTTGTCCTCTCTGCTTCCCCTCTTCTCTCTCTCCAGAGCTCTCCTTGTCAACCAGGTGGGCCTCTTCTTCATCGTCTCCAGCGCTGTGGGCTGCGGGATTGTCATGTTCACCCTCTACAAGGACTGCGACCCCCTTTTGGCCGGACACATCTCTGCACCTGACCAGGTACCTCTGCCTCGCAGGGGTGGGGCTGGGGCTCAGAGGGGGCTTGGAAAGCCACAGCAAACTGCTTGCCGTAGGAAAGAACAAAGGGTCAAACAGGCAAACAAACAACCCCCAACAGAGAAGTTCTTGTGCTGCAGTCGTGCAAAAATGTTAAGGGATGGCGGGAGGTAGAACACACATTGGAGAAATGAGAAAGAAAGCAGACGGGGTGGAAATTGCTGAGGTCTGCTTGTTTAATTTAAGAAATGTATTAGTTACCTTGCAGGGGGTGGGCATAGAATCATGGAACTCTTCCAACTTTATGATTCTTTCATTTTCCCTGTTAACAATTCCTGCACTGCAGGGGGTGGACTGGATGACCCTTGGGGTCCCTTTTGACTCTACCATTCTTTGTGCATCTTGTGGCCAGCTTCAAATCATGGCCATCTCCCTGCCCTCCTGCTGCCCCTGAAACAGAACTGACACTTTCTCTCCTTTTCTCTCAGTACATGCCTTATTTGGTCTTGGATATCTTTGAGAAATACCCCGGGGTGCCTGGACTTTTCCTGGCTTGTGCATACAGCGGGACTCTGAGGTGAGTGTGGGAGACCCCTCTTTGCCCCACGCAGAATAAACCCCCCAAAGAAATTACATTTCCTGCAAAGGAGACACAAAAACTTTGATTCCTGAGTATAGCTAAAGCTATCTAATATTAGAAGCTCTAGGAAAGTCAACAAAATTTCTTTTCTTGCATCTGCTTCTGGGGCGGAGCATGGTGCCCCCAAAGTCCCCAGCTCCACCTGGAGGGAGATTGTGGTTTCTCAGGGAGCGTTTCCATTTCAGTTTTCTGAGTATTTCCAGCACTCTGGTCCAGTGCAGGATGCTGACCTGAAATTCAACAGCCAGCCTGGTTAGGTTTTGTACACAAATGGCAGTGGCAAAATGTCCTGGGCTCAGCCTGAGGATCTCTAGGGGCCTCAATAGGGGAGGCCCCGTGAGTTAGGAACACCAGAAAGACACCCCTCACTTTCTTCTAGAACGGGACGGGTGTTGGTTTACGCAGATTAAAACGCTGCAGGTGAGATGCAAAAAGCGAGGAACATATAAAAATAATCATGAATTTAATAGAATTAAAACAATATTTCTACATTGCAGGGGGTTGGACTAGATGATCACTGGGGTCCCTTCCAACACTACAGATTCTAATATGAAAAAGATCTATTAAAAGACACATAATAAAAACAACACAGCACTCTTAAAAACCGTTTCCTTTTTTTAAAAAAGACCAATCGAAATAGAACAGGATTCACTTGCCAGCAGAAGGTCAGCAAGGAGGGAGCCAGCCAAGCTTCTCTAGGCAGGGAGTTCCAAAGTTGTCTGGGAGGAGCCACCACCAAAAAGCTCCTCTCCCGCTATATGGGAAGATATAGACCTTCAGCTAGCCTTCAGGATCAGGCCAAAGGATCATCTAGGTCTGCATTTCATCCCTGGAGGGGCCAAATTACCCCAAAGAACCTAGGGATCTAGATAGACTGCCTCTGGACCTGGAGGTTCCACAAGAGTCGATGGCACCCCCCTGAGAGGTGCTGGAACTGCACTCTGGCATTCTCTGGCTGGGGAAAAAAGCACTGCCAGAAAAGCATGGCATGAGCTGAACAGCCGTCTCTTGGGATTGCTTCCCCGGTGCATTTGATGATAGACTGCTCTTGAAGCTGGAGGCTCCTTCCTAGCTAATTCCGGCTGTTGGTGGCTTTGTCCTCCATGACTGCCCCGTCTTCCCTCCCTCTGCAGCACGGCTTCCACCAGCATCAACGCCATGGCCGCCGTCACCGTGGAGGACCTGATCAAGCCGAACTTGCCCAGCCTCTCCCCACGGAAGCTGACCCTCATCTCCAAAGGGCTCTGTGAGTGAAGGTGGCCGGGGCATCCTCCAAAGCGTGGGGAGGCTGGGCTGGGCATCCCAGGAGACCCCTTGGGAACAAGCATAGTTCCGTCAGGAGATTCTTAATTTCGGGGTTGGGGGTTCGAGCCCCACATTGGGTAAAAAGATTCCTGCATTGCAGGGGGTGGGACTAGATGGCCCTCGGGTCCCTTCCAGCTCGATGATTCTATCATCCTAAGCCAATTGCTTTCAACAGATCTACTCCTGAGGATTTGTTCATTTCGTAAAATTTATACACTGCTTGATTGTAAACAAACAAACAAGCAGTCTCCAGCAAGGCCAAAACACTAAAATGGCCAATGAGAAAAATTAGCAGTAATAATAATAATAATAATAATAATAATAATAATAATAATGGAAATTGTGCTTTTATTCTTAACATTTCCAGCACTGATTTATGGGACGTCGTGCATCACCGTTGCAGCGCTGTCTTCGTTACTGGGAGGTGGGGTGTTGCAGGTAATAATAATTTTATTATTATTATTTTGTTATTTTTACTATTTATGCACTGCCCATCCGGCAGTGTAACTGTCTCCGCTTATGACCCCTCCCTCAATTTCTTCTCTTTCTTCCACAAGGATTTGGCTCATGTGTTTTTTCCTGAAAGCACAATCTGCATTCGAGATAGCAACAGGGTATTTTGCAGGCCACGCTTCTCTACTATTTTCTTCAGGGAGCCAAACTACTTAAGAACCCAAGAAGAGGCAGCTGGATCAGGCCAAAGGCTCTCCCCCCCCCCCCCCCAGTTCAGCATCCTGCACTCACAGCGGCCAAATGTCCTTAGGAATCTGGGAATTGAGATAGACTGCCCCTGGACCAGGAGGTTCCATAAGAAGATCATAAGAGTTTGGCTGGCTGGATGAGGCCAAAGGGGGCCCATCTAGTCCAGCCTCCTGTTCTCACAGTGGCCAGCCTGCAAGGGAAACCCACAAGCAAGATCTGAGCACAGCTGCTGTTTCCCCATCATCTAGTATTCAGAGGTAGACTGCTCTTGGGCATGGAGGTTCTGCTGTCACAGTAGTCCTCCTTAAGAAGAGCTTGGCTGCTGGATCAGGCCCATCTCATCCTGCACCTGTTCTCACAGGTGCCCCCAAAGGAAACCCAGGAGGAGGTCCTTTTATGATTCCTGTTGCAGGGAGTTCCCCTAACCCTTCTTTTTATCTGTAGCTGTAGAGTCTAGGAACCACTGATAGCCTCCTCCTCCTCCATGAATTTGCCCCGCCTCTTTCGAAGTCCTCCAAGTCATTGGCCTCTTGTGGCAGGGAGTTCCGTAGGTTAACTACAAGGTCCAGCTTAACTACGCTGCTTGGTGTAGTAGTTCCTCAACAAGCTTGAGAGGGTGGGCTGCGAGGCTTTTAAAAGGACAAATCCAGCCCTTTGCATCAGGCCCTGGGAATGTACTGAGGACCAATGCAGGCTGATATGTGTTCTTGCCAACAGTCTCCAAGGGGCAGCCCCATATTCGGTGCATTGCAGTAGTCCAGCCTGGGAGCCACCGAGGCACGGAAGCTGGCAGCCAGGCCTCTGCCTTCCAGTCATGTGTGTCGGTGGCTGGTTTTATGACGTAGGGAGTTGATTCTCACGCTCGGCCCAGTATTGTCTCATCTTGTTTCAACAAGGAGGCCACTCCACCCGCCTTTGTAGCAACCAGGAAAAGTTTGCATTCACAGATGCGCGCACACACGGCTTATCGGTTTCTGCATTGTATCTCATATGTTAACAACTCGAGCTGCATAGCAGCATATCTGGGAGCTGATTGGCACTTTCAGATTGCAGCTGCTACTTGTGTCTTAGAGGTGACGCGATAGAGGTTTGCACAATTGTGCGTGGCGGGGAGACAGTGGACAGAGAAAAGTGTTCCTCCTTCTCTCGTGACATGAGACTCTTGGACAGCCAGCAGAGGATTAAAGACAGATAAGAGAAAGTCATTCTTCACAGAGTTAATCTGCGGAACTCCCTCCCACAGGCCACCAACTTTAAAACCTTTGACTTTAAAATTTGACCAGAGGCGGTTTTAGGGCAGTGTGACAGCTTGTCCTGCGTTGGGCGCCTGGTAAGCAGTTGCCCAGCTTTGGGAAGGAGGTGTGAGGCCTCTAACAGAATCATAGAATGGTAGAGTTGGAAGGGACCCCGAGGGTCATCCAGCCCAACCCTCTGCAATGCAGGAATCCCAGCTCAAGCATCCAGGACATCCTTGTGACTTGAAGCCATGGGTTCGAGTCCTACCCTCCAGAGCAGGAGAAAACAAGCTTGCTCCCTCTTCCATGTCATTGAAATATTGGAAGATGGTTCTCCTCTCTCCTCTCAGTCTCCTCTTTTCCAGGCAGAACATCCCCAGCTCCTTCAACCTTTCCTCATAAGGCTTGGCTTCCAGACCCTTCACCATCTTGGTCGCTCTCCTCTGCTGCACACCTTCCAGCCTGACAACCTCGTAACAACAACATGCTTACCCTTGCCTTCTCTGCCCCGCTTTGTGTTTCTGCACAGGGTTCGTTCACCGTCATGGGCGTCATCAGTGGGCCCCTTCTGGGAGCCTTCATCCTGGGGATGTTTATCCCAGCTTGCAACACCGTGGTAAGTCCCAAAGAGGACCCGAGAGGATGCTTTTGGGTGCCTTCACCCTTCATAAAAGGGTGTTGGAAGAAAGGTGCTGTGCCATGGAGGGGCCTTGCAACAAAGCAGTAGGATTGGAACGAAAGAACACAAAAATACCACGAACAATGCAGGAATCTAGATAGACTGCCCCTGGACTTGGAGGTTCCATAAGCACATCAAAGGATGCCCATGTATCCCAGCATCCTCTTCTCACAGTGGCCAACTGGAGGCCTGTGGGGAATCTCCCTTCCTATGCAAAAATTCCTGGCTGGGGGGTGGGACTTTCAGCTCAGCAGCAGCAGCATAAAACCCGACCTCTCCTTCCTTCCCAGGGGGTGTTGACTGGGCTTCTTGTGGGCTTCGCCCTCTCTTTCTGGGTGGCTGTGGGGGGCACCCTCTACCCGCCCAGCGCCGCCACCATGGGGGTGCTCCCATCCTACGGAGACTTGTGCCCGCTCTACAACGCCTCCGAGGGAGCCAACGCCACGATCATGCTCGGCCCACTGCCACCCCGGAACATCACGGAAGTCGCAGACAGGTGAGATGGTTGTTGATCTCTGGTGCAAATTCAAATAAGTGGCTGGGGCAGCCCAGCCAGATGAGCGGGTATAAGTAATAAGATTATTATAACACTAAAGGAGAACACAGCAAAACAACATTTCTTTGCCCAGAGTAGAATTCAGGAGGATTCAGTAGAATTCAGTAATGGGAAAACATCATTTATGGCCTGTAAGAACTAAGGACATTCTACAGTGCGCCTCAGCGCACTTTGGTGCTGTTCAATGTACTTACAAGCCCAGGAACAAGGTACTGCTGAAGGTTCATAACAGGCATAAGAAGATCTTGCTGGATCAGGTCAAAGGGAGCCGATTTGGTCCTTACAGTGGCCAACCCCCCCCCCCATAACCTGCAAATTGTCTGCCTGCGGAGCTGGAGGTTCCATGAGAACATGAGAGGAATCTGCCTGCTGGACCAGGCCAAAGGGGGCCACTGACCCCAGCATCCTCTTCTCACAGGGGCCAACCAGGTGACCCGAAAGGGACAAGCAGGGACAATGGCAGGCTCTGCACTTAGGCAGGAAGAGCCAGATGCACACCTGGCTCACTTGCAGGACACGTGAAAAGGATCGAGGGATCTTGGTGGAATCTTGGAGTTGGAAGGGACCCCGAGGGTCCTCTGTTCCAACCCCCTGCAATGCAGAAATCTTAGTTAAAGCGCCCATGAGACATGGCCCCCCAGCCTCTGCTTAAAAACCTCCAAGGAGGTTTCTGGGTCACTGTCCTCTCCCCCCAGAAGTCCCTTCCCCATTGAACAGCTCTCACTGTCAGAAAGTTTCTCCTGATGTTTAGTCAGAATCTCCTTTCTTCTAACTTGAAGCCATGGGTTCGAGTCCTACCCTCCAGAGCAGGAAAAAGCAAGCTTGCTCCATCTTCCCTGTGACAGCCCTTAAGATGGCTCTCCTGTCTGCTCTCAGTCTCCTCTTTTCAAGGCTAAACATCCCCAGCTCCTTCAACCGTTCCTCATCAGGCTTGGTTTCCAGACCCTTGATCATCCTGGTCACCCTCCTCTGTACTCCTCCCAGATTGCCAACACCTTCTAGGAGCCAGAACTCAATTATTCCCCTGCCTGCGGATCTCACCATCTCACTTCCTTTGCAGGTCGGCCATTGCGGATGACTTCTACGCCATTTCCTACCTCTACTACGGTGCCTTGGGAACGCTCACCACAGTTGTAATCGGGGTTCTAGCCAGCTGCCTAACCGGTAAAGTGGTGGGGTGGAGCCATTAGCTAGCTATTAATTTGCTTCATTTGTGTTTTTTTAAATAAGTTGATTCCATTTTTAAATAATATTTTTTATTATATTTCCAATTTTAACCAATCCTTTTAAAATGCAACCAGAACATATCTCTCATATCTGTTGACACATTCCATGGTGTTCTTTTATTCCTTTATAAAGCTTCTATATTACTGATATTTTATCCATTCTGTACATCAATTCCAAATTTTTAAATGACAAATTCTCATCTGTTGCTATTGTTCAAATCCTGCGTACATTTTGACATAACTATGATGGTCCCTCCCCCCTAATATTCTACAAAAGAATACCATTTTAGAAGTTGATTTCAATACTTCATGTTTCCTTGCCTTAAAGTGTGCAAATTCTCTCTCTCTCTCGTGGTTCTGGGTTTTGCTGCAGGGCCTGCGAAAAGGAGCTCAAAGAAGCCAGGCGTGCTCTGGTGGGACGTCATGAAGCAGACCGCCATGGTCTCCCCAGAGGGGCTGAAGAAACCGTTCACCAAGGTAGGGCAGTGGGGAAACTGGGCGCTCTGATAATGGTGGGCAGTGGGCAGTGCATCGGAGCTGCCATCACTCAGCGTAGAGAACAGGGACCACCTGAACCCTCATATTCCAGCTTGGTCATCGCCATCACCTGCAGCTGCAGGAGCATCGCTGGCCGTTCTCCAGTTTGGAGAGGCTCATTGGACAGCAGCCTTTAGTGTCATTGTTCCAGTCCTGTGGAGCTCTCTGCCACTAGAGCAGCATTACCTGAATTTGGGTCTTCTGCTGTTTTTGGACTACAGTTCCCACCAACCCTGCCCACTGGTCCTGCTAGCTAGGGATGCCTATTGATCAATTCCTGCTCATATACCCTTACAAGAAAAACAGAAGCAAAACAAACAAGGTTACTCTGCCCCTTGCCTTTCTGCCTTAAATCATTATTTGTATTTTCTTTATCATTTCTTTCTTTTCATCTTGCTTGGGTGTAAATCTGGATCCATCCTTTCTCAATGGCTTCCTTCCATTTCTCAACCGTCCGCACAGGATGCAGGGAACTCTCCCAATCTGCAGAAGAAAGCCTTTGGCTCAACGTCTCTGGTGCCCAGCTTCCCGGCCGAGGAGAAGACCCTGATGGCCAAGGAGGAGAAGGCATCATCAGAGCCCTCTGAGGAGAACCTCTGCGTCTGCAACGCTTTTGAGAGCAGCTATTTCCACCTGCTCAGAGAGACCAATGTGTAAAGGGTTGGGCACTTGGAGGCCAGAAGCCTCCTGGACCAGCTTTACTTGGGAAAGGACCCCATTTTGGGAGGGATGAACCTCATTCCACAGAGAGATATTTGTAGATCTCTGGCCAGGCCAAGCTGCAACCTCTGGAGAAATTTGGGCAGGGCATTCCTGTCCTGTTATCAAAATCTGGCCAAGTTGTGCCAACAACACGGGGCAACGTGGACCCTTGGAGGCTTCTGTTTGTCCTTTTAGAGGACACGCCTCCCCAACCGGGTCCTGTCACGAGGGAGCTTCTTCATCAGTTCATTTATTAGTATCAAACAGAAGCACAGGAGCTCCATCAAGGCTTGAGCTGCTGCCCAGGGGGCCTGCTCCTCTCCCCAGAAGCTCGCTTTCTCCATATCAGACCCGTCCTGCTGTCTACGGTGGCTGCCAAGGGACTCTTCTGTCGATGTCTAGTTTTCTGCTCTCTGACATGGAGGAAACACCTGCTTTTAGGGGAAGGAGGGGGATCTATCAGGCTCTCAAGGGACATCGTATCAACTGGCTCTGGTACTCTCCCTACCACATCTGGCTCCTGTCTCTGTTCAGGGCTGGTGCATCTGCTAGCTCACCCGTTCCTTGCCCTCCAATATTTCCCAGTTCTCCTTTTCCTTCTCCTGTTTCCCACCACCAAGGACCTGGGTCCACACTATCTTCTTCTGCCCCCTCCCTGGGCGCCTCTTAGGGTGGCCGTCTCCACTACTCCTCCTCATCTAGCCTGATATCTATTCTCAATTTTCACCTGGAAATGGAGGAGTTTGAGATTGGCAAAGATGAGAAAAAGCAGATGTAATAATAATAATAATAATAATAATAATAATAATAATAATAGTTTTATTATTTTACCCCGCCCATCTGACCTGGTTGCCCCAGCCACTCTGGGCAGCTGATGTATATTTTGCTCTAGGAGGCTTCATTTGGTCAGAATTGAGTCAGCACTTCCAGAGTTAACACTAAATACATCTCTTCTAGTTAAGGAACCACCATAGCTGCTAGAGGGCTGTGGAAATTTGTGTCCTGGGCTTTTTAGACTCATCTACCCATGTACTATCAGAAACTAAAGGGGTGCCCTGGTTACCAGGTGCGAAATATCTTGGTATTCTTTCCAGCTCACCTGCCCCCACCATCCTTGCCACTTCACAGGGCCTCTTGCATCGTTTCCTTTTGGACCTTGATCCTCCTCCTGCTTGCCTCCACCTGTCATGGAAAAGCCACTCTGTGCATGCTCAGAGGGCCAAAGCTTAGGCTGGAGGATGGGAATAGAGTCCAGCTGGGTCCCTGCTGTGCCCTCTCCTCCATATTCCGTCCCATGTTGGCCGTCCTCCTGTCGGAAGTGTGTAGACAGGACTATTGACAGCTCCTCCTGGCCTCTTCTCCATCCCCCCGCCTGTAAATAAGATGCACCAGGATGGAGATTTGGGACCTTCAAGCTGCACAGGGGCTACAGGGTTGAATGGGTGGGCTTCGCCAGAGGGTTATGTTCCTATCTTTGCATATAAAGATATATATTCAGTCTGCTCTGGCTTCCAATGATCAAAGGACTCTGGTGTTGTGCCATTTGAGGGGAAACGCTCGGCATGAAATAAAGAGAATGTTGTACAAAAGCCAATGCTAATTCTGTGTTTGGAATGACAAATTCAGAAGGGAACGGATACATATCCCTGTGGCCAGAATGAGGACGTTGTGCAAAGCTGAGCAGGGTGGCTACAGGACCTGCTTAGCTTAATTGCCGTTGCTCATTTATTTGTGTAGCCGAAGGTATTACAAAGCCAGATGCATAAGAACAAAAAAACGCTGCACAGATTTTTAAAAAATTGTTTTTATTAAAGATTTTCTGGGGTTGCAAAAGTACATACATCGTCTCTGTTTTCAAATCACGAAGCCCTTTCTACGGATCTGTGAGGTTTTTACAAGCCCTCTACTCTCAGCAGCCAGGAGCATCATGGCAGAACACTAGAGGGATAACTTTTTGACTTTCTTTTTTTCTTCAAAAACATAAACGATTTCCTGTATCATAAAGGGATGAACTTTTGCTTAGAAACACTGAAAAATGGACTAATTCTCAGTTGTGAAAAATGGTCACCCCAAAATGAAAAATTGGAATCACTGTATATATAACCTTACTACTCATAAGTATGAACACTTTTAAAAACTTCAAGGAACTGTTTGGAACTTTTACAGCTGTCTGAAACTGCCTAAAACTGTATTGGAGAAGCCCGGGAAGCAGAGCCATCCAGATCCCATTTGTGTGCACAACACGCAACCAAACTGATGTGGGAAATTTATGGTGCTTGAAGCAGAAACCAAGGCCTTGATTTATTCTAAGCAATAAGAGGGGATGTACGATGTATAACACTTTGTGCAAGTATTAGAAAATTTGCAAATTCAATTTTCCCCTGTATTATACAAAAAATACATTATACAGTTACATATACGAAAAATGATTTGTGGATTCTGGGGTGACATTTTTTCAAAAAATTTGGAAATGATAGTTCATTCCTTTGTTTTTAGGCAATAGTTTATCTAACTAAGCTTCAGGAACAGCAGGTTGTAAAAAAGTTATAACCCTACTGGACACTAGAGGGATCGGTCTGGAATGAACATGGACCACTGGTACCAAACTGTATGGATAACAGCTGTACTACATAAACTAACCAACAGACTGAAACTGACACGGGGACAAATAACAGGACGCCTTCACCCTGGGGTGGCTCCTCTTTCATACACACACAGCCCAACAAGATAATAACAAGAACCCAATGAGAGCATCTGAATCGATAGGGCTAAGTTGAGCCAACACACACGCAAATAATACATTGCACAGTTATAATCATTTTTGGTACCCAGCATTCCATCAGGTAGAAATGTGCTCCCCTGAACTTTTTAACTTACTGCTCCTGCAAGCTGTCCTTAAAAGGGCCGCTCTGGAGGCAGCTCAAGCCACCTCTCAGAAACGGAAGAACTTCCCAGACACCCCCCCCCGCCGCAGGGCCTATATGGCCAAGGCCTGGACCACCTCTTGAGTTTGAAGAACCAGGTGCCTCCCACTACCCACCACCAGCCTGGAATTGCCCCAGAAGGGAGGCTCTGGGATGGAGGAGCATCTTCAGGTGACAGGGTTGACCCTTGAAGACTCTGAAGTCCCTTCCCACAGGGGTGGAGTCTGGAGGACTTAGTCTGGACCCAGAGGGATAAAAGGCCTCTGCTGGCTCCCAACCTCGCTTGCAGCAACTGTCTCACTGGGAACTCTCTCTGGTCTGGCAACCTCCAGCCTTTCTCTGGGGGATCTAGCACTGGAGCAGAATATATTATTCCTTTGGAGAAGGGGGCACAGCTAGGTTTTCAGAGACGGGCATCCTCCACTGCCCAGGGGACGAAGCGATGGTGGGGAGAGAGACAACCATAGAATTGTAGGGTTGGAGGGCCCCTCAGGAGTCATTCAGCCCAACCCCCAAAGCGTCCATGCCAGATGGCAAACCTCCAAGGAAGGGAGAAGACACAGCAACTACAACACTTGAATAGAATGGCACAATTCTCTCTGGTTTTTCCACAGTTTTTATTGATTGAGAGAAAAAGGATATTCGGGGGAAATACAGAGAATTGCTTAGACTTTTGGAAAGTAACAAAACCTGCTCTCATTGCCAACTGCAGAATTTGACGGGAGAGTTTGTATTGATAACTAGGAAACTGTGATTCATTTTTGTGGGGATGATTAGGGAGGCAGGAGAAGATATATTATTTAATCATATCCTTCCTAACTTGTGCTAGCAAGTTCCATATTCTAGCAGAGTTCCAAACATCCCCCTTTTTAAATTACACAGTGGTTAGCTTGTTGCTGGCTTGTCGGAGCTTCACTACTTAAGATTCCTGGTGAGATCCCTTCTACTCCCTCTTAAAAAGAATAGACATGAGAATCTGATTAATGTTACTATAAAAGTACCGTATTTTTCACCCCATAGGACGCACTTTTTCCCCTCCAAAAATGAAGGGGAAATGTGTGTGCGTCCTATGGGGCGAATGCAGGCTTTCGCTGAAGCCTGGAGAGCGAGAGGGGTCGGTGCGCACCGACCCCTCTCCCTCTCCAGGCTTCAGGAAGCTATCCGCAAGCCGTGGGAGCCCGCAGGAGTTCCCCCGGGCTCCCACGGCTTGGGCAGAGCTGCCTGCACCCCGAAGCCCCGGCGCGCTGAGCAGTCTGCGCAAGCCGCGGGAGGGCTCCCCCGGGTAGCTCTGCACAAGCCGCGGGAGGGCTCCCCCGGCTTGCGCAGCACTGCCTCTTATCCCGAAGCTACCCGAAGTGACTGCTGAGCGCGCCGGGGCTTCGGGATAAGAGGCAGCGCTGCGCAAGCCGGGGGAGCCCTCCCGCGGCTTGCGCAGCACTGCCTCTTATCCCGAAGCCCTGGCGCGCTGAGCAGTTGCGCCGGGGCTTTGGGTAGCTCTGCGCAAGCTGCGGAGAGCTCCCCGGCTTGCGCAGAGCTGCCTCTCATCCCGAAGCCCCGGCGTGTTGAGCAGTCGCGCCGGGGCTTCGGGTAGCTCTGCGCAAGCCGTGGGAGGGCTCCCCCAGCTTGCGCAGCACTGCCTCTTATCCCGAAGCTACCCGAAGCGACTGCTGGAGTGCGCCGGGCGTCGGGATAAGAGGCAGTGCTGCGCAGCCGGGGAGCCCTCCCGCGGCTGCGCAGCGCTGCCTCTTATCCCGACGCCCCGGCACGCTCAGCAGTCGGCCGGGGCTTCGGGTAGCTCTGAGCAAGCCGCGGGAGGGCTCCCATGGCTTGCGGAGAGCAACCTGTTCTGGGGGCTGGGGTCGGGGGAAGCTCGGGCTTCCCTTGCGCCAGCCTCGCACCTTGGGGGGGAAATAAAAAATTTTTTCTTTATTTCCCCTCCAAAAAACTAGGTGCGCCTTATGGGCCGGTGCGCCCTATGGGGCGAAAAATACGGTAGTTTACTCACAGATTCATTCAGGTTCACAGACATCATCCCTGAAGGCAGGCTTAGGTTACATAACGACTAGAACTATTCCATAAAGAAGTTAGTCCCAAGTGATTGTGACTAAGGAGTCACTTCTCCAAACACACAGCAACATACACAATGGAGAACACACACTGATCAGAACATGAGGCCGTGGGCTCCTCCATGCTAGTACAACAGACAGCACCCTCTTCAAGTCTGTCCCAGCTCAGCAGGAAACAGGAAGTCTCCTGAGTGGGACAAAACATCCCCTAACATGTCCACTGTATGAATGTTGTACTTGACTGCTATAAGTTTTAAATCCTACAATTTTGTGAAAACTTAACTGGCAGGGAAGATTGAAGTGGGTTAGATTCCCGTTTTCCTCATTAGATGTTCTCTGCTGTTGAGGTTGGGCTTCAGAAGAATAATGTAGCATTTGGGGAGAAAGATGCAAGCCAGAAGACCAGCACCAGAGGCCAAGATGGAGAAGATCTCCACAGCCACCATGATCTTCCCTTTGGTGCTCAGGTAGGCTGGGACGAAGGAGACCCAAACGCTGCAAAAGACCAACATGCTGAAGGTGATAAACTTGGCTTCATTAAAACTATCAGGGAGCTTCCTAGCTAGGAAGGCCACCGTGAAGCTGACGAGGGCCAGGAAACCCAGGAAACTCAGGACATTATAAAACATGGTGGTTGAACCTTCATTACATTCCACTACAATCTCTCCAGCTATGGAATGGAAGTCCAGGTTTGGAAATGGGGGAGAGGTTGCCAGCCAAACAACACAAATAGCAGTTTGGATGAGGGGGCAGATCAGAAGAATAGAATTTGCTGGTTGTCTCACCAACAGTTTTCTTGCCATGTTTCCCGGCTTGGTGGCCATGAAAGCCAGGACCACCGTGATGGTCTTTGCCAGGACGGAAGAAATGGCAACAGAGAAGACGATGCCAAAAGTAGTTTGTCGGAGAAGACAAGTGACCTTCCTGGGTCGACCGATGAAGAGGAAGGAGCAGAGGAAGCAGAGCAGGAGGGAGACGAGGAGGACGTAGGTGAGGCTGCGGTTGTTGGCTTTGACGATTGGTGTGTCCCGTTGTTTGATGAAGGTCGCCAGCATGAGAAGTGTGATCAGAGAGAGGAAGAGGGCAAGGGAAGCTAAAAGAACACCCCCAGTCTCTTGGTAAGGAAGGAAGTTGATCTTCTTCAGCAGGCACTGGTCACCGTCCTGGTTTGGGCATTGGTCTTCAGGGCAGCTGGTACACTGAGTGGCATCTGGCATAAGGAAACACTATTGAAATATATCACATGTGCCATTTGTGTTTTCGACTGTGGTTGCCGCTCTGTCAGGCATCAGGGAATTGGCTTCCTCCCCTCTTTGGCAGTAGATAAGCAGAACAAAGGAAAAGGAGTCTTCTTACCAGTTAGAAACTTTAATGATCACAGCGAGAGAACAAAGAATCCATTTCCTAGGGATGGAGGTGCTCCCAGTTAAGAATCCCACCCACTTCCTCCCTAGTCACCCCCGTCACTCCCGCGTCTTGTAACCTGATCTCGTAACCACTGTGCTTTCTGTGCTGCCTCCTTTTCAGCTCTTCTTGACCTTGGGCTGCGCGGATCTGTTAACTCTCTCTCTCCCAGTGCTTCTTCTAGTAGCTGTTCCCCATTCAGTATTTCCCAGCTTCTGCCTTCTGAACTATGTCCCTCTGCAAACCACTGTTCCAAATCTATACTACTTCCCTGCTCCTGGGAAGATTCAGAATCCTGATCAGGAGCTGAGGGGGGGAGGCTCCCACCATTTCTCCTTAGTGCAGCCCTCCTCAGCACGATCCCTGACACACTTGGGGGGGGTTTAGACAAT